GGGTGCTTCCCGGCATGGAGTTGCGTGCAAAACCGGATGACTACAAAATCTTACAAGAGGATGATGCGCAGTCAATCGCAGAAAAGACTGCCAAAGAGAGACTTGCGTGCACAGCGCCCCACTTCGTGAAGTGGACGGACGGTCAGTTCTACAGAACAGCTCGTCAACAGCCCACTCATACCTGATGTAGAAGAGAAAGAGGCTGCAGACAATCCAGACGAGGTGGCCAACATTGTGTTGGCCACGCGTTTGGGGGATAACAACGAGATTGCCTGGGTTCGGGACTGCACGTCTTACAAAAAGGAGATCAATGACGCCAACGAGAAGAGAGAGGGCAAGCGACCAATGGCAGCTCGCTCACCCACTCCAGACCAGTTCTCACATTTGCGGGCGTCGAGCTTAGCTGATGATCTCAACAACAGTGACGTGGATGGCAGTGAGCCCCCGCGCAAACGTCAGCGGATCAACAGGGAGTTGCTGATGCAGCAGCTGGAGAAGGATCCCAGAGAGGGCGAGCGCATTTGTCGTTACGTCTTTGGACACCAGTCATCCAAAACGTTCTTTGTTACACGATTCCGCAGACGGAGTGTAGGGGACGCAATGATCGTAGACGACTACATCAGTCGGGGATTGCAAATAGATCAGGACGGTCAGTGGAAAAGCGTAGACCTCCGCCTCCTTCCGGTTGTTGCCGACCGGCACAGAGGCTTACACGAGACACTATACAAGGAGTTGCTTGACACCGGATGCTACGGCACAGTACTGTGATCGACATTCCTCTTACGCGTTTTCTGGACAATTATCTTTGTTTTACATTTACTACACTGTAGTTCTTGACCTAATGACTCTGTTACGCATAGCTTTACCTTGTGCAATGTTTTTGTTTCCTGCATGGCAGAGCAGAGGTTAATTGTGTAAACTTTTTTCAAAAAGAATTGTCTCAAATCCTGTACGTGGTGAGTCCTTGATGGTGAATATCTGGATCTGTGTCATTTTTTGGCAGATGTTTAAGCGTCTATGGGCGGGCCCATTTTTCTCTTGGCAATTGGCGGGCGGTCCCACAATTCTGCGGGCGGGCCCATATTTCTCTTGGCAATTGGCGGGCGGTCCCACAATTCTGCGGGCGGGCCCATATTTCTCTTGGCAATTGGCGGGCGGTCCCACAATTCTGCGGGCGGGCCCATATTTCTCTTGGCAATTGGCGGGCGGCCCCATACATCAGTGGGCGGCCCCACACATCAGTGGGCGGCCCCACACATCAGTGGGCGGCCCCACACATCGGTGGGCGGCCCCACACATCAGTGGGCGGCCCCATACATAGTTTCCTAGGCGTCATAAAGTCACATGGAGTGGTCCCGCGCCGGCAATCGCCGCGGTCACTGAGAATAAATCAATCTAGGTTCAAAAGAGGTATGAGAAAAATGTTGCACGTGATCCAAGTCATAAGCCTACAAGATAGTGATTTTAAGTCATAAGCCTACAAAATGGTGATTTTATATATCCATGACAAAAGCAATAAGGATTTTTGCGTGCGTCAAATCAATATTATTGCATACACTCACCCGTATTATTGATTAGACTGCAAAGGATAAATCTAGCTCCTATGTACATTGTACGCCTGTATTATCGAATAGATTGCAAATATATACTTGACTTTAACTTCCCAAATAGGTCAAAAAACGGAAATTTTTCTGGCGCTGCGCGCGCTACAAGGACCCCAGGAGCCATGGGCCCGCCCACATGCCCGCCCAAGGACGCCCGCTGGACGCCCACAAAAATGTAGCTGGGGCCCCCCAGAGCATTGGGGGGCGCCCGGCTGCCGCCCAGCCCACGGCCGCCCACTACCACTGAGGTACCTTTTTTGGGCCTCAAAAAGGTACCTCTCGAGGTACAAAAGTGGGGTGTCCAAGGTGGGCTGTGCAACATATGCTCCAGAAGGTTCTACTACAACCCATGACCAGCGCTCCATGCAGTACATAGCCCTATGACTCATTAGTTGTAGATATGACTCAGACTGGATTTGGGTATAAATACTGTAGCTACTTGGTTGTATTCTCCAGTCTTCGAATTCACTTCTCTTTTTGACTTTGTTTTTGGGTTGATTGTCACAAGTACTCCAGGTTCTTGTGGTCGGTCCAGATCTCCACAGGGTGTTTAGCGCCCTCCAAGAAGTGCTGCCACTCCTCCAGCGCACGCACAATTGCGAGCATCTCCTTGTCGTGGATCTTGTAGTTGCGTTGGACGTTGTTGAGGCTCTTGGAGAAGAAGGCGACTGGGTGCCACTTGTTGTCCGAGGGGGACTGCTGAGAGATGACAGCTCCTGTAGCAAAATCGGAGCTGTCAGCTTCGAGGCAATAAGGACGAGAGGAGTCTGGAAGGAGAAGAACCAGCATGGAGGTAACCGCATCCTTCAAGGCCTGAAATGAAGTGGACTCATTGTTGCCCCAAGACCATGGTACGTCCTTCTTGGTGAGATCAAAGAGCGGGCGTGTGACATGTGAGAAGTCCCAAATAAACCTCTGATAGAAGTTAGTGAACCCGAGGAACTGTTGCACTTCCTTCTTATTAGAGGGGGCTGGCCATTCAGTTACACCTGCCACCTTGACGGGGTCCATCTCGACGTGGTTGTGGGAGATGATCACGCCAAGGTACTCAATGGACTCCATCTTGAATTTGCACTTCTTGGCTCAGAGGTACAGCTTGTTTTCGCAGAGGCGCCGGAGGACTTTGTTCACAATACGGCGATGGAGGTGGAGGTCAGAGTGCGCAATGAGGATGTTGTCCAGGTACACCATGACGTTGCCAGAGAGGATGAGGTCCTGAAGGATGTCATTCATCATAGTCTGGAACGTTGCAGGGGAGTTGGTGAGGCCGAAATACATCACCAGTGGCTCGAAGAGCCCACGGTTGGTCCGAAACGCAGCCTTCCACTTGTCTCCTTCTCATATCCGTACGTTGTTGAAGCCCCATCAAACGTCAAGCTTGGTGAAGAAGCGGGCTCCCTTGAGCTTGTTGATGAGGTCGTTGATCAGGGGAAGGGGGTACCGGTTCTTCACTGTCATTGCATTCAGTGCCTGGTAGTCCTGGACAAACTGTAGACTGCCGTCCTTCTTCTTGACAAAGAAGATGGGGGAGGCCATGGGGGACTTTGAGGGTCGGATCCAGCTGGTGGCCATGCCTTCTTCAATGAAAGTGTTGAGCTGCTTCTGCTCCAAGGGGGAGATAGGGTAGACCTTGCAGTTTGTTGGCTTTGCATCGGGCACCAGTTCATGGTGTGATCCCAAGGGCAACGTTCTGGGAGGTTGTCGAAGGACTCTTTGCTGAAAACATCCTTGAACTTGGGTGCCCACTTGGGTATGGAATCCCGAGGGGGGGCAGAGTTCTTGGCAAACGCCTCGGCAAGATGCTGGGAGACGGTGCTAGTGGCTTGGATGTCTTCAGAAGGGCTGAAATGGGTGTATAAGATACGGTCACCAGTTTCCAGACAATCTTCTTTGTCGTCGGAATCTTCTCCATTGTCTTCCTGGAGCAACGGCATGGCCTTGTCTTTGCGGTCTTCCATATCAATGACGCAGATGGAGGGGGTAGGGCCTTGTCTGGCTGATTGGAGTGCTCGGGCCAAAATTCGGGCTATCCGTCTCTCTTGGCAAGACTCCTTGGTGCAGGTGGAGCAGCCAGATGGGCAGCAGCTTATCTTTACTTCCTGGGTGTCCCAATTGATTTCTGGGTTGTGCTTCCAAAGCCAGGAATAGCCAAGGATCAGCTTCTGCTTGCCAAGCTGAGTGACAGCGAGCTGGACCTGTTCGCTGTGTCCTTGGTAATGCAGGACCACATCAGCAACTTGTCGAATGGAGCCAGCTTTGTTTGGCGTGCCGTCCACATTGTAGACTGGGATAGGCTGGGAGAGCTGCCAGACCGGAAGTTGGTTTTTGGAGGCGTAGTGTCAGGGGACGCCGCGCTCCTTGGGCACGTGACCATGCACATGACCCACTGCGCCCTCTCTGCCGACCCGTGCCTGCTCACCTGTTGATCACCCAGCCTCCTCCTCCTCCTCCGATCCTCATCTCCATCCATGCCGACATCCGCCCTCTCCCTCCTTCCCCCGGCCATCTCCCTCGAATCCCCGCAAGCGGTCTAGCCAAGCCCGATTCCTTGCACCAGGGAGTGCTACTGCCGTACGCACTCCTCCCCCTTCACTTCGGCCTTCTCCCCGCAGATGTGGTCTACTGCCGTACAGGCTCGTACCAGATGCCCTTGCGCTCATCCGTACCACCCCTCTTCCCAGTCGGGCATTGGTCCTCGCCTCCGATGTCTCCGCTGGCCGGCCCGGCACTGGCCTGGCCACTGGGCTCCTCCAGTGTGGCCTTCCACTGTTGGTGTCTCAGGAGCTGGCCATCACTGGCCCCTCTGAGCCACTCACTATCTTATCTGGGTTTGTCATTATCTACTTGTCATCTGCCATTGTTCCATGGCAGTAATATCCCATCATCATCAGTCACTTGTCACAGCTGACTATATAGTGTGACACCTGGGCACATGGATCCTTGAACCGTTCTCTAAGGATCCCCCTCTGTGCTCAGGTGAGTAGTATACCTCCCTTGTATTTGATAGTCTCTAAGGATCCCCCTCTGTGCTCAGACTCATGTGAGGTTGTTGTGTGCTGTGTGCTCTCTTCCTTTGGGCTGGCAGGAGTTGCCCTTACACGTAGGTGGAGTCGATGAAGTCCGATGTGGCGCCGCAGTCGACCAGTCTGCTGAGAGTGAGCTGGACTGCGTTGTTGGTGGATTGGATCTCCAGGGGGAGGTGCAGGGAGTTGGCGCTGGGGGAGGCCGCGACTACATAGCGCTGAGGGAGTTTTCTTTCCCACTTTTCCTTGTGGACCAGTGGGGTCGAGCGGGGGGCAGGGGGTACGTCTATTGTTTTTTTTGTGGGGGAAATGAGATTGCATTCATCATACAGACATTCGAAACGATTACGCGAGGCAAACAAGGGTGTACTATTCACTCGTTGCGGGGGAGAAAACCCTGCTCCAACTCGTCGGCAAATTCCGCTTCACGCTCTTCTACAGCTGCCATAGTCGCTAGCCAGGCCACTAACTCCGCCAACAGGTCGCTTCCCAGCTGATTGATCACTTTGTCCAGGACGTCAGCATGCCGGACATTGGCGGGAGTCAGGCAGTCCCGGGCCAGGTGTCCTGGGTTGCTGCATCGGAAGCAGGTGCGACAAAAACTGCTGTGGGCTCTGGTTTGGTCGATCTCCATGGGAATGCCCGGCGGGAGGACTGCCGGGGCTGGTTGGGGAGCAGGAGGTGGGGCCACCACCGGAGGAGCCATGGGGCAAGGACGGGGAGCCGCAGGAGGCGGAGCGCGGGGTGGAGGGAACAACTGTCCTCGTGCAGCCTGGGCAGCCACCTCCGTGTTGTACTGTTGGAATGCACGGGTGCGCCACTCTGAATAGTTCGTGAGACTGGGTGGGTTGCCGGAGGTCGTGATTGCCTGGTTGATTCTGGGGTCCAGACCTGCCCGGTACTTGGTGACCTTGACCAGGTTGTCGGAGTACCCCGCCAAGTCAAGGAGGTTGTCGAACTCGTGTGACAATCAACCCAAAAACAAAGTCGAAAAGAGAAGTGAATTCAAAGACTGGAGAATACAACCAAGTAGCTACAGTATTTATACCCAAATCCAGTCTGAGTCATATCTACAACTAATGAGTCATAGGGCTATGTACCGCATGGAACACTGGTCATGGGTTGTAGTAGAACCTTCCGGAGCATATGTCGCGCAGCCTCGAATCGATAGAGATAACCCCTGGAACCCCTAGCCCGGACCGTCTGATGCCGTGATCCGTGATAAGGTAATCCGTGCCAAGATAAGATAAGATCGCCGATGATAAGATGAAAAAGAGTCGAATTATGACATTACCCCCTCTCTAGGGTCGATGTCCTCATCGACTAGGCCGATGGGCGGGAAGATGTTTTCGTAGGGATTGAAGAGTTGTCGCTGTGGATATGGAAGGCGCTCGTCTTTGGGTTTGTAGCGATGGATGAGATAATCCCAATGTCCGGCTTCGAGAGTTGGCAGGAGGCGAATGCGTGTGTCTGGGTTGGATTGTTTCCTCTGCCAATCTCTCAGGACCTTCTTCGCGTGGGTAAGGTGACGTGACGGTTCCCAGGTGTTCTCGCTGTGCGGCCATCCCTTCCATTTGACCAAGTACTGTTTTCCTCGGCCGACGTTTTGCTCTTTCACGATTTCTTTGACTTCCCACTCTTCTGCTCCTCCGATCATCTTGGCTACAGGCCTCTTCTCTCGGCGATGGGGGGGTGGTTCGTGATAGGGTGTCAACAGTGACTCGTTGAACACCGGATGTCTTCGGTCCGTGTCCGGCAAGTCCAGCTTCCATGCAGCCGCTCCAACCTTCTCCAGTATCTCGTATGGTCCCAATCTCTTGTCGCTCATCTTCTTTGATGGTCGATCCGTCTCGATATTTTCCCCTTCTATGTACACCTTCATCCCAACCTTCAACTCCGGAACTTCTTTTCTTTGTTTATCGTAGTATTTTTTCATTTTTTCATTTGCTTTTTCTAGTGCTGCTTTTGCTTCGTCTTGTATTTCTTTGATTCTTTTTACAAATTTCTCCGCCGACTCGTTTCTCGACTCCATCCGTTGCTCCACTCCCTTCCACGGGTGATATCCGTGATTCGCATAGAATGGCGATATTTTGGTAGACGTGTTCATCTTGTCATTGTATGCGAACTCCGCCATTCCCAGCCACTCCGACCAGTCCGTCTGATGGTAATTGACGTAGATGCGGAGATAATGCTCGATCTCCTGATTCATGCGTTCTATCTACCCATCCGTGATCGGGTGATATGCGGTCCCCGGGTTCATTTCCACGCCCAACATCCGATTCGTCTCCCTCATGAAGCCCTTGATGTAACGCGAATCCCTGTCGGTGATGATCTTGCGAGGAATCCCGTGGTAGCGGAAGACTCGGTCCCTGGTTAATCGTGCCACTCCTTCGCTGCTGATGTCAGTACTAATTGGTTCGACATGGATCATTTTGGTGAAGGTATCACACCACACATGAATTGCATCATACCCGTTACTGACTGGCAAGGGTCCGATCTGATCCATGGAGATGATTTCCCATGGCGCGTTTGGAACTGCATGCGGGTGCAAACTCCCTGTCCTGGCTCTTCTGGTCTTGGTACGCTGGCACGCCTCGCACGTCTGGATGTATTTCCGAATTTGGTTTCCCATCCTTGGCCACCAGTGGTTCCTTTCCACCATCTCCTGCGTTCGGTTGATCCCAGCGTGTCCGACCAAAGGGGTGTCGTGGTGTAGTCCGATGATCTTGTCCCGCAACTCCTCGTCCCTTGGTACATAGAGCTTTCCATGATACGTGATAAGCCCCTCTTCCTTCTTCCATCCGACGAGGGACTTCTCTAAGGCCGCCTTGACGCTTCCATCAATTGATCGAATGGCCTTGATTTCATCGTTTAGCTGCTGATCCTGTCCCTCGAATGTGACTTCTTGTGATCGGAAGAACTTGGGCTTCAGTAGCGTCACGTGCTTGTTGTCGTTCTTGCCCTGATCGTGATCTGCTCGTCGAGACAGGAGATCCGCCTTGCGGTTGAGTGCGCTGGGCCGGTGTCGTAAGGTGAAATCAAACTCCGCCAACTCCGTGATCCATCGTGCTTGCCGTCGATTGAGCTTCTGCGGCTTCCGAAAGTACTCGAGATTCTGATGATTGGTGAAGATCTCAAACGTTTCCGTGGCTCCCAGGAGCAGCTGCCTCCATTCGTCGAGCAATAACATGATTGCAAGCATTTCCTTGTCGTAGATCTCATAATTTCGCTTGGTTTCGGTCAATGCGTGCGAAATAAATGCGATTGGGTGCCAAATGCCGTCTTGGTTTTGGCTCAAAACAGATCCTGTTGCCCCTTCTGAAGCATCGGCTTCCAGACGATATTGGCCAGTGTCATTTGGCAGTGCTAAGACCGCATCCTCTGCGATTCTCTTCTTCAACCCATCAAATGCTGCATGCTCATCCATACCCCATGACCATCCTGCCTTCCCTGTCAGCCGTGTCAATGGCTTGGCGACCTCCGCGTATCCCCGGACAAAGCGCCGATAGAAGTTTGTGAATCCGAGGAAAGCTTGGACCTGTTTGACACTCTTTGGTTCGGGCCATTCCATCACGCCCTTGATCTTGACTGGGTCCATCCGCATCGAATTGTGTCCAATAATTACACCCAAATATTCGATTTCCGTGCATTCGAACTCGCACTTTTCGGGCTTCAGGTATAGCTTGTGTTTCTGGAGCAATTCGAGCACTCGTTTCGTGATCCGCCGATGTTTGTCCAAGTTTTCTGTGAAGATCAGTATATCATCCAGATAGACTACCACGTGACCCTCGTTGATCAACTCTCGGAGTATGTCGTTCATCATGTTTTGGAATGTTGCCGGGGAATTTGTGAGACCAAAGAACATTACTAAGGGCTTGTACAGCCCTCGGTTCGTGCGGAATGCAGCCTTCCACTCGTCGCCCTCTTTGATCCGTACATTGTTATATCCCCACCGGATGTCAAGTTTTGTGAAGAACTTGGCGCCACATAGATTATGGACTAGTTCGGATATCAGCGGCAGCGGGTATCGATTCCGAATCGTCATCTCATTCAGCTTCCGATAGTCTTGGACGGGGCGTAGGGAGCCATCCTTCTTTTTGACAAAGAAGAATGCTGATGCCATGGGTGATTTTGATGGCCTGATCCGTCCACTGGCCAAGTTCTCTTGTAAGAATTCGTCGAGTTTGACTTGTTCATTGCGTGATAACGGGTACACCTTGCAGTCCACTGCCTTGGAACCAGGTTTGAGCTCGATTGCGTGATCCCATGCCCGTCGGTCTGGTAGCGAGTCAAACGATTCCTTGGCGAATACTTTGACAAATTCCCGATATTGATCCGGAATCTTCCCCTCGGTCATCCTCTCCTTCTCTTTCTCCGCTTCTTCTGCGAATTTCTGCGCCGGCGTTTCCTTCAGCCGCAGATCCACTTCCTTCCCAAAATCGACCAACAGGATCGATCCTCCCTCTTCCAGATCCGGTGTGCCCGTGTCCAGGTCGATTGCATCCATGTCAATCATTGCTTGATGTTCCTCGTGACCCCTCATGTGACACTGCTCTGGGCATCGACTGAATCTCATGGTCTGCTCCTGCCAATCCACCTTGGGGTTGTGTTCCGTCAGCCAATCAAGACCAATGAAGATCCGAGCTTTCCCTAAACACGTCAGAAGGAACGTGCGTGTCTCCACGTGAGGGCCAATTCTCATCCTTAGGTCAACGTAATGCGTGATCCGACCGCTGATGTTCTCGGTGTTGTTGGCGTTACGGGCCACAATGGGTTGTGGAAGCTCTTGAATATCCAACTTCTCCGCCCGTGCGTAGTCGGTATCGATGCAACAGGTACTGCAGCCGCTATCGAGCAGCGCCTTGACTCCGCGCGTTTTCCCTGAGTCCAGACCCGTGATCTGGACATATACGTCCATCGAATGTCTCTTCCTTTCGGCCTGGTAGTCGCGCAATTCCTGCGCCAGTCTGCCGGGCTGCGGGCCCTTCTGTCTCTCAGCCGCCAATTTCCTTTGAACGGCATCTGGCACCCTCGTTCGTTTGGGTATTTCTGGAACCCTTATTTCGGCGGATTCCTTGGGCGCTTCCTCCTTTTTCAAGGATTGAGCCTCCGGAGCAATGCTCCCCTTTTCGGTCTTTGTTGACGTGGTTCCTTCTCCACGAGCCATAAATACGTAGGAGTCCAAAATTAATTTATCTGCAGCCTTCTGATCCTTTTTACTTTGTAAATACTCTCTATTTAAAGCTATTTTCCTTTGTCGTTCTTTTTCCATATCAGCGACGAGAAAATCATGAATATTAGTACGTAGGGAGTCTGAGATCGTGTATGTATGAGGAGAATCGTTCATATCTTTAATTGAAACAAGTACAGAAAAACGTCCATAGTCCGGACGCTCCACCTCCTTGGCTAGAGGAGTGGAGCGTTTCAAAAACCCTTCTCGCGCAGCTTCTCGGCGATCTCCTTGAGGAACTCGTTGTCCTTGTCCCCGTTCTCGATCTCTTCAAGCATCGTGGCCCGATTGAAGAATGTGCGCTTCTTTCTTGGTTCCGGACAGTTCCGCGCAATGTGCCCAGGCTGCTGACAGTTGTAGCAGATGATATTGCGGCCGCGGGCGTGGGTACGATCGATTTCCATCGGAACCGGTTCGTTGGCAGCGGGTCGGGCCGGAGCGGGTGTGGGCGCCACTGGTGCCGCTTGGGGACGGAACTGGGGAGGTGGTCGTTGTGTGGGGTGCCCATACAACGCTTTGCGCAGCTGGTCACGCAGAGCATTGGCTTCGATGTTGATGCACCAGGCTTTGAACACTCCATAGGCCTTGGGCAGAGGGACACCGGTGTTGTAGAGACGGCTGGCGATCTCGCTGCTGAGTCCGCGCTCCAGGAACTCGATGAGGATATTATCCTGGTCCCCCTTCTTGTATTCGCCTTTGTCGTCGGTGGTGTCGACCACATTGTAGCCTGCATCCGCGGCCAACATCTCAAAGTCGGAGATGTAGTCCGCGAAGGACCGTTTGTTTTGGCGCAGGGCCATAAGCCAGGCAGCGGCGACTTGTTCCGCATTGGAGTCGCCGAACGCCCTCTGAAGCTCCTCCAGGAAGTTCTTTGATGTGACTCCTGCCTTCAGTCCCTGGAAGCCATCGAAGTTGTGCTGCTTCCAGTTCATCGCCCATCTCGAGGCAGCGCAGCTTGTGCCGTTCTTGTTACAGAGGTAGGAGAGGACAAAGAGGATTTTGGTCTCATCCTGCGAGAACTCCGATTGATAGGCACCGATGTAAGTGGTGCACGCGTCCACAAAGCCCAGGTATTTGGACTTGTCGCCATCGAAGTAGGGGGGGTTGGCGGCGAGGGTGATGCGGTGATGCCCTGACATGGTAGGGGCAGGCGTGTGAGGTGGGGGCGAGGGTGGTTGTTCGGAGGGCAGTTCGTCGAGGTCGGGGATCTCGTCTTCAGGCGGTGGGAGGGCGAGGTAGGGGTTGGAGGGCCCGGGTTGGGTTTGATGCGCCAGATCGGGCGACGATGGTACGATGGGGGGAGGGGACGGACTCCCAGACGACGATGGGAATCGGTACGAAATGGTGGAATCGTGTGCTGTACAAGCACTCGAGGGAGGGTTCTTTTGCTAGCAAAAAGATCCCGGGCCTAGCTCTTCACGTGCCCGATGATCCCAAGGTGCGTTTTCCCGAAGGTCTCCGCAGCACTCCTTGTAGCTACCGTAAGGCTTGGGTCGGGCTCAACGTTACCCGTGGCCTGGTGCTGTTTGCTTGATATGAACCCTTCACTGCGATAGTGGAGGACGACTAGATGATTCGGTAAAAGGGTGAGTGGGGTGATAAGGGTTAAGAGGATATAGCGGGTGTAGCGGTGTAGGATGCAGGGTAAGAGGTATGAGGTAGGAGGGTATGAGGGGAGTCTTTGAATTATGTGACAATCAACCCAAAAACAAAGTCGAAAAGAGAAGTGAATTCGAAGACTGGAGAATACAACCAAGTAGCTACAGTATTTATACCCAAATCCAGTCTGAGTCATATCTACAACTAATGAGTCATAGGGCTATGTACCGCATGGAACACTGGTCATGGGTTGTAGTAGAACCTTCCGGAGCATATGTCGCGCAGCCTCGAATCGATAGAGATAACCCCTGGAACCCCTAGCCCGGACCGTCTGATGCCGTGATCCGTGATAAGGTAAGTCGTGCCAAGATAAGATAAGATCGCCGATGATAAGATGAAAAAGAGTCGAATTATGACAACTCGTCCGTGTATTTGAACATGTTGCGGGATCCCATGTAGTAAGCGTGGGTTTCCAGTCATGCCAGGGCGTGGTCCTGCTCATTTTCCTTGACGAACCGGAGCTTGAACGTGGAAGGCCTCAGGGAGGAGGCGCCAGTACTGCTTGACAGAATGGAGAAACATCTTGCCCTGGGTGCGATCACCATTGAACGCGAATGGGGGGTTGGGGCAGATGAGGGGTCTCGTGCTGGCCTGTTGGCCAGTAGATACACCTGGACCCACTGCCGGAGACAGAGCAGGGGCAGGGGCAGGGGCAGGCTGCTGCTGTGTAATTATGAGATTGTGGAGGAGACCTTCCATCCGTTGCATGGCTTCCTCCGGATTTGCAAGCCTCTGTTGGGGGTGGGAGGGGTCGTCCTCTTCTTCCATTTGGGACATGACAATCGTAGAGGGGGAGGAGGGGACAAGGTTGGAAGTGAGAAGCGGATGACGCTGTCGGCGGTCTTCACAAGCTTGTCCAGTTATCCCTATGAACTCGGTTTCTGCTGTAAGGGCAACCTCGAGGCCTGATCTCAGAGTCCTAACAAGGGAGAGTCCAAAGAGAAACCAAGTTGGGGACTCTCCTTGTCAGGGCCCACTATATATAGCCTACAGAACAATGGATGACCAAGCACAATGGAAGCGCCAGACAATGGGGGCAGGGAACAATGAGGGGCCGGATCGGGGAGAACAATGGGAGCCAGACCGGCGGAACAATGGGAGTCCGGGCCGGAGTGTCATGTGGACGCGCTTGGCCGGGGAGTCCAGACCAAAGCATGTGATGCCTGACAGATGGCACGTGCACGGTCACATGCAAGATCCCATGATGATCGGACGAAAGCAGGGGTTCCCCTGACACTAATCTTGACTACTCTAATCTTAGCATGATTGTCCTGGATGTAACTCTGAAGTTTGTGCGCAATCCACAGGCAATGTCTTGCAGAGTCCATTTCAAGCACAAATTGAAACTGTTTTGATTGTTTATTTACTTTATGTTTACCGTTTGAGGACTCCCACAAATTAAACAGAAACAAAAACAGTCATAACTGTTTAAAATATTTATAAACAGAAACAGTTGGAGCCTTAGTCATGAGAAGGGGAAGATAAGATAATGCAATGGCATTGAAGCCATGACATGGGTTTATAGAGCTCTGCACAAAAACTCTATTATGCAAACACTCTATTGTACACATCCTTGAGCAAACACAGGGTTGAAGCAAGTGGAAGTGGGCAAAAAAGAGGATGAGTCAAGATGATGACATGAACAACATAAATACATTGACCTCAGCAATGGCCGACATTTCGGCTGAAGGACAACGGTTACGTGAGTACAGGCAGGAAATCGAGACACCTTCTCATCTCATTCTCACTCACGTGATCAGGAATGATATCATCGAGTCCCATCTACAACCTCGGATCAGGATTCAGGAAGCGATCTATAGTAGTTGCTGTGTATGATAGTCCTATCCTCACTCGCATACAATCGCATGCTTGCTCCGAGCGCGAATCGCCCTTCCAGATCTCATCAATACAAAGGGAATCGGCGCCAACAGGACCGCAATGCCGCCAAGGAGCGATGTTGCACCCTGGACTGTGAGGTTGTGGTACATCTGGAGGGAGAACAACGGGAAGACGCTGGCAACGAGCGCGCGACTGGCCATTCCCGCGGCAAGTGCCGAGGCGGCGGTCATCTGGTAGCAGTCAATCATGTAGGGGATCTACGAGAGCGTCAGCGTAGGAAGGCTGAACGCAGCAAGCGTAGCGCACAAAACCGTTGAAGATGAGAATCGTGCTCCAGGCGAAAATGAACTCTGCGATGCAACAGGCGACCCAATGGACATGAGGATAGGGAGCCGTCCATGCAAAGATGAACAACGATCTGGGTGGACACCGGAGTCACTAGGGGTTGCAATAGGTTCTAAGCACACTCACATGGGAGATGCGACTGCGCCCCAGCAAGTCAACGTCAAGCGTGCTTCTGGTTCTGTCGGCAGGCCCTTTGCGGCAGCCTTCTTGGCCGCCTTGTGATAGTCGTATTCTCGGACAGGTTCAGTCATCTCATCTAAGACGGAAGATACTCGATGCTAACTCACGTCCGACAGTGGCAAGAAGAATGGCCGAGACGACGAAGCCTAGTCCGAGGGAAATGTAGGTCAAGCCATAGGAAGTGGTCTTGAATCCTCGGATCTCGACATAAACGACACTGAATGCTTCAAAGAAGCCGTACAGAATTCCGTAGAGCACGCTGAGATACAACGAGATGACCCCGACGATCGGTTCTGTTGCTGGGCATTAACACCAACATCCTGCAAGAGGGAGAGAAGATGGGTCGCTTGCCTGTCACAAGGTAGAGCACAGGTCGTGCCAAGGCAACTTTGTAGGTGGCAACAATCTTGGCAACAGTCAGCGACGGTGTCTCCTGCCCTTGCCGCCTCAGTTTCCACTTCAATAAAGTGGGACCATGGGTCTCAGGCACTAGCGCGACCAGCAGGCCTATGAAAGTCCCAAAGATCGCAATAACACGCAGGTTCCAGCTGCGAACCAGCTCAGAAAACATGTCTGACCAGTGCTTTTCAAAACGTACTGGTAATTCGCATCACGCTGGATGAAGTTCGCGACAAGAGGCCCAAGGCAGGGCCCGCCGAAAGCCATTAGGCCATCTGAGATGTTTATGAGATACTGTGGATTTGTCTACCACGAAGCACGCACAAAGGGCCGCATACGCCCCGCGATTCGATGGAGATGTCCAGTCCCCAATGGATGCCGGTGCATTATTGATGGACGCCGAGCCGAAGAATCCAGATAGAAACCGAAAGATCAAGAGACCCGCTGCGCTCGGTGCGAAGGCGGCACCGAACAAGAACGCTGCAGCAAGATCATGATTAGTGGAGAGAACTTGGTGGGGAGAGGCGGAACTAGTATTCACCGCTGTAGAACACTGCGGTGAATCGGTACACTGCCTGCCTCCCATATAGCTCCGACGCAGGGCCGAAAATGAGCGGCCCGGCTGCAAATCCAAGACTGGAATGTGCGTCAGTTGGGACAGATGCTGGTAGACAATGCTTACACTGTGAGGCTTACGCCCAGGAGAGCAACTGCGTAGACTGATTCGAGCTCAAGGACTGGACACAGAGTTTGACTCACCTTCCTCTGAGATCCCGAACCGCTTCATAAGTGAAGGAATGCTGGCAACCTATGCCAAAATATCAGTACGAAGGCCAGGATCAGCGCTGCTCCTCACATATGCCGTCGACGAATATGTGAGCGTAAGCACCCATAGGCAGATGACAAGAGTGGCTGTCTAGTAGCCCGAAAGTCAATTGAACATGGAACGACCCAAATCAGCCCTTGCATACCACTTTGGAAGCAGTGCTCCAGTTGCGCGGATCTAGAACCGATTCGAATCTGATTAGATAGCCCGTCCGGTGAGATCTCCGACGCACTTTCTGGATCGTCTGCAGCCAGCGTCTCAGGCATAGGTGCCGGTGTTTCCTGCGCGTCAGATTTTTCTCCCACCCTGTCTTTACCGTCCTTGAAACGCGCCTCCAAATCGAGATCTCCCGCGAGGTTCGTCGTCGTTTCCGACGCACTGGAGGTGGATGCTGGCCTCTCTGCAGCAGCAGCGAGAGAGGACATCGTGGGGCAGAGTAAGATCACTTGAAAGCCAAATCCGCGGGCTTATTGTACATGACACCTGGGCCGAGGCATGCCCGAACCCGTGAATAATATTGGACTGACTTGTTCTCAAATATCCGCCACGGCTGGTTCCTATGGCGTAGTAGTCGCATTTTGATCCTGTGGAGCCGCACGGAGTAAACCTTTGTGGGCGCCTGCTTGTACACGAGTGAGGCTTCCTCCATAGCGCGGTCGGGCGACCTGCCGCAACGCGATTTCGACGACTTGGTGACTGATGAGGAAGCTAAACGACACTGCCACGTAGACTAATCATCTCAAATTAATGAATATCAGACGGCCTTTACACGAATTCCGAGATGAGTTACATGTCAGACAGCAAAGAATTGAATGTGCTGCGAGACAAACAGCACTATTTGAGCATTGTGGATATTGACAAGGCCAGGCTGCCCGACTCGTTGTCGACAAAAACCGCCTCCTTTCGATATGGGAGCAGGACAATAATGGGGATACTTCTTATCCAGATTACAGCTCGTCGTGGGATAATGGTATCTGCTCATCTTGAGCAGGTGGCTCTACTATAGGTGTCTCCTCTGCCGGTGGCACCGCTGCCGTCGGCTCTTCTGCGGCGCTCGCACTCTCCGTCTCGCTTGCAGTAAAAGTGGTGTTGATCGTCGTCTTCTTCGGGATCTTCGGTGCTTTGCGCTTGTACAACTTTTGCAGGGCGGTCTCCAGCACCTTGGCCCGCGCCTTCATCTCCGTCGTCTCGATCACAGGGTCCTCGTACGACTTGACTTCGCGCTGCTTCTCGACCCACTCCCCGAGCCACGCCTCGTGCTCCTTCAGTGTCTTCTCCAGCCCGTCCAGCTCATCTTTCGTCCACTTCGACGGCAATCCCGCCTCGGCTTCGGCCGTCAGGTTCTCCCGCGCGTCGAGCAGGAACAGCCGTGTGCTCCAGTTCCACATCTGGCTGCTGTTCAGCGCTTGCGGGAACGCCTCGATCTCCTTGTATCGGTGGATGATAGGGCGCTCGAGAGCTCTGCAGATCCAGTCAGCACACATCTGCAATGATACAGAGGGACAACGCACTCCAGGGCTATCCGCTGGTCAAGGAGCTGTGACGTCTCAGCCACATCGCCATGCTCATGCAGCCATTCGAACGCCAGGTCCAGCTGGCGCGTGATCTCGGCACGCTCCGACTCCTGCGAACACTGCTTGAAAGGCGTGTCCTTGTTGTCCGGCTCCAGCAGATCCCGCAGACGATACAGATAGCCTTCAAATGTGTTCCGGGCCTCCTCCTTGCGCGCAACGGCAGCCTCGTCCACGTCGATCGCACGCAGTCTACTACGCGCGTTCTTCTTGCGCTCGACCGTCATTGGCGGGATGCTCGGGAACACGACACTCGTGTTGAGGCTGATCGTCTGTTCTGTCGGCACCACTTTCTTGGGTGTCTCCGTCTCAGCCGGGGCAGCGCTGCTCGTCGAGGTATCGCGCGGAGGCGTGTTCCCTTCGGTGGACGTGTCCGTTTCAGAGGATGAACTTGCACCGCCAAAGAAGCCTTTGAGCTTGCCAGCGATCGAATCATCTTTGATCTCTCCGAACGCATGGGCGCTCGACACAGAGATAAATCCAGACTCAGACAATGCCAGAGTGGCCTTGACGACAGGATCGACGGCACCCAGCTCAGTCAGATTGGCGATAGCTTCAGAAACACCTTTCAGCTCCACCTCCAGGAAACGGGTCGGGAGACCCCTGCGAAACGTGAAAATACAATTCAACACGCAACAAAGGACACGCACCCAGCGACAGCGTGCTTGTAGTCGAAGTTGATCACAAAGTCCTCCTTGCGCTTGAACGTCAGCGTCTTCTTCGTGCCCACTTTGGAACCGGCGGGGAAGATGCCAGTAGTGATCGTCCGCGGGGTCGAGGCAGTGGCAAGGTACGACGCCTGCACGTCGAAGATGCTGATATCGTTGACCTTAATGTTCTTGGTCTTGAACTGTCGGCTCAGGCTGGCACCATGAAGCGCTGCACCCAATACAGCAGCCTCGTCAGCATTCACGTTCAACGCAATCTTGTCCCTGTGGAAATAGTCAGCATATGCATGCATCGACTGAGCAACGCAATACGACGCACTCTCCAACAGCAGCTTTGACTGCGGCCTGGATCATGGGCGTCCTCGTGCTGCCGCCAGTAAGGATGACAGACGTGATGTTTTCCTACCGTATGTCAGTCCAGAAAACGAGAAGTACAAAGCGGGAGCAATTACCAGAGTCAGTCCAGCGTTCTTTAGCGCGTCCGCGATGGGGACCGCAAAGACACCTTTAAGATCTTCGCATGCCTCCTCGAACTGCGCGCGAGAGACCTTGGTCTTGAAGTCGATGTCCCACGCCAGGCTCTCGATCTGCAACCCCATCAGTAAACAATAACGCACAAGAGTAACGAAACGCACGGTCGAGGTGGCCTCGGTGTTAGCGCTCAAGATAGACTTGACACGACCAGCTTCCTTCCAGAGCTTGGCCATGCCGCGCTTGTCGGTCCGCACGTCCTTCTTCGTCTTGGCGTTGAACGTCTCGATGAGGATCTCCCGCAGACGGCGGTCGAGCTCTGCTCCGCCAGTAGACAGATCGTAGCCCACGCCGCCCACAGTGATCTGCGTCCCCGCAGTGCTGTTGACGGTGGAGAACGTGACCAGGGTAGCACGGATCCCGGAAGCGCCGGCATCGTAGATGATGTGCGTTTCGGGGGTTGGGAACGTGCGCGTCATAGCGTAGTTCACGGCCACCGCCGTGCCGTCGTTGATCAGCGCCAGCGTGCGCAGACCCGAGACCTCGATGGCGTCGACGACCGCGTCGCGCTGGTACTGCGAGAAGTACGGCGGGACGGTGACGATCACGTCGCTGACTTTATCCCCCGTGAAAGTCTCTGCGAGTTGCTTCACGTATGCGAACTGCATCCCCACGAGCTCCTCAACGGACCACTCGTTGCCGTCCGACTGCCTGAACCCGACGGTCCCCCGAGATGTCTTGAGCACCTCCGTCGTCGATATCGACTCATAGAAGGCCACCGCAGCGCTGTCGAACGGGACCCCCTGGAGAGGTTTTATCAGAGAGAACGAGTCGAGGGGGAACCGCGACGCCTGGCGGGGGTGCGTCAGTCAGTCCGATCGTGGGCAGGGACAACGGGCGGACGCACGAGATTGAACGCATCTCCCCCGAACAGTCGAGTGTCTTTCTTCCACCCCACGGAGGCTTGTATTTTCCGTTTGGAGTCCTTGTTTAGCAGCACGTCGAACGGGATGCCAGGGCTCATCACCGACGCCTTCATCCAGTCCGTGCCATAGTCTATAGCGAGCACGGAGGCGTGTACGGTGTGCGGGAGGAGAGAAAGAAGGGAGGCGGCACTGGCCAGTGATAGTATACGCATGGTGGAGGAGAAAGGATTATGGGGGATCTACTTATTGCACGAGGTGCTGAGGCATAAGAGAGTTTTTGGCAAGTTTGGTACGTGGCATCAACGCACAGCCACACGAGGGATTGTGAGAATTGACTAAGCACTTGCTTTTCCCAATGGGCTGATTCGACACCGGTGCGTGGGAGCTTTGAAAACATAGCAGGCTTGGATGAATTGGCTGAAGAGAGGTGCCGTTGCAGAAATGCGGCGCGTAATGCACGACCTCCAAACTCAGCGAGCCACGTTGACACTAAAACGCGATCACATGATTGTATGGTAGGCGTGATCAATGATAGCCGAAGACGGGTTGGCCTTGACTGGGAATCCACCACTCAGTTCTCGCTCACTTGCACCCAAAATTTCATTATCTTCCCAGTATTCACACCAGCCATGTAGAGTTCCATGCGACATCCAAGGCTGCGTCCCAATTATCAAATCTTATGAAACACTGAGCCAGCTTCACCCTTAGATGATCATTATTCAGTCTTGTCGACGCGTTTCTTGACTGCGCCCATGTATACTTGAGTTAGAGTCGTTGCACGAGATGAGGGGTTGAAGCTGTCGCCCAGACTCAGTTTATCAAGATTCTCGTAGGTTTCAACATCCTCCTCTGTTAGCGAGCTGAGCCTCGAGGAAGACGGGCGGATTGAAGGAAAGCTACAGGCCGGAGTCTCGGAGACCTTGGGAGATAGTTGTGCAAAGACTTCAAGGGTCGCTTGGCTGCGCTGTCCGGGCCAGCCAGGATGGCTCAAACCTGAGCCGTGAGAAACGAGAAGCGACCGACTGATTCGACTCGAGCGAGGCGCGTGCGTCAAATGCGCTCACTCTTTTCTTCTTCGTTCAATATAGCAAACTCTTTCGCCGACTAGATCGTCATCAGGATGGGGTCATCAGCTCGGGCCCCGTGCAGACAAGAGGAAGACAGACTTCCTGACCACTGCCGGTAACGACAAGTATGGCCAACATTCGACTGGACGAACTGGGGTGATTTCAAGGAACCACCGAGCTCGCCCATGTAGATTTCCACCACGGCCGCGAGCTATGTCTTAATTCAGATCTCCCTGCACGTGGAAACCAGACGCGGTCTTCATAGCATTATTATGTCTCTCCCATCTGTGAATGTTCAGCGTTATCGCAGACTCGGGAATCTGCAAATGAGTGGCTTGATTCGATCTCGTCTGTGTCCTACCTGGATGGCGAGACCTGCCGGAGCCTGGCATCCATGGGATATCCTGAATGAGCCGTGGGGGAGTCCGCACCTTGCTTAGACTCCCATCGGGGTTTCGCAATCCGTTTATCAATTTCTTGAAACTCATAGAACAACAGTTCAGACGAATCATGCGAGCGCCGCAGCACTGTCTAGAAATGTCGTTGTTCTCATCCGTAGCGTCCGTGATAACACTACCTTTGGGGATATCATGGCCGCATTCGCAGATCGCTGTGCCCGAGAAAGGCCTCCGGCGACGGGACGGATAGGAGGCAGTTGGCCGCGAGTAAGTGGCTTTATTGACTAATTTTCGAGAGGAGGGGACATCCGGGCAAGACATACATCGCGCACAAGAAGATGGACGCGGACAAACACCAAGGGCATCCGACCCTGTCGCTCTCTATACGCGGTGTGTGTGCAGGGCCTTGACCAGATGTAGATCATCCTACCCAAGCATATTCCATTGGGCGCGGCTAGCGACAAACTTCAGTTCTGCATCGCACAGAAGTACGCCGATTCGTCGTTTTTAAACGTCCATTCGTAGGTAGGTAATTGACAGACACTTATGAGTACAATATCATTAACAAATCATGCGCGCATCTCCCTAGTCATTGCCATGTTTTCCATGACTTTCCTTGTCGTGATCAGTAGTTGCCCCCGTACGTCGTCCTCGTCGAAGATCGGCGACGCGCAGTAACACATCTGCATAAGAGTTAGAGCTTTTTCGAAGCGAACAGTCAGGCCAGACTCACGCAAAGCAGGTCGTGATGGACGCCAGCAGCAGCACAATCGTGGCCGCAAGCACCATCCAGATCGCGTTCTCGAACGAAGCTTGGCCACCGTTGCTGTTAACATGGTGCCTGACGATCTGCAACGTCGTCAGCCAAAGCAGCGGTATCCAGCCAAGTGGCGCACCCCAAAGATGACCCAATCGACGATCATCGCAGCCAGCGACACGATGAACGCGATGAACGCGACGAACGCGGCGACGATATACCCAAGGCGGTGCGAGCAGAGCGCCAGCAAGAACGCAATGCCAGCAATGCCAGCGGCAATGGGATGCAGAATGAGCGCCTGCGTCGCACCGTGCAGTGTAGACGCCTGGCCCCCGCTTAACGGGCTAATGCCCAACGCCGAGATTTCGTTCGCTACGGCGCGCTGTCAGGTCAAGCACAAGAACGATGACCGTGCGCACGTACCAATGCGGTACCCGATCTGCGCTGCGGTGCAACTCTTTCCGCCCCGTCCGTCCAGCACGCAGAACCCAAACGTGCCAAAGCGGATAGACGCCCCTGCCGCGTCCGTCAAATTACAGCCAGACTCGTCGAGAACGCACGCACCATTATTGGCAGAAGCACTGAGGAAGTCGATCTGGCTGAAGGTCGGTGCGGATATGCTCGCCACGATGAGCAGCGCCATCGCAGAGAAGATCAAGAATGTCCCGATATGCAGCGAAAACATCGTGAGCAGTGGGTGGGTTGGTGATACAAAGGCAGAGCCAACAGGTGTCGGGGATGTCTTAGACTGAGTCCCGGAGGTACCACGGGCATACTTTATACATAACGGAGCTGCGCATGGCTGTGGTCATCATCGGTAGTTCAGAAGTGGAGCCGCAGAGACTAGGGGAGCCGGATGACGTATTTACTGATGAGACAAGCATGGGCAAGTTTCGCCACAGCCACACGTCAATTTATCTTGATGTACGACCCCCTGAGCCATGCCTGCGCGAGATGGATCGCGCCGTTAGATTATTTATGGCATTTAATGCTAGCAGTTTCATCTCAAGGCGTCTCATTAAAGTTCCCGGAGACGGAGGTCTACGGAGCGGAGGCGCTGACGTCAACTGATGATTGTCTCCCACGCGAGAAATGATCGCTTCCATTGCATTTTCCGGGAATCCAGAGACCGACTGTCGGTCAGGCCCGATGAGAGGAAATACGCGGTTTTCAGATGAGGCACATGTATTTGCACATGCATGAATCCCGATGCAGTAGAAATGACGAGCACGTGCAGACTTTTGTACGAAACGCGCCCCGTGTCAATCGAAGTGGATGGAGGCAATGACTTTCAGGCGGAACGTAGACCAGACACACAGATAGTAATACTTAAGAACCACAGATTCAAAAAGACCCCGTTCAAGCAGGCACTGAACTGCACGGAGGAGAGTTCACAACATTGCGGACCCCAATCAGCTCACAAAACTTGACCGTCTGCGCGTTGGTGTACCACGCCGCTAGAAGCCAATCAGTCACCAACCACACGTCGCGCAGAAGCGGGATCACACTCACGCTGGGACCTCCGCCCGCCCATCTGCTCCTCCATCCCGGGGCCCGGAGCCGTCATCGCGAACTCCTGCACCGACCCCACCTCCAAGTCGTCGATGCTCAGCCCAGGCTCGCGCGCAGCCAGCTCCGCGACGATCGCCGCGCGCGCCTCCTCCACCTGCTTCCGAGCGAGTTCCTCCGAGGGAAAACCGGGCTGCTGGCGGTCCAGCGAAAGAAGCGGGTGGAAGGCGCGCGAGATCGCTAGCCACTCAGGGTCGAACGTTAGCCTCGGCGGGCCGGGGCCCTGGAGCGTGTCCTCGATTTTCACAACTTCGAGGAACTTGCGCTTCGCTCCGCATTTGTCGAGCGCAAGGAAGCGGGTGACGCGTGGGGGAGGTGGTATCGGTTGGGCCTCTGATGGTTCTCCAGGTGGGGGATCCGCAGCCGGTAAAGGATCTATTTCGTCTTCGTCTTCGTCATCCTCAATCACGATCTCGTTCGGGTCGCGCTCGACCGGCTGTGTCGGTTTCCCACCGTGATGCACTGTCGCCTCGAAGCGCGTGTGCAGGTGAGCGGAGAACCACCATCGAGGCTGCAATGTGCCGAGCAAATGCCTGAGCGGCGGCGATCCCAGTCTCCCCGTCTTGATGTCCTCTGCAAAGAATGACTTGTCCCGGAGAAGCCGCTGCAGGTCCCCGTGGTCGGTTATGGACTGCGGCCAGTCGTGTGACAGGACGACGTCCGGGTGGGGAGACAGCTACTTGACACGATCTGTGAGCGGGGCCTAAGGGGACACGAAAGACACACCAGAGAGAGTTTTCGGATGGCGTATTCTCGAGTGTGGTATACACTCCGGATCGAACTCCGGTCGTAGGGCACAGTCTCGTAGTGACCTGAAGAGGCATGAGACGAAACGCGTCGGCCAAGATCAACGATCAGCGCACCCTGCTTGAACGATCCCCGGTTGAAGATTCCCGACGCGCCAGCGATCCGCAACCCGTTCACCCGAACACAGCCAGCCTCTCCAAGATAATACATATTCGGCGCCAACCACCCGCCATGGTACAGCTCCCACATGTAGTTTGACGCCTCGTGGTTCCCTCCGATGACGAGCGTCAGAATTGGCGCTTGCCGCTCCCCGATGTAGTACTGGTGGAACTCGCCAAGCGCCTTGTACTTGTCGGGGACCGCCATACACTGCAAATCCTGGTGATTGCGGATGGCCTGGAAGTCGCCACAGATGAGCAGCACGTCGACTTTGTAGGCATTGGTCGTCTCGAGGTGGCTTATTTGCTCGTATATCGTGTTGAGCTCACCGTGGCAGCAGCCCTGGATCGCGACCCTCATTTGTGTGCGAGACCGTCCCCCAGGTTGTGCAGGGAGAGGTGGCGGTGTGATTGCGGGTTTTGCCGGAAGGATTTTCATCTTGTCACAAATGGCCTGAGATTCTGACGCCTCTCACATCGGCTCTCCCTTTCTTGAAAAATGGGCCAGAAGACACCACATAGTCTCCTGATTCGCGCTGTAAAGCCCGCGACTTCAGGATGATATATTTTGCATCCGCTGCTGTCTCGGAGTTGAATAGGGTCGCCTTCACCCTATATAATACCACTATCCTGCATTTCTCTATCGCACCAAACTCCGGTCTCTTGCCCTTGTCTGTCAATCTTCAGCGGCACACCGTGACGTCTCAAACTGCCATGATCTTTTCTCGCTTCTCACCCACCAAGGCCCTCCGTCGTCGCATCCACCGGCGCTCCGTCGGCATGTCTGGCGCCGACCAGGATGCGGATTCGATCGAGCAGCTTTTCGTCGAGCATGCCGAGGTCAGTCAGCCTTCCCTGCAGCTCTACCTTCTTCGTCGTTTTGTTGACTCGGTCGCCAGATGACCCCGCCATCCGCTGACGCTCTGCAGGATGTCCTCGAGACCAACTGCCCTTTCGGTTTCTCAAATGCCACTCTCCAAGCCGAAAATGCCTACAAGTCCCGCATACACCTCCAGGGCTCAAGGTACCGACTCAACCGCGACCGTCATCTGGCTGGCCGACCCGCGATCGTCCCTGGCATGAGACGCTCCGCCGAGCCCCACAGCGCCCGAACGGCGGACCGCCTGGTTCATCGCTCAACGCGGTGCTCTATCCGACCTTCTCCGCTCCGACACATCCTGGCCCTTGCGGAACCTGCGATCGGTGAACCGGATGCGGCAGAGACGCCATGGCTTCCGACCGCCGAAGACGAGACTATCCTTGCATCTCCCGCACCTTCTCAGCCAGACACCGCCAGCACGTCCACTAGGAGCCAGCCGCTGCCGTCGCCTGCTCGAGAACCGTTCTCTTCGTTGCTTCCTCAGGAGCCGCATTACATCGCGAAGCCAACGCCAAAACGCATAAAAGAGTTGCAGCGGTTGCGATTCTTCGACAAGGAAAACGTTCACCGATCTTTTATCGGTGGAATGCGAAGGCCCCTGTCCTGATTACAGGTTGCGTCAAGGATTCGCTGTCAGGTTATCAACTGACGCCTTGCTTTCTGTATCATAACTTTGGTGCGCACTCTGGATGACCCTGCGTTCGAATCACTCAAATTCGCATCCGTGCAGCCGCTTTCTTCTCCCGTGTTTCAGCTTAGAATATAGACCTTTAGACATAGAATCGGGAATATCCCGTAATGTACCGTGCCACCTCGCAGTGCATCCGTCATCCAAGGTGTTTCGAGGACGTAGATTGTTCCCTCCATCACATCAGTGCATTCAGGATGACTGTCTCAAATATGTTAAGCTTGTTCTAGTTCTTTCCAGGACCCATTTTCCCGTCGGTTCGATGGTGTAGTTGGTTATCACTTCTGTCTAACATTTGGAACTTGTCTCCGAGTTGTTCACAGGCGGTCCTCAGTTCGAACCTGGGTCGAATCACTTTTGCCGTTCGCACCTTTGAAACTGTCCCAGCCTCGTGCTCATTTCAATCGACTGATGACATCACCTGGCCCTCCCTGTACTACCTGCAGTGCTGATCTCCATTCCCGAATGAGAGACACGAAGGTGACGTTTGTCCTGATGACGTTTCGAAAGGTCCTCACTTTACCGCCCTCAGTAAAATCGCCTCGGTGGGACCCCGCCAATGAGCACGAGATGTTACTTCCACAATGCTGAGTATTATTGTGGTATAGAACACGAACTGACCCGTCTCGCTCGAACTGGTACAGACGACTCGAAGAGCTCGCATATCAATGACGACCATTTGGAAATAAATGGAAACAAACCAGCGGCGGTACAGTTTTGGCGTGCAAGCACGATGAACCGTGGCAAATCAGATTTCGGGGCATTTGCTTTGTCAATTCACGGGACAGAGTGCTAGTGACTTCCTGATACCTGATAGGTCAGAGCCGTGTCTGATAATCCTTCTGAGAGCATAGATCACAATTGGATGATGGACCGTGAGAAATCAACGGCGAGCAGGATGATCACATTCTCAGATCGTTCTGGAACCAGCGATCCGACTATGCTACGGGAGATGCTCTGTTGCTAAAGTTCATCCTTCAGGATTTCCCTGGCCATGCCCCCCGCAATCGCCACCCCGCGCTCCTCCTCGTCCAAATCCTCCTCAGAAACCAATGCCGATCTGGATCGTATAAACATTGCTGTGCCGGGTCTGAACACCGTGAAACGAGCACTCACTCGAGTCTCGAAATATAATTTCCATCGAGTTCCAGGTCCAGTGCAGGTCCGACATACCTAGACGCATCAGGTGCTCAGCCATCGGAAACGCAAGTGCACAGGCGACGACTCACAGCTTATTCCTGAGCATGAACTGCAAGAAATTCCTCCAAAATGGATCCTGCTTGAGTATGGATCCATTTCCGACGACGACCAGAAGCTCCTTTGCGCGAGTAATGGCCACGTTCATTCTTGAGGCGGCCCGTCAGCAACGGCGCGAATAGGATGCCCAAACACACACACACCTCTTTCGCTCCCGCACAAGCCCCAACCCCCGAGCCAAGTCGTCCTTGAGGAAACGTGTACTGCTACGCACGCACGAAATGATGCAAACACGCATCTCTCGGCCCTGATAGTCTTCGACAGTGCCAACATCAACAGCACTCAGCCCCGCTTTCCTCAACCGCTCGCGAATTTTCCACACTTGCTCGCGGAAGGCAGCCATCACACCGATTTCGGCAGCATGGAGCGGCGGTGTGCAGGACGCGGATTCCGAGAGCAGTGCAACAATCAAGCGAACTGTGTGGTCGATTTCGCCAGGGTTATACCACGATGCGCGCTGCAAGAAAAAGAGTCAAACTATTGCAAGTAGACAGATTAAGAAATTTGCACATACATCATCGACGCAAGACTCCTCGGTCTCAGTCCCAACGAATAAGAGTGGGAAACGTTGATTGGGGAGACCAGACCACGTGATCGTTCCATTTCGGGCACAGGGTATCAGCGCATCGTCGTAGAATATAGCTGATGGAGGCATCAGAATCGCAGGATGACTTCGATAATTCTGCACATTGCCATGATTAATTTGAACCAAAAAGAAAAATGCACCACTCACGCGGATGAGATTGGCGTAAGGCCGGAACGCCGTGGAACTTCGAGGCCGTCCATCCCGATTTTTCCCGTATACCGAGCGATCAAAGAGTCGTTGGAGAAGGGAGACGTCCATTTCTTGCTCCCGGGCAGCATCCGCAGCTACGATTGGGCCCACTGCAAAGATGTTGTGTACGAGGTCTTGCGAATAACAGAGCCGCACACGCACATTGATTCGGGTCACCGCATAGGACGAGCTGGGGCATGGCACTGGTCTGTGGCCGAATCGAACCGAATACCAACCCGCCGGGCATGACAACAGACGACGTGTCCTCGACAGAGGCTTCTCCAGGAAGGACGACAGAGATCGGAATAAGCAGTTCGGGTTCGGCAGCTTGGGCAGCCTGTACAAAATTCGTCAAAATCTTCACAACACCTTGATAGACTCTCAAATCAAGCACCTCATCGATAAGCAAATGTGTCCAATGCGGTAGAACTGGTTCTGCCGATTGTTTTCGTGGACGTAAGCATCCCATGAGCTGGGTTTCGAGTCGGGCAAGTGCAAAATTGGTACAATGCGCATCGACCAGAATCCCAGCATCAACACAGGATGTAACGACAACACGATATTTGAGTAGAACATCCCAGCTCGGAAGGGCAAATTTGTCGTCCTCGATATCTGTGAATGATCCGTCAGCTGGACGAAAACATGGAGTGCAGCAAGGACACACAGCAATATTGTCGAATATTCAAGGCGACCTCTGCAAACGTTCTATAGTCGTTGTGAGAAAACGAGACGCAAAAAGAAAAGACACTCGCCGATTGGGATCATTCAACCGCAACATTTCATTCGGCTGCAACGTAGATTTCAGGCGCGACACCAATGTATCCGTCGCAGGGTTCGACGGCGCGCACAACAGTATACACGCTTCTGGGTGATTTCGCAGTATCTGGAGCACAGCTTCAACCATCGTTCTGGTCTTGCCTGTCCCTGGGGGGCCGTGAATCAGGAATGGCACAGGAGACTCGTGTAGAACGATCGACGAAACAGCAAGCTTCAGAAACTCTCAATTCTCAACGAATACAGACAAACAATGCAACTCACTTTCTGCTCAGCGTTCAACCCACCATCGGTCCAACTCTCCTGCGTCAGATGTTTCTGCACGAGATCCATTTCCAAATGAACCAGATCGTCCTCATGCGGGAACAGCCATCGCCGGGCAGCCCTTCGCCGGTGTGTGTCAAATGGAGCCGACATTGCCTGATGTAACACCAAAGCCGCGTTATCCATCAGAACCGCCGGACGGGCCGTGGGTATGAAAGAGATGTTGAACACGAGAGGAAGAATATCTTCCGGGGTGAAAATGATTTTGCCCCCCGGCTTGATGTGCCGCGCAGGATGAATCGGAGCAATACAGCATTCAATGTGTAGTTTGAGTCCGGGACAAAAGAAGTGAATCAGGCCTTCCCGTTTGCGAAGCGCAACAACGCGCCCTGCAAGAAAGTCGGAGAGATTGATCACAGGGTGAACATCACCAACCTTCGAATGCGATCCCACTCCCGATCTTTTGCCCTTCCAAGATTTCCCGCAATAGGATGACATCTCCAATTTCCAGTCGGGGCGAATTTTCTCGAATGCTCGGAACGACCAAAATGAATTCGGCTTGGTCCCAAGCACCGATCTTGACCCCCACCTTCCACAACACGATCTGTTCCTTCTCGACTGCGAGCTTGTGAAGCTCCCATGAAAGAAGCGCTGCCCAGTGTTGGTGATAAGACCCGGTGGTAAGGGCCGGCGCTGTAGCCGGAGGCGCATTAGATAAAATAGAAGACGGAGTTAGTGATGAGGTAGAAGTGATCGAGTCGGTGACAGAAGTAGGAAAGAATGCTCTGATGTAAGTTACACTAGGAAAAGGTGGTATCGGGGGCAGAGTCTTAAGGTGATGAGGTTGTTTTTGAATTTTTTGTAGATACACAGGGACGAAGACGTCGGCCTGCAAATCGGATTAGAAATGGATCGGGACAAGCGGACACCACGCACATATTTGTCAAGCAATTTGTCATTTCCTAACATTGTGTTTTCTGATGTTTTTCCGTTTATATGATTTTCCTGCACGGCGCGACGCACAGTCAGCTGATTGACTGACTAGTGAACATGAAGCACTGCCTACGTTGATTCCGGGAGTAGATGATGGTACAGCAGAGGAGATGGGCGAAGAAAGAGAGGTCTCAAACAGAATAGTGTGATTAGGAGGTGTGGGCTTGAGAGGATCGTCCGACGGAGCCGTGATGGGAATCCCGCGGGATGGAGTCTTCTGTTTTTGGAGAAGACTTGGCGATGTGGCACAGCCTGGAAAAGGTGCGAATCGACCCTTCCAGAAGTCATGAACCAGATCATCCTCCACCGGTGGCAGGTTGACGCCTGGAGTGTTCACGAGCGTCGTAGAAGGTGAGGGTGGGAAGTATGTTTCGCTCGTTGCGGTCGCTGTAGGCGACATTGGAAAGGCCCCGAGGTTTGGAGGCGGCTGGGACACAAACCACCCATCAGGACGCGGGTGGAATGCGGGGATGTTCCCGGGCATAGGGATATTCCATGGTGGGGGGTAGTACGGATTCATAACGGGCGGATGCGCCTGAACGATGATCCCGGGCGGACCATTGGCGTATTGGGGAAGAGGTGGACCTGATGGCCTTCTGCGGTAGGAAGGATGCGGATGCCCTGCCATAAGGGGCGGCGGCGGGCCTCCGAATTGCATCCTGGCTCGCGGCGCTCAATGACAGCAGAGGTGAAAGAACATGAGTCTGTCACCCGTGACGGGTGACGACGGAAATCAGCATGTATTGTCATTGACAGATCACCCATGATCCGTCTAGGCTTAACTTATGATCCGCCGCCTTTCAAGTCCTACACCGTCTGTCTCCGTCTGTCTGTCTCAAAACAGGATGATAGATCAGAGATGGGGATACAGAGGTGGTCATCGGAATGTTTGAACAATTATGCCGGTACCTAGTCCTTCGTCTGCGTCACTTCTACACGATGGCAGAATGTAGCCACTCCAAGTACTTCGCCGAACCCGAACCTGGCTGTGAGCTGCTTCGAGCTCCCTGTGGAAAAACGCAGAGAGACTCTTGAAAATGAAAGAATTGACTGACTGACCCTCGGTCTCTTCCAGCTTCGATACGTCAAGCAATAGATCAATAACAATCACCAATCCCAGAAAGGCAAGATCATTTCCAAAAGGGTTATGACATTGACAAGCAACTGGAATCACTGATCAAGAATTCGAGATCGAATATCTTCCTCACTCTCACTCGCATCAAACTATCAATTCATTCCACTTCTCAGATGCAGCAAACGCGCCAGAGGTTCACTTACGTCCCCCCTAGTTCAAATCCCCCTACAGCAAGTGACTCGCGGCCACTGACATCTGCTCGACCTACGACCGCGCAATCACGCGCCGGTACATATGCATCGCGACCCACGACGCGTCCAGGAACCGGAAGACCAGGCACTGGTCGGCCTGGAACAGCGCGTCCAACTACCGCCGCCTCAGCGATTGGCGGCGACTCTCACAAATCGAGCCATGTCATCGCATTGCTCGAAGGTCGGGGAGTTGCGAGGGAAGTTGGTATTGCAGCGCTCGATCGGGACACGGGAAGGGTAATGCTAGTGCAGGTTCGTTCCGTTGCTGATGTCTGGTGTGTCGCAACAGTATTGAAAAAGACGCCCTAAGCTTTCTGATTGCCCGACGTATGTGAAGACGTTGCACCAGATGCATCTCCACCCACCGATGATGGTGCTCGTCCCCGATACTTTTCTTTCTGCCACCGACGCGGCACCAAATTCCCTTCTTGTGGAGTACATCTACGAGGAGTTTCCGGGCGTGCCTGTCGAGCCTATTGGAAGGAAGTACTGGAACGAAGCGGGAGGTAGGTCATTGACAAAGATCGAAGTCGGTCTCCTGCTGAGCATTTCCTAGGACTTGAATTCATCTCGCAACTTTGCGTCGAAAACGATGAACGTGCCGGAACGCTATTGGCGGTTGCCAACAAGTGAGGACACGCATATATGCATCAATCTATTTCGTGACACCCTCCCTCAGGTACTACGCGCTCTCTGCAGCCTGTGCGCTCTTCAAGCATGCCGAGACGAAGCTCAACACTCGCTTTGCGTCGGGATCTCTGCTCATCCGATACGTTCCTGTCGAGGGCACAATGATGATCGATCCCGACACGGCCAGAAATCTGGAATTGGTGGACAACATGTCGCGCAAGAAGTCGACGCACTCCTTGTTTGGGTAAACCGACATCGCACAATATGCAACGACAGTAGCTGATGGTATGGATAGCACTCTGCACCATTCTTACACGGCGATGGCCACCAGACTGCTAAGAGTTAACATCCTTTCTCCCATCACATGCAAGTCGCTCTTACAACCCTTTTCACGGTCCGCATTTGACGGTCCGCTAGCGCAAACCACAATAGATGCGCGACTGGACGTCGTCGAGGAGCTCGTTCAGTCCGAAGAACGATTCACCGAAGTACGCGCGGCACTGAAGCCGCTGAACAAGATGGACTTCGACAAACTCATTGCTTCCCTCGTCGCTTCGGAGACGAAGCAGAGCAATTCAGCAAAGTACGCGTCCACTCGCGTCTCGCAGATGCTTGAGCTACGCAATGCGGTGAGAACCCTGCCCATGGTGCATAGCGCGCTGCAGGGGAGTCAAGCACAGTTGCTGAGAATCATCCACGAGGTGGGGTTCGTTCGCTGGCCCTCCCGCCTCTACTGAACAAAGCGAAAGATGCTTTCAGATGACAGAATAAAACGCATCGAGCAACTGGTCTGCGCGAGCTTGAACGAAGACAGCACTCCTGCCAAGGGTGGGATCGGAGCAGTCAACGCTCGAGTGTATGCAGTCAAGGCCAACTGCAATCGGCTGCTGGACGTCGCGCGCGAGACATACAAAGAGAATGTCGGTGACATCTTCACGCTGAGCCGCAATCTGTCCGATGCGCATGAATTGCCACTCGGACTGACGTATCAAGAGGGAGGATTCGTATTCACTCTCAAAAAGAGTGATCTGGGGGAGGGAGGGACCCTGCCCAAAGGATTCGTTAATGCACAGATCAAAAAGGGAAAGTGGGTATTCGAGTCTATGGATCTGGTATGCCATGTTGAGTGGCCCGGATCTGAACTGATTGTGGCGAGCAGAAGAAGATGAACGCCCGGATGAAAGACGCACTGGACGAGACTCTGATTTTGAGCGAGAAGATTATCGAAGACCTCGTGAGCGACATCCTGCTCGATGTCGGTGCTCTATACAAGGCGTCTGAGGCCGTTGCATTGCTGGATATGCTCTGGTCGTTTGCACATACTTCAATCAGTACGACCGGCCTGGATCGACAATAATGCTTGCTAAACCCAGCCAAAGTGCGAAACTATGTCCGACCAGAATTCACCGGCACCCTCGCAATCAAGTCCGGCCGACATCCTATTCTGGAGACTATCGCATCAGCTGGGACACTGGTGCCTAATGATGTGTACTGCGATGACTCGTCCGCGTTCCAGATCGTGCAGGGGCCCAAGTGAGTGGTTCTCTGCGCAATGAGACTTGATGACGAAGTCTGCCAGCATGTCAGGAAAGAGCACATATCTCAGGCAGGTCGCACTACTCACCGTAATGGCGATGTGCGGTTGCTTCGTGCCAGCTGAATATGCCAGCTTCCGGTAAGCGCCTGTCTTCTGGCATCGAAAGTCATGTTCAAACGCACGACCGTTAGCCTTCACGACACATTACTCAGCCGACTTTCCAACGATGACGATATGGAAAAGAGTCTGAGTACATTCGCGAATGAGATGGCCACGTCAGCCATGATTCTGGGTCTGGCAACTTCGAAATCGCTAGTGATTGTGGATGAACTTGGTCGAGGAACGTCTCCGCGCGAAGGGGTTGGAATCTCGCATGCCATTGCAGAGGCCTTGATCGAAAGTAGGGCGTTTGTCTTCTTCGCGACGTCAGTCATAGTTCGGCTTGCGTCTTGTCCTCGTCGCTCAGGCCACACCGTCAAGGCACTTTCACGAGCTGACGACAACGCTGTCAAGGAAACCTCCAGTCATTAAGTAAGCGTTTTGTGACGGTCAAGGAGGACATTACTCACAATGCGTAGTCTGCACTTGTCTGTCCAGGTGTGTACTGACAGACCGCCATGGTGTCTTGGAGTTCACACAAAGACAACAGCGGAGCACCAAAGCTGGCTTTGGAGTCACATTTCAGTACAAGTGAGTCTTGGCTCTTCATCTATCCCCGTTTACTATCTTCCTGGTAGAATTGTCGATGGCGCGCCGCCCGACTCGAATCACTACGGCCTAGAGCTCGCCCGACTGGCTGATCTCCCAGAAGAAGTACTGATGGAAGGAAAGCGCGTTGCCGAGCGTTTGGCTGCCCTCCACATCAAACATGAAGGACAGAGCGAGAGCGGTCGAATTGCGGTCAGACGCAAAGCGCTACTGAGAGTGCGTTCGCTATTCTCGAGCGAATGCGAGAGTGACTACAGCCATGACAGTTACGCACACAATTGACTCAGGCGTATGAGCATTCTGCCCTGAGCGACCTCGACCTCGTTGCATACATTGCTCGTTTCCAGGTCGACATCACCAAAGCTTTCATCCATCCATCCCCAGCTTGCTGAGTAAAGCCCGGTCCGGAGAATGACTAATTGGTCCAGGACGATTAGGAGTTGTATGAGAAAGTACGAGATACGGCGTCATTGACTATCGAAGGACCGTGGACATTACAAGAGCAGACCCATAGGTGTATTTGGATGATATTTGGCGTCATGATCATGGAGTCACAATCAATCTCAACTTTCTCTCTTTTAAAACGCGTTGAAATCTTTGTTTTATTCAAGGACACGAAGCGTGGTCGTGTTATCAGCCTGGTAATATTATCTATCACGGAGCACTACTTGGTATCCAGAATGATATGGCTTCTCTTACGAGAGCCAATCTCGACTCGAGTTCGATGTCCCAACTTCCAAGCACTCTCCCCCCTCCCTGGCCCCGTCCGAAAACATAGACCGCGTTCGACGCCTTTGTACAATCTCCATAATAGTTCTGGGGAACTCGCACTTCTGACTTGGGTGGCTCAACTCGGGGGTCGATCCCATAACGACGGTAACGCAAGCTGCGTCGCCAATCCCACAACGCGTCGGATGCGTGCGCAGCTAAGGTACCGCCTGTGAGATGTCGAATGATTCTTCGAGCGCAACTGGGGGAGCGAAGCTGGGAGGCGCTCCCTCAGGTCTACGCCTATTGCAGAGGCGAGAGCAGTTGTTGCAAATGAATATCAGACCCAGGGTTGTGACCCTTACTCGTCGGTTTCAATTTCCTCCCGAATGAGATAGAGAGACGCCGGGGGAGAGCGTGAGTAGGAATGGGGAGTGGCCATGCTTCGATGGTGGTGCCGCCGGCACCGGCGTGACCTCCTACGGGGAGCGGTAGCGGGCGCAGTCGAGGGCTTGGGTATCGGTGCGTAAAACTGCGCAGATGTCGTATCATCAAGATCAAGGTCGAGGTCCAAGTCTGTTTCAAGGTCCAAATCGAGATCGAGGTTGGATGCGTTTGAGGAACGGTGGGCCGGCCGCTGAGAGTGGATTGGAATAGTGGATGTAGGGGCGAACTAGAAGAAATGAGCACGATCCACTGGTGCATACGAAACGAAGAACATACGAATGTCATTCGGACTGCGCTCGATCTAATCCAAGCAGCGACGCGGTCGGCGCACTCCTGCTGATTCTCTATCTCCTGCCGCTGCACCGAGTCAACTGCAATGTCGGAATCATCCAAGTCAAGAGGCCCTCCACAATAAAGCTTGTGCGGATTAGGTTCGGGGACTGAGTTTGGAAGAGCGGGCACGTCGCCGCATGCGTAACGATCAAAGCCGAAGGTAGGTGAAGTTGTGTAGGAGAGCATAGGATAGGGTAGGATCGAAGAAATGTTGGCCCTAGTGCCAACGGAGAGAAAGACTGTCAGCAGCAGCCCGCATCTGGCCTTATAAAGAAGGCTGCGCAGCCGCCGCAGCGGGTGGGGTGAGTTGGCCCGGAGCTGATTGATGCGGAGTCATGGCCGGCTTGTCAATCAGTCAGTAAGCAATGCTGTGCGGGCGTGGGCGGGTTTACACGTGCTATGACGTCAGAGGTCACTCCTTCCTAATCTGATCGGCTCTAGAACCTCGCCGAACTTTCTCCCGTTTTCCACCACCGACGATGACCATCTTGACATCATCGCCGGTGGTGTATATAATCTGCGGCTTATCCACGCCACCTTTCTCAGATTCACTGTTATCACAATCTACCACTCGTACATCTTCTCACCCACAACACTCTATCACCTGAAGATGTTCTACTACCCAAGACAACAAGGCGGCTACGGAGGCTATGGCGCGTATGACCCCTATGCGGTGGCTCGGCAACGCGAGCTCCAACGTCAGCAACTTCTGGCGCAGGAGCGCGAACGTCAACGTCTGGCGCACATCCAGCGCCAGCGCCAGTATGAGGCTCTCGAACGCGAACGCCTCTCCCACCAGTACTCGCCTTACGGACCGTCAACCGATCAATATGATCCCGATTACGAAGAAAACGAGGATGAGGACGACTCGGAAGTCTACCAATACCTGACTCCTCGTCAGCGTGCTATGATGCAGGCGAAACGTCGTCAGTTAGTTATGGAGGACCAGCGTAGGGTCAGTTTCCCTGCCAGCTTACAGCATAGTCGTGGAGATGCTGACGAAGATTCACAGGCTCAAGTCCAAGCCCAGCGGCAGGCGGATGCGCAGCGACAGCGCGCGGCTTCGCAGTCTCCGCAGCGCCCAACTGTGCCCGAGGACGCTTCCATTCCCATTCCCAGCGATGCCGCGCCTATGACATCCCCTGAAACCACTCCATCTCCCCCGCCACATCTTTCCCCCACTGCCTCCACCTCTTCCTCCAAAACCACCTTCTCTGCTGAGCAGCGCGAGGAGGCGGCATCCACCATCCAACGCGCATTCCGCGTTTATCGCGCTCTTCGTACCATCTCCGATTTCGAAATGCGCTTTGAGGCTATAAGGCGCGAGTTTTGTCCACCTACGACGCTCGAGTACATTGTCGACGGCCAAGTCGTCTCTGTGCCCGTTCCACAGGTTCTATCTGCCATTCGATCGGACGCGGTTCCATCGGACGACGTGGAGCAAGAGGCTGCGCGCACACCGAAACTCGCCTACACCGCTCCTTCACGTCCTATACATGGCCACCTCGACGCTCTCTCTAAACTTCTCATCGCACTAGACGGCGTCGAGAGCTTCGGCGACAAGCATGTCCGGGAGCGGCGCAAGTCTGTGGTCGGACGCGTGGAGCAAGAGGCACGGGCTGTGGAGATTTGGGTTCGAGATGTTTGGGCTTCGCAGCTTCAGTCCGATGTGACGCAGGAGGAGGATGAAGTCCGCGACATGGTCGTTGACCCCGCTCACTCCGCTGAAGACCAGGAAGATGAGGATGACGACGCAGAGTTCGTCACACCGCCCGGGACTCCAGCGACCGAGCCACTGCCTCTCGTTGGCGACGACGACTTCGTGATGATATAGAGCCAGAAGTGATCTGTTATCGGTTTCATTGGTTGTCTACCACACATGTACAATATACACAATGCCTCATATATTCTTCATCTTACAGTATGTAAAAATTTCAATCCCACTCTGATTTAATGATTTGTATTCCATACACACGTCCTTCGACTGCACCAATACGGATTCTGCCGAGATTCGGACAAGACTAGGCTGAATGTGAAGTGCACCTGCAACGTTAAGACTAGGACGATACAGGCTTGGTCCCAGCTGGCTTGAAATGGTAATTCAGAGTCAATTGCGGACCCTTTACATCCAGATGAGGCGGACTGGACCTGGGCAGCGAGTGTTCAGCTTTCGACCAAAGAGGATGCAGCGCTTCAGCTTTCGCTCTGAACTCGGCCTCACGAGTTTGAATCAGCCGTATCTCCCAGTCTGGCAGCTGCCTCCTCTCTAGGAAGATCGGCTCCGTGTAGCGATAAAAGTCCATTGGATCTGACTCCGCTGGACTGTTAGGGAGCCGCTTGAGTGCGAAGTCGACCGCGGGCTGAGCCCCTTGACGTTTCTTCTCCACTCGCTTCGTCGTCTTCAGTATACAAAGCGGCTCGAACGGAACTTCCATCCCTTCCGAGGGCCGGACCGCGTTCTCATTTACACCATGTTGAGTGAGCGAGAGTATTGTCTTGACGCGCAGCATGTACGGATGGCCTGATGTCTTGTCGCCGCGGACGAGAGTGACCACACCACTGCCTTGGGACTCTAGTCAGTCACAACGGCCAGCACCATAAACATTGTGAATCACCAGTGAAAGGACTCTTAGGCTTGCCCCGCTTGTTGTACCACGGATGAGTCACCATCACTGGCACCGGCGGATAGCCCGGGGGCAGAAGATATATTCTCGAGTACTCCGTCTGCCAGTCAACCGGCCAGCTCTGCCCAAATGCCGAGACCCAGTTGGAGTCCCGTATAACGTCGAGGTTCACCAAGGCCTTCTGCAGATGCGGCGGAGCGAACCCATCACGAACAAGAATCCCAAGGAGCTGATCCTGATAATGCGCGCGCGTGGCGATCTCGTCTATGGGGATAGCCCAAGGAAGTCCGTGAGGCATGAGCAGATCCTTTCCTTGCAGAAATCCATCGCGAGTCGGGGTGTCGGTCACTCGGAAACGGAGCCCTCCGTTGATCGGCGATTCTTTCGCAGGGGAGTGATAATAAAAGAACCCCCGCAGGTCCTCCGGCCACGGAATGTGGCTCGTAACGAGCTGTTGTCCAAACTGCCGCATGTGGGGATCCATTTTCTGGTCTCGTGCAATGCGACGGTATAGATTGATGTCGGCGAGCGCGGATTTAGAGATGTCGATGAAGTGGCGGTCTGTAATATTCTGAGGGTGAAATGTGTCGATGTTTTCGGGTAGCTGTTTGGAACGTTATGCCGTGGCCCGCTCCGTTCTTGAGTGTTTGAGTACCTTGAATTTCTGGATCACGTTGGGAGACTTGGCCTTGAGGACCGGACTCGACCAGCGGTACATGATTTCGTTGACATAGAAAGCCCGACGCTGGCATGTTGATGCACTGTAAAGCGCGTGCAGAGCGCGCCGCTTGCAAATGGGCGAGCGCGTAAAAAGGTGCACCAAGAAAGTCATTCGTGACGAGAGTACCAAGCACGACCACGTGATCAAGCGTCCTTGATGGGATCAGCGACGGTTTCCCTCAGAGCCACCACCTAACTCAACTCCATACTAGAAAGTGTTGGCTCTGCCAACATTATGCCTTGCTTGCTAATTAAATCTATATGATCAAATTTATATACAATAAAACAAGTAAAATACCAGTGCAGTTGTAACTAAGCGCCAGATGCTCTCGTCTTCTTCTTCAGGCTCTTGTCCATATCAGGCATTGCCGGCAGAAACTAGATGAGGCAAGACAACATCATGCAGTGTACGCGCTTGTGTGCGCAATGGTGGCATGTGAAGCAGCGCTGTTAGAGAGTGACACAAGCAGAAACAAAAACAGCCCACAGGTGGGTGCAAACTGCAAAAGAGAGTCATCATCATGCATGGAACTATAAATTACACTGCTTTGCCGCGCTATAATGCCAGCAACAGCAGGGAGCGTAAGTACAAAGATAAGAGTGAAGAGTGAATGAGACCATGACATACTCAAGACGAAGGTAAAATTGATCGGATCAGATGCTGGAGCAGAGTCCTCTGATTGATGTCATCATTGATGGGATCTGATTGATGCACGAATTTAGGGTCTGGAGAAGCCTTGACAAGCAAGGCAACTCCATATCCAATCGAAGTCTGAGACAGTGTATCACAGTGTTGTAGAAGATACGCTCGTATTATTTATTACACGAGAAATTGCCCATGACTCACGCTGAAGCTGAAAGTGCGGCAAGATTGGGTTGACTTTTCCCAGACCATGTCGAGGTCAGGAACCAGATACACATGAGTGGGTGCAATGGCCAGTTCTTTCTTTTCCGGGCCTCCGGTACAAAGCAGGATCGAAAGGCCGTTGAATGTGGTTGGACCAGGTTTCAACTCTACCCAGTTGCAGCTTAGTAATTCGGATCAAGGTCCGAAAGAAATCGGACTGGTGGTCATCTTTCCCAGCTGTTTCTGGTTACTCTGTGCCTTGGCTAGCTATGTCGGGCAGCCATGCACCGAGGTCCCCACCGCGGTCTGAAGACGGCATATTGACTATCTCCCAGTCAATCTACATCCTCGCGCCGGCCGACAGAGTTTGGGAGACGCTACTCGACTTCAAAGCGTACAAGGAATGGTGAGTACGGGGCTCTAATTTGCGCCCCAAGCACCTTCTATACCCCATCCCTTTGCTACTAATTTGCATCATTCGGCAGGAACTCTTTTGTGTCAGTTCGTTCCATGAAGCAGCACCAGCCAATGCCTGACACACGCCCTCGGTCTTAGCGACCGAGTCGAGTTTGTTTCTGACCAGCGAAGCACCGAGCCCAGTGCCGACCAAACCCCCGCCGTTGGCCGCAAGATGGTCATCTACCCCGTCAACCTGTCCTCCATCACCGCGACGATGCATACGCTCGACCCCGCGAACTTCCGCGTCGCATGGGAGACGGTTCCCGTTCTGCCCAAGTGGGCCCTGCACGCGGACCGGTGGCAGACGCTGACGCGGGAGGAGGTAGATGGGGAAATGATGACCAAGTACCAGAGCTTTGAGGTCTTCAGCGGCGTCCTGGCGTACATCATCCGCTGGTTCTTGAAGAAGCAGTTGAATGATGGGGTCAGATCCATGGCGGAGGCTCTCAAGACTCGGTCGGAGGGAATTTAGACGAAGAACGAGGTCGCAGCTGGTGATGCGGGAATTGGGCTCGCATCTCTTCCGAAAGTTGTTTGAGTCGACATTCCTCAGAGACCAGGGCAAGTCTTTCACTGTCGAGGGCAGTGCTCTTGGTCGGATATTGTTTGTCGGTCTTGCACGCGTAGACTCCTGAAGAACTGCGAGTCTCGCGTGCCGCCATTGAATCAAGTTTTTCGATTACCTTCTCTGCGCTTTGCACGTCTCATTCTGTCGCGTTTGCATCCAGACTCAGACCGTCTCCAAATTGTTTGGTGGGCGAGCTAGTAAACACCCAAGGAACTCTCTGACGCTCAGTGGCCATTATCGGCTTAATGTTGGGTCCTGCATGCTACACAACTGTTTCTCACCTAATTTTCATAAGCGGACATGTCAATCCGCATTGTTCACATTGGTAATACAGTTGGTTGCGATACTTGGGCCATTTGAAGCACATTTTTACACGGCATAAGCTGGAGACTCGTAATGCACCTTTTCCTCCGTCTCGTTCCCCTGGTAGGCGTACCCTGGACTCGGCAATTCTTCCGATTCTTGGGCATAGAAACTGGGCAGGCGAGTGCCCATATGGAACATGTTGGTCTCGACTTCAGAGGCTTGATTCATCGACTGCCCTCGGCTTCGCTTATATCGAATCCGGGACGGAGTGCGAGTCAGTCCCTCTTGTATGCTGGACGCAGCGTCGTTGGACCCGCGCTCGTGAGTGATGGTGCGAGAGTTGAGCGTCGCTAGGAAGGACACAGCATACACTGTCTCAGCGAGTCAGGACGGATACTACTCTCGGCACAGGATGAATGAATACATACGCTTGGAGAGAAGGAAGTAACAAGCCGCAAAGATGAAGCTATGTTGGACGAAATCGAACTGAGCACGTCACACGTCAATGGCGAGGAGAACGACTGGATGAGATGGACGCACAGCGAATAGCGTGGCAGCGCTGACAACGGAGGTGAGCACGCCCGTGCTGATCGCCCCCATGACCAGTCGCCGCACTAGCGAATCCGAGCTGTGGTGCCCTGTCCGCATCCGAGACAGATAGAAAATCAAGCAGAGGGCAATGACAATGTCCGTCAAGACACCCAGACTAAGCGCCACCGTGACGATCTCCTGCAGGGCAAACACAGCCGTGATGGACTCGAGAGTGAAAGCGTGCACAGCAAACACTGGGAACCCCCTTCAGCACAGACTACGCATCGCGTATCAAGGACTCGCACCCAAGGAGACAGCGAAATCAGCGAACGCAAGAAGGAGCTGGGGGACTCAGTTCCGGGTGTGCGGTAGCTGGAACGAGGGATCGACGTACAATGAAGGCCGTGATCCAGATGTTCTTGTCGCTGAATCGATAGACCCTGCTGGCAAAGGCGCTGTTCGGACTCATGAGGGTGTGTTCCATGGCGACTGACATCGTGACTAACCACTTCACCAGCGTGCCCGTGAACGAGCCGATAATCTCCTGCAAGATTAGCGACCACCATGCGGTACGCGCATTCACCACGGCGCGGAGACTTCCGCCCAGCCGCACCGAGTACATGTACACAAAGTGGCTGATGAAAGCCTGATCTGCGGTCGCAAAGAGTCTGGGAGCATACACATCGTTGGCGGAAGAATCGAAGGAAGCATGGAGTAAGCGCGTACAGTATCGCAGCGACCAGGAGTTTATACTGATCAGGCGCTCCGTCAGTCGCGACAGCATGAAGATACGAGAGCAGTGAAGGACCCACCCTGATGGCATCCCTGCCAAACCTCGTAAAGTACGACCACGCCTGCGTAAGCAGTCTAATCGGGCACGTTTAGGGAGTAGAAACCACAAGATGCATAGAGCACTTACATCCCAAATACGACGCACGAAGCAGCGAAGCCTATAACCACTGCGCCAAGAGTATTGTCCACCGTGAACCAACCGTGCACCCCGTGTCCAACTCTTGTCGTGATAGTGGTGTTCGACATGGTGGGACCCAAGATTAAGGAACACACGCAGAGAAAGGGAAAAGAGGGCAAAGAGACCGGAGGCGGGTGCAACGGGCAGAAGGCAAGTAGCGAATACCAAGAGAAATCTCCGCCTGTCGCGATTCCCATCCATCTAAGTACGCAACTCCTCCCCGGCTTCTATCTCTGTCGAAGATAGACGCACATGGGGACCGAGCAACGAAAGGGCATCAGCCGCGACCGGAGCGTGATTGTGGCAGCGTTGCATCGGGTGGGCAGATGGATCGCGGATGGATCACACGTCGTGACGTGCTTCGGCAACAGCCCGAACACGCGACACGTGGTCAGACCTGTGACATGGGGTGGATTCCAATATCCAACATGACGATTCGCAACGGGGTGCATTCAAGAGATTTCGCGTTTCACGAGCGACACATAGACGTGGTCGGAGCCGAGTCGATCCAGCGCTCCGGGATAACTTTGGTAGATACGGTTTCCTCCTCGCATTCGTATCCTTACAATTGATTGACCTTCCATCGTAGTAATCATGCAACGGGCATCGAATTTGCCGGTTTTGCCAAAGACTAGTGACTGCATCCAGAAGACCAGAACATGCAGCCCACGCGTACGGGAGACCGTTATCTGGCTTTTGAAGATCCCAGCAGGTGTGCCTTGACGCCGGACCCATATGCGTGAGACGTCCAGCGGTCTGGCTGATTCAGAGTCTCGAAATAAACTGCCGGAGATCACGGTACGATATGCCGAAAAGACTGCAGCACTGCGGAAGCTGCGCATCTAGACAGCGTTCCAATTTCAGCATCAACGACACCAGCGAGGTCGACCAAATGCGATTTCAGCAGCAACATGGCTTTAAAAGAGTCGGGAAAGCGAGGCAGGTCGAAGAAGGACGCAACAAACGTGTCGCATCCAAGCTGATTGGTCTCAAATCAAAGAACTAGACAAAGTGCTTGAGATCTCGTAAGTATCTCAGATTGGATACAGCCAGGGAAACCGCTTCTTCAGATCATCCGCGTTGTCGTATTACAGAGTTGGAGCCTTGCACGGCACCAGGTGAGTAACAGAAGAAGATATGGTGAAATCATTGGGCAGCAGGCACGGGAGAGGAAAGAGTCAGGTCTGTCATTTCTTACAGGGATTGCGCTGAAGGTAGTCGAAGAATATCTAGGCCCATGCCCTAAGAATCTACCTTCCACTATGACACGAGAAAGTCGGAAACATGGGCAGAAGGGATACTGTAATGACTCACATGGGGCCTGTATTTGTACTGCCGGTTCCGGAGGAGGAACGACACAGCATCCAGAACATCGTCGCAGACCACCCACGCGTAAGGTATCCCGTCATCTGGCTCCTGAAAGTTGCGAGCCAGTGTTCCTGGACGCTTCACCCACATCCCGGGACACCGAATGGCCTCGTCGGCTCGATATCGCGAAACAAACTGCCGGAGATCATCGTCCAACACGCCCGAGGGACTCTGGATTTGTCATAGTATCGGAATATCATGTCGTACAGATGCTTGTGAGGTCGGTAACACCTCACAGCGTCCCACGTCAAGAGCTCAGTGAAGTAAGGTTGCAACGCCCGAAAGGCTTTGCACTTGCAAAGTGTTCGGATATCAGCATCGACGACACCGGCGAGAACGAGCAGGCCAGGAACAAGCCGGGACAAAGCTTCGACGGCGTCAGGAAACAAGGGCCAGTCAAAGAACGACTCGAGAAACTTCGCTGCTCCACCCGGGCTACAATCCAGTCCGAGCCGTAAACGGAAGTCGTCGTATGATTTCCTCATTATTTCCGAGTAGATCAGCCCAGGGAACCGCTTCTTCCAATCGTCCTCGATGTCGAAATACAGAGTGAGAGCCTTAGATCGACTCAGAGATTGACCGCACAGGTCGAGCACAGGAAGCAGAGCATTGTAGATGCCTGTCTCGTTGTCCTAGACAGCAAAATCAGGAGAATAATCGCCGAGAACGCAGCGACTTACGATGAGAGTGCCATACAAGTCCACGTAGACGATCTGGATGTCCGGCGGAGACACGACAGGGAGATGATCGAAATCTCGGGACGTGAAAGCAGGACCGCACATGCGAGTGAACACAAGATCATCTTCTTCTTGAGCGAGCAGCGAATGTTCCATCGCAATGAGCGCCATGTAATCCTCGGACCCGACGGTCTCTCCACTGAGACGCTCTGGGTCGGGCTCTGGGTCGGGCTCCGGCGCAGACTGTGGGGCCGCCTTTAAAGCAGGCTCGGAAACAATCTTCGGAACAGGCACTGGGTCGGGCTCTGGGTCGGGGTCGGGATCGGGTAGACTGGCGCACAGCTCCATCAAAGTCGGATCAGTCAAGTCGCTCACGTCTTGCTCAAGAGGACTGTCGAGTGTTCCGCATAATGCCTGCAGACCTGCTAAGAGAGACAGATGGAAGAAAGAAACCTTCCACGGACCTGGCCCATTCTCCAGAACATGACCGGTATCGTAGCTGGACGAGAGAGATGTGCTCGTGCACTGCAAAAACTGAGTAATCAGGAACCGCCTCGTTGCAAATGACACCCACCGCTCGACATCTCGGAACTCTTCGTGGAATGGCCTCAAAGGAATCGGCGTCTCTTCCATCTCGGTTATGTCGAAACTGACCCGAGCCGAGATAGCGAGCGGGACGCTCCAGTCACCCGGTGCGGGGCGTGCCTTCGTGCTTTTTTGCGAGCCGAATGCACTCCAGCGCGAGAACTCGTGGTCCAAATCTGCGAAGCGAGGGCCGGCCTCTTCCATCTCGATCCGTTTACTCTCCCTGCGACTGCTCCGAACGGTGCGCATGTCATCGGACAGGTAATATAGCACAGACTGTGCAGACAGGGAGTCGAGCGTATTTGGCGAATCGAGGCCTGGCAGGGCTGTTTCAAAGACGGGTATGACCTCAAAGGCTCTGGTCGTGTCTACGACGCAAGGGCCGTGGCGCCATGCGAATCGAGGCTGGGTAGCAAGACGAGAACCGCACTCGCTTACAGCCGGAATGTATTGTTTCGGCAAGGATTCACGATCGTCGATGGCACACACAGGGAACACCGACGCAGGGAGGTCCGGCTCGTGGATGTAAATGAACACGAGAGCCAAGTATCGGCCACGCGTTTTGACACGTCGAGCAGCAGGCGACAGGAGAGGAGAGGCCAAGTATGAGACCGAATCGATGGTCGAGGGCGATACCAGAGCCCACAGGGTGCGACGCTCTAGGTTCATGGGCATTGGGAAGGGTAGTTGTGTAGACTTGGATGGACTTTGCTCGCAAGAAAATCGCGAGTGAAAGAACAGAGCGATCGCTCGCCAGACCAGGATAGACTACCGCCACAGATCCGATGGGTACAACAGCCCCGAACCACGACAGCTGAGTTCATTGTCGGCAGCACCATCAAAGTCAGATGCAGCCCACAAAGCTCACATGACTGACAAGCATGTCAATACAGATAGGAAATCAGATCATCAGATCCCGGACCGAGGAGCACCGTCGCAGAAGCAGAGCGCCGTAGGGAGCAGCAGGCACCATTGTCCCTCCGAAATAAAGCGACTGCATTTCACTGAGGGCTTTAACCACCCTGCTAGCTTCATCATTCCACAAAATACTCTGCAGAAAATGGACGAGAATCTTTCCCATGTTCGCAGGAAGAACTTCGCCTTCGAGCGTGTCGGCCTTTCACAGTTCTTTCCAAGGCACTCTGATTTGGAAAAGCGGTCCGTCGAAGATATTTACTGCAGGAAGATTGACAAAGAGAATTACTACAAGCTAGGGAGTGCTTTGTGTAAGACTATGCGGGTAACAGCGTCCAAAACATCGCCACAGATGGCCCAAGCGTGCTTTATGATGCATGTTCTTTCTTGAAAATTTGCGGTGAGCGTTCCCCATCGCCTGACCCACATTCCCGGGACATCGAATGATCTCACCGCTTCGATATCCCGAAATAAACTGCCAGATATTATCGTCCAACAGGCCCGCGGGATGTTTAATGTGTCATGGTAGTGGAAAATTCGGTCGTAAAGATCCTTGCGGGGCCGGTAACACCTCACAGCATCCCATGTGAGGAGTTCAGTGAAGTAGGGCTGCAGCGCTCGGAAGGCAGCGCATTTCGACAATGTTTCGCCATCGACGTCAACGACGCCGGCTAGAACGAGCACAGTCGGCTTGAGTTGAGACATGCTTTGAATAGCATCGGGGAACAGTGGCCACTCGAAGAACGATTCGACAAAGTGCTTGATGTCACCCGGCTCACAATTCAGTCCGAGTCGGAGATGGAATTCTTCATAGCATTTTGCGAGGATTTCCACATAAGGACTGCCGGGGAGTCGTCTCTTCAGATCATCCTCAATGTCAAAGTACAGGGTGAGCGCCTGTGATCGGCTCAGAGGGCATATGACCTGGTTCAACGCCGTGATTAATCCATTGTAGATGCCGGTTTCGTCGTCCTTGAAAGAAGATTGAGCCAAACAGTGTGAGTTCTTGACGACAACTCACAATGAGAGTTCCATATAGATCGACGTAGACGATCTGGATGTCGGCCGGGGATATAGGTGGGAGCCAGTCAAAACCTTTATCCGGAAATGAAGGCCTGGACATCCGTGTGTAAACCAGATCATCCGCTGGAGAGTACACCGGGTGCCCCTCCTCGTCGAATTCTGCAACAGGCTCGGGGTCGGGGTCAGGGTCAGAGAGACCGGCGCAGATCTCTATCAACGCAGGATTCTCCAGGTCGGAGATCTCTTCCAGCAGAGGGTTGTCGGGTATGCCGCACAAGGACTTGAAAGAATGTCAGACCATGTCGCCTCGAGTGGACCACCGTCCCACACACTTGACCAAATCTCCAATACATAAGCTGTGTTGCGCTAGAGCGCGAGTGCCGGGCCCGAATTCTTGCAAGAGACGTTGAGTTCGAGTTTTCGAGGGCGAACAAAGCCACGACATACCGTTCGATCTCCGCAATTTCACTATCCAATTGACTCCGAGGTAGTAGTTCCTGGAGAGTTTCGACGTCGAAACTGACGCGCGCAGAAATCGAGGCAGGAGCTTCCCAGGCACCAGGCGCAGCACACGCGTGTCGGCTCTTGAACGTGCCAAAGCTGGCCCAGGACGGGCTTTCATCACCCAGATCCTCGATGTTGACACCAGCCTCCTTCATCTCCCGGAGTCGTGACGGCCGTATGTCGGCCACATAATCTCTCAATTCCGCTTCGTAGTCCTCGTCGAAATAGGATTCGACGAGCGATGCGTTGGTCGGATCGAGGCAGTTCGGCGACTCGGGCGGAGGAATAGGAGACACGAAGACGGACTGCACGACGATGATGTTGTAGGTGTCTAGAACACATGGGCCATGCCGCCATGGGAAACGAGGTTCGACGACAACACGGGGACCATGGGCTGAGAAAACCGGGACGTAGCTCTTTGGAAGCGGCTCTGGACCGTCGATCTTGTGCACCAGATATCCTCGCGCCCATTTTTGATTGTCGTCAAACATCCAGAGCAGGGCCAGATACACCCCGTAAGTTTTGCCGTGACGGCTCGTTGCAGACGTGAGCAGGGGGGACTTGAGATAGGCTACCGAGTGCGTCGTCGAAGGCGACACCAAAGCCCATGTTAGACGACCGGAGTCCATCAAAGTCAGGGGTTGAAGTCGATCTGCAGACTGCACAGCAGGTGCTCGCAAAGTGTGACTTCTTACAGGGGCACCGATGTGACGCGAGTGGAACACAACCACGTGATGTTCAATTTGTCCGTCACAACTTGGATCCGAACGTCCCAATTCACATAGCACGTCTTTGAGATGATTTTTCGATGCCCGAGCTCCAGGAGTGTGCCTAACATCGCGATATTTCGATCCAGACTGCTCGCTGACTCATCTCCAATTCAATGCCATGTCATTTTTGTACAAATAATTCTCACACTTGACGCAGCGATGGAATGGACATGACCGCCAGAGCATGGATATCGGATCGCACCTGGCTGTGATTATCTCTTCAGTGACTCATCCTTCGAAGGAAATAGTCATCTACGTGTGTGCGTGAGACCCTCCGCAGACTTCGTTGGAATGAATCTGACACATCGCAAAGGGGTTCGCATGTGGTCCAGAACCTGACTCGCACTTCCGAGAAATGAATCACGTCGCACACGCGGTTTGAAAGCTTCTGCGGGTGCCAATCTGTCATCTAGACGCAAGTAATGCACGGCAAGAGTCCAAAAAAGCTCGCATCAACCGCTACTTCTCACCGTACACACAAAAGATGAATACCTGTCTTCTGGCCCATTCAAAATCTCAAGCCCCGCATGGCACGCGCTGAATAATCAGTCGTAGAACAAGCATCGAAATCATGGGCGAGCGGGCACCGGAGAAATAGAGTCAGGTGTATCATTTTCCCCTCCGCATTGCATCAAAACAGTCGACGAGTCCTACGAAGCGATCAACCACTGTGACACGGAGAAAGTCAGGAACAGGGTCAGAAGCAATACTGGAATAGCTCACCTTGGAGCTGTGTGCATATTGCCGGTTCCGAAGGAGGAACGAGGCAGCATCCAGAACGTCGTCGCAGACCGCCCACGCGTAAGGAATGCCGTCATCTGGCTCCTGAAAGTTGCGAGCGAGCGTCCCGGGACGCTTGACCCACATGCCGGAGACATCGAATGGTCGCGTCGATTCGATATCGCGAAATAAACTACTGGATATCATTGTCCAACACGCACGCGGAATTCTTGATTTGTCGTGGTATCGGAATATCATGTCGTAGAGATGCTTGTGAGGTCGGTAACACCTCACAGCGTCCCACGTGAAGAGCTCAGTGAAGTGAGGTTGCAACGCCCGAAAGGCTTTGCACTTGCAAAGTGTTCGGATATCAGCATCGACGACACCGGCGAGAACGAGCAGACCCGGTCTGAGTCGAGACATAGCCTCTATAGCATCGGGAAACAGGGGCCAGTCGAAGAACGATTCGACGAAATTGGCCGTTCCAACTGGGTCCGAATCTAGTCCGAGTCGCAAACAAAATTCACCGTACGATCTCGCCAGGATTTCGGAATAGATTGAGCCGGGACATCGTTGCTTAAGATCATCTTCGACGTCGAAGTAGAGCGAGAGAGCCTGGGATCGATCGAGAGAGTGGATGGACAGTTCTAACGAAGGAGCTAGCGCGTTGTAGATGCCTGTTTCGTTGTCCTGGGATGCAGATTGAGCCAAGCAGCAGGAGCAAGTCCTTCACGACAACTCACAATCAGGGTTCCGTAGAGGTCAACGTAGACAATCTGGATGTCGGGCGGAGATACCGGCGGGAGACGGTCGAAACCTTTGGATGTGAATGGTAGACCGGACATTTCGGCGAAGTCCAGATCATCCCCTTCGGGATAAAGAGGAAATCCGTCGGGGTCGAGTTCTATGGGAGTCTCCTCTCCGGGATCGGGGTCTTCATCCACGAGAGCAGCACATAGATCCACCAAGACTGCGTTTTCGAGGTCTTTCACTTCCTCCCCTCGAGGGTTATCTGGTGTGCCACACAAGGACTTGGATATCGATCGAAGATGAGCAACCGTGCCAAGCGGGAGGGCTTCCTCACACCTGCGCCATTCTCCAAAACATGACCGCCGTCGTGCTTGGTCGGGAAAGATGGGCTCGTGCGCTGGAAATACTGAGTAGACTGCAAGGACGTCGAGAGCGAAACCCACCGCTCTACGTCCTTGACCTCTTCGTGTAGTCGAGTGCTGGATGGTAGTTCCAGCACAGATTCCACGTCGAAGCTGACTTTGGCGTGAATCCAAGCCGGAGCGCTCCATTCCCCGGGAGCAGGACAAGCCTTTGTACTGTTATACGTGTTGAAGTCGGTCCAATAGGCATACTGCGCCTCTGCGAGAGCAGTGTCGATGCCGGCTTCTTCCATCTCACGTACGATCCCAGCACGTCTGTCCTCCTGGTCTATATCTCGAAAGACATACATGTCCTCATCGAGATAGGCTAAAGCAGGATCGGCATTGGTCGAGTCGAGGAAATTGCGCGACTCAGCCTGTGCGAAGGGAGATTCGAAGACAGGCTGGATGATGAATGCTTTGGACGTGTCGACAACACAAGGGCCATGGCGCCAGGGAAAGCGAGGCTCGATGACAGCGCGAGAGCCACAGGGGGATGCGACCGGAATGAACAACCTCGGCAACGCTTCCTTTCCATTTAAGGCGAGCACCGGATAGACCGCAGCTGGCATTTCAGGCTCGTGGGCCTCGACAGACACGAGAGCCAGATATCGGCCATGTTTTTCGGTATGCCGGGCCGCAGATGCGAGTAGAGGAGACCCCAAGTACGCGACCGAGTCCGCCGTCGAAGGGGAGACCAGAGCAAACAAGAGACGAAAGTCCGATCTCATTGGGGGCCCCGAACTCGTTGGTCCTCCCAGCTGGGTGTGACAAAGTGACAGCCCGATCTGTTGGATACTCGACTGCACACACACACACGTCACGAATCACGTTTCTCAAGATTCCTCGTCCCGATGGGCTTGTGTCGAAGTATGTGTGAGTTCTGAGTCCCGATCGACATACCAGGACACTCCCAAACACGATCTACGATTCACATCCTCAATCTCTTGAGAACAACGATGACTCGGTCGCTTCAGTCGCCATTTAAACGCACGGACAAGCCTTCCCTTGACTGCTGCCTTCCAGATGACCACGCGCAGTCCCTTTTCGCGCGAAGCCTTCTCGACTGCGGACGAATTTATCCCCCATGGCTTTCTGCTACATTTCCTGACGGATGCGAATATCAAGAGCACTGTTCTGAACCTCGATCCCACGGTGGCTCATCCGGCATTCATAGTCAAGATCGAGCGTTCGCACCGCGGGCAAATGCAGTCGCGTACCGTGAAGCTCTGGCTGGCGCCCATGTCCTCCAGTTGTCCTAACGGGTCAGCCTCGCAGCTCGCATCGATATATTATCCATCTTACCATTTTCAGGCGGCATCCCGGATGGCAGCAGATGTGTACACATCCCATCATGTTCAACCTGCCAGCCCAGTGGAGGTCGGTTGATGAGCGATGGTCACGACGCCCACATATCTGGGTGGGCCCACCGTTCGAGGTCAGCGTGACGTTGGGCGACAATACCGTGGCTTTCAAGATGAACTCTCCTGTGAACATGCGTGTCGCCTTCGGAAAGATGCTCAGGGACCAGAATTTTCATGCCTACTCGATGATGGCTGAATGGTTCAACTTCTGCCGTCAGTTGATTCCACTATTCATTGGCACTTCTGGCGGCTAATCCTATTCAGACTTTCTCCCAGGTCACGCTTATAACGACGGTGCGCACTCCTATTCCATCCGACTTCCCCACTGAACTGGAACAGTCAATATGCGTCGCTACCAACAAATGAAAGGTGAGAGATACTCTTCTTCGTAGACAGCGTCCGGGCAGCATATTCACCTCAATCTATAGATGAGGCAAGCGATTCCATCAAGCTTCTCATGATCCTTTCCAAGGACAGCTTCTATCCTCCTTGAATTGCTATCTCACACCACACACAGAATAAAATTCCCCGACTATTGAAAACCGTTTGTATTGTCGATTCTGGTAATGATTGTGACAACAACCTTGGAATAGGGCAATCCTCCGACATTCCAATATGTTGATGCAAGAACGCATGAAGATGTCAGCGAATCTGTTCAGATTCATCGCCCGAAAATTTGACCATACTACATTTAGGACATTCCGGACGAGTTCAAGCGTGTGCTTTGGAAATTCGGAAAATTTGCCACCAATGCAGTGAGCTCGTGACCCTTGAATTCTCGATTATCACTCTCAGCTTAATTCTAGCCTGGAAAACCAGTATTCCCTCGTGTTGAACCTGAGGATCTGGTGCGATTCCGAGTCTCATAGAAAGTAACGATCTGATAGTTCTGCACATATTGTTTCCGTATCGTAGCGGTCTATCCCCCACACCATTCATTACGTTGTGCTCGCTCTCCCAGACTTTCGGCTCCAACTGATCAATCTCTCTATAGGCCGGGCCAACCACTGAAGAATCTGCCTCCTCTTCCCACATATCAGTGAGCGCTAATCATCAACTTGCCTACGACCGCTTTTCATAGTGAATCACAGGGCCAGAATCAATCGTTTCAGCATCCTTCAGAAGTGGTGAGAGCTCACATGTGAAACGCGTAGGCTCGCATTGACGATTCTTCTTTGCCCCTGACAGTCGTCCTTGAGTTCTTGGGTATGAACCATTGTATGCGCATTACTGAATTTGTTCATAAACTTGCCCACAGCGTCCGTCTCCGCAGAATTATCCGTCGTTCTCGACGACGACTGATCTTGCACAAGAACAAGGTATGTGCATGCAATTCTTGTCAGGTCTATTATGGACGCCACTGATTTGAATTTTAGCACAATCGCAAGCTGCTTATTGGAACCGGAACTTGCAATCTCCATATGCGCAGTACCAACTTCCTTGGAATGCGCAGCACCAGCATCCCCCTTACCAATACCCTTCGCCAGGAAGTGCTGGTTTAAATCAGTATTCTGCGACGTCGTTTCATCCCGGTTTCATTCCCGGCTCACAAGCCTCATTTCAATGGCCGCCTTTCGATCCTCCCCAGCAAGCGGAAGCCTTGAATGTCCAACCCGACTACAGCAGCGAGCAAACTTTGCCCAACTATCAAGCCCCTTTCATCCCCGGTACTGAGTAACTATCCCGGCCTTGATATAGGCTCTGATCACATTCACAGGACCGTCTGTATCGCCTCCGCTATGGGATTCACAAGCGGGACGTCACTACATCCTTTCAGCATCGGGACAAAAGCAGTGGCTGTCTTATTGACTCTGTCAACGTACATAACGATCTCCAAATGTCCGTTCCAAGCCTGCGAGAATAACGATAGTGAACTTTGACGGCAGAATCGCACGTTGACATTACCCGTCCAAAATCCTGCAGATCGCTCACCAAAAAGTTGGATTGATACTGCGTGCTTCATGTAAGAGAGCCCCTTCCAGTCGTTTGCGATAGAACTGTATACCGATGCCACCCTCCGAAACGATTTGTGCTGGAGCGTCTCTTCCGTCTATCCAGTGGATCTTAAGACTAGTCTCACGGACGGCCAGCGTTTTGTAGATCGAAAGTGATTTTTGGCCCACTTCTCGCTTTCCGTTCGGATGGAGAGGAGTTGAAGGATAGCGGTGTGAACATTGAGCGCGATGGTGTCGAGGAGGCTTCTGTATGACCGAACGCGATGTCGTATAGACAGACAGTACTCACCGTAATAGTCACTCATCTCCCCGAAAGATTATGCGCTATCCATAACGAAGCGCGTCACTCTCACCGCGCTGGAAATGCCTCGGTAATCTGACGCGTTCAATCACGTATGTAATATACGGTCTCCGGGGTACCTGGTTATCATCGCACACCAAGGCCCTCACTGGTTATCAGCCCTGAGTCTCCCTCGATCTTCTTCGCGACTGAGTTTGTCGACTGACTGGTCGACAGCCCCAAGTTTTCGCCAACGACGAGGCAGAGATCGGTGCTGCAGACCACTCTTTGTGTGTTGCACTGTCAGCACCGGACGATCTGCTACGAAGTATTAGAACCACGAGTTCGTAGTGGAAGCAGCAAGAACGACATACCAGGTTTCAAAGTGGTGCTGAACGTCCCGTACCCGACTCCCGCTTCCGCACAGTCAGATGCTCCACATCGATATCGGGCATCGGGAACGGCACCTTGAGCACGGCGACGAACTTGGAGTGCTTTGGTATCGGCGAAAGTGTCCCAAACTTGACACGCAAGATTTCGGCGTTCTCGCCGCTCGGTTCTCGAGGACCTGGCACACGGGGGCCAAGATGCGGCCCGATGCGGCGCACCTTGACGGTGCACGTCCAGGGCACCTCCGAGTCCTCCGGATCGCTCTCGTCCCCCGAATCGTCCCGCTGCTCGTCCTGGTGCAGCACCAGCGAGCGGCGCCGGTCGTGTTTGACAGCCAAGCTGTCCTCTGAGACCGGATTGAAGCTCGAGCTGCTCTGGCACGAGAGGGCGCCCAGACCAAGACGCTTCATGGCTGGGAACCCCGCCGATCCTCTATTTCAGCATCCCCAGGCTGTTCACCGCCTCTGCACCTATCCCGGTCTTCCCACACTTCCGCCTTAAGCACATCCCCATATCGTTCACTATGCCGGGGTCGAACCTTTTGCCTATCCCTTCGGCAACAGACAAAAGAACCATCCCGTCACTTCTGACTAACATGCGAGTTGCATTGCGCCAAAAGCCACACGATCAAGCCCGAATCCTGGAAGCAGGCGTTGATTCTGGGCCGTTGGATTCATACCATGGACTATGACAGACCGCATAGCTTTCATTACATCCTTGTCGCATCTCCACCGCCCATTTTGCACGCGAGAAATCCTCGCGCCCATTCTAGGTGCCTTGCATTGCCCGTGACTTTGACGTGACAGCCCATTGCGGATTTGAGCATGGAAGACTTGAAATAGGCATATAAATGCGCTATCATTGTCAATCCAGACCCCAAAGGCCATGCTAAATGTCGACGAACAGAGCTGGTTAGAGTGTGACTCCCGGCCACGTGCATACCACCACGGCTGTGACACGAGTACAACGCGATCACATGATATTCGATACGTCCGTCACGTCTCGGATCCGAACGCTCAATTGACGGGAGACGTCTTTGAGGTGCTTTCGCAATGCCTGAACCATATTATAGGACCAGAGATCTTTTTACATCAGGAATTGTACTGCTCAGTGGCCCGTGTCCAGTCTCACGCTAAAATGCGGAAGCAGCCCCGGTGATTCCCAGCTGTGACAGTCTGTGACTGAGCAATGAAACGGAAATCCTGGCCGAAGTATGGGTATCCTATGCTTTGATGATACCTGAAAACCGGAAAAGAAACACTAATCACAAAAGGCGCCCTCACGAAATGCACAGAGTGATAACACGACTGACACTGGAAGAACGTCAGGCTTAGTTGCAAGTTTGCGGGCTACTATCTATTGACGCGGTTCGGAAGATTCGGACGCTGGCAGCGTGAACAATATATGTGGAGTGGGCCTGGATTCTGCTATCTCATTACTGACTCGTTCTTCGAAGGAATTCATCATGAACGTCTTCGTGGCCACCTCCGCATACATCGGAGGAATGAATCAAACCACTGACAAAGGCTTCATCGCATGTGTTCAATACCTCACTCACCATTGGATGCTCTTGCTATCTAGAACTTCGGGAGAATGAATCAAATCACACATGCGGCTTGCAGGCTTCTGCGGGCGCTCATCTGTCATATCAACGCAAGGAATGCGCGGCAAGCGTACAAAAAAGGGCTTACTTCTCACCATACACACAAAAGATGGACATCCGTCTTCTGCTCTATTCAAACCCTGAAGCTCCGCAAGACACGAGATGATACGCAGTGAGAAATCAGAAGCATAACAAGCGGCAAAATCATGGGGGAGCGGAGAAAAAGTCAGAGGTGTCATTTTTCCATCTGTATTGCACCGAAAATAGTCGACGTGTCCTACGAAGTTACCAGCCACTGTGACACGGAAGCAGTTAGAAACAGGGTCAGAAGTAATACCAGAATAGCTCACCTTGGAGCTGCGTGCCCATTGCCGGTTCTGGAGAAGGCACGAGGCAGCATCCAGAACATCGTCGCAGATCGCCCACGCGTAAGGAATGCCGTTCTCTGGTTCCTGAAAGTTGCGATCGAGCGTCCAAGAGTGCTTCACCCACATCCCGGAGACATCGAATAGTCGCGTCGATTCCATATCGCGAAATAAACTAGATATTATCGTCCAACACGCCCGAAGGATTAATTATCGTAAAACTGCTGGTTAGGTCAGTAAGACATCACAGAATCCGACATGAAGAGCTCGGTGAAGTAAGATTTCAGCGCCTTGAGGGCTCTTCACCCGGACAGAGTTTCGATGTCGACATCGACGACGCCGGTGAGAGCAATCCGTGAAACCAGCCTATCGTAAGTGCTAGCTAGAGCATCCGCGCGCGTGAAATCAAAGACCTTGTGGAAGATTTGGACGCTGTTATTCGATTCCGCGCCCAAGAAATGACCAGGACATGGGTACCCACTGTTACTGAGATCATGGAATTGGATCATCCCGAGTCACAGTCACGCAGTATCCACAAGGCCGGAGATTGCCGATCCAGGGAGGGGCAGTCTAGAACGAGATCCTTGAATCGCAAGCACATTCGGTTGAATTTTTTAAATCTAGTCGGTACATCGCCTCTTGCCGATATACACGACTGTGATTGTGGCACACATCTCATAGAACACGTCCGTCGGAGCTCACCAGTCGTTTTCTGCGGCGACGTCCGCCGCGCACCGAGGTTTGACCGACCTTTCCGCTCGACAAGAAAAAAACTAGGCGGATTTGAGTATGCCCCCTCCGAATCAGGAGTGGGTGAGTGCTCATGACTCGCTTGAGGCGTAATCCTGACGTATGTCCTTGACCGCAGTTTAATTGAACCACATCAGGGCCCTGCCCATCACTCTCAGCGCGTACAATTCTTCGCACCAGCAACAGCAGCCGCCGCAGTACCCAGTCCACTGGTATAAACGTTTTCCGCAGTATCCCGGAAGCAATGCCTTGAGTCTGAGTGCCCCGGTTCTCAGTTCATCCGAGTGGGATGGATTCCCAGCCCAGTTCTTCGCAGCCGCTACTCTACTGTTCCGGCGCAGCCGTTCCAAGTGCGCAACATTCATTCTTGCATTCATTGCAGCTTTAATCCAATGGCCCATTGGATCGGCTGTTCCCAGCGCGTCGTCTCAGCAGTATTATGAATGGGAGCATAACGATGCATCTCACAATCAAATCTGATATCGCCGGGGAAACAAATCACAGGCCAAACCAGCTGTATCACTTCGTTTACTCATGCAATACACGGTCTCTATCCCAATACCACGCATGAAAAAAGCAACGAGTTTTAGTCATCCCCGGATCCTCCATCCATCTCCTTTTCGACTGACTTTCCCGACCCCGCCGAAATTTTCGCGCACGACGAGCCAGAGCCCGGTGCTGCATATCACGTCCTTGATCTCTTCGGCTGTCAATATCAGACCGTGTCCTGCGAAGCTGTCAGAACCCCGACATTGCAATGGAAGCAGCAGCAAGAGCTGTCGGTCGGACATACCAGGTTTCTGAGTAGTGCCCAACGGCCCCTGCCCCGACTCCCGCTTTCGCACAGCTATATGCTCCACGTCGACATCTGGTAGCGGGAACGGCACCTTGAGCATGCCGACGACCTTGGGGTGATGGGGTGTCGGCGACATCGTCCCAACCTTGATACGCAAGACCTCGGCGTTCTCGCCGCTCGGATCTCGAGGATGGGGCTCACGAGGGCCAGGATGCGGCCCGATGCGGCGCACCTTGACGGTGCACGTCCAGGGCACCTCCGAGTCCTCCGGATCGCTCTCGTCGCCCGAATCGTCCCGCTGGTCGTCCTGGTGCAGCACCAGCGACCGACGCCGGTCGTTTTTGACAGCCGAGCTGTCCTCCGAGGCTGGATTCAAACTCGAGCTGCTCTGGCGCGACAGGGCAGTGAGACTGAGGCGCTTAGACGCTGGGGAGCCCAGCGGGCCTTTGTTCGAGCGTTCTCGCAGGCTGTTCGCCTCGTCTGTACCCGCCTTGGAGTCTTTCGTGCGCCGCCTGGGCTTCCCGCGCTTCCACTCGAAGCGCACCTCAACGTCGTTCGTGATCCCCGGCTCGAATCCTTTGACCATCCCTTTGGCCACGGACAACAGCCCCGTCCCGTCGCTTTTGAGCCATTTCCGGACGACCCACACATAAAGTCCCGGCCGGCCTTTGGGAGGATGGACCGGGGATGACTGTGTCGGGAGGACACCGAGGATCAGCGCACGCGCCGTGGCCTGTGTCGGCTGAGGCGCGGGTATGTTTTCGGATGGCATCTCCTGGTTGCTGCTCATCGACGTTCGCGGCGAGGCGACTGGGAGCGCATTCGTCGACGACGAAACGGCTGGAGACCGAAGCAACCCTGTTCCAAATCGGCTCTTGGATTTCGTCGGCGTTATTGGTCCATCCTCGCCGTCCTCTTTGCGCTTGAAAAGCTTACCCAACCCAAAACGCTTCTGCGGCGTTGGAGTTGGCGGATTGTCGCTCGGGGGTTCAGGGATGGAAAAGGAATGCGCGCTGCTCGAGACAAGCGATGCCTGAGACGACGCAGGGTGTTCTGGAGTCGCCGGTCGACTGCGCTGTAGCGGTGGGGAGAGCAGTCCATTGCTGGCATTGCTCATCACACTCGATCGCTTCCCAATATTCCGACTCGGAGCCACACCTAGCTCACCGCCATAAACCTCGATCGGCTCTAGCATGGCGAGATCCAGCATCTCTATCCCACGCCTCCCAAATCGCGCGATCTTGGCGTCCGTGCCCGCGTCGACGATCGTGTTCGTCATGACATTGTGCGCTTGCAGACTGTACAGCGGGACTATCATCCGCCGGCTGCTGATGCTCGAGGAGACAGAACTAGTGCTGACGGACGAGTACGTGGACGAGGCGATAGATCTGTTCGACGGCGATCTGGACAGCGGCATGCCGGCGTCGTATTGAGAACTCCCCCCCGCTGAGACTGGCACATTGATCGGTGAAGAGCTGGGGGGCTGACCCAGGTCGAGCGACTGCCGCGAAGCACTGGTCAGTCCCGATGGCGCGCGGGCATTTGGAGGGACCAGTTGGACTTGTAGATTGAGAGGGTGGTTGTTTTTTGCTGGTGGCGGTCGCACAAAGATGAAGGTCTGCGGGATGTCCGGTAAGCAATGTATGTACATCCAGAGTGTGAGAATGGCGCCAAATTATGAATCCGCAGAGTAGGAAGCAAGATCGCCACAAGTAGAGTGTGAAAACGCGAGGCGATTGTTAACGCCGGCGACCACGCAGGTGGGCAGAACAGCATTCATTCTTGATCAGTCCACGCGCACAGAAACATCAGATCGTGTACAGCTCGATCAAAACGAGAGTAGCTTCTGCATCCTCGTCCCGGTTCTGAGACATCCGGCGCAGTGCGCAGTGACAAGCCCCCGGGTGCTATGCGGCGCAGCGAAGATGAAATGTCAAGTTGCCTAAACCTCTCATGCGTGAATCATTCCGCAGACTAGTCTGCATCGCCTGGGCTGATCTTGTTCCCGGTCCGCAGGCAGCGGCGTCAACGCACAGCGTCGGCGCAGACGACAATAGAGACAGATGGAGCAGGCAGAGAAAGACCCACCTCATTCGGATACCTGATTTTCCTCTGTTTAGACGCTCCGGGATCCTCCACCTTGACTTCGGACTTGAGCTCAGCGCCGTCGGCATCGTCGACCTGGTCCGCGTCCGCCCGGATCACTGACGTTGGCACAGGTGTCGGCGTCGGCGTCGGCGCCCTGTTGAGCGTGCTGAGCGTCGAAGGGAGGAGGTTGGAGAGCGACGAGAGCATCGCTCGCTCGTTCACGGTGTTGTAGTGTTGAGAAAGAAGAGTGAGCGCAGTCGGGCAACAGACAAAACGAGACAAGACACAAAACACATTATGATGGTGTGTGAAATAGAGACGGATCCGTCGGCTATGCGGCGTGACTTCATAACACGACGTAAGCGTCTTGGCGAACCATCGATCGTATCCCCTTCGGGAGGGTATTTCCTGCTTTGACTGAACGGTCAGGGGCAAACCCACGGACGGGGGCTTTCGTCAACTGCGCTTGCCTTTAAAACAGCTAGCTAGCTCGTAGTCTACGAGCAGGGATATATGTACTACTGTGCGTTTATCGGAAGGCGAGATATTTTACACTCCCGCTTGGGCCGCAAAAAACAGTCGTTTGCGGACCGGCTACTGTAGATCCGGCTTGAATTCGATTGATAACTTGATATGTGCGGCCTGAAGCCTCAAGGGGGGAGGGCCGACTTGCCTTATTTCCGCGATCGGGGTGAAACCCGGTCAGTCTGACGATCTGTAAACACCGTGTCCGATGCACGTATCCTCCGGGCCGAAATTCTGTGCATCCACCATGCGCCCACAGTCAGCATCCACCTTTCCGAGCGGAACATTTCCTAACCCGTTTACCCGTAGTCAGCAACCCTGACACAGCCGGAGCGGGGGTCTGGCCCTGGATCCGATGGATAAGTAGATAGCTAATCCACTCGACGATGAGCCGGTCGGGCGAATATTTTGCACACTCGTGTTGTTGAACAACGGTCTGATAACTGAGATTGTGTCGTACCTCAGCGCTCCTCCCGCCTAGGAGGGAATTGGTATCAGGAGTCGACGACCAGGTAAAACAACACGACGATCACTGTTTCAGAGATGACGTCTATAAATGACCATCCCGCGATACTTACTCTGGATGTTCATCTCCGTTCAAAGGCACAAGTGACGCGTCGGTGACGCGTCGAAAAAGCGGCATATCGTCAAGTCAGCTGATCGATCCTTAACGCAAAAACACGTGCAGATCTTCCGGTCTGAAAATGAGAGCAGCCCCACTTCGATTTTACTTGGGTACAATACGCAAAGCTACTACCTCACGCAGTCAAGTCACACGCGCCAGGCCTCAAAACACACCATTCCGGCTGCAGCGAGTTTGCAGCGACACCCCGGGCGCGGAACCGGTACACGACCTCGTGCAACCTCGGCAATGCCTTCTCTACATCTCCACCAGGCCCGCTCCAATACAGCTCAGCAGGGGAGGCCGCACGGGGCCAGACGGTGCTGTCGAGGTTGGCCGGGCTGCTCTGCTCAGTCCACAGCAGGGACTGTCCGCCCAGCACCAGGCTGTGCTGTGCCTCGGTCAAGTTTGCCAGCGGGTCAAACGAGTACATCTGCGGCAGATGAGCCGAACTGTGCAAGGTAGGATGGGACGATATGGAGAACGCACGCTCTGCCATGTCTTGTATGGATCGCACCAGCTGTTGCCAGCGGGGAAGTTGCCGACCCAGCCACCGTGTCCGCAATCCAAGTAAAAGTAGTTCGAGGCAGCATGCACCACACGGAATCCGGCCTTGGCGACGGCAGCGACATCATCTGACGAGATCCACACGAGGACTACTGTGTCGTTAGCCAGATCGACCGGGTCAGCGAGTACCATCTCTGTACTTGGGTGAGTCCCTCACAACCAAAGCCAGCAGTACAACACACCTTCCCAGACGACGGGAGTCTTCCCTACCTTCCTGATCGCTGCGTGGTTGACCTGCGTGAAATCATTCAAGGCTTGAAGGAATGTCTTGTTCTGAGCAGCAAGTTCAGCCTGCGTCTCCTTGTCCTGGGTGTAGCAGTTCTGGTTGATCTCGTCGCCCCCGGTAGAGAAGAACGAGCTCGGGAACATCTTGGCTGCAGCAGACAGCAGACCGGCAGTGAACTTTTGCGTCGCTTCAGAGGCAAATCGCAGCTGGCCCGCGGGTGGCTCATTGGCGAAGGATGCCCAGGGCGTCGCCCCGGGGCAGGCTACGTGCTCGGGGAACGCGCTGGCAATAACAGCTGTGTGTCCGGGCGTGTCGATTTCGGGAATGACATCGATCCCGCGCTGCGATCCAAATCAGCGTTGAGAAGGCCGATCAAAAGAGTCGACGCACGGCAGCGGCATACGTGACGATGTTCTTGACGTCGTCGGTGGTGTAGACGGACGACGGCGAATAGGCGCCCTTCTCAGACAGCACTGTGTACCCAGGAATGACGACAGGGAAGCTCTGGCTGTCTACCATGTGCCAATGAAGAGTGTTGATCTTATCGGAGACCAGTCATCAGACCGGTGCAGATTTAGATATCAGAACCCAACCCACCTTCACCCAGCTCATCGCGTCAATGGTCCGCAGAATGTCAGCGACGGCAAAGTAGCTGGCAGGTGACCCATCAGATACATCCAGAGTGCTCCAAGGTCAGCTGCGACGCACTTTCGGGCCGTGTCCAGCATGAATCCACGGTACGGATAGGCGGGTTTGTCTGCGATCGTGAACGGTGCCTCCAGCGTGTACGTGTTTCCGTCCAGCTCGAACCAGATCTGCTCGAACGTCGCCAGTCCGCGGAACAAGCCGAGCGTCGAATTGGCAGAGAGTGTCGCGCCGGTGCCGTCGGCGGGGACGAGTAGCGTGTAGCCTTCGTCGCGCTGCTCGATGGGCGCGATCGCCTCGGCGGAGATGCTGTTCACGGCAGCACCCTTGGTTAGAGTCAGGGTGAGCGCCGGCAGGCTCTTGGCGTGAGAGATCGCGTTAGCCGACGACGCGCCCCGGTCAACGACGAGCGCGGCGAGTTTGTCCTTCACGAGGAAGCCTTTCGTGCGGGACACCGCGGCGGCGAGGTCTGCGGGGGGATGCGGGAGGGCGATGTGTATGTCGAACGAGTGGGCAAGCTTGAGGGGCGTCGTGCCCGTCGCCAGACTCGACGGCAGGGGCCAGAGAGCCTGCACTTGGAGTGCTGGCAGCAGAACTGCGCTGCATGCGAGGAATGCCGACGCCTTCATAGCTGAACGCGTACAAGGGGAGAAGATGGAGAAGCGGAGAAGGGCCGGTTCAACGTCTCAAGAACACCAGCTTTATAAAGGCAAAGCAGGTTCTATAGATCATCTCGACAATCCCGCTCGATGGAAGCATGATGCATACAGCCTGACTATATGGCCTGGCGCCTGACTATGATTGTCTGAATTTTAGTTTCACATGTGGGATGACGGAGAGGTTGTCAACGAGGAGAAGGATACTCCGTCCGATGTCCACGGGAGCAGACCCGCGTAAGCAGGCACATATAAAGAGAGACCGGTCGGAGAGTATGGGATAATTCAGGGTGGTAGAGGACTCGGTCTTACGACAGCCAACCGTGGACTTTCCTCGACGACCCGGGATGAGACCGACCCTGACTATACTGGGCAGGATGTCTGACCCGGTTATACGTATGAAAACGACCTCGAAATCCGGAGTACTTAATTTTAACCCTTTCGCCAACAGCATGGCCCTTGTGCGACCCTCCGCTCCAGCCACCATCCCCGTCGAGATCATCCTCCACACCACTTGCATTGAGCGAGAAGGGTCTTCTCCAGCCGTCCAACTCCTAGTTCCTGCTGATAGATGGCAGTCGTATCACGGCTTTGCGAGCGATGTGATGAATAGGTCGATGTTCGCTTCTTCTAGCCGCACGGGCGATTGAAGAGTCCAGTTGGAGTCGTAGCAGCGAGAAGTATTAGGGGGAGCGAATGTGCGGTCGATGTACGTGATAAACATGCGTGAAGTCTCAGGGCGCCGGGAGGAATGAGCATCGTGTCTATCATTGGCTGTATCATCCGAACTGCATCAATACTTACTTTCAAGACTCGCACGGCTGCAGTCGGCAAACACCGCGAGGGGTGATTGTCACAATGATCGGACCCAGAGATGATGAAATCACTGATGAGATCATCTCGTGGCCAACGCTATATGGTCAGGATGTTCACATGGAAGCTATGGCATGCGAATTCTTGGTCAGAACAGATTGCAGAGCCAAGATGAGGCAATCTGAGCCATGCTCCAAAAGCCAAGTGGCGATAGGCATACGACAACTGGAATGTCGCTTCTGGATAGCTACGCAAGTACGGAGAAGCTGACCCCCATCGGCGTGCAAATCCAGCACACGCTCTCGAGCTTAGATAAGGTAAATTGAATCGCCTCTATTAGAACCTCGGTTCTCCGCACAGCCGTGAAACGCGATCACGTGAGTATTTAAGCCTCCACACATCAGGGGCGCCCCTCCTTCGATGCGAGGTCATATATTGAATGAGTGCTTTAGTTGACAAATCCGAAGGGCGGAAGGCCGCTTCGACTGCGTGGTCCTTACAGGTCTCGATTGCCAAATCCATAGGGTTAGACACCCTTCCAATGTTCTAGCAGCGCAGCTCATCTTTAGTCACCACTCGAAAGGAGATATCAAGCTCTGGAGCTCGTCCGTCCGTCCCCCTCAATCGAAGTTCGTTATTGTGATGTTTCGCCGATGAGCTCCCGGGTGGGCGTGGGCGAATCGGAATCAATAGAGTATGGAGGCCGGGAATTATATGCTGATAAGCGGAGGACATATCACTGATACGCGAAAGTTTGCCGACATGGCATCAATGTCATGATGCGCTCTATGTCATGATGCGCTCTGTCTGGACCCCGAACGCTCGTTAACATGTATGAAAAAGGCCAAGTACATGCACTGTAGAGTAGCGATAGAGCGTAACTACTTACATGAGACTAGACAGTCCAAAAAACTTGCAGTAACCGGAGCATACATGCTGCTCAGGAAACTTCTCGAAGAACCTGCCTGAATTGCCACCACCAAACAGACCACGTTCGAGAGTCCTGATGATCCAGTCAGATATCAAGAGCACGCAGATTGACACAGCAGTGGACTGCGCACGGTGAAGTCATAACCTGCGGATCCGTCAAGAGATTTCCGGAGCCTTGGATAGAGTTAGTATGAAACAGTGAGCCAGATCGAATGAACCGGCCTTGAAGATCAGAAAGAAAGACCAAACGCCCGGTGTGTTCGTATTGGACATGTTGTGTAAAACAGAGGAACGATGCCAACAGCTTGAGATCTTCTGGAAGCGACGGAACGGGCACTGCACTATTGTTATTGATGTACTTCACAAAATTGCCTGAAATTCAGTGAGCAATATACTCGAGTCGTTGCAGAGAACAAATCCGTTCCAATTAATTCTTCAATGAGATATGATCGTCGGAGTGATGTCATCATTTTGCTCGACTTGCCATCTGCCACCGCATTGTGAACCAGAGCAACGCCGGCCTCGACAAAGCGGACTTCAAAGATAGGGAGGTCGCCTGGTGGCGCGACATGCTTTGATATGTAGTTACGCACGAAAGAATAAACGAAACTGAGAAGGGTAGTGCCCCAGAATAGGAGATGTGCCTCCGATACATGGTGCGCATATTCATCGATGGGGTTGAAGTGGATCAAGACGCTATTCTCGTTGTTCTTGAACATGCGTTTCGCGGCAACGGCTTGATTTGGAAGCGCTCCGAGGGGTGTGGTTGGCAAAGTGGACAGCGTCAGAAACGCAGAATGAGCAGATTTGAACGAACCGATCCCCAGAGGCTTCTCCGAAGGCTGGAAGCTTAGTCTTCCGTTGGGTATTCATCCCGTGGCTTCAGGGCGAGCTTGAGCTGTATCGGCATCGCGTGAACAATACCGCAAAGCGCTGTGATCGTAACAAGATCCTTCCTCACAGTGTTCCGACTAGCATGTTTGAGTTCCCAGAGGATTACGCCATCCTCGATTTCAAGGTACGAGTCCGATTTCATCAAGTACAAGCCACTAACTACTAGTCCCTTACAGATCAAGGTCGATCCTATCGGTATTGAAAAAGTCCGACAGATGTACGCACCACCTGATCATGACGTCTTTCTCCTTGTTCCCCCTGACTTCGAGATCGCGATCTTGGATATCTATGCAAAGCTTAATAGCCCTATTGTGGACCGGGACTCATGTTGGGATGTATATCTCCAGCTCCTGAATCGCCTCAAGGAGTTGGATCAGCTCAACAATGTCAGGGGACGCCGCGCTCCTTGGGCACGTGACCATGCACGTGACCCACTGCACCCTCTCTGCCGACCCGTGCCTGCTCACCTGTCGATCACCCAGCCTCCTCCTCCTCCTCCGATCCTCATCTCCATCCATGCCAACATCCGCCCTTTCCCTTCTTCCCCCGGCCATCTCCCTCGAATCCCCGCAAGCGGTCTAGCCAAGCCCGATTCCTTGCACCAGGGAGTGCTACTGCCGTATGCACTCCTCCCCCTTCACTTCGGCCTTCTCCCCGCGGATGTGGTCTACTGCCGTACAGGCTCGTACCAGATGCCCTTGCGCTCATCTGCACCACCCCTCTTCCCAGTTGGGCATTGGTCCTCGCCTCCAATGTCTCCACTGGCCGGCCGGGCACTGGCCTGGCCGCTGGGCTCCTCCAGTGTGGCCTTCCACTGTTGGTGTCTCAGGAGCTGGCCATCACTGGCCCCTCTGAGCCACTCACTATCTTATCTGGGTTTGTCATTATCTACTTGTCATCTGCCATTGTTCCATGGCAGTGATATCCCATCATCATCAGTCACTTGTCACAGCTGACTATATAGTGTGACACCTGGGCACATGGATCCTTGAACCGTTCTCTAAGGATCCCCCTCTGTGCTCAGGTGAGTAGTATACCTCCCTTGTATTTGATAGTCTCTAAGGATCCCCCTCTGTGCTCAGACTCATGTGAGGTTGTTGTGTGCTGTGTGCTCTCTTCCTTCGGGCTGGCAGGAGTTGCCCTTACAAACAATATCGATCAGAGTGCCGATGCAAGGTGGGGGCATGTGCTGACCCAGCCGGTCGATAAAAACATTCCCCTTCTCCCAAACTTGCAGGAACTGCAGGGCGGTGAGGGGGTCGTCGGAGAGGGTGCTTATTATATGGGTGGAGTCAACAATGGGGATGGTCTCGGTATGTTCCATTACTTGGGAACCTTACTGTTCACTGACTCGTCTCCTTTCGGAGGTCCTGAACATCACGCACGTCTGAACGCAATGATCAACGATATCGAGCCCGAAGTGTATCCCATGCCCAACTCCCAGTTACCGGATGACGCTCATGCATTGTACGCATGGTTCTCGGACAAAGAGGACTCTCAGGATTTCAATGATCATTGGTAGTACATACATGCTGACGAGCAGTGATGCGCCCTAGCCCTGAAATCAATCGATCACGTGCACGAAAAGATCTCAATGGATTTGTCAGCGAGCTCATCAAGGTTGTTGCACGTGATCATTCTGATCATCACTGGATGCCTCCGGCGGGGTCCTATTTCGGAGTTCGTCTCCTTGTTGTGCTCACAGGACTCATTCATTTCGGCAAAATTCAGCACTGACTAAAGAAATAAATTAACATAGAGCTCAATGGTCACCATATCAACAGGAGGTTCAAGTTACTTATCTCCTTTGGATTTGATTCACACTTACTGTACCGTGCCAATCAAATCGTCAGTCACGCGTCACAGGCTGCCTGACGAAGTCGAAATTTGTTTTGATGTCACGCATCACATGCTCAGGTGACGAATTCATTTTTCCGTTCGGAAATAAATAAGGCTTGTGGGGTTCAGCTGAAGTGTTAAAAATACTTGTGTACCCTTCCCTGTGTTGTTTTGAGTCTGTCTGGGGCTATCACACAGATAGCTTCAGATCAAGTTGCAAGCAACTCATAGGGAGGTGAATGCATGACCTGACGAAAAAATCAACATGTCACATGTCATGGGGGGACCTGACGAATTGACGAATTGACCTTTTGTGTCACGCATCACACCCCCTGACGATTTGATTGGCACGGTACAGTAGTATAAAAGACCTGTAGTACAGTACAAGAAAAACAAGAAATCTTCTTCACCCACTCTCTAGAGTCTAAAGTGACTTCCCAGTACTTTCTATCTCGCTTTCTCGGCGCCTGCTTCTGCATTATTTTCCCAACATCGCCCCCAAACCCCCATTTCGTGCTACAGACATACATATTGATCTCCCCGTCGTTCTATCGTCCTCTCGTCCTGTCCTCCGTCGTCATTATCGTCCCATCGCCTGTTCTATTGTCCCTTTACTCCCCCTGTTGCTCGCTGCTGCCCCCGCCCATTTCAGTTAAGCCCATTTCCCCGAGCCTGACCTTGTTAGGATCAGAATCCCACAAATATACTGCGCGAGCTCGAGCCGCAGCTCCCTCCCCACGACCTCCGACTAGCCCCCTGTCTCTCCCCGTACAGCTGCGCGCTCATACGCTCCGTAGGCGTGTCAATGCTAGTAATACACTTCAGCGTTCGGGGTCCAGACAGAGCGCATCATGACATAGAGCGCATCATGACATTGATGCCATGTCGGCAAACTTTCGCGTATCAGTGATATGTCCTCCGCTTATCAGCATATAATTCCCGGCCTCCATAATAGAGAGGGGACAAGAGCCGATGCGTGGCCTTGGGCGATGCGGGCGTGGGACTCGGGGTAGCGAAACCTTTCAGTCGGTGGCGAAAGGTGCCAATAAGTTCCCCGTTAAAGTTCCGACGCGATACTGGTTCTTTATGTTATCCTGCTTCTCACGAACCGTCAAGCTACTGTGATCTGAGATTCATGTACGGGAGCCGCAGGCGTAGGTTCCTCGGCCGAACATGTTTGACTATGAGAAGTGTGAATCCAGCCAAGCCAGCTTACAGCACGTGTGCGATGTTCAAGTTTCTTCAGTCACGAGACCAGCATTTGCGAACCCTCCCAATGCCAGTCTCGAATGATTTCTACCCGTGCACAACGCTCGCCGTGGCTGACCGAACCAATCTGATTGAAAAGAAAGGTCTTACGCGAAACGAGGTTCTGACATTCACTGGAAGCGACCTGCAAGTTTAGGTTCTATGGCACGTTGTCCAATGTCAAGAAGCGGGCAATCGAGCACGGTGATAATCCTGCGGCGATGCGCAGGTTTTCCGAGCCCACGTTCTCACCGATGGATTATCCTTATCGGAAGTTACATACGGTACCTCCACGCATTCGGCGAGCGCGCGCCACCGTTCCACTCCTTGGCCGGTGGGATGCTTTCGGCCAATCTAATATCCTCAGGCTCTCGGTGGGATCGGCGTCGGGTAAGCCAGTGGCAGCGCAATCGCAGGCTACGGGGGATGTAAACGGGGCTCGTCATTCTCGCATCGTATTGCCCGAGGTGGGTAAGTCATGGCAACGGTTCCGAGCTCCCTGCCACGCAAAGATAGAACACCAGATAGAAATCGGGAAAACACGGGGACGCGTGTCGCGGAGCCTTTGCAACACAGGCGTAGCGCTCACCGGCGGTTCAGGAAGAGTGATGGCCGGGTGCGTGGTCAAAAATCGAAGGAGCGGTCTGACAGGTTCGTGACATGGACTTTACAATTGTGTGAGATCAAGCGATTACAAGGGTCTATGTATGCGAAAAAGTCTATGCATCTACTGATGCTCTAATGCTTCTCGATACCGGGTGTAGACCTAAAAGCCTCCGCAATGATGGCTAGCCCAGCATCGAGCTCCTCCTCGGTGATCGAGAGCGGGGGGGCCATCCTGAATGAGCTGCCGATCCCGGGGATGCCCAGCACGTTTGCGCTCAGCCCCAGCTCGAGCATCCGTGTCGCAAGCGCAGTGGCCAGCGCCTCGTCGGGCTCCTTTGTCGAGCGGTCCTTTACGATCTCCATGCCCTGCATGAGGCCGAGTCCCCGAATCTCCCCGATGCAGCTGTACTGCGCCTGCAGACCTAGCAGGAAAGAGCGGAATCGGCCGCCGAGGATCCCAGCGCGCTGTGCAAGGTTATCCCGCTCGAGCATCTCGAGCACTCGGAGGCCGACTGCAGCAGGAAGAGGGTCCGAGACGTGGGTGGTGACTAGAATAGAATCAGTGGTTCTGTTGGCAGTCTGACAGCTAGCTGAGCACTCACAGAAGGAGAATCCCCGCTCATGAGCGACCTGTTCGATCCCGGTTGACGTCACCACGGCGGAGAGTGGCAGGCCGGCCCCGAGCGTCTTCGAGAGTGTGAGAATGTCGGGGACGACTCCGTCGTGCTCGAACGCCCAGTTCTTGCCGGTCCGGCCTACTCCAGTCTGGGCCTCGTCGACAATCAGAAGCATGCCGCGACGCTCGCAGTGTTCTTTCAGGCGGCGCAGGTATCCTGGAGGAAGCACGATAACGCCTCCGGAGCTGAGGATAGGCTCGACGATAACGGCCGCCAGAGAGCCGACAGATTGAGAATCGATCATCGAGAATCCGTAGTCGAGCTCCGCCTTCCAGTCATACGTGCCGTCAGCGTTTCGGAAAGGACTCCGGAAGCCGTTCGGGGTCGGCAGGGCCAGCGAACCAGGAGCAGCCGGCCCGTATCCCTTGCGGGTGTGCTGATAGGTGCTCGACGCCGCCCCGAATGTAACGCCGTGCCACGAGTTGGCGAGTCCGACAATCTCAAACTTGCCAGTGTATAGTTTGGCAATCTGGGCCATAGTCAGCACGAACAGTTTTTCACAGTAGCATCAACAGGACAAACCCGAATCGCGCACTCGTTGCTCTCCGCGCCAGTTGATAGAAGCTGAACCTTGTCCAGACCCGCAGGTAGCATGGAGCTCAGCTTCGACGCGAGATCGACGACGGGCCGGCTGAGCATGCCAGAGTACAAGTGGTCGAGGCTGGCGACTTGCTTCTGGATCACCTCCACGATCTCCTTGTTGGAGTGGCCGAGGATGGCGCTCATCTGTGCCAGATGTTAGTCGAAAGCACGACAGTCGGAGACAGGACGAACTTGGCCGGACGTGAAGTCGATAATTTGCTTGCCCTCTGAGTCGTAGAGGAAAACGCCATCGGCGCGCTCGATGATCCTCCGGATGAAGGACCCGCCGCCAGAGTATCGAATGAGAGAACCGTCGGCGCGTTCCCAAAAGTCAGCGTTGGTGTGTACAGCAGTCATGAGTAGAGGAGACAAGACAATTGGGTTGTGCGACAGGGGTTCGTCCTTTTATGGTAGGCTATACCTTCCCCGTCGGGAACGCGGAAATCCCAAAGGTGGAAAACGGAGAAGAGGAGAGCAGGAGAGACTGCCGACGCTGATCGCTTTCATATGTTCGGCTGAAGGTTTAGAAGGTCTTGCACGCCGGAAAATGTATCGGAATTTTTTGCGGGGAGCTGAAGTTGATCATCAGTGGTCATCAGTCCTTGGGAAAAGAACTCGCCTCCGCCAGATAAGATAACAATTTACCGCGGCATGGGCCATGTCGAAGTTGATGGTTCATGAAGTTTGCGAACGTGGTAAGTAGACAGCGGATGAGATCATGAAAAGGCCTACTAATCGGAGGCTGATCCACGCTGCAGACTGTAAGCAAACAGCGCCAGAGGGTAGATAAGCACCTGCAGCTATCTCATGTACAGGGCCCAGATCCTGAGCTATATCCGCTGGGTAATGCCCTCACAATGTCCTGGATGTCCTCGCTTTCTTTCTGGGGTGGACTGTCCCCTTATGTCCCCCGGCCAAAACTGGATCCGCGGCGGCCGATCCCCGCTCATACGATCTATCGGTTGAGATGATGTGATGCCCGAATGACGGCGCCAGACCAGATCTCAGGTCGAGCCAGAAAATCGCGCCCCACCCGCCGAGTGGAGCGAGGGCACCAAGTACAAAAATGTCTGGCTCACCAACATTGCATATGTTTGTTTTTTGATTGACCAGCCACCCATCTTATCTGGGAATGCCGTGACCACGAGGTGTCACGGACAAGTCACCGTATTCTCTTTCCCCTCATTCCATCAAAGCGATCGCTCAAGTGTCCTACTCTCGTCGTGCCCGACGGCCAAACGAATGTCGCTCCCCGAGGAACTTGCAAGCGAACGTCCATACCGGTCCCGCAAGAGCCGGCCTTGCGATAGGTGTCGCTCGCGTAAACAGCGGTATGTCAGCCGAAGAGACTCTCAGACTGACCGTTGATGGGTGGGGGATACGTAGGTGCATAACGAAGCCGAGTGGGACGTGTTTGAATTGCCAGATATCCGCGGTAGCTTGTACGTTCGACTCGCCAGCGGCGGCGGATCTTCCTCGGCCCCGAGTTAAGAAGCCCCCGGGTGAGGCCAAGTCAAGGAACGGCGGAGCGGGAGCAGGAGGAGCAAGCGGGTCGGGTGGAGGCGCGATGGGCATGTCGTCGGGCGGGATCCCGTTGTCGCCCCAGAGCATGGAGGCGGGCTCAAGCAGGGCAGCCCAGCAGCACCCTTTCAGCGGAGCTTCGCATGGTGGCTCTAGCACCTATCCCAGGAGCCCGTCCCTCTCCATGCCTGGACCCGTATCCCCAGTGAAGCTCGAGACGCATCTCAACTCCCTTCGTGACGTCAATGCCGGGACGCCTCTTACGTCTTCGTCGTCGTCGTCCCACCTCGATCTGGGCGGCGCATTCTCGAATATCATGCTCAACTGGGATCCACCCTCGTACCTGAGCCAGGGGATTAACCAGCTGTCGATCCGGGAGGTACGTACTTTCACCCTGTTTTCTTGCCCCAGGCACCACTTCATTTGCAGGAGGAAGACTGTCGCGCACTAGACTCAGACGCGGATGACGAATTCGAACCCCACTATGTAGGCAGGACGGCTGAACGAGACGCGCTCGTCCTCAGCGCGATCGCCTCAGTGCGAAACTCATCGAGCTCTGGTCGGCCCACGACCCCAGCCCAGGCTAACTTCCGGGTGCGGCAAGTTTCCACGAACCAACAGGAGCCGATCTATTTTCTGTTCGAACCCCCGCGACCGTATGGAGAAGACACAGTCGGCAGCTACACGAGTGAAGAGCTTGTCAGCCTGTTGGGCCCCAACAACATCCAACGTCTTCTCCGCAAGTAAGCGAATCGACTGACAAGATCGCCCGTTCTCACACAGATAGTTACCTCAATATGGACGGCGCGGCAGTTCCGATCTGGCGTGCGACAGATTTTGCCGAAAACCCCCAGAAGCGGCTACCTGCAGGCTTGTTCTGCGCCTATGTTACGCGCGGCGTGATATATGACGATCAGCTTCGATCTCTTGCTCCGCAGGCTTGGAAAATTACGACGCTGACAAATCGTGCGCAGTCACGCAGTGCGCGAGTCTCAACCATCCAGGCCAATCTGCTGGATTTGGACGGAAGACCTTCGTTGAATCCAACTGGGAACTCTCTGCTGCTGGGCCAGGTTCGCTCCGTATCTTCCTTCTCGTTCCACTTGGGCTGATGATTCCAGACTATTGCCGCTGCCAGACTGATGGGGCTGCATCTGGATTGTACCACATGGTCGATACCCAATTGGGAAAAGGCTCTTCGCGTGAAACTGTGGTGGGCTGTTTTGCAGCAAGACAAATGGTGCGTGACCGTGAGTGCAGCTGGATCCACTCAACATCAACTCTTCTAGGGCTGCTCTTTGCTATGGTCGCTCGAGTTACATCCACCGAAATGACTGGGATGTTCCTCTCCCTCCATGCGAAACGACCAACGACTATGTCTTTGTCGCACAATGCGAACTGACATTGATCTTGGACGAAATTCTGTGCGAAGTTGATGTGCAGCGCCGGCCTGCCGGGGAGATATTCACACCGCGAGACATTGTCCAGCGCTTGACCCAGTTTGGCCTTGATCTGGACTCGTGGAAGCGCAGGTTTGACTCGATGGGGCGGTCTCACAATGGATATCTTCCACCCGGATTTCGTGCGTAACTTGATGACTTGGATCTTCTGCCCTCACATTAACCTCAGGTTCATTGAACCTTTCTTATCTTGGTGTGGCGCTGCTACTCGTTCGGAGCGTCCAAGATATGGAACTTCCGCCCAATGCTGCACACTCTGCACACGAGAGTGCTCTGAAGATTGCGGAAGAGGTTGTGACTTTTACGTCGAATCTGACTGCTGATGATCTTCGCGGTTATTTTACCACCTGTGAGTACTAATTTGGGTTGCTCCATGATCTCACTCACACGCCCAAGTCTCTGCGTTCCACTTTTCGACCTGTTTGATGCTCCTCATCAGACTTGTCCTTCAAGCTGATCCGTCGGATCATTCCGATGGCGCTCGGCATCGGATCCTGCACCTTTTGCGGGTGTTCATCTTCTCTCTATCGGAGGCCAGGCAGACCGTCCCTGCGTTCGAGCTCGCGGATCTAGCTCTAGCACGTGCCCGGCATCTGCTTCCGTTGCTTGCCAAGAATACCCCGGAATTCGCGCTCGCCCTAGATCCTTTAGGGTGCGAAAGTCGAACCTGGTTCCTGATTTCTGATGCTCACTCGCGCTTAGACCCCCAGTCGAAGACACCCTGAGCACGATGCCGGATATTCCATCGCCGAACATGCCTGCGAATTACTCCACGCACGACCACAATGTGCTGTGGCCTGAAAGTGGGTCAGGATTGGCTGCTTTCTTTCCAGAGGTGACGCAGCCCGACTGGGTCTCGTTCCGTGACTACATCCACCCGCTCTACTCCCAGATCGTACCTAACGGGGGTTCGTATATGTAATTTTCACGACTGCCTCCGATCTGGCTCGAACCGTCGTCCTCTCTCTCTTCTGCTCTTCGCTGTTGTCGTTTTTCTTCCAGGACTGTTTTTCGATGTAAAGTATGCTACCATCTCAAGCTTCGATGTTTTTTATACATGTACCAGACCAAGGTACTTTTTGGGCTATCAATACCGGGTATTTATTGTTAAATACTGAATTTAGTACGTACACGGAATATGTGGCTGTAAAGTATTGTAATCCCACGAGTTCGTCCGATCCCTCCCTGGTCCGGCTAGCCTGTTGTTGCGGATCTTGATCGGACATACAGAACCAAGAAGGGCAACGTGCAAGACGCGGTTGGCTCCGCTGAGTCTGTGCGTAATAATAGCCTTTGCCTCTGCGTGGGAACGGAATCAGCCCCAGCGCGCGGACGAGAAGGCGAGCGTGTCCGCAATCCGGCCCTCTGGGCCACGCACGACATATCCGGAGCACGATGCTATGTAAGACAGTGCGGTACTCGGAGCTGGAAGCCAAGGTCCATCTTCTCATGGTTGTCACGGCAGTTTTTTTTTCACGGACATAGCACGGACTAGATCGACGGCCGGAATCAGCGATCTGTGATTTGCGAGTCGGGATCTTTGATGACTTGCTTAGGCTAGTCAGCGCTTTGCACATTGTAAGTACTGCAGGATCATTCCGGTGCAAAGCATCGATCAACTACGTCGATACCGCGCCATGTCGAACTGCCACATGGTCGAGTCCAAGCCAAGATGACTGCTGATCCTGACCAAGGTTTGAGCTTGTGATACTTCCGTGGCTCACTTGAGATGTCAGAGTCACGTGCTATATGTTTTGGAGTTGAACCAAATCCAACTTGAACATTGATCGTCCCGAAAAGGAAACATACGACAACGCCTGAGGATGTGCAAACGAGAGGATAGCGGGTAGCACATCTGCACTATGCATAGTAGTTGGCACCCCGATTCTCATGTATGACGACACTTCCCTGGCTCGATGTCGCTCAGTTCTGTGGCGTCCAATCTCTGTAACAACTGCTGTTCGGTGTAAAACGAATCACAAGAGTATTCCTCACCCAAGTGGCGTCGTGTTCTCCGACTCGATAACCCTCGTTACGTCCGGAGTAGACTTGAGCTATGAAGGGTCTCTCAAACTGGAACCAGGACCGCAAGCCGCCATCAATCAATCCAAGTAAGCACACCGACCTCGGACTGATCCGGCTGTTTTGTCTCCAAGATCTGTTCTCTGGTGCTCGTCCGCCTATTTATGGGACTCTGCCTCGCTTTCTGTGTTTGTGTTGACTTGGAGCCTTGGCGTCGATTTCTCGCCGATTCAACTGTGGCGGTCGCACTTGTTCCCTTCACACTCCCTGGATTCAAGTCGGGACCCGTATCGATATTGAAGGCTCCACCGCCGGTGTTGGGGGAGTTGCGCTTTTATCTCCATTGCGCCTGTCACCTCAGCTCACTATCTGGACGACAAATTGGCGACAAGGGCTGACCAACGGAGGGTTCCGGTTGGGGCGTGTTTTTTCTGTTTCCGGAATGGCTCAACGTCGAGGTATTATCGAGTGTCCCCGAGCTCGCCGATGACGATTGCAAGTCCCAGGCACACTGTATTCATCCTTGGGCCCCGCGTCTTCTGCCGATCCGAGCTAGCACGGGAATGAGCCAGGTTCCAGTGGCGTCTGGGTCTGGATTGGACGGAAGGCTCCAGTCTGGTACTGCTCGGACACCGACCGCTGCAGCCGAGCAAACGCGTCCCGTCCTCTTGGGCCGCGTTTCACCCATTGCAGCCAGCACTGTCATCCATCGTTTTTGCGGGCTATGATTGCCCGTGTCCCAATGCGTCTGACGAAGCGGCACGGGGCGTCCTCGCGTCTGGAGATGTGTGTCGGTTCAGGATGGATGATGGTGGCAATCGGTGATTCGAGGAGGAATCCGGCTGCTCAAGCGATCGAAGTGCTGGCGCGCAGCCAAACACCGATTGTTTCGGACTGGTCGGGTGATTGGGATCGATTTTTCGTGCGGCGTGTAAGACGGCAAAAATGGTCCTGTAACTGTTGACCTCACAGATCGGATTTGGGATGCGGTGACTGCAGTTTCCAGCTCATCTGTTTCTCCCCTGCTTTTTCTGATCTCGCGCACCTGGCGGGTTTCTAAAAAAAGCAAAACAGGCAGCTGAAATGGTAGGACCTCAGGGTTTGCGGAAAAACGTGCTCTCATTGACTGTTCCAACAGGATCCGACCACTCTGCGGGTTAAAACGTCGGGTGCAATCTCGAATCTCGGGTATAATTCACAGGCCATTGTGTTCGAGGTTACCGTGGTACCTCGACCTATTAGCAACCGCTAATCTGATCCTCCGAGCGTGTGGCAAGGAACGGAAGGCTTCTGGCTGTCACCGAAAGTGGGAATCGCGCCCAGGCTTGGCCTCTCACTCGGGACTCGCAGTTTGTATGCTTTTGGGAATGTCACGCTTGTTCCGTGTGTACACCGGAGAGCACTCGGTTTCTCAGACTAGCTGTGATAGGGCTAGTGCGAAGATATATGCAGTTTCCTGTTCAGCTTCCACAATTGTTGTAGTCGCATGTGTTGAGTGGGACCAGGCAACCCGGGCCAATGCACAGACATTGGCGAGTAACTAATGGCGTGCGACATGAGGATCTCCGAGCGTGGGTCTGATGTATCAGGCTTACCAAGGCACACGTTCGAGACGCTCTCACATGACCAAGTCACGATTCCCCAACGAACGATCAGAGAGTTGTCAGGACGTCAATTGGAAGTTTGGGCGCCTTTTCAAGTCTGCAGCCATTGCGCAATGGGTGGTGACAGGGCACATCGCGCCTATCTTCCGGGACCATCGACTCCTTCACAGCAGTCATCCATCCATCTCTGATAACGTGTGGCTTGACCGTGGCTGATTCTCAGTCGATGATGATGAAAAAGAACGGAAGAACGGAAATCGCATCGGGAAGTTCATATAGAAGGCCGTCTTTGTTCGTTGCCAGGGACTGCTTAGTTGGCACATGGGCAATTCAAGAGGTAAAGTGCCTTTTCATTGCGGCGTCTTCAATGTCGTTCGTGACGGATGAGATGTGTACCTCCTGCTCGGGCGAGGTGTCATCATTCTGCACTCAACGGCCTGGTGAGAGAAGTCTGCCTGGAATGATCCCAGACTGGCCCCGCTGCTTCTCGAGGTTCTGCCGAAGCCGCTATCATTCCCCATCTCTGTGGCTTGGTGGAAAACAACAGCACGGAGCGGCCCAGAATACTTATGTGAAACAAACAGGCCGGGGCTGATACCCGAGTAGCGCGTAGCGCGCACATTAACGGTAGGCTCGAAAGCTTGGGCCCAGGCCGAGCCGAAGTGGGATGCTAGTCGGCTGGCGAGCGCCAGCGCAGCTGAGGATAGGACACGGACTGGGGGATGGAGCTATGCAAGATGCAGATCGTGGATCAGGAATCATGCACCCCTTTGGGCGTGCTTTCCTTGACACCGAATCATGCAGTGGCACCTGAGGCAGTCCGAGCATGAAGGCTTTCGGAAGCCTGGGGGAGCTGGGCCGATGAAATGATGCTGATGAAACTCGAGTATGTATATGTATCGGGCAAGCTCGCACCCTCCATCTTTCCCACTTCCCGCTCGCGAATGGGCCGCTCGTACGACGAAGACCCGCTCGCGGCGTTCACTGCCCCGCCTCCGAATGAAACTCCGGCAGAACGCGAGCTGCGACTGCGGGCGGAGGCTGAGGCGCAGCGCATTAGTGATGAGATCGACGCCCAGCTACGCAAAGAGCGCGAAGAGGAAAAGAAGCGCAAGCCAGTCAAGCTGTTGCTTCTAGGACAGTCGGAGTCGGGCAAGACCGCGACGTTGAAGAGTAAGTCCGTCATTCGATCGATTCGTCAAGTTGGCTCATGAGCATTGGTGTAGATGTGAGGACACGCACACGGCGATCGGTGCATGCTTGTTATCCCCTCTGACCACATCCCAGTTCCAACTTCTCTACTGCAAACGACGGTGGCAAGAAGAACGCTCTTCATGGCGCTGTGTTGTGTTGCTCAACCTCGTTCGTAACGTCAATGACATCCTTGATCTCCTCGGTCGCGAGATGGCCTCGGCCACGACGAAGACGCCGACGCTGCCCAGCGCTACCACCTCCACGTCTCAGGCTCCCTCCACTGCGATTCCCACCTCCACCTCCTCCTCCCCGTCGGCCTCCCCTCTCTCCTCGGACGACGAGCCGGAGCCCGAGGTCGACAAGCCACCTCCGCGGCGACAGAGCGCGACGCTCGGCGGCCCGCGTTCACCCAATCTCCCACCACTCAAATTCAAAGACCGCCACCGCTTGCTGAGGCTGAAACTGGTGCCACTGCGCCGCATACAAGCGGATCTCGAGCAACGCCTCGGCGCGGCCGCGACGGAACTCTACACAACCTCAACCACGTCCGCGGCCCCCTTTGAGACCGTTCCCGGCGGATCGCAGGCGTTCCAGAAACGGGAGAAGGAGTTTAGCATCAACTCGACGAACGGGTGGAAGAGTGCGTTGGACAAGTTCCGCTCGGGAAGGAGGCGCTCGGGGGATCAAGCACAGCGGGGCAAAGCGAGAAACTTGGAGGATGAAATGCTGAGTGTCGTTTCTGGATGTAGGGAGGATATCAGGGCACTATGGGAAGATCGGACGGTTCGCGAGATGCTCTCCAGGAGGAAGTCGAGGATCGAGGACTCTGCAGGATTGTGCGTTTCTTTTGCATCATCCTCTGTATCACATTGACTCTTACTCCTCCAGCTTCTTGAACGATGTTGACCGCATCGCACGCGACGACTACCAGATCACAGATGACGATGTCATTCGTGCGCGTCTGAGGACTCTGGGGGTGCAGGAATACCGTGTCACGTTTGAGCACGGACACTCCGCCGGAAGTGAATGGCGGATGTATGATGTGGGTGGAACGCGTAGTAGTGTGAGTGCAGGGCATTGCATACCTCTCCTGTTCGCAATTGATCGAGGAGCAGCGTGCTGCGTGGTATAGCTATTTTGACGATTGCGACGCCATTCTCTTCCTTGCGTGAGTGTGTTCCCGGACATTCTATCCGCATTTCATCTCATCTGGACCAGGCCTGTGTCGTGTTTCGACGAGAAACTGGCTGAAGACCGGCGGGTGAACCGTCTCGAAGACAGTTACATGCTGTGGAAGAGCGTCTGTGCATGCAAGATGCTTGCTCGGACCCAGTTAATTCTTTGTGCGTCACAGGCTTTACCGAGAAGGCCGTGCTGATCCGCTCCCAGTTCTGAACAAGTGCGACCTGCTTCAAGCAAAGCTTATGCGTGGCGTGAAAGTTCGCGATTCGGTCCCGAGCTTCGCAGACCGTCGCAACGATGTAGCAACGGCAACACGGTGTGAGTGCCCCATTCATAGGGGCCTTGGCCGAAGTGCCCGACTTCTCGGTCGCCTGATTGACCGTTCCCTTCTGCAGACTTCCAGCAGCATTTCAAGGAGATCCAGCGGAGCAACTCGCCTGTTCAGCGTCCCTTCTACGTTCATCTTACTTCGGTTATCGTGAGCGTTTCACCCCAACTTCGCTCGCCGCCTGCTGATGAACGTGCGTGCAGGACACCAAATCCACCGCTGTCACCCTGGGTGCTGTGGAGGAATCGATACTGCGGGATCATCTCCGCCGAGCGGACCTGATGTAATCTAAATAATCCATGTATGTACTGTGTAACACACGATCTTCTTGTCTGCATATGCAAGCGTCTCTGATGTATCTACGGTACACCTCGTATATTACCTACCTACTGACCTCTGCATCTAACTTATCGGACCGATTTACCCTGCAATTCGGATGTCCGTCCGAAAAAAAGCGGATGGCAGCGTCACGGTGGTGTCATGTGCGATCATTTCTGCAGCGAGTTGCGCAACAGCTGGTCATGACTGCGATAAATCCCTCACTGCCAAGTATGCTCATCGCTGGTCGAGGTTGCCGACACGCTGCTGAAGAATTCACAATTCCCCCTTGCGGCCCCCTCGTTGCATCGCGCATGGTGATGTGAGGAGATTCTTCCCAAATCACCTCCCCACAAAATGACGTCAGAGCCCCAAAGTGTCTCTCGTCTAATAATTCACGCATGCGCGTGACCTCGGCAGTTACGTATCGGCCATTTCTCATTTATGAGGTGTCCTCCGACCACCTCATTTGTCTCCTACTACCACTGTCACCTCCCCTCCCTCCCCCTTCCCAGCATCGCATCCCCCGATGTCCCAAGGTATGCCGCTCATCCATGACGGTCCGGCCCCATAGGATCCCCTGCCGCTCTGTCGATGAGCAGTGGGATGAAACTAACTTCACCAAGGCCTCGATCTTGATTACCTCACCCACAACGATCACGACATGGCCAACCGCCCACCCACTCCCTGCGCCGAAAACCCCGGCCAAGTACGCGTTCCCGCACATCGCATCCTCCCTGTGTGAACGCTGATCATGATGGCAGGTGTACCCCAGATCCGATCCTGCGAAAGGTACATAAACCCCCCTGCACGATCGTATTGCCAAGAGATACTGATGCTTCGCCCACTCACGCAGCGGCCCCGCTGACCAACTCCTCCGAACGCTACCTCCCGCGCTACGTCGGCAACCCGTACCTGATGAACGGCGCGTTCAAGAAGCTAGACCACTCGCTGGGGGAGATCATCGCTCTCCTCGAGCAGGAGGAGGCCAACTCGCTCCTGGACGAGGAAGAGAATCCGCTGCTGACCAAGTTCAAAGACTGGCGCGACGAGCTCGACATGATCCGCGCGTCACAGGGGCGCAGCTCTGCCAGTGCGTCGTATATCCAGCTGGCCACACCTTCGCGCAGCCGGTCGCCGGGGCGCAGTCGCTCGCCCACTACCCGAGAGGGCGGACTGTTTGTCGACTAAGATTTCACCTTTCTCTGGGGTTGGAAGAACTGCTTGCGTCGAACAGAATTTGAAGAAGTAAAATAAAGAACATAACGAGCACCTCGTTTTGTACTGTAGCATCATATGGACTTTTTGCACATCCGTGTCAGCCTGAGTTGATACAAGTCAGGTCAGGTCGTGTTAGCCCCGCATAGCATCCAGCACGATTCCTGGCGCCGAGGGGTTTATGGATATCCGCCATTTCAATGGCAAATGAATTGATAGTCATCCAAATCAACGGCCAAAGCTATTCCCAGTACAAAAGATTCCAAACCGCCTGGACAGTGGCGGGTTCCTGTAATGGTACGCCATCCCTGCTGCTTCGTCGTCATGATCTCCAGCGTCGCCCATGGCAGAGTACGAATTTCCCCGAGCCAGCGCGGCTCTCGGACCAGTCATGTTGAGATTCTCCGAATCTTCGTTCGCCGTGTCCTTGGCGGAGAGACCCCCACTTCTGCGCGCCCGAGCGCCGGATCGCGCATTCGGGTTCAAGTTCATGCGCCGACGGCGACTCGGACGCGCTGGCTCCGAAATGGGCTGTCGCGAGCAGCATTTGGCGGGCGATGGATGTGCGCGTGCGCGGCGTTTCCGGCGCCAGATCGGCGGCTCGACAACGGGCGGGAAGGCGTCCGGCGCTGTCGTAGTGTAGAATCAGTATGTGCCATCTGCACGTGGAAAAGCTGTGGCAACGGACGTGGCATGCGGGTGTCCGAATTGGCGATGGGCGGTGTTGAGTTGGGCGCTGAGGGCGTGAGGCGGTGATCGATTTGTTTCCGGGTCCCGAGAGAATTGCAAAATTGCGCAGATGGAGCTTGAACGAGGAAATTACTCGACAAGCGGTACAGCAGGGCTGTTGCTCTTGCTGCATTGATCGCAAAAATGACAAGGTGTCAGACGGAAAGAGAACAGAATATATTCAATGAGAGACCAAAGTTTCACCTTGAAGAGAAGGATCCAGATCGCCTCGGCGTGTTTCCAGCATCCGGAGCAGGGAGAAATATGCGTCTCGTAGCGGCGAGGGAGAGGCAAATGAATATAGACATATTCCCGCCGCTTCCAAGGTTTCGCGCGCAGTCTGTTCTGGTCAGTAAAGCTCGCGGAGGATTATACGACCTGGTTAGGGCATTCACCTCAATCAGTCGAGTTATCTGCATTCACAACATGAGCATCAGACAACAAGCTCAGTAAACGGCAGATGTGAAGAAGAAAAATGACCTTGGAACCATGCTTGCGAAATTCTTGAGCGGACATATTCTGACAGCGTAAGACCTGTTCCACGGCGTGCATGAATTCAGGCCGCAAAGGAGTTAATTTGAGTGCAAGACAGAGGAGGACAGCATCCGCCTGTAAATTCAGCCCGGAGGACTGGCCGGATCGATGCCGCTGCGAGGTGTCAGCGGGAGCAGTGACAGTGGAAATCATGGGTTGAAAGGGCCGGAAGCAGCAGATTGCTGTTGGGGTGGAAGCTGAACGGGTGAGGATATAATTTGTTGTGGTCCGCTTGGTCGAGTCCCGATGGCTTGTGTTGTCAGAGCGGTGACGCCGGCATAGCCCGAGTCTGTGGTCTCCCAAGCCACTACCAACATCAGGCCTACAACTGTCTTGATTCTTGGCATCATTTATGCCCACTCATATTCCGAGAGAAGGGTCTGTAAAAATAATAGAGAACCTCTCTCCGAGGTCTATCTGACAACTTGAGGGAACTTGGAAGAAGCCCTGTACTCGAGTGGATCAAACAGCGGTTGAACATTCAACATCAACTCAAGCCGACGATGGATAGCCTCGCGGCACTGGTTCACAATAATAAAGCCACCCGGGATCTCCTTTGTACGATTGTGGACCAGGATCCAGAAATCCAACTTCACCCGTTCGGAATGCTGATGTTTGACTTCGCCGTGGGTACTTGTGGAGTGTGCCTCCGGTCGCAGGACTGCCGCGCTTGAATGGGGTACTGCTAACCCGGGCCGTTTACATCTGAATAATCTCCACCCGCCGGGGGCTCAATCCCTCCTCAAGCAGAGAGTCTCGCCATATGCATATTCTGGACGGTCAGACCTGCCTTCACTCGATGTACGCCAAAGTGACATTGCACGCTTTTCTCCTGTTGCGTTCATCTCATGGTGGGTTCATCCAATGCGTGCCATGACTGCTTCATTGCTCTGATTTCGGCGAAATGAGACGTTCTCAAATGAACCACATGGGTTCGCACGTGTGAGTAATCCACAAATGATCGGATCAACTATTCTCATCACAGACTCTCCCCTAATCCGCTGCTGCGATCACGCTATCGATAACCAAGCGTTAGGCGTGGACACCATTTCTTCATTCATATACACGTTTCAGGTACAAAAGCTTTTCGATATTCAACATTCTACCACTCGCTCTGCAGGGGCTCCTCCAGCTGCTTCTTCGCCTGGTGCTTCGCCTTCTCCTTGTCGACGTAGTCAAGCTGGAGAGCAAGATCAGCAGCAATCCAACGCAGGTCCCGAGTTTAGGTGAGGAAAGGAGGGGTGGGGATTTAACAAGGTAGCTAGAGAAGACACGTACACCCTTGGTCTCGACGATGCGGTCGACAAAGAGGCCAGTGAGGCCAGCAAGGATCTCTTTGGCCTGAGCGTGGCTGTCGGGCTTGCCGTTCTCAGCGCAGTGCTTCTCGTAGGCCTTGGCAGCCTGTACAGCGTGTTAAGTAATGCGGGGAATAGAACGCCACTGGGGGGAGAGAGTGGCGCACCTCGAATGCAGCAGCGCCGGCGATCAGCTCGTGGGACAGGGTGGCCTTGTGGGGGGCGTTCACGACCTGTGAGAGGGACGTTAGCTTCGCGCCGCATCCGCCGACTGCGCCCCGCGATCCCATCGATCGCGCACGCAGCCGGAGTCAGCTGGATGCCCACCTCGTTGTAGGCCTGGGCCTGGTCAGACTCTTCGTGGTGGAAGAAACCCATTGTTCAAAGATGTGTGTGTGAAGGAGAAAGGAGAGAGGAGTGGGTGAATGCGTGGCAGCCAGTGTCAGTGACAGGGCTTATATACGCCCCAATTGTATGCACCCCAATTGGGAATAAATGGAGCATCGCCTCTTGGCCCTCGCGACGAGCGCCCCCGTTTGTGGATCGCATCGCCCTGAGATGATGATGCTTGAACGAAGATCCGTCGGTGGCACGTTCCTGCTTAGCGCGGTAAGCTGGGAATGCGAAGTGCGTTCCTTCTTCCAGCGACTCCATGCACACATATCTCATCTCACTCATTGTACAAGTAACTTTAAAGCATGCGAATCCCGAGTGTCACTAGCAATCTCTCGTCCCAGGCATAGGTGCTGCCTCTTGCGGTGCATGATGGCGCTGCCAACCAGGTGGCACTGGAACGGGGATAGAAATTCTCCGAAAGACACTCCTGTGCAATGAGTAACAGCCATGTGGTCCTGAAAGTCTTCTCTCCGCCCATCGCTGTCACACATACGCACCTCCAGGGAACGAATGACCTGGGATGAGTCACTGGGCGCGCGATGATGGTCCACGATAACGCGGACGTTGCCCTCGAATAGTATGTGATCTGCAGGCCCAGATCCCACCAGGTCAGGTTGGAATGGACCAATGACGTCAAGGAACCTTAGGTACCCAGCCATGCGCAGCTGATTGCCGGGCATCGTTCAGCAGCTTGTCAACTCGGCTTCGAGAATCTATTTGTAGAGAGAATATGAATGAGCGGCGATGATATTACAACAAATTATAGCCAAGGGTCACAATGCTCCTGGCATAGTCAGGTCAGCCCGTACTGATGGTCGAATGAGATCAAGCTCCCGGGGATCTACAGCCGAAAAGTCCCAGCTCTTGACCCGTCGAGACGCGACTTCTCGCTTGGAAAGCCACACATGAAGCAGCTGCAGTAGGTCTTTGGTCTGAGTGTTGTGTCAGCAACTCGCCCATCCATCAACAGATAAAGGTATGATCACCATGATGAAGATCCCAAATCCAATCGAGTTTCGCCACCAAACAGGATCGCATTCATCCAATTTCCGCATGTCGCCCCAAACAGCTCTGGATACAAACTTGAGCGTCTGCGTCAGGTCAAGTTTCCCGTCTTTGATAGTCGGGTCGGTTACTCGACGCCAGATCTCCGTTGGAGAATATCTGCGCAGAAACGGAGCGGGAAGGAAGCCAGTCGAGGCCGGACGAATCGCGAGGAAGCGTCGAAGAAGAGGGAAGTACGAGGATATCCGGAGAAGGAGCTTGCCCATGGCGCTAGCAATCAAGGGAGACAACAGCGCGCCTCCAACAAGCCTGCATGCTTTCCGTATGTCGACCGAAAGGACTGCGGGCTCTCCCTCGACCTCCACCTGGATGTCGGCACGATCGTTGTCCTCGTTCGGCTGCTGGGCCGCCCTGGCCTCCGCTGCCCGTTCCATGTCATCCAAGATACCCTGGAGCAGCCCTCGCAATCCGGGCTGGCGTCTTCGAGCTGGTCCCGCTGCTGGGTTCGCATTCAACACCCAATTCGAGAACTTGTTGAAGTAGTGTCGGTAAAACCTCTGGCAGAGCGGCAGCAAGATGAACCCGAATACGAATGGAGATGGTGGCCATGGCAGCTTTGCACCCTCGCCCGTAAGACTGGAGTGAGTCAGATCTAGCGACTTGGACTGGTGCATCACGGCTGGGATGAAGGCGAATGTAGGCCAGCTGCCTAGTGTAACCGCCGTTATATGGCCCAGGCCTAGACGGGTCATAATGAGACCCGTCGGAATCATCACCATATGAAGTTTGGCTACGAGTGACCACTGAGAAGAGTCTTCTCCGAGAAGGAGGTCGAAGGTTCTGCAAACGTCTGAGTCGCATGTGACCACGACGAGGAAAGACTTGCTCGTCGCCGATGTAGTTTCGCAGTGCCCAAGACCCGTAGAGAAGATTGGTGCGATAAATCGCTGCAGTGACATGAACTACGGTCAGACAAGCGCAATCGAACAACACATACCTCGACAGATGAGATAGAACCCTGCTGCATAGAAACCATAGTCGACCTTGGGATGGTTTAGGATCACATTGAAGGGTTGAGAATGAGACAGTTACACGGGTTAGGACTCTATCGATTGAGCGCAGGACACGAAGAACCACAGGATTCTTGCTTTCGACTTGATATTGCGTTTTGCATTGCGGGCACTGACGCGAGCTGGATTCGCGTCCTGTGCCTTCGGAGGATGTGATCCATTCAAGCAGACATGCCTCGTGCGCAACAAGAGTGCAATTGCAAGGGTGAACCCAAGGCCTGACAGGGCCGGGATGTCCAGCTATGGGTGGACGAGACATGAGAAGATGAGGCCACGGCCCAGCGATAGCACGCACCATTCTCCTCCTCCCTACAGATGTAGCACAGCTTCACGCGCAAATCATCGAGAGTTGGGGGTCGGTCGCTCATGGGATGGGTGTGAACGACGTGAAGGAAGACGGAGGAAGTATGGCTGATGTTTACGTCATGTCATCAACCTCGCGCGATCAAAGGCTCTCCTGCATCCTATTGTGACTATGCAAGCAACAAAAGTCGTGCAGGAAGCACGCGCATCCTATGCCCATTATCGCACGCACGCGGGCCCCGTTTGCTGTGGTAGTGACATCAAGCGATCTGCGTGGTCCCAAAATAAGCGGCACTGCAGGCAGCTCGATGATGTCACTGCCTCCACATCCTTAAGTACATGATTCACGGCTCCATATCCAAACTAGTCCCGCACTCTTGACCCCAACTCCCACTCATGAACGCAAATCCACTATTATCGAAGGCTGGAAAAGCCTTGTTCGAGAAACATCTCGAGCAGTATACCCCTGCTGACCCCATGTACGAGGAGTACACCGACGACCGCGGCAAGAAACGCAGAAGACGAGTGCGTTTTCTTACTCTCGCCTGCCGATGGCTTGACTAACAAAATCGTTCAGCGAGATATCCCTCCCGGACTAACAAAGCGCGATGCTGCCATCCTCAAATCCGTCCAGCGTCGTGCCCACTACCTCGACAAAGGATTCTCTATCTGCGGGATGCGCTTCGGTTGGACCTTCATCCTCGGTCTCATTCCTGGCGCCGGAGACATCGCCGACGCACTCCTCAACTACCTCCTCGTCCTCCGCAAAGCTCGCAAGGCCGAGCTCCCGATGTGGCTCGTCCGCAAGATGCTCGCGAACAACGCCGCGAGCGCACTGATGGGTTTCATCCCATTCGCGGGCGACGTCGCCCTCGCCGCCTTCAAGGCGAACTCCCGCAACGCTGCGCTGCTGGAAGAGTTCCTGCGCGTTCGAGGCGAAGAGTTCTTGAAGATGGAGGCGGACAAGCAGGGCAGGGCAAAGGGCAAGGACCTGATCGCTCCGGTCTCAGATCTGAAGCAGATTCAGCCTGGGGCCGGACTCGCTCCAGGAGAAGTTGTTCCCGGCCAAAAGGCGCCCGGCCGTGGCTTGACCAAGTTGTTCGGCACACGAACGCGAGCTGACAAGGGAAAGCAACGCACAGCATGATTAGCAGTATGATTTCTCACCTTTCGCTCGCTTCCTTCATGATCATTACGAACTCTGTTAGTTGTACCTGTGCATCCTATATCCTAATTCACGAATGGAACCTTTTGGACATTTCGCTCTCTTCTTATTTCGGTGATGTCCAAACAATCTCTCAGGATCTTCGCGTGTTACAGGCGCGTCGCGCAGTTGCAAGGCGAGTGCTCACGATGGAGGGGGGAATTCTCACGTATATATATGCTGTGCGACGGCAGAGACGTCAGACACGTTGCGTTGGAGTCAACAGTTTAGATGTGAACAAGGTCTTGATTGTCTCGAGACCGATGATAAAATCCATGTAACCAAAGCCTTCCTGAAAAACCTCTTCGAGTATGCTGGCGATGTCGGCTTGCACTTGACTCACACGCAGGCAGAGGTACGAAATGAGTTTTTCAGTACCGATTGAGCGTCATGGCGTCGATACAACGTCATACCGGATAGAAGGCCGATGGATTGAGGAGAGTTTCAAGAATGGGGATTCAGGTAGCTGTGCCGAGAGACCAATAATCATCCCGAAGCACCATCGACCCGCCTCTCTAGAATGAACATGGAGATAGGTTGAGGATATCGTCCTTGAGTGCACTCTGATAAGAATGAGATGCTCTTGCCCCATCCATCATGAGTATCTGAACGAAATGGTCAATAACTTCTCCGAGGTCGAGCCACTCAGAGCCATAATCGGGTCGTGCTGGTCGTTTCGAATCAAGGCTGATCTTGTCGTGGGAATCGATCAAATCTCTTCTTGTCCCAGCGTTTTTGCGGGTCCACTATCATCTGACTCTTTACTCTTCATCCCTCCGAATTGCATCATCATGGCCGGTGACGAAACACTGCAAAAGGAGCACGAGGATTCGGCATCTGAGGACGAGGAGGAAGAGGATGTTATTCCTCAGGTCAACATCGACGTTACAAAACTCACACCTCTCTCGCCTGAGGTTATCGCAAAACAGGTGAGCCCAATCGCGTCGCAGGGAGAGATCTCCTCTCACATAGCTCTCCTCTAGGCTACAATCAACTTGGGTAGCCCTAATCGCGACTTTGTGAAAACATGACTCACACTCAGACGCAGGCACGATCGGCCATGTCGCTCACGGAAAATCCACCGTCGTGAAGGCTATCTCCGGAGTGCAGACCGTCAGGTTCAAAAACGAACTGGTCAGGAATATCACGATCAAGTTGGGATATGCGAACGCCAAGGTGCGTGCTGGCCCTGGGATCAGAGACCGGAGGTTTCACCATCCAGTAGATCTACAAATGCGAGAACGAAGCATGCCCGCGTCCAGGATGCTATCGATCATACCGCTCAGACAAGGAGGAGAGCCCGCCGTGTGAGCGCCCGGGTTGCAACTCGAAAATGAAGCTCGTGCGCCATGTGTCTTTCGTCGATTGCCCTGGGCACGACATTCTTATGGCCACCATGTTGAACGGTGCGGCCGTCATGGATGCCGCTCTGCTGCTTGTTGCCGGAAACGAAACATGCCCGCAACCCCAGACGTCTGAGCACTTGGCAGCCGTCGAGATCATGAAGCTCGAGCACATCATCATCCTGCAAAACAAGGTGGATCTCATCAAGGAGACACAAGCGCTGGAGCACCAGAAGAGCATCGCTGCGTTCGTGAAGGGTGCGTGTTCTGTGGTTTCTCCCGCTTTCTGATGCGAACGATGATATCACACAGGCACCGTTGCCGAGTCCTCGCCCATCGTCCCCATTTCCGCGCAATTGAAATACAACATCGACGCCGTCAACGAGTACATCGTGAAGCGCATCCCCATCCCCATCCGCGACTTCACCTCGCAGCCCCGACTGATCGTCATCCGTTCGTTCGATGTGAATAAGCCTGGTGCCGAGGTGGACGACCTCAAGGGCGGTGTGGCTGGCGGCTCCATCCTCACCGGCGTGCTCCGTCTCGGTCAGGAAGTCGAGATCCGGCCTGGTGTCGTGACGAAGGACAGCCAAGGTCGCAACCAGTGCAAGCCGATCTTCAGTCGAATCATGTCGCTGCACGCCGAGAACAATCTGCTAGACTTCGCTGTGCCCGGTGGTCTGATTGGTGTGGGAACCAAGATCGATCCGACGCTGTGCCGTGCGGATCGGCTTGTCGGGCAGGTGCTTGGTGCGGTCGGCGAGCTCCCCAAGATCTACGCTGGTGAGTGTGCTGCGCTCTCTTTCTGATCGTACATCGTAAACAGCCGTCCTCAGAATTGGAGATCAGCCTTTTCTTGCTCCGACGACTCCTGGGTGTCAAGTCGGAAGACAAGAAGCAGACCAAAGTCTCGAAACTGGTCAAGAACGAACTGCTGCTGATCAATATCGGGTCCACGTCGACTGGTGGCCGCGTGCTCAGTGTTAAAGCCGACCTGGCGAAGATCCAGTTGACATCCCCCGCTTGCACCGAAATCGGCGAGAAGGTGGCACTTTCGCGACGTATCGAGAAGCATTGGCGACTCGTCGGCAAGTCTTCGCCGTCTCGTGTTGTGCGCTCCACACTCACCCTTCATTTTTACAGGATGGGGAAGTGTGCAGAGGGGAACTGTACTAGAAGTAGACTAAATAAAATACACTGTTGCAGTTGATGTATATGTATCCTATGTGTACAGCAAACACGTCGCACAGATGAAGCGGTTGTGGTGTACAAACTGTTTCTCTGCTGATGACACCTCCTGCTGACGCAGCGTCCACTTGTGTGTCCCTGTTGTAGTCTTCAGACTTCAGTTTATATTCGCTTTCATCTATCCTGTTGCTTCCAAATTAACTTTTCTACGATGCCGGTCCCAAGCGTCAGGCGGCTCGCGAAAGATAGCGAACAAGTGCCCGCATGCGCCACGTCAGCGGCTTATCACGCCTCAACGCCTCCCGTGCTTCCTCAAGGTGTTCAAGCGGATACTGTATTGCTCGCGCTGTCCGGAGGGTCCAAGGAAGCCCTGCCATGCCGATCTTTTCGCGTCAGAACTCGGATGGGAAGACATTCGCCGCATCTTCTGACTGCAACTGTCGTACAGTGCATTGATCAAGCCAGCATCAAACGCCCTCCCCCATGGTTCCGGGCCAATGGGAGCTCCCGGCAGGCAGCAGGACTTTTCTTTTTCAAGGGAGATAGCTCTCGCGTGCGCTGATCTCCTGGGAATTCGTGTGCCCCGCGAATAGCACACGGGACAGGCCGCAGCCCGAAGTGTCTCGTCAGCATCAAAGAAGCTCCGCTATCATCACCCAAAGTGCTATCACTGATTTTGGAAGGCCTTAAGAACGTGCAGGACGCAGGGATGCGAACGCAGCATGTCGCTTCCTCCCTTGTCAGAGTACGGTAAGCTCACCGCGAGCGAGAGCTTGGGGTTACTGCGGGCGGTCCTTACGCTTCGTACGTCCCTGCCCCTGCTCCGCAATCTCGATCGTTGACGTCCCTGCCCTGCCGCGAAGCTGTCTCCGCCCTGTGGACGCTCAGCAAGACCTACTATGCGCCGTACAATCAAGAACGCAGCGTCAAGCGCATCCTGGCGGCAGCCGCCCTGCGCTTCGTCGTGTCCAACTTCTCCTCCCGACAGGTGCAGAACGCATTCGGCTCGTCGCTGTCCATGTACCAGGCCTGGTCGAAGACGAACAAGCTCGCGGAGACGGTGGAGGAGAGTGGATTCGGTGGCCGCCTTCTCTGGGTCGGGCCGAAGCGAGTGGATCGCGTGATCGTGTACATGCATGGTATGTGTGACTCTCTCAGCCGTACCTCCGCAGCTCCATGGATCATCCTCGTCCTGCAGGGGGAGGATTCATCGTGCCCGCCCAGGAGACCTACTTGGCGTTTTGGAGGCACGTGCAACTGGAGCTGGAGAAAGCAGGCGTCGCTGTCGGTATCGCGATGTTCAGTTACAGTGCGTTTCCCCCATCGTCGTCGTCGCCCCATCAAGCACTCGCTCATCGCAATGTTCGGCAGCTCAAAGGCCCTATGCGGTCTATCCGACGCAGCTCAAACAGGCGGTCTCCGCGCTCAATCACCTGACGGATCAAGGTGTCAAGCCCGAGAATATCATCTTGGCCGGCGACTCGGCAGGCGGAAACCTGGTCACTCAGGTCCTTTCACACATCCTCCACCCGCTCGCGACCGTCCCGGAGCTCAAATCATCCGGTCCCTTCCTGGGCGCGTACTTGATCTCGCCGTGGACGAACCTCTCGGAGACGAGCGGCTCGTACGTCGAGAACGAGGGGATCGATTACCTGAATGCGGGCGTCTTGATAGATTGGGGCGGCGGATTCCTTAAAGATGTGCCCCCGTCGGAGCTGGCTTACGTCGAGGCGGTCCACGCGCCCGAGGGCTGGTTCGCGGGAGTGGACCAGCGTGTCAAGCGTGTGTTGATCACCGGGGGCAGCGCCGAGGTGCTCAAGGACAACATTCTCGAGCTCTCGGATCTGTTCAAAAAGCACCATCCGAGAACGGAGACTGTGATTCAGAAGGACGGCCTGCACGAGGATATGTTCTTGGATTTCTTCTTTTCCAAGGAGAAGAAGCTCGGGACGCTCACACCGCTGACAGTAGAGTGGCTGGCTGCGACTTTCAAGGAGGCGGAGTGAAGATGTATGTATATATCAAATTTGTATGACTGTTGAGGACGGAATCAGGTTTTGTCGACTACACGTCAAGTGTTACGCAGTGCTTGAATCCTGCAACGAGTCGGGCAACCGGGACCAGTGCACTAACGTTATTGTAGTGTGCGTGTCTCAGTCCTTACTGGGTTGAAACAATACTCGATTTCCCAAACTCAGCAGTCGTAGTTACGCAACACTACAGTGACTAGCGAGCAAGCCTTCCCTTCTCAGAAGCCTCCTGCCGACCGCTCGCCACAATCTCACATCGAGTGTGCCGGCTTCTTTAGTATCGTGGATCGCTACAGGGCATGCGAGTCAACTTCGACTATTCACAAGAACAAGCAATGCAAACACTCGAGCAAGTCAGTACCACAACCCAGCACTTCAGGTCTCGCACTCTTCCGCATCTCAGACGCGCGCACTCTTTTGAACTGGAGTCCGACCGGCGGAATGTGATCTATGACCGGCTCACAGTTGTGCTCAAACTCTGTGCGGGCCCAGCAAGCTCTGGCCGATCGTGCTGCGAGTGCAATCATCGACACACCACTTTCCTTCCGACGTGATAATGCAGATCGTCGCGACCAGGCCTGATGTTGGGTTGAACCAGGAGCTCTATGATGGAATCCCGAATTCTAGGGGGGACAGATGCTTCCTCTGGGTAAGAGACACCCATTTTTGGCCAGGAAACATCCGCAGAGACTCTCTCACCTACGTACGTGCCCGGATTCGCGTGATCCCATGGACTCTGCACCCGCGTCTCCGAGGACTCATGCTCACGCGCACTGTGAAGGACCGGGAAGAGCCCTCGGAGGACATGCGCGGCTGAAGCACGAACGAGCTGCAGCTTCCATGACTCACTCCTCCCGCGCAGCCCAGGGCCACATCCGACGCGACCTTAGGTCTATGTAACAGGGTGCGAGTCAGGCACTGCACCCGCGCACGGGCGACGCTTACTACGGTCGGATCCAGGTTCTCTCCTCACCATCACCTGATACGAGTTCTCGCTGGTGGGGTGGCTGTTCCGAGGCTTGGACGCAGCTCCCTCGACCCGCCAGGGCACCCTCTACATGCGTGGACTGCGCGAATCGCGACATGGCCTTGAAAGCGACACCGTGACTGTCTCTCGCACGTGCAGAGGGGCTCCAAAAGTTCCATTCTCGAATGGAAGATGCGATTTGACATGTTTCTGCCTGGCAAACGAGAATTGATCGCACTTTTGTTTGATCGCGCACGAAGAGAGAACAATTAGGCGCCGCGGCGACCTTGTGGGTGTCTGTCTGCCGGAGCCTGATGACAAGCAGATGACGATCCCAGATTCAGAGAACAACAAAACTCTCGATCACGATCGGGATAGGGCAGTTACTCGATTTAACTTAGAGTGATCGTATGTTATATGGCTAGCACGAAGTAGCGTCGCGTGTGGTACAATCGTACAGGGCAACTATCGATACTGTTACAGTACTAGAGTGTAAGACCCCGCTGCGAGCCGGGGCATTGGTCAGAGAGAAGGAAGGAAGGAGGGAACCAGGACGTGTTCGAAGCCGAAGCGAAGCGAAGTTGAGAGAGAGAGAGAGAGAGAGCGTGGTGCGGCCCATCGAGCCGCGGGAATGAATAATGATAAGACGAAGAAACGAGGGAGTGAGTCTGTGGTGTGTCGTACAGGTGTGCAACGCCAAGCAGCGTAGGCGTCGTGTTCGTAGTTCAGATGCTGTGTGCAGAGCACACCGACAACGGTCGTGTCCGAGTGCGGCCGCGCTTCGAGGCATCTGTCTCGAGATCATCCGTGGACCCAAGATCCACTCTCACGGGCTTGGAAGCAGCAGCACCAGGCATCTCCTCGTCATCCGAGTAGTACACCGTATCCGCGTCGTCCTCGTCGTCGGACATCTCTTCTTCCTCTTCCTCCTCCTCCTCTTCGATGCGCGCCGCACGCAGGCGCAGCCAGTTCTGGAACCACATCCCCAAGAACATCTTGATGTCCGCCGGGAGCCCGAGGTACTCCACATTGCGCGCGAGGCCCTCCCACTCGACCTCCCCTTCCCGCAGCGCGTCGGCGATCGGGCCCGTCGCACCGAAGTACATCCAGTGCACGAGCAGGTGGATGCTAGTCGGGTCCGGCACGGGCAGGAACAGGATCGGGTGGTCCGGCGAGCACGGCATCAGGCGCGGGCGGCGGTTTTCCGGGACGGCGAACCTGCCGGCGGCGTTGGCGCGCGAGGTCGCGGGCGTCTCCGACAGCGAGGAGGAGGTGATCAGGTCCAGGGAGGACGCCCCGCTGAAGAGGCCCCGGAGGAAGGTAGAGTGGGCGGAGAGGAAGTCGATGTGCAGCTGTGGATGCGGGCGCGCGGTGAGCACGTGTTGGAGGTATGTGTGTGTATCAGCTGAGCGGACCCACCTTCAGAGATATCCGAGGCACGGAGTTGAGGGCAGGTTCCGTCGCGCGGCGATTGTTCGCGGGGTCACTGGACATGGAGAAGACAGGGAGATCGGGGGAGAAGGGGGAGCCAGCCCGCCCAGGTGCATGCGGAACAGGAATCACTGCGTCCAGCGTCAGCCAGCCAGCCAGCAGGTCCACACATCGCAAGCCACCGACGAACCAATGGTGCAATCAGCGGTGTCCGGCTTATCCCAGTACTGCGGGGCAAGTTGGCGGAGCTGGTCAACGATGTACTCGACAGGCACGCCAGTCAGCGAAGGAGGGGGAAAGGCCCGGGCATTGAACAACGACGCGGTCGAGATCGGTTGCGAAGGCTTCAGAGGGGGGGACGAAGACGGAGACGCGCCAGACCTGCAGCGGGGCATTTTCGTGGGAGACGGAGGGGGGTTGGCTGGAAGGAAGAGTATGCCTGCCTAGATTGGACTTTATCCATGCGCGCTCTCAACGCGCTCTTATTGTTCTTTTGCGATCAATTGATCGATTCGATCTCCATATGGGACACACTCCCTAAGTTGGGCAAGCGATACGCGCATTGGATTGACAGCTCTGCGGCTGTCGCGCCGCTGCCAATTCTAGCGAGCAACGACATTGTCTACAGGTCCGAATCCTCACCGCTCCGGAAGGGTTCAGCGATGATGGAGCGCTCTGCGCCATTGCCGTACTCACCTGATGCCCATCGCACATTCGTTAACAAGCTTGAATTACAGAATTGGTAGAGCACGAGCCCGATATGTATTGACAAATTTATTCCCCAGACATGCCCAATGGCGTAGTTGGTTAACGCGTCCGACTGTTAAGAAGCTTCAGCTTCATGGTGATCGGGAGATCGAGAGTTCAACCCTCTCTTGGGCAGTATCTTTTGCTTCTTTCGAAATTCCTTTTCTGTCATTAATTACACGGAACCCCTGACTGGGATACCTGACGAACTGTTCCCTCATAATAATAACACATAACCAGGCAGCTACGATATCCGTTATTCCTTTATTTATTTATTCATTGAATTTCTGCATACAAAGCGTCGGTATTGCGACAATGCTCTAGATATATATATACGATAGCAAAAGGGGGAGCAACAGCGAACGAACGAAGAAGAAAAAGAGAAGAAAAGCATTCCAGCCCAATAAAAAAACGGAATCCAGCTCAAAAAGATCCCAACGCGCGTCGCATGGTATCGGCGTCCAACGCTCTCAGCTTCAGACACTTCTGGTACATCCTCTTCTCGACCGGGAACTGCACCTTGCCCGCCACGCCCTGCACCGCCACGAGACTCTTGATGACGCCGGCGATGAGGCGCTGCTTCTGCACATTGATCAGCGGCTCGAGGTGGATCGAGTCCGGCAGCGGCGCAAGGGCGGAGAACACCTCGGGGTGCGCGGGCGGGTCGAAGTTGGCCGTCACGGGGTCGATGCCGACCGGCTCTGACGGGGCCGTGGGGTCGATGAGGTCCGGCAGTTTGTGGTGGCGGTAGAGCTGGGAGAGATACACGCCGATGAAGGGGACGCACGACTGCGGCTTTGCTTCGCCCGTCGATATCGACTTGCGCCGGGCCGCGGCCTGGTCGACGTCGACGACAGCATCCTGGGTCTTGGTCTCGGCGATGGCCTGTCGGATGTACTTGAAGTCGTTAGAGTGGGTCACGAATTCGCGCAGATCGTTCAACACGCGCAGCTCCCATCGCCCGACGCTCTTCCAGTTCCGCAGGGCCTGGGTGACCCACGAACTCCGCAGCCCGGCAATGATGGCCACGAGCGTATTGTAACTCCCGATGCGGTACGATCGCTGCACCCGTCGTCAGCTGTGTCACAAGAACGACAACAACAGGAACTCACCCAGGCGATGCGGATGAACTTGGCCGCCACCGCTGGCCTTGCGCTGGGCGGACTGAGCACAATCTCCGACGCGACGAAACTCGTCATCAGATTGAACCTCGCCCGCACGGCAGCCAGACCGCTGCCCGCCGCCTTTTCCTTGAGGTACTGCGCCCAGTCGAGCACCTCGACCGAATCATCATAGGCCATCCAGTCCTCCATGATCTCCTCAATCCGCACATTCACAAACAACTGCTTGTCGATCATCGCAAAGTGTTCTGCGGTCTGCACTGCCCGGTGCGCGAGAATGAACGACCGATGGAACCGTGATCCGTTTTCCCCTGGGACCGTAACAAACTTGGACATTGATGCCCGCGGCGGGACACGGCTCTGCAAGATCTCCAGCGGGACTGCCTCCTCTGGGACAGGTCTCGCCTCGTCGGCCACTTTGGGCGGTGACATCGGCGGTGCACTGATGACGGGTGTGGCCATCTCCTCGATGGCAAGATCGCTCTCGCCCAGATTCTGATCAACATCGTCCTCGCCGTCGTCGGCCGCGTTCGCCTCCTCCTCCACCACCTCTTCCTCCTCGTCATCCGAAAACTGCCTCTGCAGATTCTCATCATAGTCACCGTTCAAGAACCGGTCCCTCATTGTCCGCATCCAGCCATCGACCTTGCTGAGCTTCTCCTGCTGCTTCGTCGGGTTGATCTGCCCCTCGAGCCGGTTCAGCGCGGCCTCGACATCGCCTTCTTCCTCGTCGTCACTCAAACTCTGGACCAGTGCGTTCATCTGCCACTGATGGATGGCACCACCGTTGATGGGCTCGGCAGCGGCCGAATTCGAGGATGCTATCGACGAGTGCGCGGTCGAGTGCAGTCCCATTGAGGAAACGGTGTCCGACCGGTGGCGCGCAGCAAACTCAAACTGACGTGGGAGCCTTCGCAGCGGTTGCCTTAGCCCCGGCGGCGCCGCTGGTCCGTCGGACGAGTTGTCCGACAGATCCAGGTCATCGATCGACACGATGTCGAATTGGAACTGCGACTGCGCGCCGCCTGGGAATAGCGCCCGCGTCGACGATACTGGCGCGCCGAAAGAATCCGTGGAACTCGACCGGAAGGAGTAAACCGATTCTGCGAGCGATTCCGGTCGGGGCTCATCGACTGGCGCGGGTTCGGTCTCGGCAGATTTGGTCTCAGCGGATTCAGTCATAGCGGATTCAGCCGAAGGCTCTGGCTCTGGCTCCGCTTCTGGTTCTGGCTGATCGATAGCAGGCTCGGGCATGTCAATCGGCGGCGGCGGAGACACGAACAGCTTGGTCGCTTCGTGCGGCGCTGCCATCAGCGGTGTCGATCTCACGTGAGCGGCGCCATTGCCCTTCATCTTCAAGTACTGCTCGAAGCCGCCATTGACGCTCAACATGTCCCGCCCCACCGTCAACTCGAGGTCGATCGCATTGGGATCCGCGCAGGCTCCAAGCGGTGTTCTGACCACCCCCGTCGAGCGCTGATTCAGCACGCGTTTCCACCGCCCCAGCTGGCCCATCGTCTTCACAAACGCGCGTGACAACACATTGTGGTGCATAGGAAGTGCCGCGTTGCCCACCACGGGGGCATCGCCACCGAGAGGGTCCGTGCGCTGCATGACCGTCAACGAGGATATTGGCACGATACTGTTTCGCGTGTCCGCGATGAAATCCGGCGGCGTATACGGCATGTTGTTCTCGTCTGCGACGAAATCCAAGTCGATGTCGGCGTCGTCCTCCACGACCGCGGCGTTGCGCGTCGCCGCTGCAAAGCTTTCGCCCAAAACGTGACTGGAGTCCGAAGCAGCTGACGAGGGGGTGTTTGCAGAGGTCGTGCCTTCCTGGGACGCCGGTGCCCGCGTGTATATCGTTTTATGATCCCGGACCACCTTTCTCAGCTTCCGGATGAGAGCCTGCGCCCACGGTGAGCATCCAATTTGGTCATCACACACTCGAATGCGCTCACCAAGCCATCGGGCAGCTTCTGCAATATCGGGTCCCGCCACAACGTGTTCAACCACGTCGCCATCGACACCCTCAGCTCCCGATCGGGCAGAAAGTCGAGCGCAAAGAAGTTGGTGATCCAATACCGAAACGCGACAAACGTCCGCACTCGCACAACCCTGCGCACAAATTCATCTTGCGGCGAAGACGAGGTCTGCAGCGCCCAGTGGAAGCGACAAATCAGCAGATGGCACAGGTCCACCGCGCTGATGTACGTCCGGTACGTCAAAAAGAAGTTGAGAAGTTCGTCGTATTTCAAGTCGCTCGTCAGCTGGGCTATCCACCTCTCGATCGTGGCCGCGACGAGCACCTTGACCACCGCCGAGGAGTCGTCCAGCTTCACTCCGGGCAAGTCGGGTGTCTTGCCCTTGCCCACTTTCGTGTTCCGCCGCGGCCTAGAAGACGAGGAACTGCCATCCGTCACACCAGATAGACTGCGCTCGTCAGCATCTCGTTCTCGCTCAGAAACCGGCTCGCCCCAGATAACAAACCGCGGATCGTCTTTCGGCGCCGCGTTGTTGTCCGACGACGAGAGCTTGATCACCGTCGTCTCCTCCCCGGGCCCAAGTCGATCCAGCAACGGCAGCCCCCGGTAGGTTTGCAAAACAGTGAAAATATCCCCCTGATATCGCGAGAGAAGCAGCGTCTCAGGCTGTGGCCCAGAAGGCGCAGCCGGAGCCGGAGCCGGAGCCTCCGCTGCCTCCGACGACATCGAATCTCGCACCCGCATCGCTGACGGCGGTCGCTGAGGATCCGTGTCAAAGGCTTCTCGCGGCAGCAGTCCTTCCGGAATCAGGCCATCCGTATGATCGGTCTGCTTGGCCGTCAAGCCTGACTCGAACGACTGCATCTCGCGCAGATGCCTGGGCATCGGCAGCAGTTCAAACTGCACTTTACGGACGGGCGATTCAAAGTGTATCGTCCCGCCGAATGGGTTCTTGTGCCCCGACGGCGAGGAGATCGAGCTCGAGGCAGGGGGCGAGCTGATGTTGGAAGTCGAATTGGAGAAGCTGGACGTTGATCCGGTCGCAGTCCCGAGCGCGGGCGTCCCCCAGCCCATGATCCCTGCAAACGCATCTGCTGCGCCTCCGTGCGATGCACTCGAGATCATGCTGTCAGTCATGCTGGCCGGGTGGTAATCGGCCGAAGTCACACTCTGCGAATGGCCCCGCCCATTGGGCCTCGACGAACCTTCGCTCGTCACAAGCTCCGAGGACGAACGCGTCTTGCGCAGTTTCCGCGTGCCTGTGCTGCCGCTGCTTTGCCCCGGCAAAGCCAGTCCGGCGCCGCCATTCGCTCCGGAACGAACCGCCCCGGAGCCCCCCGCAGCAGCACCCAGCCCCGTTTTGTTGAACATGCTCACGCTGATGCGAGATCGGCGGGGTGACCGTGCGCGGCCGTGGCCATGGTCGCTTGCGGGGCTGATAACGGTCGAGGTGACGCGTTCTTCGGCCTCGAGTGCGGATGCGCCTGGCGGCGTTTTCTTATCTCGGCGACTAGCAGAGAGCGAGTCAGCGACAAGATAGCTAATGGGAGGAGGTCGAGGGACATCTGAACGTACCCAATCCGATACATTTGGCGCCCGTGCTGGTTGATGAGCGCCGTAATCGTATACGGCGAACGAACAGTGGGGCTGACACCATGCGCATTATCATATCGCCGTTTCAGCTCGCGGGCGAGTGCTCCCGAGGATGTTTCAACAAAGCTTCCGTCAGCTGGAAGCAGTCGCGCATTAGCACACATTGAGGTAAGAGAAGCCACATCGGACGCACGGGCGACGGTTATGTCTTCCGCTGCAGCGGCAAGCTCAGAGGGCAGCGGTTCGTGGGGATGTCCCTCCGTGTCCATTTCGGAAAAAGCGAATGCCGCGTCGGAGCTTGTTGGAAAGGGGAGAAGCACTCCGTTGCTCGAAGACGCGTCTGGGGTTGCCGGTGTTGACGATGGATCAAGCAAAGAGAGTTCGTCGACCTCGGAGGGCGGCGTCAAGCCAGGGGGCGTAGACGGCCCATGCACAGGGCTTTCGGGGGGCGTAGGCGCCGGGCTGTAGGTTTCGCTCATGATAGTCGTATGCAATAGGTCAGTAGATAATCTCAGTCTGTATCGGTCGCTGCATTCACGCCCTCTCAGCAAGACTCCCGAGTCCAAAGTTTCGCGCACGCACGCACAAGTTAGCTGGGCATTCCACGACTCCGAATCGGACGGGGCGCGTGGGTAAGTAGTAAAGTTGGGTGCAGGGATCAACGGATGCTTCTGAATCCCACTTGATGCGGGCGGTGTGGTGGACGTGAAAGGTCGTGCAGCAGCAGAGGAGACTGGGGAGAGGGGGCACCAGATCCAAGCCCGACTGCTGTGGTAGGCGTCGAAGAACAAGAGCACAAGATGTCACACTGCAGTGACAGATAATGTGACGCATGTTCCAATTGTGTATGTCACAGCGATGAGGCTTGCGATGTCGATCGCCGGACTACGGCTCGCTCATCGCGTCGCGTCTGGCTGGTGCAGAGTCTTATTTGAATGAACGCCCTCGCGCAGTGCACTGCTGGATACATGCACGCCCGCACTTGGCAATCACTTCGAAATCTTTTCACCATCAGTCGCTGACGTACTTATCAGACAGCTGAACTCGAAATAGGCGGCGCTTCGATCCGGCTAGGTAAGAAAGTACCTGGGTTTAGTAATGTCGGTGTTGACGTCGTTGGCGGTGTCAGCAAGCGCGAGAGCGGGCTGCATAGCATCGGTCATGGGTGTGGGACTCCGGGATCACCGTTGTTTCGGAAAATGAGGTAATAGCGCAAGGCGCATAGCGAAAGTCGGACAGACGGAGAAAGGGCAAGCTCATGCTGGCTGGCTTGGCGTTCAGTTCGGACGGGAAACATAAAATCATGCAATGGTGGGGAGAGTGTAAGTAGTGCGTTCTAGATAGAGAGAGTGCAAATCAGGGTCGGGCGGTCCAATGCGAAACGTGTCAGGGAAGCTGAACGTCGTGATGTTTTGGGGGGAATTCTGCAGACCGGCTATAAACGACGACGTATCAAGCTTTCTTAGCCCTGGGCACGATGTCCCGGGAGTATTCGACAGCGAATTTTTCCTTCAATGATGCGGAGGCCGCGGCAGACGCAGCGTCTGCAGACTTTTCGAAGCTCACGAATGCAAACGGCGGAGGCGTCTTGCGCGCCGGGACTGTAGAAAGGAAGTTCGAATGAGACGCGGGGAGGATAGGGAGAGCAGAGAAGACGACGCACGGAGGTCTAAGGTGTTGGGACCGTACGCATCGAACGCTGCCTGCAGTTCCTCCTTGGGGAAATTCGGGCCCACTTTCTTGAGTCTGATGAGGAGACGCTTGTCGTCGGCCAAGATGCGTGCGGTCGTGGAAAAGAACGAGCCCCGTGACGGACGCAAAGTCGTGAGAAGGGCTTGTCTACGGATGAGGCCAGCGAACATAGTGGTAGTTCCTTGACGAGTTTTTGCGGTCACGTGTCACAATGAGTCTTTACTGGAGCGTCAGCCTCCGATGATGCACGGACGGCGGCCCGACCTGCTTCTAAACACTGTGGCTCCCGTAAGTCCGTTTAACCGCATCAATGGCCTCTGCCCCACCACTTTGGCAGACGCCCGAAATATCTGCCCAGGAAGTCTGACTCAGCCCTGAATGGCACCCTGAATATAAAAGCAGAGACTGTCTGCAACGTCATGTCATCCTCTTTTCCCCTTGCTTCCGATTACGAACATCATGCCTGGTTCTCTGGGACGCAGCCCCCGGTCCTCTATGACGATTGTTGACGCAGATCTCCACCGCATCGATGTGGGCGCACCGAAACCTGAACGACCCAAATTTGAGGAGCAGAATCTACCGAGAGAGCCTGAGGAGATCAGCTGGGACGGCCCCGACGATCCTGAAAACCCGCAAAACTGGACAGACCGCAAGAAGTGGTGGATCACATTCGTTTGTGTAATATCTACCGTGAATGTGTAGGTGTTCTTTGGCTATGCCCCCCGTTCATCCGCGCTTACTTGTCGTCTTCGCAGCACATTCGCGTCTTCTGCACCGAGCTCGGCAATGGGCTTCATCCGTGCTGATTTTGGAATCTCCGCCGAAGTTTCTTATCTTGTCACATCCGTTTTCCTCTTGGGATATGTGTTCGGGGTGAGCAAGGCTCGATTTCTCTCCCGTACCATTTCTGAACAAATCTCGCAGCCTCTCGTATGGGGACCGGGTAGCGAACTCTTGGGTCGCCGGCCCATCTTCGTCTTCGCCATGGTCATGTATACGATCCTGCACCTCGGCGAAGCACTGGCCCGAAACATCGAAACGATGCTCGTCACGCGGTTTCTAGGGGGCCTCTTCGCATGTGCTCCTTTGGTCAGCTCGGGTGGTGTGCTCGCCGACATCTGGTCCGCGGAGAAACGTGGCACAGCGATGAGCCTGTTCTCCGCCAGCGTGTTCCTCGGTCCGGTCATGGGCCCGATCGTCGCAGGCTATATCGTCGAGAGCGACCTGTCGTGGCGATGGGTGTTCTGGGTCATGATGATGTTTGCGGGATCCAGCACTGCGCTCATCACCGTAGGGCTGCCGGAAACTTTTGCACCAGTTTTGCTGCTCAAGAGGGTTCGTGCGCAGCGCAAGGCAGATCCAGACGCGCTGGGCCATCTGTATGCTGCACATGAGAAGCGGGACTGGTCTGCAATGGGCATCATTCGCTCAACTCTCTTCCGCCCGTTCATCATGCTGGCCGGCGAGCCTATTTTGGTTCTCGTCACGGCTTATCTGTCGCTCATCTACGGTGTTCTCTACGCTCGTGAGTGCTCTATCTTCTTTCCATGGCTTCTCCTGACACTGGTTATAGTTTTTGAAACATTCCCCATCATCTTCGTCCAGAAGCGTGGATTCACAATCGCTCAGAACGGACTGGTCTTCATCGGCGTCGGGATCGGCACTTCGCTGGGCGCCTTCATCAACTATCTCTGCTCGCGACACTACCCAGAGCTCATCAAGAAGTGGAAGGGCTTTCCGCCTGCCGAGGAGCGACTGATCGGTGCGATGTACGGCGCTCCCCTATTTGTAGTGGGCATCTTCTGGCTCGGATGGACTGGCCAATATCCGAGCGTGCCGTGGTACGTGCCTGCGCTGGGCACGATCGTTGTCGGGATGGGCGTCTCGTCGGTCTTCATGGGTTTCCTCAGCTATCTCGTGGACACCTACCTGTGCGTTTCTCACAGATTGTGTCTTTCGTGCGCTCGCTGACCCCTTGATTAGTATGAACGCTGCATCGGCATTCGCCGGTAACACGTTCTTCCGTTCTCTCGTCGCTGCCGCATTCCCGCTTTTCACTGTGCAAATGTTTAACGGAATGGGCGTGAACTGGGCCTCGACCCTCCTCGGGGGCGTTGGACTGCTGCTTGCTCCGTCGCCGTTCTTGTTCTACAAGTACGGCGCACGGATCCGACAGCGCAGCAAGTTTGCGCCCTGTCTGGATCTCAAGATCGCAGCAGAGCTGAAGACGGAGGAAGAAAAGGCCTCCGGGGACAATAGCGTGTAGGACTACTTTATACATACCATATATCAGTCATTAGACCAACTACACTTGTACTTACTATGTCACCTTCGTGTATTTTTACTTGCCTTGATTCAAGATATTTCCCCCAAGTCGCAGCGCTTTTTCAGAGTCAATTCATTCTGACAGTCGAGGGGTATGTGTGTCAATTCTTGCTTTCTTCGACGGTCCCAATGCCAACGTCCTCATTGAACGAGTCTTCGAGCTGCTATGCTGTCGCTTCGTGCCAAGCACGATCCGAGATCCTCCTCATCCAAGTAAAGCCAGACGATTCCTCGTCAGCGGAGACTGATTGACTACCAGCACCTGGATACTTCCCTTGGTTTCAGCGGTGTCGCCCAAGGCAGACGGCGTCTTAGCACCGTCTAGGCAGGCATGCATCTCTTATTCAGAGCACGATCTCATCGCCCTCGTGAGCGACCTTGACACATGAAGGGATCTCGACGACCGATCGCTTGCCTGTTGCAATCCTCCGGCTAACCTCGAGATCCATCAGGAAACCTGTGCGTCGATGAAGAGAGGAGGAGGGCCAATCGAACCCCACAGGCAAATAAATTCCGGCAGGTCTTGCTGTCCACCGGTCCCTCTAGATCTGTGTGTGAGTATCCCCATCTCATACGAGTCGCTGCAAGTCGCCCGCGTTTGAAATTGAGCAACGCTCGGTAGCGAGGGGCCAATCCAGGATAGAAATCGAGTAAGAAAGCCTCACAATCACCTGGTAATCCTCGGGCGCCAGTGCTGCTGAGATTGATCGATGGGCAGGCACTTTCTGCTGACGACATCACTTCAGCTTCGAAGGCGACGCTTGGTCCGGGTTGAGTCACTATTTATGTGCGCGCACCCGAGCGTCGGCGGGGAGACACGCATCCGCAGAGAACGGGCATGTCTCCGTGACACGCGACAGAGGCTCATGTTGTATCGTCTGCGCCACGCTCATTTGTTGCGGATGGAGGATGGAGATCGTCTGTTTGCGCGTGAAGCAGAGCATCGTCTGAGATGTGACTGGATACTTCAAGTTCCACGGGTGTTCAGCTTCAGCCATGTCACGGCAGAGGTCAAGCGCAGATGGTTTCACGACAGCCTCCAAGAGGACGCGAGAGCCCCCTTGGGCTCCCTTCTCGAGCACCGACCCACACACTTCATTCACGGTCTCTGCTCCAAGTTCCTTGAAGCAGATTACGGTGCTGAGGCCGCGCCGACTCTGGACATATCCACAGATTCTCCCTCGCAAGTTGTACAGTCAAAGTTAGAGTTGGCGAATGAGAGCAAGAAGGGGGCACGTGGAGACGAGGGTTCCGTAGACGAAGAGGTTTCAGACACGCACTTCCCGCAAGGATGGCCATAGAGAGAGGCAAGCGGGGCCAGCTATGCGATTGTTTAGGGGCTTGCAGTGAGGCCGATCGGGTTTGGTGCTCATTCCAGCCTGCTAGGATCGAGATACCTCTGAGAGACTGTTAGCGCTAGACCTAGCTTCAAATCAACAGGATGCAGATTCAGGGACAGCCGAGTCCCGACACACAGACCTGCCTTTTTTGGATACTTTGGCATCTTGCCGTTGATGATGAATCGATGATTTCTGATGGCACAGGGGGCTGCCGTAGATCATGTGAGTGGCTACACACAATCGAATACCAGTCAATGACAACAGCAATGAGTTGCATCGACACAGAAATTGCAAAGTAAGAGAGCTATAAACTACTTAGAGACTAATGAATGCAATGCATGATTGATATTGCTTACAAGACTTTCTAGGCAAGGGAGGAAAGAGGATCCCACCTGCAAAGCTGCCGCGAGGCTCCGTTTGGCTTGGTGGCTGCAACGACAAAGGCTGCTGACATGACTTGCCGCCTTGCGTGGTTCGGCAAGAGTTCTCAAAAAGGTATGTCTTGGTCCAACGCCCCCACTTCGGCATTACAACAAACTCTGTGGCTCCGGCTGTCCGGGCCTTGTGTGTGGTGCCCAAAATAGCTCCCTGAATATAAAAGCAGAGAGTATCTGGGGCCTCATGCCATCCTCTTGCTCCCTTGCGCAATCGCGAACGACATGCCTGGCTCCCTGGGACGCAGTCCTCGGTCGTCAATGACGATTGTCGACGCAGGTCTGCCACGCACCGATTCTGACGCAACAAAACGTGAACGATCCCAGCTCAGAGCCCAAGATCTGCCCAGAGAACCCGAGGAGATCAGCTGGGACGGGCCCAACGATCCCGAAAATCCGCAGAACTAGACGGACCGCAAAAAGTGGTGGATCACATTTCTTTGTGTAATAGCGACCTTGAATGTGTAAGCGCACGGCTGACCGCGTCCCCGCTCATCCCCGTTCATCTGTCATTTGGGCAGTACATTTGCTTCTTCTGCACCGAGCTCGGCATTGGAGTTCATCCGCGCCGAATATGGGATCTCTGCCGAAGTTTCTTATCTTGTCACATCCGTGTTCCTCCTGGGATATGTACTCGGCGTACGTCGTCCAAATTCTCTCGTGCACCCAGTTCTGACGCCATCCGTCCGCAGCCGCTTGTGTGGGGACCCGGAAGCGAGTTGTTGGGTCGCCGACCTGTATACACCTTTGCCATGGTCGTGTATACTGTCCTCCACCTCGGCGAGGCACTGGCTCGAAACATCGAAACGATGCTCGTCACGCGGTTTCTCGGCGGCCTCTTCGCCTGTGCTCCCTTGGTCAACTCGGGCGGCGTCCTCGCCGACATCTGGTCCACAGAGAAACGCGGCACGGCGATGAGCCTCTTCTCCGCCAGCGCATTTCTCGGTCCAGTCATGGGCCCCCTCATCGCAGGCTTCATCGTCGAGAGTGACCTGTCGTGGCGGTGGGTGTTCTGGGTCATGATGATGTTTGCGGGATCCAGCACTGCGCTCATCATCTTTGGATTGCCGGAAACGTTTGCACCAGTTTTGCTGCTCAAGAGGGTTCGTGCGCAGCGCAAGGCAGAGCCAGAAGCAATGGGCCACCTGTACGCGGCGCATGAGAAACGGGACTGGTCTGCGATGGGCATCATCCGCTCGACGCTCTTTCGCCCGTTCATCATGCTCGCTGGCGAGCCCATCTTGGTTCTCGTCACGGCTTATATCTCGCTCATCTACGGTGTTCTCTACGCTCGTGAGTCGCATAAACTGTTCTCGTCTGGTTTTTGAACCCTCCCACCAGTATTTGAGACGTTCCCCATCATCTTCGTCCAGAAGCGTGGATTCACAGTCGCCCAGGACGGCCTGGTCTTCATCGGCGTCGGGATCGGCACGTCCTTGGGCGCGTTGATCAACTACTTCTGCTCGCGACACTACCCGGAGCTCATCAAGAAGTGGAAGGGCTTCCCACCCGCCGAGGAGCGACTGATTGGTGCAATGTACGGTGCCCCCCTCTTTGTGGTGGGCATCTTTTGGCTCGGATGGACCGGACAGTATCCGAGTGTGCCGTGGTACGTTCCTGCGCTGAGCACGATCGTTGTCGGGATGGGCGTCTCTTCAGTCTTCATGGGCTTTCTGAGCTATCTTGTGGACACCTACCTATATGTTTCTCACGTCCCGCACCACCTGAATCAGTGCTTACCGTCCATCAGCATGAACGCTGCATCCGCATTTGCTGCGAACACATTCTTCCGTTCTCTCGTCGCCGCCGCATTCGCGCTTTTCACTGTGCAGATGTTTAACGGAATGGGAGTCAACTGGGCGTCGACACTCCTTGGCGGCGTTGGGCTGTTGCTCGCTCCGTCGCCGTTCTTGTTCTACAAGTACGGCGCACGGATTCGGAAGCGCAGCAGGTTCGCGCCCTGTCTGGATCTTAAGATCGCAGCAGAACTAAAGATGGAGGAAGAAAAGGCCGCTGGGGGCTATAGCGCGTAGAACTGCTCCAGCAATATATATCAATCATTAGACGAAATAAATCAATTAGACTAACTACACTTGTACTTACTACGTTACCCCCAGTGTATTTGTATTCGCAGAGCGAAAGCACTATATCATACCGCCAATTCACTTGTGAGAGAGGAGTGATATGGTACAGATTCTTTCTTCGACGGTCTCGATGCCGATACTTATCCTCATCAAATGAGTTTTCGGGCTGCTATACTTTCCCTTCGTGCGAGGCACGATCCAGACCCTCCTCATCCGAGCCAAGCTAGACGATCTGTCGTCAGCGGAGACTGATTGAACACCCCCGGCAGGATGTTAACTCTAGTCTCAACGGTGTTGCCCATCAAGTAAGTGGTCTGTTGGCTAGTCATGCATCGCTTGTCTGAACACGATCTCATCGCCCTCGACAGCGGCTTTGACACATGAAGGGATCCAGACACCCAATCGCTCGCCTGTCGCAACCCCCGGCTAGCCTCGAGATCTATCGGGAAATCTGTGCGTCGATGAGAGTGAAGACAATCAACTTCCACTGGTTGGCTACTTGAGATGTTTGGCTGTGTCGCGCAAGTCCGGTAGTAGAGCTTCTAGTACCGATAGTTCCACGACGGCCGCAAAGAGGATGTGCGAGCCCACTTAGGTTCCCTTCTGGAGCACGAACCCGCACAATTTGCTTCCGGTCTCGACCCTGATTAGCTCGAGGCAGACGGCGGTACCGAGGCGGGTAGACGCGCCGCCGAACCTGCATATATGCACGGATTCTTCCTCGCAATGTTCGTTAGCTGGGTTGTACGGCGAGAAGTTGCGGTTGACAAGTGACAGAAAGGCAGCACACGGAGAAGAGGGTTCCGTATACGGAGAGTTTTCAGACGCGTGCTTCCCGCAAATATGGCCTCAGAGTGAGCAGGGCCAATCATGCGCTTGTTTTGAAGCTCGAGGTCGATGTGGTCCTGGGCTCAGTGCGGCCCACGAGGATCGGGATATACTGTACCTCTGAGAGACCGTCAGCTAGACCTGTGCTCGAGATAACAGGATGCAAATTCGGCGGTGCCACCAATTCTGCGGCCGTGCCTGTCTTTGTACGTCTGGTCCATATGTAACTTGACCTATGTCGTCATCTCCGGGCTTGGCTGTGGTCGCAGTCACGTGTGTATTTGGCCCGTCAGCAAGGGCATCGGCCCGAGCTGCTGCCAAATCAATCTAAGCAGCTGCTTCCGTAAGCCTATTCTTCCGGCATCATCATGAACCTGCTCCACCTGGCACAGGCAGTCAGCCCGAGACCTCAGCTCCGGCAACCTGAGTCAGCCCTCCAGGGCGCTGCGAATATTAAACAGAGACTCTCCGACGATATGTTCATCATCACAATCTCTTTTCTCCTCTGCTCTCGACCAGTCCAGCCGCCATGCCTGGTTCTATGGGGCTCACACCGCGATCTTCGATGACAATTGTCGATCAAGATCTACCCCACACGGATCCAGACGCCACGAAATCCGAACAACCCCTATTCAAACAACAAAATCTGACTAGAGAGCCTGTAGCAGTCAGCTGGGATGGGCCCGACGACCCGGAGAATCCGCAAAACTGGACAGACCGCAAGAAGTGGTGGATCACGTTCGTTTGTGTGATATCGACTGTGAATGTGTAGGGGCCTTTACTCGGTCACCGTGCCCTCGTTGATGTCTCACCTACCTCTCCAGGACATTCGCCTCCTCTGCGCCGAGCTCGGCGTTGGGGTCCATCCGTGCCGAATTTGGAATCTCCGCTGAGGTATCATATCTCATCACGTCGGTGTTCCTCTTGGGTTATGTGTTCGGGGTACGTCCGTCCGACTTCTTTCGTGCCCCCAGTTCTGACACCATCCGTCCGCAGCCTCTCGTGTGGGGACCCGGAAGCGAGCTGTTGGGTCGCCGCCCTGTGTATGTGCTTGCCATGACGATGTACACGATCCTCCACCTCGGTGAAGCGCTCGCCCGAAACATCGAAACACTGCTCGTCACGCGGTTCCTCGGCGGCCTCTTCGCCTGCGCTCCTTTGGTCAGCTCGGGCGGTGTCCTCGCGGACATCTGGTCAGTAGAGAAGCGCGGCACGGCGACGAGTCTGTTCGTCGCGAGCGTGTTCCTCGGTCCGGTCATGGGCCCCCTCATCGCAGGCTACATGGTCGAGAGCGGGCTGTCGTGGCGCTGGGTCTTTTGGGTCATGATGATGTTTGCGGGGACGAGCACCACGCTGATCATCTTCGGACTGCCGGAAACGTTCGCCCCGGTGTTGTTGCTCAAGAGGGTTCGTGCGCAGCGCAAGGCGGAGCCAGAAGCACTGGGCCACCTGTATGCGGCGCATGAAAAGCGGGACTGGTCCGCGCTGGGCATCATCCGCTCGACGCTCTTTCGCCCGTTCATCATGCTGGCCGGTGAACCTATCTTAGTGCTCGTCACCCTTTATCTGTCGCTCATCTACGGCGTTCTCTACGGTCGTGAGTCGTCTGTCTGTCCGCTTCATTTCTCCACTCCTGACACTGGCTATAGTCTTTGAGACATTCCCACTCATCTTCATCCAGAAGCGCGGTTTCACGATCGCTCAAAACGGACTGGTTTTCATCGGTGTCGGGATCGGCACTTCGCTGGGCGCCTTCATCAACTATCTCTGCTCGCGGCATTACCCAGAGCTCATCAAGAAGTGGAGAGGGTTTCCGCCTGCCGAGGAGCGATTGATCGGTGCGATGTACGGCGCCCCCCTCTTCGTGGTCGGCGTTTTCTGGCTCGGATGGACTGGCCAATATCCGAGTGTGCCGTGGTACGTTCCTGCGCTGAGCACGATCTTCATCGGAATCGGCATTTCGTCGGTCTTCATGGGCTTCCTAAGCTATCTTGTGGACACCTACCTGTGCGTTTTTCGCGCATCGCGCAGCCTGAATCATTACTTACCGTCCATCAGCATGAACGCCGCTTCGGCATTTGCTGCGAACACATTTCTCCGCTCACTCGTGGCTGCCGCATTCCCGCTCTTTGTCGTGCAGATGCTCAACGGGATGGGTGTCAACTGGGCCGCGACGCTCCTCGGAGGTGTCGGACTTTTGCTCGCTCCGTCGCCGTTCCTGTTCTACAAATATGGGGCAAGGATCAGACAGCGAAGCAAGTTTGCGCCGTGTCTGGATCTCAAGATCGCAGCGGAGCTAGAAATGGAGCGAGAGAAGGGAGATGCCAGCGTGTAGAACTGCCCCCTACATACCATATATCAATCACTAGACTACCCTGTACTTAATATCTACCCTCCGTGTATTTCTAGCTGTATTAATTGGAGACCTCATCCGTCGGAACTTACAAACGGCAGTGTCCTTTCATCCAAAAGTGTTATACATTTTCCAGATATGTGGTACATAGGTACACAAGATCCTTCGCTGCTTAGTAAGTGTCGACGTAGACATCCTCGGTGAACGACTCTTCGACATGTCTCTCCGCCTCACGCTTTGCACGCTCCTTGTCGATGTAGTCAAGCTGGGCAAATACACGTCAGCACAGCGGCGCGTCGAGAGACAGGCACGGCCAGGTGGACGACAACGTACGCCTCTAGTCTCGACCTGGCGGTCGATGAAAGCACCAGCGAAGCCAGCGATGAGCTCCTTGGCCGTCGCGTGGCTATCCGGCTTGCCATTCTCAGCGCAGTGCTTCTCGTACGCCTTGGCCGCCTGCACAGCCCCGTCGAGTTAGCAATCGCGGCGCGGCGGGGACATCGTAGTGTGGAGTACCTCGAAAGCAGCAGCACCGGCGATCAGCTCGTGGGAGAAGGAGGCCTCGTGGGGGGCGTTCTCGACCTGCAAGTTGCGCCGTCAGTGGTCTGTGCGATCATGATATTGGCGCCCGCCCCGCAGCCTGCGGCGCAGCGATCGCAGCGATCCAGACACACGCCAGGCCGCCTGTGGGGGCGCGCGCAGGGACATACCTGAGCGTAGGAGTCTTCGTGCTGATCGAACCAACCCATGAGGAATAATGTGTTTGTGAAGTAAGTGGTGGTGGGAAAGAGAGCAGTAGATAACTGTATGCGGTGATTGCATGTCCTTTATATACCCAATCGATGGTGCACGATCAGTGATGTATGTAGCCCCTTCTGCGAGACTATTATTCCCGTTGTCAGGGCGGGCAGGTGCTGATATATATAGATCGACGTCGGCCCTTGGGTGCCACACGGCTCCTGACTGGATCTGAGTCACCCAGCACGAGGCTCGGAATGGTCGGCGATGTAGGCGATGTCTGGGATGATGTGGATCATCTGCGTGAATGATTTTACTTGGTATACCATGGGTCCAAGCATGATGAAGGGAGCTGCTGCGTGGTGAGGACGTTTGTGGGAGTGCAATCGCATATCGATTGGTCCCAAAAAGGCAACGAATATGCCAAATCGGGAATGTCTCTGTGCTGAACAGTGGTTGTTCCCAGAGGTTCCCACGTACAACTTGGATCGATTTGATGGGGAGGACCATTTATGTAGATGTTCAATCGTCAGATTCGCCAAGATGCAGGTGAAGATCGTTCACCCCTCGGAGCTCTTCAGATGGAGGGATGGGGTTGCCTTGATTCCAACGTTTACGCAATATCTAAATAGTAGATGAGCTAAAATCTCTTTAAGCAGCTTCAAGTATCAAATTCATGCAAATTAAACGCTCTGGATTGAGAGCTCTTTTGGGATAATTAGATGGACTACACTGGTGAAAAGCCACAGATCTCCGTATCTTACGTCGCGTCCGAAAGCCTTCGCTCGACGCGATAGGTTCTGAGAAAGCTTGGCGGTGACTCTCATTGCGCCATTGCACACGGGGAGAAGGTTCTTGGGGAACAGGCGCCGAGATGCATGGCTCGCTCACGTGTGGCTCATTGCATGAATGATAAATAATGCGTAAGATGGATTTCTCATCGCCCTCTGCAGGTCTCTGAGGATGTCAGCCTGTCTTACGGCACATGCGCCTGACGCGCTGACATCGTAGTGTAGAGTACCTCGAAAGCAGCAGCAGCAGCGATCAGCTCATGTGGGGCATGTACAAGAGTGGATACACTTTAAAAAGCTTAGAATCTTCCAAACCACTGAAATCACACCTGAATTGGACACCCAATGAGCCCCCATGCCTAAAAAAACTGTTGAAGCCAAAATTTTGATTGTTAAGCAATTGAATAAAATACTACAGTAGTCGAACAGAGGAAAAACTGAGCCCGGTCCTGGGAGGTATAGATCAGTTGCCCCCTCTTATGTGATGATTTCAACATGCAAGTTCTCCTCCTACTTTCAACAGTCAGAAACATCCTGTCCTAGTTTCACATTGAATTCTTCGTCTGACAGCCCGTGCATAATCGCGATCACGTGAACAACTACGAGGCACTTAATTAATGTTCAATATTACGTGTACTACCAAGAACGCTTGATTAGATCCGCGCCTCTTTCTCCGATCAAGTACGCAGCGGCCTGAGTATGCGCGGCCGGAATGTATGGCTGGCCAGTGTTCCTTCAGCAAACCATCACGTTTGGAAACTCAGACCAGACTCACGGTGACAGACAAATCAATGACCCGCAGTCCCTTGAGGCCCTTCACCTTCAGATCCGGATCGACGACACCCCAGTCCGCGCCGACGGGCGACATGCTCGCCGATCCGGCCGGATGATACACCGTCCCCGCCGAGGTCTGGACGAACGCATCAATCTCCGCGTCAGTACTGGACGCATTGACACTCAGCGGGGCGATGATGTACCCCTTCCACGCGGGCGCAGCCGCGAACCGCAGCGCCGCGCGGACCGACTCCCGCATGACGATCCGGTCGACCTTAGCACCGAGCAGATTCGGATTGATGACGGGCGCCGCGAGGGGGTTGGTGCTGTTCAGCGTGACCGAGCCGCGCGACAGCGGGGACACGAGTGCGGTGGTGATGCCCATGCCGTTGAGATTCTCCGGCTGTGGGGTGAAAAATCCGTTGGATATGATAAACTCGTAGTGCGGGGTGTTGGGGCCCGCAGACGCATCGGGGAATCCTTTCAGGAGGTCGTCGGGGACACGGAGCCAGCCAATGAGAGTCGGCACGGTGTCTACCAATGGCCCCGTGCGGGATGTATTCCACTGCGCGAGCTGCTGCGCAGCAAGAGTCGAGTTGCGCTTCGCAGCCTCCCATGTATGATTTGAGTTGACTGAAAACCCGAAGGGCAGGAGCACATGGTCGCTGAGGTTCTGCCCAACAGAGGGGAGGTTGTGCAGTGGTTTGATTCCCAACTTGCGCAAAGTCGAACTGTTCCCGATGCCCGAGTGCAACAAGATATTAGGAGTGCCGATACTTCCTGCAGACAGGATGAGCTCCTTGCGCGCAGTCACAGTCATTGTTTTGCCTCCATCGTGAATAAGTCAGGGTGCGCGTTCAAAAGGTCGCGTGACAGGATAGAACACACCCTTGTGCACGAAACTAGCGGCCTTGAATTCGTCTCGTCCCGTCGAAAGAATCGAAAGCACCTGAGCATTCAAAATCACATGTAGATTCGGTCGAGAGACAAATTTCGGCCCAAGATATGAGGTCGCAGAGCTGCTTCTCGATCCATTCTTGATGGTAGCTTGTGTCCATCCTGCTCGCAAATGAGTCTCTGCAGAAAAATTCTCCAGAGATAAAGCACACACCGATCCCAAGTGGAGAGCCAGAATTCATGTCACGGTTGAAAGGAAATTCTTTGGATAACTGGACTGTGGTCTGGATGATGCGATCGTCAATAGGAGTCGGAAAGCCAGAAAGAGACACAGTGTTGATGCCCTGATAACCATGGACCGAGGGATCATAGTGTCCGCGCTCGCTGTGAAGTGTTGGTATCGTGAAATTCTCGTTCTGTGCGCGCTTGACTTGGATGGAAATGGGGGGTGAAACCGGGCTGACCTTCCGCATGTACGGGATGAGTTTATCCCAAGACCAGCCGTGGTCCCCAGTGACGGCCGCAAAGCGATCAAAATCCTCCGCAGATCCACGGGTGTACACCATGTCATCTGTTACCGGATCACGTCAGTCTCGGTATCTAGAATCTCTCAGAAATTGAAGCGACTTGCTGACTGAGCTCGAGCCACCGAGGACATGCCCTCGAGGATAGGCAATCGCCCGTCCACCGAACCCGCTCTGGGGTGTTGTAGTGTAATTCCAGTCTTGTGGAGTGTTTGGAGTAGCGCGAGTGCAGTAGAACGGAACGATGATGTCAAGTACATCCGCGTTACTACAGTATGCATCAAATCGGGTGATTGTGGATCCATCAAGTGTGACGAGCACGCACGATCCTCCCGCCTCCAAACGAGGACTGACCACTTCGGGTTCTCGCTCAAGCGGTTGGCGACAACATTGCCCGCTGTTCCACCTGCAATGAAAGCATCTCAGCAACATGTTAGATCGACCGGGAGATGATTGCGGACCCCCGACGACCACAAAATCGAAGTGAAGCCCAGAACCGAGCAGTGCACTCGCATTGTCGACGATGACTGCGTGGACGCGAGCAAGAGAAGCGCAGAAGAGAAGGAGGGATGGGAGCCAAGACATCGTTCCTCAGATCCTAGCATTCGTGCGACGGCTTAAATACCCGCCTCGGTGCTCTCCCCGCCGCTATTCCCGTTCCGAGTTGCTCTGATTAAACTCTCTGGAGGTACAGAACAGACGTGCAACGCATCACCCGATTTTCGGTCCACTAGTTGCTGCCAGGAACCTCGCCACCGCTTGACTTGCGGAGTGCGATCCCACTGGCCTCGGGGACCGGGCCTGAATGGAATTCCGGATTATCGACGACGATCATGTCCCTGTTCGCTTTCAGGCCAGTCCTGACACTGCTCCACAAATGCGTTTTGATGATGCGTGGCGAAACGTTCGCCCCATATGACAGGGTGAATAGAGGCCTGCGACTGCTTCCTGTTGACTCAGTCTGGAATAGTTCAAATTGAGGCCGACTTGTCCTTGAGTGCCAGAGGGGAACCAAAATCAGGTCATTCACCTATTGTGATAAATCATCAGTGTAAATCCGATGGAGGGAAAATTTGGACGAAAGTTTGCTAAACATACGACAAAAAGCTCCAAATTTATCCGAATCTAGGTGGTCCTCAGTCCGATATAGTGCAAATAAACGCTTGAGTCAAGCCAGCCGATTTGGTAGTGCAAATCAGCCTCTTGAGACGGACTAACCTTGTAGGGAATAACCAGGGGCTTAGACTATTATTCCTGTTGTCAGGGTGGGCAGGTGCCGATGCATGTAGATCGACGTTGTCTCTTGGGTCCCACACGACTCCTGACTGAATCCGAGTCACCCAGCACGCTCGGAATGGTCAACAACGTAGGCGAAGCATGGGGTCGTCATCCGCGCCCTTGGTACTTCTTGGTATCTCGTGGACCCAAGCATTATCAAGGAAGCTGTTATGTGGTGTAGAGTTCGTGGGGATTCAATAGCGAATCGATTGATCCCAAAAAGGCAACGAATATGCCAAATCGGGAATGTCCGCGTGCTGAACCGTGATGCTGAGTTGTTCCCGAAAGTTCTCACATACAACATGGATTGGCGTAGAAGTTCAATCGGTCAGATTCGGCAGGATTCAGGTAGCACTGTTCAAATGGAGGGATGGGGTGGCCTTCATTCCAATGTTTGCGCAACATTTCTATTGGGCTTTTTTAAGTGGTAAATCAGCCAAACGCTTCCCGAGGAGACCCGAGTATGAAATTCACGCGAAAAAGTTCATTAAAGCTCCTGGATTGAGAGCCCTATTGGTATAATCAGATCGATTGCACTGGTGAAAAACTGCAGCACATGCTTATGTCTTATGACGTGTTCGAATAGCCATCGCTCGATGCGATAGGTTCTGAGAAACCTTGGCGATGACTCTCATTGCGCCATCGCACGCGGGAAGAAGGTCCTCGAGGCATGGACACCGAGATGCATCGCTCGCCTCACGTATGCCCATTACAGCAAATGGCTGAGATGATTCAATGCGTACTAAGCTTGATTTCGCACTGCTCTTTGCAGCTCTCTGAGAATGTCAGCACGGCTCACTACGCCCGGTCGTTCCCGCGATTACGCTGACGCTCAGGGATATCTTTCAGCAGATAATAATTTGTGCCTACTACTGATAGCATAATCACAGGTAGGCCGTGTCAACCCACGCGTGGCTGCCCAAGACGTCCTGGATCGTGTAACCCGATGTGGACGAGAGCTTCTTGGAGAACGATGCCCGGGTTCCAGAGGCTCCGGATCCAGAGCTCTTGTACTCCGCGAAGAGCACGTGGGCCGTGTTCGGCGTCGCCGAGCTCCACTGCGACCAACCAGCGCCGTTGATGTGCGCGCCCATGTTCGTGTTGGTGTAGACGACGCTGCGGGAAGGTGCTCAGGTGACATTGGAAAGCGCAAGGACATGGTCACGCACCGAGCGTACTGCGACCACGGACGGCCGAGGTAGACCTGGCCGGTCAGCGAGCCCGCACCCGACGCAGTCGTGAGGGTGGCTTGGTTGATCACATCTGAAGAAATAGTCAGCGAGCCTGGCTCCTTGGCGAAGAGTCGATTCCAGACACGTACAGATACCATCAGTGGCGCTGGCCGGACCGTGCGCGGTGATGCTGCCGGCGCCGTTCGAGGCGATGGTGCAGGCCTGGAAGAACGCAAAGGCGTGCTGCCCGAAAATGAAGTCGACAGCGCCCTGGATGAAGCTGTGTCCGTAGTACTGCTTTCCACTCTCCGCAAGTAGGGTGTCTTGGTATCCGTACATTCCGACGGCGTAGTAACCCTGGTTAGTGCCGTACGCGCTGACGGCGATCGCCTGCGAGCCTTTGCCGAAGGTGTTCTTGACGTTCACGTTGTACAGCGCGAAGTTGTCCTTGTGCACCCGGAGCGTGCCGCTGAGATCGTCGCTGCCAGCCGCCGCTGCGGAGAGGGAGTGCTGGATGTTGACCACGTTCGAGTTGTAGTCGGCGGTGTTCGTTGTGTATCCGTAGATCTGGAACCGCGCTCTGAGTCACGATACCAAGCCAATATTACGCGATACGCACGGTGGTCATGCCCGCACGGGTGATGTACACCTGCTCGTTGTATGTCCCGGCGTAGATGAAGATGCTACGCGCGGAGCTGTCGTTCGGCAGCGCAGCGACGGCCGCTGAGACCGTCTTGTACACACCGCTGCCGCCGGCCGGGTTCACGACCAGGGCGCCCGACGGGGGGCTCGTGCGCGACGCGCGCTTCTCGAGCGTCGGGGACGCCGCAGCGAAGAGGGTCGAGAAGACGAGCGCGGCGAGCGCGAGGAGGGAGGGCAAGGAGAGTGGCGTCCGTGCGTACATGGTGGCGAGCGGGACTGGAAAACCATGACCATCTCTCTCTCGATTTATATGGTGCACGGCGGAAGCTCAAGGCAGATTATCGGTTCGCGTCTCGAGCTTGGTCGCACGTGGGAGCGATACCCGACTGGGCTTGGGCCTCGGCATGACGAAAGCAGTTGCAATTTGCCAATAAGAGTATGTAACTCGGACCAAGCTTGGGCAAAAGTTTATCCAGGCTTCGTCCCATGCGACGGTGCTCCAGACTCATGAACGCCCTTGACAAATTGCACGTCGAAAGGAACGACCAAGGTAGCTTGCACCGGTGAAAGTTGTGTCAGGTGTGTATGGTCAGGCGTAACAGAGATAATCATGCGATGGGGACCGGGCCGTTCCGGCGCCGAGCCATCAACTATGTATCGCAGGAGCAGAGCAGGACAAGCAACTTTCGTTGCATGACAACGTACAGATGATCCCAGCCCCGACCCTTTCAACTCGACACTGGATACATAATTGCGTCCGAGACCACAAGGGACATCGCATGATTGAGTCCGGAAAACTACGTCAGCACATATTGTCAAGTACTCTACAATGATTCCTTTTCCTTCTCGGCCTCCGGGTCGCTGCTCACGGGATCTCGAGTGAACACAGGCCCAGAGAACCTGAATCGCCCCCAGAATATCCACAAGCCAGCGATCAGCAGCATCAGGCCGCCCACCGCTACAATGGCATAGTTCATGTTCAGGGAAGTGACCGGCTGCGCCGTGGGCAGGATAAACAGGATGCAGACAAAGACCGTGAACTGTCATCGTAGAATTAATGGCAGATAGAGAGACCTTACATGTCATATGGCACGCACCAAGAACGCCAACAGATTGACAATCCACGAGTACTTTCCGAGGTGAAACGGCCCCCGAACGCTCATGCTAATCTGATTGTCAGTCAAATGAAGAAAAGGCCGGATCATGGACTTGCGCTTTGGGCCAAAAGACCCTGATAATAATTGGCTGCAGATAGCCCAGCATGACAGAGATCGCAGCCGAGGAGAGAATCGCGTTGAACTGTTGGATGATCAACGAGATGCTGCAGATTATCCGGCTTTCCACTCACTGCAACAGCGGATCCAATATAGGCGCAGGAGATGACGCATCCCACCAAGACAGAGAGCCAGACACCGACATACGGCGCTTGCCAGCGGTTGAGCTTCATGAACCAGCGCTTGCCAGGCACTGCTCCATCTCTGGCAAGCGCGTAGAACAATCTAGAGCTCGCCGTAAACGCAGTCACCGCGGCCATAAATTGAGCCAACGCGATGACAGTTATGCACATCAACGCCAGACGCTTGCCAACCGCGTCCAGGTACAGTTGGGCGATGGGGATGGCATATGGCGTGGCTTGCACACGCGGGACGGACTGGATGGAGAACAGCAGCGCAAGCATATACACAAGACCGATCAGCCAAGATCCGACAATCGATCCCACGACGGCAAGTGGCGCAAGCCATTCCGCACGGATCGCTTCCTCCGCGACTTGTGCAGCCGTCTCGCATCCCTCCAGAGTGTAAACGGCTTGGAGGAAGCCGAGCAGAACAACGAATCCCTTGTTCGTCCAACCGGTGAAGCTGAGGACGTGTCAGCCAAACAAGACACGGGACCGCATTGGCTGATAAGCACTTCTCAAGGTCAGTGAAGACAAAAGTTGCAGAGTTCTAGAGAGAACACATCAGGGGCTGCCATAGATGATAGAATCAACCGAACCTTGACAGGTGCTTTGACCAACAGCGTGATAACCTTTCAAATTATTGAGATGGAGGCAGTGTGATATGTGAACAGCACTCACCAAAACGAAGGTTCCGCCAAGAGTCCACCATACATTGAAACTGCTCATTCGTCCGATGCCCTTGGTCCCAACGGTGTTCATGATTCCCGATGCGATATTGACGCCCCATGCGATCGCAGCAATCTCCACTCGCGTCAAGATGTGTCCGGTGCCGACTTCCGCAAGAGAGGCCAGGTAGAGCGCGACACTAGGCGCGGTGAGTTACAGATCCTAGTCACACGCGGCAAGAAGGATACCTGAGATTTCCCGACGTGCCAGTGAAAACCATGGCGATGGTGTACAACCACCCTGTGCCGACTGCACACAGGTCATTATCACAGAAGCCAAGACAGGGTCAAAAGCACGAACATCCAAGGAACGGCACATCGGGCTTCATCTTGCACACCCAGAAGTACAGACCACCCATAGTCGGGTACGCGCTGCAGATCTCTGCCAGCGAAAGGGCGATGAGGAGCATGAATATGCTAACGATCTGCAATCATGGGTTAGCGGGGACCGCACACCACGGCGGCACACGACGCCTACATTCCACCCCCAGAACAAGCCTGCTACAGGTGAGAATGGGCACGAGAACGGTTCCTGGGAGCACGCACCCAGTGGTCCACCCGAAAACAACCCCGTCTGAAAGGCACTCGACATCCCTGTTAGGATGCCTATCGCGCAAAACGAGATGCCCAAGACACCGAAGAGCGACATCTCGCGACGGAACTCGGGCTTGTAACCAAGCTCGAGAAGGCGGCGGTCGGATTCATTGCCTGCTGCGGGGCCTGCAGTCTCGGACATGGCTAGTAAGTGAGGACGTAAAGGCTAACGAAGAGGCGAGCAATCGCTGGCAGTCGCGACTCGCCCCCTTAAGTTCCAGATCTGCCATCATTCGAAGCGTGTCAGCTAGCCCAAGCCGAGGGATATGGAGCCGTGGCTCGTGAATCTGGCAGGAGATAAGAGTGTCGAGTTGAGTCAGGAAATTCTATTGCGTATCACATCCGAGCGAGTGTTTCGAGTGGGGATGGGGCTCACCGACAAGAGGACTGATGTGTCCAAAGCATAAGAATAGCACAATGTATGCACCCTCACAAGCAGACGCTTGTGAGTCGCGTACCTGTCAATAGAGTCTGAAAACAGATCGCGGGATTGGATCAAGTGCAGGTAACAGCGGATCGATGGTAATGCCGCGGCCCGTCAAGTAATGATCTGATCATCATACGGCATCCCGCTGATGGACTTCCCACACACGTAATCCAGTGCCCTTTCTTCCCGAATCCATCCACCACGATGAGCGCAACCTGGCGGAGCGTCTTCACGTCAGTCTCCCGCCCCCCGTGCCTCCGTAGGCTCCCAGCTGACCTCCCCAACAGCTTCAACAAATACTCTCAGATCACCGCCCGCGCGGTCCGCAACTCGCTCAACGAGTCTGCACGCCTGTCAGCGGAGAAACGCGGGTTGACTTCTCTGCGCTACCAGGAGTGGGAGGGCGGTGTCGGTGGACATCAGGTGCGTCTCTGTCTTTGGGTCTAGCTTCTGTGTTGTATGCTGACCACTTCCCGTCTCGCAGACGATGCTCGTGCCCGAGCTTGAGAAGGATCCTTCGAAGGGAACTGCTGCGGTCTAAGCGTCTGTACCCCCCCAACCGGCCACTTAGAACTTGGGATGGTGGTGCATTTGACGTATTGATCATACAAGGTTGCATAGAGTCGTGTTGTCATGCAAGCTCAAAACATAAAACTCTGCTGTGAAATGCCTTGAAACACGAAGACGCAGGGCCGTTCGCTGCACTCGCCTCGCTACTCATGCTGTCTCCCGCGAACTTCAGTCAACACCTAAATTCGTGATGGTTTGAGGGTGAAAGTAGGTCAATTGATTTATTTTCACAGATGGCTACAGTGACGCATTCGAATACCCAAAATAAGATTTTGTGCCAGTCCCAGTTGGATGTACTACAGAAACGCAGTCGCAGATATGCTACATGCCGCGATCACGCACGCGCAAGGAACCCTTGTTTAATCAAGTTCAGTCAGTGCGCTTGTTGCTGTTGGCACCCGTGACTTCGTTGTACTTGGTCGACAGCCGGTCAAACTCGGCAGCCTGCTGGGCGGCCTGCTTTTTGAGAGTCTCTGAAATGAAAGTCAGAGAGAACACACTCCGAAGAAACGACACCACGCACCGAAATCGCGATCCTTCTTGGAGAGTTCGGCGATCTGAGCCTTGAGACTGGCGACATCGTCGGATTTCGAGGAAGTAGAGTTCTACACGCAATGAGATAAGCTGGCCAGCATTGCGACGAGTGAGAGACGTACACCCTTAAGCTTGACGTATTCATCTTGTGTGTGGATGAGCTCCAGAGTAAGAGAGAACGTGCGCGTCAAGACCAGGGACAGAAAGAGCGTGAATCCAGTCAAATAGGTGTTGCGCTGCGAGCTGGAGAACGGATATTTGTAAGTTGAGCGAAAGGAGGAATTGCGAGCACGACGCACTAGAATTTACGCGCGGCGAAGCTGTTCTCGACCTGTACCCCAGCTGCGGCGTGTGCCGCTCCATTGTTCTTGGCCGACTCGGACTCAGCGGTGACACGGAACATGCGCTGGAGGGCATCCGCAAACAGGATGGCCACGAAACTAGAGAGACAAGACCACAATATAGTCAGAAGAACTGCGGACCACGTGTGCAGGGATCCGGCCTGCTCACATGAATGATATCTTCAGCGCGTACGCGACTTTGGCGACGATGGGGCTCTCAGAGAGGAAGGTGAAGATCCTCTTGCGGACGGAATGTGGCAGAGGAAACACGAGAAGGCAGAACGTCACCATCTAAAAGTGAATGAGTGAGTCTTTGCAAGCAACCACGAGGTGGGAGGCGTGCCTCCGCAGCGAGGAGCATAAAAGTCAAGGAATAGCTGAAGTATTGTCAATGGAAATCCAACCACTTGCAGAGGGTACGCACTAGATGGTCATGGTGAACTGTGGTGGTGGAGGTTGAAGTGAGTGAGGTCTTTGATCACACTCACTGACGTCAGACCACGTCTCCTGATCGCGAACAGCCGAACAAGGGGTAACAAACACCCAGCAAGCAGTAATCTTTTTGAAGGATAAAAATACAAAGCCATAGTCCGTGTGGGCGATACATAAGTGCACTACATTGACAAAATGTCTATTGATTTTAGTTTTCCGGCCCTTCCTCGCTGAGGTAAGCAAAGACGGTCAGTGCGGGCAAGTAGGCACGGGCTAGGACGGACCTGCATCAGGAGTATCCTCGAATCGTCCATCATGACATCTGTGACCCTGAAGGTCATCCGGCTTATGAGCTCGCTGTACGGAAGAGACGACTGGATGTCATGGGCAAAGACTCCCCGCGAAGACAAGATTGATGGCTCGCAGACTACTCGGCGCACCCAAGGTGACTGTTCTCGGCCAGCGGATTCCTGCGCGTCGAGCTGCAGAGAATAGGGATTGTAGTCCCGGATGCGAAGATGACGATGGGCTGCTTTGACACGCGAAGGGACCCCGTTGACCAGCGCGACCTCGTCGTCGTCGTCATCGACGTCAAAGCCGACGCCATTGAGCAAGTCGTTGACAGTGGGCAGATTCTGCGTGAGTCGGCCGTCGGCTGCTGCCATAGACACGCTTCGTACTTGCTTATCGTCCATATGAGAGTCACTGGCCCAGTCGGCGATCCGATCGATGCATTCGACGGATTTGAGCCCGTAAAGAGCGTGCTGCCAATCCGTACTCAGAGCCTCGTCGAACCATCTCGTGTTCTCGGGGCCCCACTTTTCCCAGGGAATGATCTCCCCCTCTGCCATCAACAGAGTGCGAAGATGCCTTTGTCTGCGGGACCCTGTGTGGTTCTGGATCATCGACGGCGATACCCCATCCGAGAAACCGATCGGGTCATTTCCAGGATGTCGTCTTGAAGGGTCACCTTCCAGAAAGATCTTGACATTGAGAAAGAACACGAAGGAGTGCACAGGGTGATCTCCTGGTCCGTTGGGTTTGAAAACGTACAGGCAACAGGCCTGGAGACGCTCGTCCGGCTTCGGATAATACACCCGTTTGCCATATCCGGCCGTCGGAGGAAAATATCCGGGACTGGGATTGCTGCTCATGCAGATGTACCAGTACACAAAGCCCTCCGCCAGGGGAGGAAGGGCGTAGCTGCTTTTGAGGCGTGGATCAGATTGACCCAAGACGGGATTTTTAAACTCATAGTACTCAAACCGACCCAACGGTCGCACAATCAGAAAAGTCGCATCCGAAAGGAACGTGAAATCCTCGATCCCTTCTATTTTTGCCATGGAACACTGTGATACATATCATAATCCACTCGAGACAAGTCGGCGAAATCACACACCGAATTGTTACCTCCATGACGCCAGTTCCATATCTCCAGATGCGCTCTGACGGTCTCCTGAACCTCTTTGATCAGCAGCGCGAGAAGGTCTCCGGTGATTTGGATGCGCACAGCGCCTGTGCTCTCGGTAGGCACATTGGCAGCGGCGTTGGCCGACTTGCTCAGACACGAGAATATGCCCATCGGCAGTGAACTTTCGGGATGGGGCTCGTTGGTAGTAAGAGAGCGCAAATGGAGTTCATAGACAAAGTCCGATCTGGAGAATGCAGTTGTAGCGCCGAGTGTGGCTTGAAGAACGACGTACTGTGCAGGTGCAAGTGCCACGAGTATGAGCAGATCTTGCGCCGGATCCATGGTAAAGTCGACGATGCGTATGTCCCCCATCGAATGCGTCCACATCCGCCCCGGAGAGTCTTCCGTGCTTGGCTCGGTCGATGGAAGCTCGAAAAAGGAAATCCCAGACGTCAGTCGGTGATTATCTTCTCGTCCATTGGCATAATATCCACCCGCGAATTCATAAACACTCCCCGTCGGCGGCAAGGCTAGTTTCTGAACAGGGCCCCAGTTCTCCGGAGACCGCCATCGTGCTTCTCGCTCTCGGATGAGTTTGAGACGCGTCGAATAGGGCGGAAAGTCGGATGGCGGGAGGAGAGGGAGCATGCAGTATTTATCAAGCTCGAGGGTGAACTGGAGTCGCGAGGATTCGACGATCAGAGTGTGGAAGTACCTGCTAGCCTGGCACCCGCTGATGAGCAAAACGAGGACGAGGACATCACTTTCAGACACCTACTGCGCTGCATCGCAACAGTTCATCCACCTCCAGCAGATACAAGACCTGACACAGAAGCTCGTCGGGAAGTAGTGGACGATTATCGGTCTGGAAGACCATGAGGAATCCTGCCTCCCTCAATGGATGCCTTGCGTTTGAGAATACACGGGCGATTGGAGAACCGACAGAAGAGCAATGAGGTTCGGGCTCCAGAAAGTGAACGTCAGATAGAAGGAAAGTGAGGGCACGCGGAAGATTTCATAAATTACAGGTGAGTGAACTGATCCAAGGCGGGTGGCTTTGTCAGCATTTTCTTTGTTCTTCGTGACCGCGGCACGAGAATTCGCAGATACGAAGCCCTATGGTGCGTTTACATTGCATTGTATTTGAAGACGCTCCTTGAAAGTGTGCAGGCTGGGGCCTAACGGTGGTCGGCAAACAAGGCCCGATCTACTGACAGTCCAGGATATATAACATACTATGTCTATATCGCACATCTCTCTCATTTCAACTCCCTTCGGAAGCTGCCTTCCCGTTGTTTTGGTACGACAGGCAGCTGTTTCCCACCGTGGACGAGGGCAGCTCTGTACCACTGCTTCCAAGGCTCTGTTCCGGCCAGTGGACGAGCCCGAGTTGCCCAGAACACCCACTCCTCGAAGCGATCAAAGAAGAGCAATGACCAGACGACAGTGGCGGACAGCCAGGCCCCCAGAAAAGACGTAGTGTCCAGCGCATGCTGGTCGGGGATGTCCAGTGGGAGCGGAACCTTGCGCAACGGGGCACTGCGCCATCGCTGACGGCGAGTCATCGAGTGCGACGGAGGAGCTGCGAATATGTCACAGAAGTGTTCTGCCGAAGAAGCGAAGAACACATGTTCCGCCGCGCCCAGGAGCAGTGCGTGCTGTGGCGACGGTGACAAGAAGATGATCGTGAATAGGCGGGCGGACAGGTACGTGATCGTGAGAGTGGCTGAGCCGGGGCACGAATCAGGTGTGAATGTCTGGGTCGGGATCGAGGGATTCCCGGGCACCAGCACGACAGCGATCTTTGTCTCCCTGACACGTCTCTGCAGAAAGTCTTCTACCAGACGTCGGGCGTATCCTTCGAATAGGCCTTCGTCGATCCAGCGCACACCGCCTGCAGGACGTTCGCCAGCAAGAACAGGAACTGGCTCAGGTCGGATATAAACATCCAGTCTTTTCTTGTAGTGAAGAATCCATGCGACGTAAGCGATCCTCGCAAACGACAGGAACAGATCGAAAGGTGCCCGGGAAAGTGCGGACAGAAGATTTGGTATGGTCAGGGGAAGAGATCGAGTCGGTCTCAGAGTCGCCGTGAGCTTCAGTTTGTCTGGAGTCGGGGTGTTCTCTTCCGTCGCAGTGTACAAATCTACGCGAACCGTAGGCTGCGGCGGAGATTGCACATCGTCATCTGAGAACCCAATGGGAGAGTGCGACGGGTTCTTCACAGACACTTTGTAGAAACCGTTGCGGTCGTTGAAGGGAGACACATGAAATGCTCTGGGGAATGTCCATTGATGATCGAAACTGCTGAGGCATTGGAACATGACTGGATGCAGAGAAGCGCCGTACCCGGTGGGAAGAGTCTTGTCTTCTTGCTTGCCAGTTTCAAGGCAGTAGACGTGGCTTTCGCCGAATGTGTTGTGGACCTGCTCGTGTTGGAAACAGCGCGAGTGGAAAGCGGGATAGATAAATTTACCTCTAGCACCACCAAGTATAGATCGTCGCCGGGGCGATAACAGAAATACACGGTCAATGGATTGATGCCCTCGAAACCGAGTAGAGAGGGCATGGTCATCATCCACGCGTCGTCAAACCCTGCCTTGTCAAGCCCTCGGTCTTGCAGTACTTGCTCTAGTCTTGATCGTATAGTGCCACCGTTGTCGCGTAGATAAGGACTAGGTCGCAGACCGAGAAGTCTTGCCCATCTTCCGCCGTAGCCAAATATCCACCCCCGACCAAGATCCAAAGCATGGTCCTCCAGCGCATTCAAGGACACTAGGAGCGAGAGACTGGGATAGACAAACGCATGGTTGCTCTTCACCGGAAATAGACGCGCGTGAGTGATCTGGTTCTCGAGAACATATCCTCGAGTCTGGGTGGTGGGCATGGTAAAGGAGCGGTAGAGAGGTATTCTATGGTGTCTCCATCGCCAGGTCGGGACGAAGTCTGTGATGCCGTCATCACCGGCACCGATCGCTGCCCTAGTGCCGTCAAGATCAATCGGAGTCATCCTCTCACAGGCTGGGCCCGACCCAGCCTCAACGTGATCTGCTTTCCCACTCATCGTGAACCATGCCAGGCGAGTGGATTGACCTACCAGTTGAAATCTGGCTCTACATCGTGGATCGCTATCATAACACACGCGAAATCGCGAAGCTCTGCTCGACATGCCGTCAGAATCTTGCCCTCTTTCGGCCTATCCTGTATCGCGACCTGGTGCTGAAGGCCGAAACGTCAGCATGCCAGCCCAACGACGCAGTAGCAGACACGCTGGAGCTTCTCTCGCGCGACAAAGCTCTAGCAAGTCATGTTCGGGCTCTCACTCTCGATGCGACCTCTTACTCCGAGAACTATTACCGAAATCCCAATCTCATCCATATCCGATCGCTGGAGAATATGACGCAGCTGAAACGCGTGACTCTAGTGGGCGATCTCTCTCGAAATGCATCTCCCACTTCGGTGGATGTCTTCATCCAGATATTAGCGAAGCTGTGCTTGGACGAGATCAGTTTCCCCTCGCCCGGTGCTCGAACGTTCCTGCTCGCCAGGAACTGGGATCAACTCCGAAAACTGGGCAAAGCCAAGAAAACCGTTTTCTACTGTCGTGCTGACCACCACGGCCAGTCTTTTACTTATCTGCCCTCCATCTCCCCCTGAGATTACCAATAGGCCTGCTTTCGCTCAAGTTCGCGGCCCTACTCACCACGAAACCAGCAACTGTATCCGATCTCCACATATCCGCTCCTTTCACCCTCGTTTCAGATCTCTTTGCGCTACACTTGCCCCGTTTGCGAGTCCTCGAATTGAGAATCGTCGAAACCAGGCAGCGGCCATTGTCTCCGAGCGGATTCAACGCATTCCTGGCCTCACACAACGACACGCTAGAGGAATTAAGCATGTTGCGCAATTCCCCCAACGAAGCTCTTCAGCAAGCCGATCTTCGATTCGAGCCGAACAATCGATCCTTGGGACCGGATTTCCTTCCGAAGCTGAAGGTTCTCAGAGGGAACAGCGAGAATCTCTTCATGCTAGTTCGAGCGCGGTCGACTTGTCTGTCGCGTTTGGAATGCCTGGCGATCGGTTGGTCACGCGACCACGCAGAGGAAGCCACGCACACGCTTCTTTCCGCTTTGGAAGAGCGGGGACCATTCAGCAATCTCATCGACTTTGATTTCGCCTTCGCTCCTCGAGCCTCTGCCGCAGCTCCCAAATTCCTGCAGAGTATCGTCAGGTTCTTCCCCTCCTTGGCGATCTGGCGCGGTGATCTGCCCTTGGAAACTGTCCAAACCATCCCTGTAATCATGGACTTGAAGCAGCTTCGTGTTCTACACATTCGCGATGTCTCCGGAACTCAGCTCGTCCGCTCAGAGTGGCTCGAGAGCATTCCCAGCCTGGATTCGGTGATCGTCCGGCACAATCCTCAATCGGTGTCAAAATCCGTGTATGTAATGAAAAGAGATAGGTTAGGCCGCTTTCAGCTGTCTTATGACTGATGAGCGCGGCTGGGGTGTATTCTGTATAACTGGTATCCAGAAGGATCTGCACATATCAAAGTGCTAAATATATGTATTGTCGCCGTGGAGAGGCAGATGGGTATGAGGGAGCAGGTCGTGTGCACCGGGAAAACCAATGCATCACGAGTCCGACATGATTCTCCTGTAGACGGCCACACTGCGGGATAAGTCGATAACACCATAGGGCGTCGGATCGATGCTGCGGATTCGCATTGCACGATCGAATTCGGCCACCAAAGAATGGACGGGCCAATGGTGCTGAGCAGTGCCGGGCCGGCTGCGTGGGCTGCGTGGGCTGTGTGGGCATAGATGCGATGCGATGCGCAAAAGTACGGTCCGAGCTCAGTTGGCAGCAAATGACTATCAGTCGTCGATTTCTCTTTCTTCCCGGATCACGTAGAGAGAGGCGGGAGGAGAATGGGATGAGGATCGCGAGACAGCGAGGCCGCGGTTGCGCCGACGACCTTTGCTGGACTTCCGCCGCGGTGTAGAAGCAGGCACGGGAGAGGGTTTGCGTGTAGATGAGCAATGATGAGAAAACTCGTGGGAAATCGTATTCTCGAGGTCGATGTCAGCTTCAAGATCGAGATCGAGATCCAGGTCGAGATCAAGGTCCAAGTTCGCATCAAATACGGAGGGACGACAAGCAGTCCGCGAATGAGATCGTTCAGTAACGACTGGAGTGACTGAGAACTGCACAGAAGTGTTATAACAGGCCAGTCCGTGAAGAGGAGCTGGTGGCTTACGAATGGGAGTCTGACTGCGCTGACGCTGATCCAGGCTGCAACACGGGCAGCGCACTCTTGTTCCTCCTCCAGCTCGAGCTTCAGGTCTATTTTTGCAGGGTCATCAAAGTCGAAAGAGCCTCGGCGGCGGTGGCTGTAGACTTTCAAAGCTGGCGGAGGAGCGGGGGGAGCGGGCGCAGTCAACAGGCTGGTGCATGCGAAACGGTCGAATTCGAAGATCGGGGAGGCTGCGATGGAGAGCATTGCGGGAGGTGCAGTTTGCAAGGATAGAGGAGACCGCAGACGCAGATGTTGATGGTCAAAACACGAAAGCCTTATGTGGCCGGTTATATAGCTCGTTCATTGTATGCGGCACAGTCCGCAGTCGACCCGCAGTCACGCTCCCTGATGTGACGATCAGTGACGCACGCGACTGTGACCTGTGCTAGTTGTTGTTTCTCCGCCTTCGACTGCCGTTCCGGCTGGATGACCGACAGATGAACACGCCCCTTCCCCGGCCTCATGGGCCCCCAGGCTCTTTTGACGCGCAAGCGAGCAGAGAAATTCGAAGGAAGAGACTGCAGGCGAGGTTCCGGGACCGCGAGGGGTGCGTCCCTAGTCCGTCAACTACTACAACTTTGCTTATGCACATCCACAGGGTGTTCGTTCCTCGAACTCACAATAATCTGCTGGATATTCTGCAGGGGAATAAGGATGCTTCTGCGCAGGCGAGATCGCGTTCACGCTCACGCTCTAGAAGTGCATCTGTTTCGCCGACCAAGGGGAAGAAGGCACCTTCGAAACGCGTATCTTCGGTCGCCCGCAAGAGTGGTGGCACGGCTTTCAAACGTGCTGAAATCAATAGCACCTTGGAACTCGATCCTTCAGCCACATTGCCCGACGTCGACGATTCGATGAAAGTCGGTGAGTGGTTCATTGTTCATCTGACCAAGGCCGCCTTATTGACGCCCTGAAGTCTCAGGTACATCCCGCCGGCCTCCGTCTAAGACGGCTGCGGCGGTTGAATCTGGCGTTGATCGTGATACAGGTACCTCGAAACGGTGATCCCCCGTATTTCCAAGCTCAATCCAAGTTCCTAGAGCCTGCGGAATCTGATGAGGAAGTAGCCGAGCCTACCCGCAAGGGGGGCTCTAAGAGCGGGAGTCGAACTACCAAGGCCAATGTTGATAAGGGTATGTGATCCGTAGTACTCTTACACCGGCCTCTGATCCAGAACACGCAGCTAAACCCATTTCGAGGCGAACAACCTCCAAAGCAACGGAGACCAAGCGCAAAGTTTCCACGAAACGGGCGGAGATGCAAGATGGCGTTGAAACGCGAGACTCAACGGCCGACGCTGCGAAGCCAAAGAAACGCGCATCGAAAACGCAGGCATCTGCCACAAGCCAAGCTGACCTTGAGGCCTCCAAGCCTGTCTCAGAACCTGGACCAGTCCGGCGCAAAGGTCCGCATTTTTGACGTCCAAGCCACTGAAATGACGAACCGTTCTCTAGCGGGCAAGCCGAAGTCTCAGGTTGAAGATCCAACCAAACCTGCTAGCCGCACCACGAAGAGTGGAAAGGGCAAGGCGAAGTCCTCTGACAGCGAAGTGGCAAGCAAGGGCAAAACGCCGAAAAAGTCTAAGAAACGGACGGCGGAGCCGGATTCAGAGCCTGGAGCGGAGAAAAAGGCACCTAAACGAAGAAAAGTACAGCCTAAGGAGAGTCATGTCGCATCCACTGGGACGGAAAAGACACGACTGGAGGTCATACCTGAAGAAGACGAAGAGGAAGCTGTGATAGAAAAAGTTTCGGACATCCAGACGCCTGCCGCGCGGACAACTGCCTCGGTGCTTGCTCTGGATCCCCTTCCCCCGAAAGTTAAGAAACGCAGGTTAGTTCCTGACGATCCTGCGGACGAATTGCCTGGAGAGAAGGTCGCCAAGAAACGCAAAGTGACGACAGAAAACGACAAACCTGCCAGGGCAACGGCTTCTGACGTGCCGAAGAAGTCGTGAGTGTCTGTCCTGATCCTTTTCGTCTGCTGAGGCAATCTCAGTGTGAAACGACCATCCAAGAAGCTCAAGGAGAACTCCCTATCGCCTGCGGTTGCTCCAAAGGATGTACAGTCTGATAAGAAACCCCCCTCATCTGCAGGTGCTGTCGTGAAGCGTTCGGGCCCTCCGAAGAGTGTGTTGGAAAGGATGCGCACAGAACCCAGCGATGGGCATGTCTATGATGGCGAGCCTGACGAACTCGACCTGCTGAGATAATCTATCTCTCGTCTGTTCACAATCTCTTTCCTTATCTGTTATAGACATGTACGTGCATCGGTTTGTATTTCTGTGGCTTCATGCCACCAGCTGGGTCGTTTGACGACACGCTTCTTATGAAGTCCATGTGGCAAGCTACTTACCACACGCGGTTCCCGATGGGGAAACGTCGAGTCTCGACACTAGCATGATCCAGCTGAGGTCAAGCTTTTTTGGCCTGCAAGCACCTCTGTGCGCGTACAACCCTCTTCACCTCGTGCGGAGAGTTGGACCTCTGGGATCAACTCTGAACCTAAACAGAGGCGGAGATTAACATGCCAATCAAGTGGCAGTGTAGATCAATTAAGCTATTTTTGTTTGTCCGCCACGCTCACTGGGGCAGAGCCTGCCCTTGTTTTAGACCATGCGCTAGAACGGCGGCCGGAGTGATTCCTGATCTGTAGAAGAGAATGCCAGAGCTTGTGCCGATTCTCGCTGATTGCGGGGAAAGGACCTCGAGGCCGGCAATGAGGCACTCGACTATCAAGGGGAAGAGATCACTCGATGCTCAGTTGGTGGTGAGAAGAAGATGGGCAAGATTGGGCAAGTGTCCGGCCCTCTGGCGAAAAACCCGCACCGTTACTGGATCGTTACGTCGGTGATCGGGACTCGGCGGGCGGGAAGAGCACACATCGGGCATACGCTCCCTTAGGCGCACTCTCCCAAGATGCCCAGGGATTTATCCGGCGATAACCTCCGCACAGGCGATACGCGAAATCTTGAAAGTTCACGAAGCCCCGTTGAGTAATTGCATCAGTTATTTTTGAATATCAAAACTCTATTTGGTACTGCTTGGTGTTGTCGTTGCTACATACCTCCGGCTTCTCCGGAGCGATCGCCGGTGGCCAGTGCACAGTTTAAGGTAGGGTGTGTGCTGTCAACTACAGTCAACAAGCCCTCCTTCCCACCACCACCATGATCACTCGTATATCCCGGCTCTAGAGATGGACCTGGTCCAATAACCCCTCGAGGTTTGTTGGCGGGCGTTATCGCTCAGCGTCCATCACCTCTCTTACACGCAATCACAATGGTTCGTCTTTTCCCCCCTCTCCTCAAGTTGAATCGACTGACCCAGAGAATCTCGCAGGTTCTAATCAGCAGCAAGAAGTATGCATGGTCAGCTTCCCTCCTCGATCCTCCCACCTACACTCGCTGATGTTAGTTGCAGTGAAACTTGCATAAAGGGTCACCGCTCGTCCGCCTGTAAACACACCGATCGCCCGCTTTTTGAGATCAAAAAGAAGGGTCGACCGGTAACACAGTGCGAGCACTGTAGAGAATTACGCAAAACAAAGCAAGTCCACGTTAAATGTATCTGTGAATCCAAAGAACCGCCCTCCCCTACTTCTTCATGCTCCGCCCCCAAGAAAAAAGGTTGGCGCCACTTTTTCTTCCACCGATCTGCTTGCTGATCGGGCCCAAAGGCACCCCTGTCCTTCCTGCACACCCTGCCTTCCCTAACGGTGTGCCCGATTTCGTCGTCGCAGCGTCGACAGGGTCTGCATCTGATTCCGAACAAGGGGGTATGCTGGCTAGCTTCCCATACTTCCTGCGCGCGAGATGACTTAAAAACGTTCCAGGATCGGCTCCTTCAGTGCCGGGTTGCAACTGTAAGGCAGGCACTGGTGAAGGCTGTCAGTGCTGCACGCCTCGCAAACGCCCCGGCCGGCGCCGGTCCTCCCCGGCGGCCCCAAGTCATCTCACTCTCAGCGTTGCGCAATCCCCCAACCCCACACTCCCATCTCTGCACACTAGAGACATCATTAAGGCATCCCCGCCCGCTACTCCCAGTCCCATCCCGCCTCCCGCGCCGAACCCAGGTCACAGTCGGTCGGCATCACATCACATCCTCGCGCGGATCGCCGAGTTGCGACCAGTCTTGCCAAGGATGTCTGCCCGTGATGCGGCACTCCAAGCACAGGGAGGTGGCCAGCACGACCTCTTTCACGGTCATGGGCATAGTCATGGGCACGGCGAGCACTTTTCTCCATATGGAAGGGCCTACGAGCATGCCTTCAACTCTGCAGAGAGCAGCGCGGCCGGCAGCAGCTTCTATCGGCTCCAAGATGCTGCTCAGAGCAATGAATCCTTGATGAGCTCAGGATCACACTTGAGCGTGAGCTCGCATCCTCGGACCCGCAGCCCGCTCGAGACCGGCGGTAGAAGTCCCACTTTCAAGAATCCGAAAGCACCTCGCCGCGCGTCATTCGATGTGCATGGCAGCTATAAGCATTTTGGCGCTGCGCACGAAAGGGAACAGAATGCTTCTGCTGACAATGTGTGGCAAATTCCCCCCAGCCTGTCAAGGACTAGTGCGTCACACATCCAATCTCGAAGGGTCGGTACTGATCCAGTCCAGATGCTCCATATCCCCGTTCCGAAGGTGCCGTGCCATCGTACGAGGACTATGCGCTTTCGGATGCATCGGGTGGCTTTCCGTCCTCGGCGGAGTTAATCCAGACTTGTACATGCGGGGACGGTTGTGCCTGCCCCGGCTGTGAAGTCCACCCTCAATCAGCGACCTCGGATGCGACAGAACACCGATGTGCCGATGCGTCGTGTGCTGGCTCCTGTCTCAACTGCACGCTGATGGCCATGCCGGACTTTTCTTCCCACTTTGGGCTGGGCGGTGATTCGCCCATGCCGCTGTCCTTCGAAAACAACGGGACGACGTTTCTAGACGAGGAAGCCATGCGGCTAGGATTAGACGGGATCGATAATGCTACCGATCTGGGCTTGCTCGCTACGCTCAACGATCCGTTGTCCAGCTCCCTTTCGTCCTACGGTCAGATAGATGAGTGGATTCGGGAAGTGGAAGCATTGCCAATCGGGCCATTAGCTTACCCTGGCGTCGCTGGCGTCCCTCCTTTCGAGGGCCTGGACTTCGGAGCAGAGGTAGCTGTGCAGATGTTCGATGCAGAGAGGGGACAGGACCAAGTGATGCATGGATTGTCTGGGTCTGCGGTCACCGACTCTCACGCACCCAGCTCTTTTCTGGCCGTCCCAGGGCCGGACTCGCACCACCGTAGCCGGAGCTCGAGTTCGTCATCATCCGAGATGTCTTCTGGGGTCTTCGCCGTCGAGGGACTCAATCTCGATCGCCGGGAAATTCCTTCGCCGATCCCTTCGCCCATCGACATGGCCTCGTCGCCCAACTTTAAACTGGACGAGGCCATGTTCTCGTTGCCCACACCGTCGATGTTCCTGGCTTACGCGGACGACTCCATGTTCTTCTGATTCACGGCATACAAAATAATTTTACGAGGACGCATGACATGTCTAATACTCATGAGCCTATCTTATCCTCATTGTACCATCACCATACCATCCATCTACTTGCACTTACTTTCAGTTCTCAGCTGTGTTATTCCCTCATTCTTAGCTAAGTAGTAGTACGAGTTGACAAGGTTCTTTTTTAGCAGGGGTCGGCGCTGAAACATGGCCAGAGAGCGGCGGGAGTCTTGCAAAGCATCTTGTTCGCTTCTGCTCGCTCTTGATCTCGTAATAAGTATGTTGCAGCGTCGGAGTGCGGAGACCGTATCGCCCCCGTGCTTCGCTTGGCACAGTGATGTAGATCAACCACTTCAGGCCTCACTTTACCGAGCTCTCAAACTAGTAGACTACTGGAGCATAGCTCAAAGCCCTCCAAGTCCCGGAAACCTGCGCAGCTACTTACCACATACGTGACTAGACCGAAGTGGTGCACACGTGACCGCGTTTGGCGGAGTTATACCCGATCGATCGTTTTGGAAACACCACGCGCGCCGATTGTAACAAGGAGATCGATTTCATGCTGGTAGTGCAGTAAGAGCTCCTCAGTGCCCAGAGACGGCCAGGAGGACGTTCATTGTAGTCAGGGCATTGACAGTTCAAGGATCACAATATCAGTCTGCAAGCGATGCGATAATTGCGCAGCCACTTTGTCCTTTTTTTGAGGACCCTGTACTTATCGCCGCCCCTCACCCCACGGTGATCGCGCTCCCGGAGTATAATGAACCCAGTAACAACTCCCCGCGTAAGTTGCCTCCGTTCCTTCAGACAACCGCCACTCTCTTCTTCGAGGTATGGACTCTGACGACGACACCTTGCAGCGCTCGGACACGTTCACTCACCGTGGCTTTGCTGTAGCTCCCGATCCGTGCGTCCTGCCCCCTCGTTCTCTGCGCCGTATGCGACAGCGACTAAGAGAGCCACAGCCTTGCGGGTCGTCGTCGTCCAGGAGCGTCCGCTCTCAATGCACTCCTTGCTACCGCGCTCTTCAGGTGCTGGCACATCTTGTTGGCGTTTGGAGCATGGGCCACGCTCATTACTGTATTGGACCACCACAAATTCAAAGTCCGGGTCTCGGTGACTTTGCTCACTGTGTGAGTACTGCTGCTACTAACCACCAACGCCTTGTTTTCGCACTGACATGCGACAAGGGTCGGTACCGTTCTTGGTTTCATTATTTCGTACCGGACAACAACGGCTTTCGAGCGCTACAATGAGGGACGACGGCTGTGGTCTCAGATCATCCTTGCGAGGTGCGTCCAGTCTGAGCGCTCTTCGGCGGCTATCGCCTCATGTCATTCCCTCAGCCGGACTTTTGCGCGCACAACGTGGTTCCATGTCCCTGGTCAGTCCCGCCTTCTCTGACTTGTCGCTTCGTGCCATTAATCGTGCCATAGACATTCCAGTCAGCGCAACCGTCACCGCGGAGCAGTCGAAGGCGCGCAGCATGATCGAGAAGAAGACGGCCGTCAACCTGCTTGAAGCCTTCGGCGTCGCTGTGAAACACTATCTGCGCGGCGAGGACGGGATCTACTATCAGGACCTGTACTACCTCGTCAAGTTCTTGCCCGCCTACGCGCTTCCTCCTGGTATCCCCGCGAACGCCGACCTGTCTAATTCTGACGTTCGGGACTCGCTGTCGTACCACGGTGCGGGCGGCGGCCTGTCGCCTACTTCAGCTCGGCATCCGTCCGACGCCTCGTCGAGACGTCGCCCATCCACGGCGAAGGAAGGCAACCCCGGGTCATTCTTGTACCAGCGCTCGGCGCCCAGCACGTCGGCTCCGCATCTTCCGATGCCTGCCACTACGCCAGGCCACGTCAAGATCGAAGCCGATGGAGCTCACCGCCCGCCCCCTCTGACCATCTCTCCGCCCACGGCGCTGAACTCGCCGGTGGACAACAAAAACAGCATGGAACTGCCCAGTGCCCAGTCGATCCGCTCTCCGAGGCCCAACGAGTCGCAAAAGGTTGTCCTTGCGCGCCAGGATGAAGGGTTACTGCTCCCCGGCAAACTGCCTCCGAGATACCATCTCTTCGATATCTTCCCCTTCTCGTTGCTCGTGCGAAGGCTGACCAATCGCGGACACGAAGTGAAGGGGAAGAAGGCAGCGCGTCTCCGGGCCAAAATGCTGCGGGAAAAGGATGGAGAAGGCTCTGGCACCCACAACTTGCCACTAGAGATCACACTTTATCTCGTGCGGTTTGCTCGACTGCGTGCGACGATCGGAAGCTGATGTTTCTCAGAGCTCTTACATCGCTGCTTTGCAAAACCGGAAACAGACTGATGTGCCGACCACTAGTAAGCTGCAATCTACTCACAAGGAAACAGTCCATTGAGTTCGCACAGACACTTTGCTCGCGGCCCTCAACCAGCTGGTCGATGCGCTGACTGGGCTGGAACGTATCTTGACCACTCCCATTCCTTTCTCGTGAGCCGTCTCGCACAACATTCCAGACTCTTCTCTCATTCTCTTTCCTAGGTACTCTTTCCACCTGTGGGCCGTTGCGACTATCTATATTCTTGCCATTGTAACTGCCCATGAGTTTTCTACCTCACTGCAAACGACTCATTCTCTCCCTACAGCCTAGCCAGATCGTCTCTGCTTTCGGATGGGTTACGATCCCTGCCACTGTCATCTTGTCCTTCATTTTCTTTGGCTTTATCGTTGCCGGAGAAGAAATCGAAAGTGGGTTGTATCTTCCAAAGATTGTCTCGTGGCTGATATATTCATGTTACAGACCCTTTCGGATACGACAAGAACGATCTCAACCTGGACCACTTCACCAACAGCGTTATTCGTTACGAGCTGCGGGCCATCACTAGCGCACCCCCGCCGGACCCGTCCCGATGGGCCTTCTCTGCAGAAAACGACATGCTCTTTGTGTCTGACGTCGAGAAAGATGAGCGTGTTACCCCTGAGGAGTGGGTCCGTCGTGGCAACCATGACATCCTTGTCGCACTCGATGGATCGGGGCGCTCATAGATTTACACTGCACTACTTGCATTTCGTTTACTGGGAGGGATGGATTTACTCGGACGCTAGTTTTTGCTTTGCTTTTAGCTATGTAGCCAGTCTGACTCGTTTCAATCTGAGGACAGTCAGAGTCACAGTCACGGGACAGGATCACAACTGCACTTGAGCGCGTCTGCCACCTCGATCCCTCGTTGTCGTCCCACCTTCGCGTTTTTCACTCCGAAACATGTCTATCGTAACCATACGAGTCTGTTTTCTTCTGCGAGGCCTTTCTCCACTCATTTACACGTCGTTAGAACGTTGATTTCATCAACAACCCCGCAAAATTTTCGGACTCGTACAGATTTCGTGTTACATTCGAGTGTATCGCCCCGCTGGAGGATGGTGACGCGTCTTTCTCCCCTATCTATTACCTTCGCTCACCTCCCGCCTCTTGACTGTAGACTTGGAGTGGAAGCTCATCTACGTCTCTTCGCCGGGGAACGAAGAACTCGACCAGGAGCTGGACGACTGTCTCGTCGGTCCTGTCCCAGTCGGCGTCAACTCGTTTGAATTCGAAGGCACGCCGCCCGATCCATCGAAGATCCCCAAAGAAGACGTGCTGGGTGTCGCCGCGCTCATCCTCACGGGATCGTACAGAGACCAGGAGTTCGTGCGGGTTGGATACTACCAGAACACGGAGTACGACAACGAGGAGATGAAGGAGACTCCCCCGCAGAATATTCTGTTCAACCGGCTTCTAAGGGATATCAGTACCAAGCCGCGGGTGACGAGGTTCCAAATTAAATGGTGCGTCTGCAGTCTTTGCTCGGGGGCTACGAGGTTTCAACTGAGTTTCAGGGATGTCTCCGCAACGGCACAGACTATGACTACCGCTGGGGCCGCTACCTCTGCGGTTGTGCCTTCTGCGAACGATCTAGAGGGGAATGTGGATATGCCCACAGCCAAGTGACGACAACCTGTATCCGCTTTGTGTATTTCTAGTTGGCTCACTATCTATGGGGTGCTTCCATTTCTGCAAACACGTCTGATTATCGGGAATCGAACTGGATTGAGCATATGCGACCAGGTCTCTACATGACACCCAAACCAGCCTTAAGCTCGCTGGCAAGATCATCCATGCCCTCGAGACCAGCTGGGGGCTTCCAATCCTTGCCCTCGGCCAAGCATCTCGAACATTGGCACACGAAACCCCACGCCTCGAGCGCACTGCGTCGTTCTGCGTAGCTTCCAGCCGGATTGACGTAGGTGATGAACAATTCTTGGCCGGGTTCGATGTCTGTTGAGGCCCTGACTGTGATGCGGGACAGTGCTTTCCGCTGGTCCAGATGTCGCACAGAGACATTCGGTGAACATGAGTGATTCATGTGAGCGTGCAGGGTGTACAGGCCACCGTGCGCTTCCAAGTCTGCAGACAAGTTCATCCGAGGAAATCAACCCCTGCAGAAAACACTCACTCAAACTCATGCTGCCCAGCCGATGCAAAAATCCCGCCTCGTACTCGAAGAAGGCGGTCTCGATCTCCGCAGGCAGAGTCTTCCTCAGTATCCCCGCTATCCTGCGCTCCTCGTCAGAGGACGTCTTCTTCGGCTGCTCCTTCCTCGGGCGGTGGAACGCATCACAGAACAGCACAAACGACTGTCTCCATGTCTTCCGATCCGGCTCGGACCTAAAGCTGTACTTGGCGCGGTCCTCCATCCCGAGCGACGCCAGCGCGCGCACGACGTTCCAGTCGTCCGCCAGAGCTTGCGCGGTGGGCGCCAGCGCCAGGCGCGCCGCGCACTGCGTCAGCGCGTGCAGGGCCATCCACTCGTGCTGCCGGATCCACCGCAGGAGTGGCATGCACGCGGGGTTTTGTGTCGGGCAGAGCACGGGGTGCGTCCTGTCCGACCGCTTGCGACACAGCGCGTTGCAGAACACGGCGGGGCAGTACTGGCATCGGGCGCGTATCTCTGACGGGTGGGCGAAAAGGGTGGTGCATTGGCTGCACGCCTGGCCCGCGCGCTGTTTGTCGTAGATCTCCCTAGTTTCGATCCGGGTAAGGGCAAGGCAGCGCGGGATAAGCGGGTATCACACACCATTCTGGAGCGAGTATAAACGGGTCCTCGACCCAGATCGTATCCCCGGCTGTGATTTTTTGTTTCGCGACCAGCCCTTTGCCTTTGCGTTTGTCGAAGAATCGCACATCGACGCTCTTAGTCCATTGCTCTATATTCAGACCTTCGACGAGCCCGGAGGCCGGGTGTGGGGATGCCGCGGTGCTGTCTTGCGGGGGCGCGATGGCGGCTAAAATCTTCCGCATGCGCTTTTCGCTGACCGTCCATTCGGGATAGTCGGATTTTAGGCGCGCGTGCAATTTGGGAATGCCAAGAGTGGGGTTCGCAGCTTTCAGCTCCGAGAGCGCCAGTTGTAGATCTTCATCGCTTGGAGATGACATCGCGCGCAGACCGTACACAGATAGGGAGCATGCAGAAAGTTGTTGATCCCTTGATCTTCCTTCATCGATATCTAAGCGACACAAATCACATGAGCACGGAACCCGAAACCATTGTGCATGAAATTCGAGAAAACGTAGATGCAAGAAAAGTGATTGGTCGTTACAGGAAAGTACAACGCTGTGCTACTTGTACACCTTCATAAACAAAAAAAAGACATTCGTCACAAGGCATGAGACTTATTCGGTGCGAGGCCGCTTATCGGCCCCGTCCGCATCGACACCATCGGGGCTACTGCGCTTCTCTGAGCCCGAACCTGGGACCGCCTTTCCGCCACGAAGAGCTTCGAGCTCCTGCTCGACCCGCTGCCGGTTCATCCGCTCTTCGTCCCACATTCGGCGGATCTCGTCCAGCTGGACTTGCAGATCGCCCATGGCCTGGTCCATCAAGAGCTTTTCGAGCGTCCACTTTTCGATATTGCGGGCCTCGTTCTCTTTGAGATGGTGGATGTATTGCACTGCACGAGACAGGATGGCCCCCTTGGCCTTCTCCCCAGAGCCGTTGGGAACGATGCGGCCGAGCTCGTTGATTCCTTCGTTGATGTTGCTGCGCCGCCTACGCTCAACTTCTTTCTGCAGAACGTTCAGATAGGTGATGGGACAGCCATTGGATAGAACGCACGTGGTTATCTTTGCGCTGACGAGTCCACTCGTCGCTGCCCATAGCAGCACCACCTCGGCCGCGCCCCTTTCCGCTCGATGGTTTGCGTCCAGAGTCCGTCAGTCCACCGTCCTTGTCCACATAGTCGTCCTCGTCGCCTTCGTCGTCGCCCTCCGGCGCAGTCGGTGGCGGATTGGGCATGCCGCCTGTCCCGAGCATGCCGAGGTGGGCGGGTGGCAAGTGGCCGAGAGCTGGGGGACCGTGTGGATGTGAAGAGGGACCCGGGTCGCGGAACTGCCCGGAGAGATTGGAAAGCGTTTGTGCGGCATCTTCTTTGTTGAGGTTGCCGTCTGCGAGTGACTGAAGGTGGGCAGTCAGCATTGCATGTCATGTGAGGGCGCGTGCAAGCGCAGAACGATCACGTGTGGCGGATGAGCGACGGCGCGCTCAACACATATTCATATCTGGCGCCAGAGAGGCTGGGGATCCAGAGGAATAGCCACAACATGGAGCGACAAGCAACATTGTACGCCGATACAGGGAAATGCTAGGAATGGCAATCGCACCTTGGTCAGGACGTTCGGTAGATGTCTTAATAAGTTCATGAGCTGGTTGGGATCAAGTCCGCTCCCTTGAATCTGGGAGAGGTCCAGGCCAGCAAGATTGGGGGCACCGGCAGTGGGTGCTACCGGGGCAGGGGGATGGCGGTGGCGTCGGGCGCTCCGGAAGCCATGTGTGTAATCGTCTGGAGGGGTGAAGAGTGGCGTGCGTAGTCTGGGAGATGATCTGGGGGCCTCAAGACACCGACAGAGTCAACTGGTCTCCGGCAGAGGGTTGGTGGGAACCTAAAGGTAGGGGAGCAGCCTATCAATAAACAGGAAAAAATGTGAAAAAGAGGCAAGAACCGACCAAGATAAGTATTTACAAAGTCAATGAGGCTTTGACTCTGGGGATGTTGGCAAGTACACAGCCGATGAGAGCAATTGAGGCAGAGGGGGGCAGCAATTAGCACTCGGCGCGCAGATCACGAGAGAGGGGAGTGACCGAGGAGTGACCTGGAGGTCAGGCTTTTTGATGGTGGGCACGCTCCTCGCAGCCACATCTTCCCACGCACGGGCCAGATGAGCCACATGACTTTGATGCGGCTAAATGCGGACCACGTGTGTAGGCCTCGTTAAAGATTTTTCCGTTCACCCCCAGTGGTGCAATTGAGCAAAAGTACCTGCAAAAGAATCGTAATTGGGTGCGACCGTCAAGTACTATGTAGCACTGAAGTCATGTGGAGTCCTGTGCAGACAACAGAGGACTCGATCTGCTCTGACGTTGCTTGTGAATGTGGACCACGTGCTTCTATGATTCCAAGCTTCCCATACCAAGCAGTTCCCGACGGTGAAAGCTAAGATGTGACGGGCACATCTCTGGACGAGGATGGGATGGATCACGGCTATTCTCGCCCTCATCAATATCGATATCAAACGGATAGAGTCTTTCTTCAAGCACAAGCCACGGCCGTACTATCTGCACTTGCGCTGGAATCTGCCGCGAGCTGCAGCTCCTTGCATGCAGATTCTAGATACGACAGTGTGTACCATACGCCAGGAATCCCCTGCAGATGATAATGAACATAAGGCAACTGTCGGTAACGAGCCGCGGGGTTCTGATCTCGAAGCGAGGACTCGACCGCGCGCATGATCGCTTGCATGTATCGGTCGCGCTCTTCGGGATGGGGTTGTTTGGCTTGATCGAGCAGCCCTGTGGCTTGCTGCGAGAAACCGAGCATCGTTGCCCAATGAAGCGGGCTGTCAAAGGACGCGATGAGGTCCGCAGGAAACGTCTTCGGTGGCTCAGGGCCTCTCTTGAGCGTCAGCATTTCTGCCATGGGACCGCAGTCGATCCGTTTCAAAAATAGCGGAAGCGCTGAACCGAGGATGTGGTCTAGGAGAGGCTTGATTTCGGGCTCCCTGGGCCCAACGAGGGAGGAATGATGCGTCCAATCCGCCACGGCATAGGACGAAAGCGAGCATCTGGTCAGCAAGGCCGCAACACACGCCGCGAAGAGTGTTGCATGAGCGGAGCACATGTTCAGCCGCAGCACGTCGCTGCCATTGAGCAGGTGATCTCTCACAGTGAAATGGACGAACTGGACTTCGATGAGCCCGTTCCGTGTATTTTGGACGATATTGACTAGCGATGACCCGCGCCGCCGGATCAGTTGTTCTGGGTCCCGTCTGGGTTGAGAGATGATGGGTAGTTCAGCGGTGCGAAACCACTCAAAGTCGATAGCAAGAATCTCATCCAATTGCTCCGTCGTGAATGAATATTTGCCAGCTGCTATGCATTCCAAAAGGCGGCGAGTACGGTGGAAAGAGCCCTCGTTCTTGAGACGTAGGAGGATCCGATCGTAGGTGTCCTTCAGATCATGCGGCAGATTGGCTAACTCTTCCTCGATGTCGCTCTCTTCGCATTCCCGAAGATGCTGTACTTGGAGCAACACCCAAAGAAACCTGGACATGCCTGGTCAGTCAATACGGCGAAGAAAAGATCATTGAAATCTTACATTCCATCAGCTCTTTCTTGCAGAGTCTGCTTGACTCTGACACAAGTATCGGCGGACCAATGCCCACAGTGCAATGCCAGCTGCGCTGCGATATAGCTCGAGATGTCGTCGGCACGGCTCTCAGGAACGTCATGCAGATCCAGCGAATGCGTCGACAGCGGCGAAACAGCATGGTGTATATCAGCCTCCCGACGTGACGTGACCACCAGCCTCAGATTGTCCATCGCATCCGCCTTCAGCTGCCGTAAGAAGGGAAGCAGCGCGTCCTTGCGCCCAGGATTTGGAAACTCGTCAAGTGCATCCAGGGCTATGATCACTCGTCGGGGTGAGGTCCTGATCATCTCCAGTAGGCATGCATGGAGGGAATCCTGGTCTGCGGAAAGGCTCGAGCGGCGGAGTTGGTAGACCTTCTCTAGTTGACCGTGGCAAGTCTCAGATGTAGTGCCGAGTTGATAGACCAACGATGAAAGCATTTTGAGTACAGAATATGTGTCGGGAGCGCGGAAGTCAAAGAGGTGATAGGCGACGCATTCCTTCTGCGTTATCAGATGCTCGACGAGGAATGATCTGAACCGAGGTGAGCAACGGACGACAAGCGACGAGGAAGTCATACAGCAAGACACTTTTGCCTGCCCCAGCTAAGCTGCAATGAGAAGTTTGAACACTCGTGAGAGACAATCACTCGCTCACGATTACCATGAAGCCAATACAAGCCATTGCTGGAATCTAGCCATTGCTGGTAGGTCCCGCCGACGAACCATTCACACGTCCCAGATTGCCTAGATTTGAGAAGTGTGTGGTAGCGAGGGCCGTTGTCGTAGGGGGCTAGCCAAGAGGTGACCTGCTGTCCCACTAGGCTGCGCTTTAGTCACGAATATACTCAGAGAGAATGAGGCGCACCTATCATCTCCCGAACGTCCTCAGACACCACTTGCGCATTCTCAGAGGCAAGTTGGGCTTTCCCGGAAGCCACCTTGGCGCCCTCTGTTGCCACTCTGATCTCCGCCAACGAAGCAAGACCCTCTTGTTTCGTCAGCTCATCCAGTTGGCCCAATGCATCATTGACATCGTCCGCCTGAAGCAGCTGCTTCGCCCAGTCCTCTGTCAAGCACAGCTGTAAGCATTTGCACACCTCGACAGATCATTTAGAACGTACTTGTCCGCCTGAGCGCAGAGAGCAAGCGCTGTCGCTTCCCCAGCATGACGTTCAGGTGCGACGTAAGACGCCCAAACACAGTCACGAGCTGGATGAGAATGCGCACGAACACGTCGCGCAGCGCCGGGCCCAGCAGAAAGCCTGGCTGCAGGTACGTGTCCAATCGGACTAAGCAGTCTCGGATCCTGGTCAGGATGAGTTCCAGCGAGTCGTACGCCCCGCTGACCCGCCGCGCAGCCTTGTCCAGATCATCGTGTGAGGGATGGGGTCGTCGGCCGGCGTGATCGCTCACCTGGAGAAACACCGCGAAAACAATGAATACGGATTTCCCTCCCGGAAGCTAAAAAGCGCCGATGTCCATGAGGAAATTGAATACAGCCGGTATTGTGGGTGAGGGGACTCACGAACGCGTTGGCGACCTCGCCGGCGGGGTCGAGCAACGTCTGCGTCAGGGACGTGATAGGCTTGAGGACGGCTCTGACCCTCTCCTCCTGCGCTCGGAACTGCCCAAAGGAGTCCTTGTGCTTTCCCAGCACAGCCATGAGATCTTCGACGGTCCTGCAGGATTGCAGCTCGTTTGCGTACGGCAGTTGGGATAACGACGTGTCGGTCTGGCGTTCATAGGCTTTGATAGCCTCTGCAATCATCACCTCAAACGTCGCATTGTCCGTCGGAGGAGTCTCCTGCATGTTTGTTCAAGGGGACATGGAGACAGATCGTGATTGGCATGATTTGTATGATGAAAGATGGCGTCGGGACAGGGTACCACCCGAGAGTATCAAAATGCTTTCCGAGTGAGCTATGCAAAGAAGTAGGGTGGTTGCACTGGATCGCTGAAACAACACATGCGCTGCCTCGCACAAGTGGCACAGGTACTTACAACGGCAGAGACTGAGAGTCTTGGCACGTGCCAGTCATGCATTTCAGCTTGGTCACGTGCGCAGCCAGCTCCTACTTATGAGTTTCGACCTTTATTTTCATTCCGCCGTACAAGATGTGGAGTATCCGAGAAACAAGTTGGATCCTGACTGGATACCTCTTCTCATGGAACTATACTTTACCATTTGCGTTGCGTTTAGTATTCCATAGCCGATCGTCGGCCATCCAGTCGCGAAGCAAATCGGCCTTGAGCTAGCTTGAAGATGACGCCCAAAGTTTGGACCGAAAATTCGAGATGCCCGCAAAGACCCAGTTCAATGGAGCGATTTTTTAGATCTTTCAGGCTGATGAGGTTCTCGCTTCTGGCCCACCAAAGACTATTGATTTCGACTGAAGCGCGAGCCAATGAGTCACATGACCGTGTCCCAAACAAAGTCAGGAGCACCTTGCGTCGCTGATGTGAAGTGCTGATGGAGTGCAGCTTGCAGAGAAAACCTGGAAGAATGCATTGAAATGATTCCACTAAGAGCTTAAGCGCGGCGCTGATAGGTGAGTGAAGACCGCTTGGAAGGTGGTTCGACAGAGAGTTCAGCTTTTTAGCGCTGAAGCTAGCACTCGATGTGCGTTCAGACGTTCACCAGACACTCGGCCGGCGACGTCACGTCTCGATGTTGATGAGACGTCTTGAGCACTCAATCTATTATAGATCTCGTCCAACATTTTCCAAGAATCTATGGCAGCCTTTTCATGGTGCGGATAGTACCAGTGAAGACAGCGGCGGCAGATCTAGATACGTGAACGTCAACTTCGAAAGCCTTTCCCCAGAACGCTCCTACGCACCACTCAACGTTAGAGACGGCCCATGCACAGGTGACGAGGGCGCTGAGCGATAGTCGGGCGGTAAATCCTCCGGCGGCGGATTCTCCAGGATGCTCTGAACGACTTGTCTCCGATACGCCGTCAGCTCTTTACGCGTCTGCTCGAGCAGCTCGGCCTCTTCAGTGAGATCCGACTCGATGATCGAAGCGCGCGTCTTCGCTGCGTTCATTTGAGTGAGTATCTAAAGAGGCATAAGCTTCAAATTTGCATGATGGAGGACCTGTTAAGGACTTGCCGCCTCGCGTGTCGACTCCACGGATGAGATACAGGACCTGATCTTATCTGTGTCGAAATCAGCCTCACGGAACCGGGTATCTCGAAATCTGTCCCGACGCACTGCGTAATGTGGTGCCGTAGATCGAAAAATCGAAGTTGACTTCCCCAAGCAGCGGACTGGGTAAATGGTCAGTGCCATAGGCAAAAGCAGACATTTAACAGCCCACAAACCCCTGCGTTAAGATGTTCGAAGGTAGCCTTACTTCGGGGACGAAGATGATAGCCTGTTGAATACAGGTCGCGGCCTGAGTCGCGTGGTTCTGCGCCGCACTCAACGCAGACCGTTTCATCGCATCTGCCGTTCTTGCGTAGGTCCGTTGTCAGCACACCCTTTCACAACAGCTGGGAAACAAGACGGCTCACCCGCCCTCTCTGATGGCATACTTGGCCCCGTCGGTCAACTGAGCGAGACAAGCAGCCAACGCTCTGTCTGCGCTCTGCAGCTGGTTGACCGCTTGCAATTCGTGTTCGTGCTGTCCCTTGGCTTGGTTATATCGCCCCAAGACGACCTGCATCGCGCTCTCAAGCCGATCGTCTTCGGGATAATCTGCGCAAGAGTGGGTCAGAGAAGGATGAGCGACGGGCGGAACAGTTTCAGTCTTGCCTGGTGTCGGTCCGTCGAACAGTCGACTGTAAAGCCCATCCAGATTTCGTCGCGTGATCTCGAATCGCTGGAGCTTGTGCTCCAACTCCGCACGCTGAGATTTATGTTAAGGACGAGGAACAGTGTCTTCTGGAAGGAATGGGAAACGCACGACAACGCTCCCCTCTTTGATCATGCCCGTGAGCGACTCTACTTTCGTCTCCTCCGCATTAGCCGCATGCAGTGCGTCATTGTATGCTCTGCAACAGTGAGGATAGGCAGAGATAGGCATCACCGAACATACTGTTCGACCCCGCGCACATACTCCCGATGTTTCGCGCTCTTCCCTAGCATCGCCGCAACGAGTCGGCCCGGACCCGGCTCCTTCGCGTCCATGTACCGCATCTTCCTTATGGGCAACTCACTCTTCAGGTGGTTCCGCTTCGCTTGCGACTGCTTCAGCTCCCGCTTCCACCCGTCCACCAACCGGTTCTGCTCCGCCAACGCGTCCGGCACGCCCTCCAGCTCCGCGAGAGAGGCTAAGAGCCGTTCATAGTATGCGGTCTGCTGGACGACTGCGTCGCTCAACGAGAACCGCAGGGTGCTAGGGGTCAGAAACGACATGAGGGGTAGGGGGTGTGCGCCAAGGGACGGTGAATGCTAGCGATATATGTATCACTGGCCATCGCGTCGCGTTGATCAAGTGCCATACGATCGCTGATAGTGGCCTGCACAGCCCGGGAGAATGAACCCATGAGGCCCTGGATGAAACGCTGGACAGCCTCGATCAGCGAGACTGTGGTCTGGGCTGACAGGCTGGCAGACTCGACTTGAGATTCCGGTATTGGAAGCAGAGGGTGCGTGATTGTTTGATACAAAGCTGTGAAGCGGATAAGGATAAAGCTGTTCCCATCAAGCTGGGCTCAGCTGGCCAGCTACACAAGTCCAGATAACATACATTCGTGTCCGGCCAAGTAAAATACGACTACAAAATCTATCCCTTTCGCGCCGGGCCTGTCTCTGCATCGAATATCGGCCCGGCAGCGAGAGCAGCTGCATAGGGATTGCCTAATGCCAAGATCCAGGTGATTACAGACAGAGGGATGAAACATAGACCGCTTACGGCTTCGTAACAGTCCAGATACCGGGGAAACGCTTTCAACTGGAAGGTGAATCAGGATCTCAGAAAAAGCATAGATGACCGCTACGATGACAGCGCCATCTCAATCGAACACACCATATTGGGGTGGCGGTGGCCCTAACGGAGGCGCATATGCACCCTGAAAGTCAGACACAACCTGGGAAGGAGGGGGATCTGCCGGGGAGTTGATTTTGTGAGTGGCAGAAGTGGTTGGAGGCAGCCAGTTGCATTCGGCGCACCTTGCGGCCCACGAGGCATCTCGACCCTGGAACTGGGATAGTCATTCTGTGGTATAGAATCTACGCCAGCGTGATCGAATATGCTGCGCCGATAGTCGTCCAAAGCCTTCCGAGCGGCGGTGAGGGCGTCTGCCTCTACACTAAGCTCTCGGGTGATGTCTGCTATTCGTTGGGCTGATGCTAGGAGCTCTTTTTGTAGCTTTCAAGGACGTGAGAAAAGTGCTCCAAACGCGACACCTGAAGACATACATTGGACTGTACTGCTTCTACATTTTGTTTGGACTCCTTGATCTTGCCTGCAAGGGATGTATTAGACCGCGTATGATGGAGAAGGGACCCATTGTACCGTGAAAAGCCATGTCGGAAAAGATGTTATCAAAGATGACATCCGACAAGATAGAACTGGAATTGCATGAGAAAACGGAGGGGATGCTAAGTAGCAGAACACACCCGTGGGCGATGGAAATCTGTCCAATGGGTCCGACTATCCGCGATGCCATCTGGGCTTGCTGCACAAACATCTCTGCGCGCATCGAACTTTGCTGGGCCGAGCTGAGAGCATCACGCTCCATCATGTCGCTCATCGTGCCACCTCCCCACATATCTATGAACCCATATCAGCGCTTGCAGAGAACACATGCAAGAGCGATAAAAGGCGCACCCCAAGTAGAGTAACCCAGTGCGCTCTCGATGAAGGACAAACACTGGTCTAGCGATTTGTCGGCGTTCAGCAAGAAGCGCGCGGCTTGCGATTCGGTATTCAAGCGGCCCTGGATCTCGTTGTAGCGATCTTGGGTGCTTTTGAGCACATATTCCAAACGATCGTCCTCTGGGTACGCTTGTGTGGGCCCATCAAAGATCTTGCTGTACAGCGCATTCAAATCTTGCTGCGCGCGCTGATGTTGCTGCAGTTTTTGCTGCAGATCTTCGTGCTGGAATGCGCTTTAGTAGAAAACCAGATCATCTGCAGTCAGAGCGTACCACGACATGAGCCTCCGCGAGTAGCGTCTCCACGGTCTCTTGTATATTCTTCTCCCTCATCTCGTTCTCGAGCGCCTCGACATATTCCCTGTACACCCATGATCAACCACCACCCTGGATGATACACACAAAGCCGCATACCTCTCCTCCTTACTCGCTTTAGCCTCGAACTTGTCCTTTCTTCCCGTCATCCGTGCAGCAAACCTCCGCGTCGTCGAGTCTCTCAACGATTCATGCTCCTTGCGCTCCTTCTTCGTCACCATCTCGAGCCTCGTGACCCTGAACTTCGTGTCTCGCAGCTTCTGCTCGAGTCCATCGATATGCCGGTTCTGTTCCGCCAGGGCGGGTGTGACATAGTCCAGACTAGCGATGGTACTGAGGAGTTGGGCATGCAAGGCTGCGTGCTGCAGGACTGATTCGGGCGCTGATACCATCAGTCGATAACTCCCAAGACGAAATCTGAGTCAAGGAGAAGGGTGGGTCGGGCTGATAGCGCAGAGTCTGGCGCAACTAGATACTTTGATATTGTGAACAAAGCACACAGCCTTGAGGCAGTTCGGCGCGTTAAAGGGGAGAATGATGGAAGGCGAACAGTTGGTGAGATGTAGAGATTGTTTGAAGGGCTCTTATATATTGCTACAGAACACCACAAGATGGAATCAATCGCCACAGACATGATCACGGAGGATGTTGCAGACAAGGGCTGAGGCTGAGCAACAACCGACAACAACTGAGATCAGATGAGGACCGCGGGGGTCGAGACGTCCACTGCATCGGTGATAAACAGACATGGGATTGAATCTACTAATAAGTGTACCAAATTACTATCCGCCCTGTAAGGTAATACACACAAAAGAGTCCACTGAAGCTCACGGAGCTAGCCGTTCACTAGTGCTGTTCGATCTCAACATCGGACTCGCCAATCCCCGTTCGATGCGACTCTCGTCAAGCGACTGCGTGTGCAGTGGACGTGGGGTCCGCTGTTCCAAAGGCACGCCAAGCTCGACTTCCTGCCCGTCCTCATCGTCCAATCCCTCGTCGTCACTGGCCGTGGGCGAGTCCACCAGTCCCGCACTGGCCGTTCCAGATGTCGAGCGTCTAGCACGCCGAGCATGGAATGTGCGGCTCGCGGTGGCATTCGAAAACAACGGAAGAAGATACCGCTCGTCCAAAGCCTGGAACCATTTTCCGTCCTCTCCCATCGACGGCGTCCGAGGTGTATTGTCAGGCGCTGCGGAAGCCGTCGCAAGCGGCAGAACTTCTCCTCCATCCGAATCGTATTCCGACGACGCCGACGAAAATATAGGCGGCGCAGACTGCACCTGATGGTTGTAGGGCGATCCAATGGTCCGCGGTCCAGCCAAGGCACTAGACTCGTCCTCGCCGAAACGAGCCCAGCGTCGTGGGCGCCCGAAGAACCTCGGTGTTTCTTCCTCATCACTGCTGCTCGCCGCTTCATCATCGACGCCGGTCCGGATTCCAAGTACCTCCAACATGCGTGCAGTCGTGCCACCGAAGATGAGCACCGTCAAGACAACCACCACAAGGACCGTGGTCCGCAACGTCTGCGCGTTGTCACCGGTGAATCCCGCAGCAAGGGCAACGCCAACGGCACCCCGTAAACCGGCCCAGAAAAGCATCATTTGGTACGAGTGCGGCAGCTCCTCCGCCCGCTGCCCACGGACATGTCGGTGGAAGAGGTTGATGGCTTCCGACAAAGGGAACACAGCGGCATAGCGAGTGAAGACGACCGCAACCGTGGTGATAGTGATGAAGAAGGGCTTCACGTAGCTGGTGACACGCTGGGATGCGGGGGCAGATGTGAACAACGAGAGCCCGAGATAGATAAAGATGAAGTTCTCCGACAGTTGAGCAAGCGTGGAGAATATCGACTTGGTCGTCCGCTGAGTCCGTCGGGACATCGTGTGATACGCGTAGTGCTTGAGCGTGATACCACAGAACAAGAGTGAAACGATACCCGACATCGAGAGCCCATTCGAGAAGAAGTAACACGTGTAGGCGCACAGCGCAACCAGACATGACTCGATTTGGGGGTAGAGATTGAGCGAGGAATGCTTCAGCAGAAGTGACATCGCGAGACCGAAGGCGACACCCAGGGCCATGGAAACGCTGAACGAAAGCAAGAAGATCCCCGTCCCCTTGAAGAAGGAGCTGATGAAGATCTCGTCCGCGCTTCCACTGTTGCGAAACTGGGTCAACGTCCTAGCATCGCCAATAAGCCATCATGTCCCGCGAACAACAAGATAGGTCTACGCACTCGTACATGACGATACTGACAGCATCATTCAGGAGACTCTCGCCAAAGATCACCGTGTACAGCTTTGGATCCACCTTGTACTGATTGAATATCGCGAGGATGGTGACGGGATCCGTGGCAGACAGTGTCGAGCCAAACTGGAGGCACTCGACCAGTCCGAGATCAAGCGACTCGAGTCCGAGGAACGAATACACGTAGACGAGAATTCTGTCTGCAGGTGTTGAGCGCGCGTCCGTCGACGAGGACGGGTACGTACCCAACCCCAACAGCGGAGATGAACGTTCCCAGGAACGCGAACGTCAGGATGGAGCCGAAATTGCGGAAGAAGTTTTCCTGTCGCGCGGGTCTCGGTACGCAAGTCGCCACTGCAAAAGCAAAAAGGCGCACCTGCTTGAGCTCGTAGCCCGAGTTGAGGATGATTGGCGGTAGTAGAAGATTGAAGAAAAGGGTGTGCTTGAATGTCTGCGGGAGTAGTTCGTGAGCGGTCCATCGATGATACAGCGCGTCGCGGCGCCCCGCCAGCAGTGGGCGCGCTCACCAGCATGTCCCTGATCATAGTCCCCGGGGCGAGGCTGACAACGAGCCCCACGAACATGCCAGCCAGGATCGACACGCCCGTCTCATGCACAGATCGTATGCGTTTGATTTGCAGGTAGTAGCTCGTCCATAGCGAGAGGATGAGAAGCAGACAAACGAGAAAGAGAGACCACGAGGAGTAGTACTCTTCCTCCTCGGGAACGGGCAGCGGGAGGCTCGATGGTGTGGGCGGCGCCATGGACGGCGAATAATGCTGTGACGTGTCACGCCTTCGACGTATCCGATTTGTTATATAAATCTTGGTCTTTTTTGTTCTACACAGAATATTCGAGCGTCCCTGCCGTACAAAGAGAGATGTGAACATACCACTTATTTACGGAATGGATACTAATTTTGAATGAACGGGCCCGGCTTGTCAACCGCCGCCTCGGCTTGCCAGCTTAAGTCTCTAAGGATGATGACTTGTACTTGGTCATACTATATTAGTGATACAGCAACAAACACCAGAGGATAGATCTTGCGCAAGTTCACCAGTGTCCGATAACTGATCTTTGGTACCTATAAGGAGCATTTCTACAAGCTAGTATCCTCAAATTCCTCTTGCCGCTCCACGTTCTGCTTTTCCGCAATTTCCAGATCTAGACGGGAAGGGAGCTAATAAGGGCGCAGACTGTCCCAATAGTTCGACCGCCCTTGGGATGACGAGGCCAAGTGACCCGATGGCCTTTGAGCATCTGCACAATGGTAGGCGAAAGCCGAAGCAGCGTAACGGTTCTGCACGATTGGTGGGAAACGCACAGAGAGGTGTGTCCGTGAGATCTTTTAGGAAATGACGAAGAGAATCCTAATCCCAATAACAATGGCACTCTGCTCAGATACGTACCTGGGGGCACTGGGACAGGGGCCAGCCCAGTTCTGGTGAGCATTCCTCACATCTCACCCACCCCAAGTATCTTCTGTGTAACGCTGTCGGGCAAAGCGCCTGGACCGTCAAGGTCCGGTTGATCCTTTCTTCCCCGACAGCACCTGATCTCAGTCCAAAACACAACTACTTTCGCGTTCACTAACCGTGAGAGTACTTGCTAGCCGACGCTGTCCCGTTCTTGTGTCTCGAACATGTCCTCGGTTTCGCTGGTTGGGCGAACAAGTGGTTCGTCGTCCTCTTCGGCTCCCTACAGCACGTTCACACCGCGAAACAGCTGTAAAAGTCGCTGGAGAAGCGGTCCGCGTGAATTTTCTTGCGCCGCTTGACACTGTGAGATCCATGATCGACTTTCCGGTCGTCGATTCTGTGGATACGCTTCGCGCTGCTGTTTTCCATCCTATGTCTGCGTTTACAGCGAGCTTAAAATCATTCTATGCGCTTGCCAGAGATGGGTCAGGGCCCGGCAAGGGCTGGTTCACAAATTCAATCGCTGGCATGCTTCGTGCATCAGTATCCGATCTTCCGCCCTGGTGGAATACGCAATCTCCTGTGCCTGTCTTGGATACGCTGTTGCAATGAGTGGAAAGTCGGATAACCCTCTGTCTCACTTTCGTCATCATATATTTATCGTGATTCTGTCCTCAACCAAGATCTCTGTCACGCTCAACTATCTGCAGCTAACTATGATCAGCTGTATTGGACCAAGGCGTAGGTGCACGACCCGTCTTGTTTCTTGAAGCCGGAGAACATTTCGTTTCGATAAATGCTCGTGGATCGACGGTCTGTTGGTTTGATTTCATTGCGGGTCTCTCTATCTACACTTAATCTTGCTTTGGCAGTTCGTGATCTGCTCCAGCATTCTTTTCATCTTGCCCACGGTGCAGCCAATTGGATCCATTGCTATGAACGATGCTATCGTTTCAGGTGGTGGCTAGCTGCTTCTCATCACCTCAGTTACCACCGCCATCACCCGGTTGCACCCCCGCGGGGGTCCTCCTGGGTACCCTCAGACGTAGCTCTGAGGGTACCTAAAAGGTACCCCCCTGCGGGGCCCGCGGGGGGGATTTGGTCCATTTGGGGGCGGGGGCATATGCGGGGGTCAGCAGGGGGGGGGTCTGTACATGTCATGTGATTTATCATTGGGAGCGGGCAGGTGGGCGCGAAAAAAAAAATGAATCACATGACACATCCAATGGGCGGGATGGCGGCTGATGGCGGGGTAAAAAAATCACGTGATGCACCGCATGAAAATTATCAAAAATGGCTAGCAGGGGTTGGCGGGGGTTGGCGGGGGCGCTACTGGCCCCCCGCACACCATGGCGGGCAGTGGGCGCATTATCACGTGACTTTTGGGGCACCTTTTGTGCACCATTCGGCATGATTTCGGAGGTGTTGCTTGATCCATTGCATGCTGTGGCAGACAATGGGCGCATAATCACGTGATTTTCCGCCCAAAAAAATGGAAGCCTTCCCCAAATCATCCTGGTATCATTTCTATCGGTAAATACACTAGTTAAGCATGAATTTGAGCTTAGAAAGCCCAAAATGCACCCTGCACAATGGGACTGGTGATGCACTTGATCCCATCATTTGGCGGGGTCTGCTGCGGGGGGTGCCACGGGGGGTGCTGCGGGGGGTGCTGCGGGGGGTGCCGCAGGGGGTGCCGCAGGGCCCGCTGTGGGGTCAACCACAGGAGCAGGGGTAGGGGTGCATTGCATCATATTTTGATCTATCTATTCTCGCTGTGGTCATAGCATGCAGCATAATTATCCTTCATTTTGCCAGGAGTTTGAAGGCTGTGTCTGGGGTTGGTCTGCAGCTACAGCCATGTGACTCCCTGATGCTTCGGCAGGGGCTGGGATATCAAAACTGTGCAAATTTACCTAAATCTTTTGGCTTGGCTTGGGGCACTGATATATATGACTTGGTTCATTTTAGCATGGTCTGCTCAAGCTGTCAGGTCAAACTAAAAATTTGAAAAATGTGCAACTTGATTTGTTAGGCAAATCTCCCAAGTACATGCTCCAGGGACAGCCAACATCATCAACAAGAAATGGCTAATGTTTCTTTTCTCTGTCTGTTTGCTTCAGGTAGTCTGTCTGCACTCAAATTTTTCTCTCCATTTGCAGCATATTCCGTGGAGGTGTCATAATTGTTGATTTCCGGATTTCATACTTCTTGTCTACACACCATTTGGGCCCTTTACTGAATCCAATAATACTGTAGACTCTTACAATGGATTGAGCAGGACATTTGTCAATTAAATCCTTGCAGGGGTTGGGGGGGGGGTCAACCACAGGGGGTGCCGCGGGGGGTGCCACGGGGGGTGCCGTGGGGGTGCACAAGCATCTGCCAGCCTACCAAATGTGGATCAACTACAAAATCACTTTCCAAAGCTTCTGTACTGCAACCCAAGTGACTTCTAGGTAACCTTTACCCAATCCCAGTGAAACAACTTCACTGCTCTTGTTTCTGGGTGACAATTGATTTTATGAGCTTGAGTGTGTATGCACCCTTTTTAGTGGGAAATGAGGCCATGTGATGAGAGGTAGGGCACCGAAACATTGTAAAATACTATATTCAACATGACCGGTGGCCCATGTCTCTTCAAACCAGCCCATATCTCATGTTTATCAAGACCCTATTTTTCGGACTCATTTCAAGTTTTTGAATAGTTCCAGGGTCCAGGGCTCTCAGAATTTGTTTCAGACACTGCCAAAGAGTATATCATTCAGCTGTATTGAATTGCTTGTGTGTAGAAAAAATATTTTTTGCCATACCCAAAGTGAACCATGTTGAACCATTGTCTACATAGGAACCTTGAGCAATGGTGAACTCTTTTCATGTTTCGAATTTTAGGTGGACAAATGATATGAAGTATCTACATATTCAATAAGAATAGCAGAAGGAGACCTTATTCCGATGGTTTTCAGCTGCATAACTGTAGGAACAGTGTTAGAAGAGCAGTAAACACTTAGGTACGACGTTTATACAGGTTCTGATTGGCTAGTGACTTGACGTGTTCCGAGCTGTCAGTTTACATAATCTTACATATAAGAAAATCACGGGGACAAGGCACCGGTGCAGCGGGGGGTGCTAGACTGGCGGGGGTGCCAGCGGGGGTGCCGGCGGGGGTGCCAACAGGGGTGCCGGCGGGGGTGCCAATGGGGGTACCAGCAGGGGTGCAGGCAGTGGGTCATGGCAAGGATGTGTGCAGCCCCAGAGGTAGTAAAAGTAACCATCTATGTCTCTACAGTCTATCTTGCAAATATACAAGCTCTGAGTGCACAGAGTGTTGTATATGAAATTTGAAATTCAAATATTACCAATCTCTGACTATTGTGAGGCAACTTGCTGGTGAATCCATTGTCTCATATTCCACCTAGGAATCAATTCAGGGCATGTCAAATCCACTCTATTACATCTGTTCATGTTGCAACTAAAGCAAACTGCTTGTAAAGTAACACAGAACAGATGAACTTCAATGAGTCCCAGACAGGAAGTGTGACATTAGGTGCATAATTAACGTGTGGTATTATCCACTGGGTAAGATTAGACTGTGCCTACAGCATGATCAGTTTACCAATGGGCATGTGTATAGAATGAGCAGACGAAACAATCAATGAGTTGACAGTGGACCCGATGCAGCCCATGATGTCAGCCCACCTACCCTGCCAGCCAAAAAATGAACAAATCACACTTTCTTTTTAACCCTACATGCCTGGATTATGCAGACAATATTGCACAGTTTTGATATCCCAGCTCCTGCCGAAGCATCAGGGAGTCACATGGCTGTAGCTGCAGACCAACCCCAGACACAGCCTCCAAACTCCTGGCAAAATGAAGGATAATTATGCTGCATGCTATAACCACAGCGAGAATAGATAGATCAAAATATGATGCAATGCACCCCTACCCCTGCTCCTGTGGTTGACCCCACAGCGGGCCCTGCGGCACCCCCTGCGGCACCCCCCGCAGCACCCCCCGCAGCACCCCCCGTGGCACCCCCCGCAGCAGACCCCGCCAAATGATGGGATCAAGTGCATCACCAGTCCCATTGTGCAGGGTGCATTTTGGGCTTTCTAAGCTCAAATTCATGCTTAACTAGTGTATTTACCGATAGAAATGATACCAGGATGATTTGGGGAAGGCTTCCATTTTTTTGGGCGGAAAATCACGTGATTATGCGCCCATTGTCTGCCACAGCATGCAATGGATCAAGCAACACCTCCGAAATCATGCCGAATGGTGCACAAAAGGTGCCCCAAAAGTCACGTGATAATGCGCCCACTGCCCGCCATGGTGTGTGGGGGGCCAGTAGCGCCCCCGCCAACCCCCGCCAACCCCTGCTAGCCATTTTTGATAATTTTCATGCGGTGCATCACGTGATTTTTTTACCCCGCCATCAGCCGCCATCCCGCCCATTGGATGTGTCATGTGATTCATTTTTTTTTTCGCGCCCACCTGCCCGCTCCCAATGATAAATCACATGACATGTACAGACCCCCCCCCTGCTGACCCCCGCATATGCCCCCGCCCCCAAATGGACCAAATCCCCCCCGCGGGCCCCGCAGGGGGGTACCTTTTAGGTACCCTCAGAGCTACGTCTGAGGGTACCCAGGAGGACCCCCGCGGGGGTGCAACCGGGTGATGGCGGTGGTAACTGAGGTGCTTCTCATCGCTGTTTGAGAATATTCTCCAATCAATTCAAGTCCTCTAGCTTTGCATCCCTCTGGGAGCAGATGGCGGGTTAACCCGAAGCCGAGAAGGCAACGGAATCGCTTTCCCCACTTTGGAATGTTCGCCGAAGTGGCTCTTTCGGAATCAATCTTGCGGCCTCGGAGTCATTTAGCATGGACAGCTTTCAGTGTCCTCTTCGATGGTTCGGGACCAGCTCGGGTTGTTGTGCAACAAATATCTCAGGTCAAATAGAACCTGTCCCCCCTCCGAAGCAGCCTAACCAGATCGCGTGATTTACCTCCTGATCAGAGCACCTGACAATCGATCGTTCAACAGAGCGTTGTCGTTGTTTCCTCCGACGTGCAACTCATCGAGTTCATTCACGAGTCCCAAATGTCGCCGCATGGGTGCAAGTCCGAATTTAACTCTGCACAACCCGGTCGGATAAATCCCCGTGAGTAAGCAGCGAGCTCTATCGTACGGGGGTCCCAAGCCCCGCCAAATATCTCGCCCACATGCGTCTTACGACCCAAAAATACCGCGCTGGGCCGCGAGGGGCGACCGAGAATCTGCCTTCAGCACCCGTACGAGACATTCATATAATCGGACGAAGGAGGGCATTGGTTTCCCTGTGCCGCTCGCTATCATGTACGCCCGGACGCCACTTTCATTCCCATCGCTCCTCGCGCTCGCCGCGCTCGTCTTTTCGACCCTCTTCGCTGCCGCGTCCCCGACGCTCGAGAAGCGCGCATCGCGCACGAGCCCCCCGTCGGGCGCCCTGGTCGTGAATCCGGCTGGCGGCAGCGGTGTGTACACGACGGTGTCAGCGGCCGTCGCGGCGCTTCCGAACGACAGCTCTGCGCGCAGCATCTTCGTCTACGCCGGCACCTACAATGAGCAGGTGTACATCACCCGTGCTGGGATGACCACCGTGTGTATTACTTGATTTCCGTGGCGTATCGTAGCTGAATGAGGGTCCCAGATCTACGGATACACGACGAACACCGCCGACTACAAGTCGAACATGGTCAACATCCAACACTCCCTCTCCGCAGGAACAGCTGGCAGCGACGATCTCAGCGGCACGCTCCGCGTCCACAAGGACAACTTCGCGCTGTACAACATCAACGTCAAGAACACCTTCGGACAGGGCTCGCAGGCCCTCGCCCTCAGTGCCTACGGCAGTAACCAGGGCTATTACGGCTGTGGCTTCTACGGATACCAGGACACGCTCCTCGCTGAGAGCGGCACGCAGTACTACGGACACAGCTTCATCCAGGGCGCCGCCGATTTCATCTTCGGGCAGCACGCGTTTGCGTTCTTCCAGAGCTGCACCATCGCTTCGACTGCGGCGGGCACCATCACTGCGCATGGACCGTCGAGTTCCACCGATGGGATCTGTGCGTGTTCTTGAATTGTTTGATAACCAGTCGAGCTCACGGACAATATTCCCAGACGTGATCAACCAGGCGACGCTCCAGACCGCGTCGGGTGCGGGCTCGCTGACCGGCCAGGTCTATCTCGGCCGTCCATGGTCTCAGTACGCTCGGTGCGTAGCTGCATCGCTGCTCTTCTGACGGCCATTGGCTTACTCACCTTCTCCTAGCGTTGTTTTCACCAACACAAACATGGGCGCGCACATTAACGGTGCCGGGTGGTCGCAGTGGAGCTCGACTATGCCCAACACGGCTCACGTCCTCTTCGCGGAGTACAACAGCGTTGGCCCCGGGGCCTCTGGAACCCGTGCTTCGTTCTCCAAGAAGCTTTCGTCCGCTGCGGGATACACGATCCAAGACGTCTTGGGGAGCCGCGGATGGGTCGACACAGCCTACCTGTGATCTCGGGGGAAACATGTATTAGTCACCAAAATCCAACTACTGTCATGAACCGTTCCACAAAACGCGCGCAAGAGGGTTCCATCACTTCTGTTTTATCATCAACAACTTGATTCTGAAAGCATCCGATGTGAGCACATATATCCTCCTTGATCAATTGACGAGCGCCTGTAAGTCAAGATCAGGTCGGAACACATCACACAAGGCCAGTCGTCGCACAACACATGAACCAACAGCCCACGTGCTCTGCCACATTTCACACGTTCGAAAATAACTCTCGACCAAAAGCAACGGGGAAATGAGGAATATCATTGTATGCTCTACAGTTCCCCTGGACATCCACTAGAGCCAGCTACTCCTGTATCGTAGCTCACGGGCCGCGGGTCGGCATCAAGGAACGACACAGAGGCGATCCATTCCCCGCCTCTCAACAGACCACAAATTCTTCTTATTACTATGGCATATATCAAAATCACAGGTAGGCCGTGTCGACCCACGCGTGGCTGCCCAAGGTATCCTGGATCGTGTATCCCGTGGGCGACGACAGCTTCTTCGAGAACGACGCGCGGGTGCCCGCAGCGCCGGCCCCGGTGCTCTGGTACTCCGCGAAGAGGACGTCGGCGGTGTTGGGCGTCGCCGCGCTCCACTGCGACCAGCCCGCGCCGTTGATGTGCGCGCCCATGGTCGTGTAGGTGTAGACCACGCTGTACGGGAGCGTGGTTAGTGATGTTACATGGAAAGTGCAGGGACACAGCAACGCACCGAGCATATTGTGACCACGGACGGCCGAGATAGACCTGGCCGGTCAACGAGCCGGCACCCGACGCGGTCGTGAGAGTAGCCTGGTTGATCACGTCTGGGAGAACAGTCAGCGAACCGGACAAAGACTTGGTATACCAGACGCGTACAAATGCCATCGGTAGAGCTAGCGGGTCCGTGCGCGGTGATGCTGCCGGCACCGCTCGAGGCGATCGTGCAGCTCTGGAAGTAGGCAAACGCGTGCTGTCCGAAGATGAAGTCGACGGCGCCCTGGATGTAGGAGTGGCCGTAGAACTGCGTGCCGCTCTCAGCGAGGAGCGTGTCTTGGTATCCGTAGAGTCCGCAGCCGTAGTAACCCTGGTTGCTGCCGTACGCGCTGACGGCGATTGCCTGCGCGCCCTGTCCGAAGGTGTTCTTGACGTTGATGTTGTACAGCGCGAAGTTGTCCTTGTGCACCCGGAGCGTGCCGCTCTGGTCGTCACCGCCGGCCGCCGCCGCGGAGAGGGAGTGCTGGATGTTGACAACGTTCGAGGTGTAATCGGCGGTATTCGTTGTGTATCCGTAGATCTGGGAACCCGCATTCAGCCACATTGAATACCAAACCGACATTAGGCTATACGCACAGTGGTCATCCCGGCGCGGGTGATGTACACCTGCTCGTTGTACGTGCCGGCATAGACGAAGATCGTGCGCGCAGAGCTGTCGTTCGGCAGCGCCGCGACGGCCGCAGACACCGTCGTGTACACACCGCTACCGCCAGCCGGGTTCACGACCAGGGCACCCGACGGGGGGCTCGTGCGCGACGCGCGCTTTTGGAGAGTCGGCGACGCGGCAGCGAAGAGGGTCGAGAAGACGAGCGCAGCGAGCGCGAGGAGGGAGGGGAAGGAGAGTGGTGTCCGTGCGTGCATGGTGAAGTGCGGGACTGGAAACCAGCACCATCTTCTCTCCCCAAATTTATGGGATCCACTGCGGAAGCTCAAGGCAGATTATCGGTCCTGTCCAGGCCCGGCGGATATTTTTGGGTTGCTAGATGCTGGTGGGCGAGATATCCGACGGGCATTGCGCCGCGCCAGCGATATGTTGCCGTCAACTGCATTGCCGCATGACGCGTCGTCTGTCGAGTTCTGACGCGCAGCTTGCCAAGCTACCCCCCACGCTCGAATGAACTGGAAGATTTGCACGTCGGAGGGAGCCAACGACTGTGGTGTGTTGAACGATCGCCCCTGTCAGGTGTTGTGGTCACTGGTCAAGCGATAAGTCACGCGAGATGGGTGGACTGCTGCGGGCGGCGCGGTGAGGATGATGTAATGCTGTAATTAGATTAAAAAGGTTCTGTACATACAACAACAGTGGGCGCTGCTTCCGAACCTTCTACATGAGGGGACCCCGGGAGCAGTACATCTCAATTGACTCCGAGGCCGCAAGTTTGCGTCGGAGAAGGAGCTTCTTCAGAAGACATAATGAAGGAAGTTCCCTGCTATCATCTGGGGTAGTTTCCGCCAAGCCCACTCAAAAAAGTACTCGGAGCCGAGCGCGGATTCTAGAGGATGTTAAAGCGCTTTCATGTGATTCCTTTCACTTCTCGGCCTCCGGGTCGTCAACAGCGTATACTCCGGTGCATATTATTGGAACAGACAACTGTAGTTTCCCCAGAAATTATCATCCAAGGGTGTGCCATATCGGACCACCAACTGCAACAACGGATCCTGAGGTGTCTGACCGGTTGCGCCGTGAAAAAAATGAACAGGTTGCAGACAGGGACTGTGAGCTACCCTCGCAAAATTATTCGCAGATAGCGAGACCGAGACCGCAGACGACAGATGACACGTCCCATGAAAACCTGCAGATTAACGATCCCCGAGTACTTTCCGAGGCGACACGGCCGCCGGACGTGCATTCTGTCTGATTATCTGGTCGAGTAAAGAAAAGACCAGCCGCTGTGGTGATAATGGGCCACAGATGGCCCACCGTGGCAGAGATCGTAACTCGAAGTGGGGATCGCCGTTGGATGAATGTTCGACCGTCGAATCTGCGCGGACCCTAGCGGATTTGCTTCTCTGTCCGACTTGTAATCTATGTCACCGCCGGACCAGCTATGGCCGATCAGCATCCTTCAATCCAGGGCACAAGCCCATAATCCGTCCTGTTCTTCACTTAGAAAGACGATAGATAGACTGCCTCGTCTGTACACCTGACTCTCAAACGGGTGTTGGTGCTCTTTGACCGCTTATCCCCAAAAGGCGTGCCGACCAATATACATAGATCGTCTCCACACCCACAATTTCTTTGACTCTTCTCAATTTTTTGGGGGGAGACCGGTGTAATGTGCATGAATTCGCAGCGGTGACTGCGCTTATGGAAAGCGCACACGCTCGTTACATTCGCTTGTCGGAGATGGAACCGCGCCCAGTGCAGTAAGGGCTGATTCATGAAGCTCCATATGTTGCTTTCTGTCTTGGCGGGATGCTCGATGTCCTGGGCTTACATTGAACCCGCTATCGTCGCAAGTCCCAGTCTGTCATTCACCCGCCAACTGCTGCCAACGATGAAAGTTCCACCACGGGGGTAATAAGATCGCAATCGGGTCCATCAATGATGGGACTCCCTCGTCTAGCCCGTTATTGCTGCACCTCTCACAGCACTTGCGCGTAACACTGTGCACTGTTCGCGCCATCGTTTTCAGCCTCTCAGCACAGTCGACTTGAGGGTGCATGGTTGAGTTGGATGGTGTGCCCTGCCGTAACAAGTCCCTGAAAGGTAATCTACCTCTTCTGGGAACGCATGTGAGCCGTGATGCCCTGGCGATAGAGTTTCGATGGACAATGTGACGTCATGCTCGCGTGGCATCACTAGGACACCCGATCCAGATCTTGTTGCCCTCGTGACAAGAACTGTGTCCGGTGAACACTCAACATTACCGTGGCGTGCCGTAGTCTGCCGGAGTAGGAGTGTGACACGCGTGACGAAAGTAAGGATTGTCCAGCATGACTTGGTCAACAGTTCCAACTTGAGCATGTTTTTTCTCGCTACGCGAGTTGTGGAAGCCTCCGCCTACGATGAACACTGTGACAAGGAGGACGTGATCGTCTCCCAGGCTGTATCATCATTCCCGCTTTTCGTCCAAGGGAAGCTGACTCTGGCTGACTCTAGCTGACCTTGTCCGCCCATATCGCGTGATTTACCTCCTGATCACAGCATCTGACACTCATTCGTCAACCCCACCATGGTCGGCGCCCTATCGACGTGCAATACATCACGCTCATTCACGGGTCCGAGGTGCTGTCGCATGGGAGAAACTCTGGATATAGCCCTGGGCAACCGGGACGGATAATCCCCATCGACAAATTGCAGCGAGCTTCTTCATCCTCGGCCCAAGAGCGACTTGCATCCATCACATTGGGGGCCCAATGCCCGTCGGGTATCTCGCCCACGTGCAGCCTGCCACCCAATAATATCGCGCCGGGCCTCGAGCGCGTCCGAAAATCTGCCTTCAGCACCCGTACGAGACATCATATAATCGGAGGAAGAAGGGAATTGGTTTCTCTGTACCGCTCGCTATCATGTACGCCCGGACGCCACTTTCGTTCCCATCGCTCCTCGCGCTCGCCGCGCTCGTCTTTTCGACCCTCTTCTCTGCGGCGTCGCCGACGCTCGAGAAGCGCGCGTCGCGCACGAGCCCCCCGTCGGGCGCCCTGGTCGTGAATCCGGCCGGCGGCAGCGGTGTGTACAAGACGGTCTCGGCGGCGGTTGCGGCGCTGCCGAACGACAGCTCTGCGCGCACGATTTTTATCTACGCTGGCACCTACAACGAGCAGGTGCTCATCACCCGCGCTGGGATGACCACCGTGCGTGTGACTTGATATCGCCGTGCTATCGTCACTAAATGCGGGGACATAGATCTACGGATACACTACGAACACTGCTGACTACAACTCGAACGTCGTCAACATCCAAAACTCCCTGTCCGCGGGCACGACCGGCAGCGACGATCTCAGCGCCACGCTCCGGGTGCACAAGGACAACTTCGCGCTCTACAACGTGAACGTCAAGAACACGTTCGGCAAGGGCTCTCAGGCGCTCGCCATCAGCGCGATGGGCAGCAACAACGGGTATTACGCCGTCGGGTTCTACGGGTACCAGGACACCATCCGGGCTGAGAGCGGCACGCAGTACTACGGACACAGCTTCATCCAGGGCGCCGTCGACTTTATCTTCGGGCAACACGCGTTTGCGTTCTTCCAGAGCTGCACGATCGCCTCGAACGGCGCCGGCCATATCACTGCGCATGGACCGTCGAGCTCCACCGATGGCATCTGTGCGTGTCTGGTGTCGTAACTTCAATGAGGAGCCGGGCTCACTGACTGTTCTTCCAGACGTGATCAACCAGGCGACTCTCACGACCGCGTCGGGTGCCGGCTCGTTGACAGGACAAGTCTATCTCGGCCGTCCGTGGTCTCAGTACGCTCGGTGCGTGGCTGTGTCCTTCTGCGTTCTAACTTCTCACGCTGACCCCGTGCGCAGCGTTGTGTTCACCAACACAAACATGGGCGCCCACATCAACGGCGCTGGGTGGTCAGAGTGGAGTGCGGCCACGCCTAATACCGCCCACGTCCTCTTCGCAGAGTACAAGAGCTCAGGGTCTGGAGCCTCTGGAACCCGCGCGTCGTTCTCTACGAAGCTTTCGTCCACCACGGGGTACACGATCCAGGATATCTTGGGCAGCCACGCGTGGGTCGACACGGCTTATCTGTGATTCAGATACGTGTCGTATTAACAAGAATATTAAATCTGCTGCTGTGAAACGTTGCACTGGCCGCGTGCGCAGGGCGGTTCAATCGCATCTGCTTCGTTGGTCCCTCTGTTTTCAATACCCAAGCGCCGCCCGCAAGGCTGCAATGCACGAGACGCCATTTTGCGCACGCGCGCATCGTCAATGATTCTGCCTACGGCCTACATATATGTAGCGGATGCTTGGAAGAGACTCGGCTTGAATGACGGAATGCGTAGAAGCGACCCTTGTGCAGATGAGGACACTGTCCGCGCTCAAATGGACGAGCACAGGCAGGGAAACTACCGAGGAGCATCGTTTCGATGTTGCATGCCAGGGGATCGCGTACCTAGTTATGGTGAGGACGTATGTGCACCGGCGACCCACTTTAGAGCCTTAAACAGCGAGAGACAGAGTACAGGTTCAGATATAGGCACGAGAGAGAGGCCCACATACGCAACGCACTCTGATGTGGTTAATTGGACGTTAGTTGCGCGCTACGTGGTTTACTGGATCGCGAAGAGTATTGAGCTCAGCGTCGTGGAAGCGGCAGTTGCAATGACACGGCTTGCGGCCGATTTGCCCTAATGAGTAACGCAAAGCACATCCAGGAGCCTATGTGTTCTCGAGGAGACTCGCCTCTGGGAGACAATTTCCACTCCGCGAAGTGTCAGCAAGTGATTAGTCAGGATTCGAGTCCAAGAAGCGGATCATCTTTTGGTTCAGGCTAGCAGAAACAACGGAGAGCTGCCAGTGGATCGTATCCGGCCGATTCGCAGTGACTTGTACGTCTACGAGAGACCGCACTACAGCACTCTTGCAGTAGTGGCTCGACTCACGACCCACGCACGCGACCACTGTTGTCACACTCCCGCCTGTCGACGCTCAAGAAAATGTTTGTTCAGAGACGGGGTGGCCCTTTTTGGATTACCAGAGCATCGATATTAAGGTAAAACAAGTTGTCTATGTGCTCTTTCTTTTTGCTTTCCTCGCCTTGGCACGGGGAGTCGGTGCCGGAGCGACGGGCGTCTCGAAGAGACTGGACGCCGGCTGCGACGACGAAGCTCTCGGGATGGGTGTGGGGGTCACCGGCCGGGGCGGGGGCATGTAAGCCTTGGGGGCTACCGCAGGCGCAGTCGCAGCCCCGTCGGATCCGGACACGAACTTGGCTGTCTCAAGCAGCGTGGGCAGCTTTCCGACACCACCGACAGGGGGACACCATGGGGGTAGTCCCAACAGTTTCCGGAACGGATCCACCCGCAGAAGTCTGTTCTGCAGCATGATCGAGCATGAGGTCACGAGCATGCTCAAGAGCAGTCCCTGGAGGAGGGTGAGCAGTCGTTGCTTGGGAACTGTAAGACACCGACCGAGGGGAGATTTAAAAACCAGACGAGAGAGACCATGGATAGCAGTCGCAATCCGTTCATGATATGTCCCATCCTCGGGTTCGCAACCATATCTATGTCGCGGGCGGACATCTACCGGGCGGTGAGTGTATTACGAAAATACAGGTCTGGCACATACCATGATCATGATGTTCCCAGCCCCGACCACTGCAATTGGAAGGATGTGCGTCGGATCCGCCGTGGTCAGGTCGGTCAGGAATGGCATTCCGCTGTCCGTCAGTTGGGGCACCGGCAGCTCGCACATCCTCTTGAAACCAAAGAACATGCCAATCGAGACCGGCAGTTGGAAGAGACCAGCCGACAGCCCAAACAGGCTGGCGCCCACACTCGCCCGCAGCTTCGCTCCCGCCTGCGACGCTTTCTGCATCGCGAGCGTGTCGCCGGTCGCGCGCGCCTCAGTCACCTTCGCCATGATCACGTCCAGCTGCGGCTGGATCGTGCGCATCCGGGACGAGTGTTTCTGGCTGATGGCGATGAGCGGAAAGATGACCAGCCGCCAGAAGACGGTCGTGGCGACTATGGTCCAGAACCAGTTGAACCCCGTCGCGAGATGCATCAGTTCGGTCGAGTACTGAACCAGGCCGGGGGGCGTCCAGTGGCAGAGGCCGAGCGCAGCAAAGTCGCCGTGCTGTAGTGGTGGCACCGCTGCGACGACGTCCGCTAGCTCGGGAGTCAGTTGGTCGATTGGAATGAGCCCGGGTGAGGGAGTGCTGGCAGCGGCTTCAGAAGCAACGCTCGAGTTCCATCGCGTCGACTGCCGTCGGAAGGGAGGTTGTAGCTTTGGATGAAATGAGCGCACTGCTCTCGCGGTCGGTATCGACTCACAGAACGCCTGGAAAGTATGCTCGTGGAGAGAGAACGAAATAGAGGGTTGAAGGGGACACTGAAAGGCGCATGAGTTTGGAATGATGAGAACGCCGACCAAATGTGCGAACCATGGGGCAGGACCACTACGAAGCGCGCGGGAGACGGGCAACACCGAGCTGCAATGGAATGGGCACCAAATTCTCGACTAGAAAAGGAGGCACACACGGTCTCAATGAAGCTGCCCGCATCGTCTGCCCTCGAAACAGTCCGACGGACGCAGCCAGCATCGTGTCAAAACAGGATACTCAAACCACAGACAAAGTCGTGAGGCCTGGACAATCCTTCAGGCTTCCTTAGCTTGCAAGGTCCCACGTGTCGTCGCGTTGACTGGCAATGGCAAGGAGCCTGCGCAGCCAGAAAACCTGCTGAGTGATTTGGCGAAGAGCGGGAGGAAAAGTTGTTGCCGAATCCCAAAAAGGAAACCTCCGCTGATCGTGCCCGGGCCCTTCTCCTCACTCTATGACCGCCTGCGCGCGTCCTGCGGCGGTTGCTTTCACGAGAACACTACTTCAACGAGGAGTCCACGTTTGAGAACTCCTGCTCAATTCACTTGTTATGAGCCATCCACAACATTTGTATCGGTCGGTCTGGTTCCATGTGCCATCCACAACTATAACTGACCACCAAATCAGAGGCCACCGCCAAGCCTCCTTCGAAGTCGCCGACCTCACCGAGCTCGTGGAGCTCAGAGCCCGCCAACGCACTTTCCATGGAGCCTACGGACGCACGGCCCTCAGCAATCTCGGATACTCATTGACGATCCTGCGCCTCTTCGACTCGCGCTTCCACCGCAGTAAGTCCTCGCGTGCTTTCTCGTACCCCCATGTCACCCACACGCGATCCATTACATAGTAGGACTCTTATTCGCGATCCTCGGCGCCTCGCTGTATGTGCTGGCGTTCCTGCGCGCGCGCCACTCGCGGCACGACTTTGCCGACACCGATAAGCCCGAGCACTCGGATTCGACCCGGCGCTATCCCAAGGCGCTTGTGACCAAGGGCCAGGACAGCTCGCGGGTGTTTGGACGACCGTTCGTCACGGCGGGGTGGATCGTTCTGGCTGTCGCGACGGTAGTCGCGGGTGTGGAGATCGGACTGCTGGTTCTGATTCTGAAGATATAAGGAATTCGCGAATAAACTTTTTGTGTGGATCCTACGCTGTGCGTTGTTCGCGTAATCAAGCGAATTGTGCTTGTAACTCCCACAATAAATATTGACTAAACGTTCCGAGAAACACCTGAGCATGCACCATCCAGCTCCACCTGCGATAACGCCTTGCAAGTTGCCACTCAACTCGACGGGCGCGGCAGGTACATAATCGGCCCGAATGCATCGTGTGGCAGTGACTCGGCTGCGCAGGATTCATCCCTGTGTAAGTTCCCATCTGACCCCACGACTTGTCGGGATGGACAGAGCGTGAGCATGGTTGATGTCTGCCGCCACGCGACGAAGTCTGTCCAAGTCGCTCACTCATTCAATCTCGAGACACACACGCTATTCATCCTGTCACATTCGGCGAACGTGTCGCTGGGCATCATGGAAATGCATTAGTGGAGTATCAAAGACTGGCCTGAAACCCGCCGGGGACACCGTCCTCGTCGATAATCCGGACGTTGCTCCAGGTCCAGCCCCGCGGCCTGTGGGATCGCACTCAGCACGTCAAGCAGCGGCGAGTTCCTGGCGGCGACTAGTAGGCCGAGAGTCGGATGATGCGTTGCACGTCCGGTCTATATTTCCTGCGAGCTAATCAGAGCGGGAATAGCGGCGGAGAGAGCACTTGTATGGCCGACAACAGAATGGGGCTAGAGGCCGGTCACTGACCAACAAAATTCTGTCTAAGAATACCAGTATTAAAGTCGTCGCACGAATGCCAGGATCTGACGACCGATGTCTTGGCTCCCGTCCCTCCTCCTCCTCTGCGTTCCGATCGCTCGCGTCTACGCAGTCATCGTCGACGATGCGAGTGCACTGCTCAGTTCTGGGCTCCACTTCGATTTTGTGGTCGTCGGGGGTCCGCAGTCATCTCCCGGTCGATCTAACATGCTGCTGAGATGTTTTCACTGCAGGTGGCACAGCGGGCAACGTTGTCGCCAACCGCTTGAGCGAGAACCCGAAGTGGTCGGTGCTCGTCTTGGAGGCGGGAGGATCGTGCGTGCTCGTCACTCTTGGGGATCCACAATCACCTGATTTGGTGCCTAGAAATGCGGATGTGCTTGACATCATCGTTCCATTCTACTGCACTCGCGCCACTCCAGACACTCCACAAGACTGGAACTACACCACAACGGCTCAGAGTGGGCTTGGTGGGCGGGCGATCGCCTATCCTCGAGGCCATGTCCTCGGTGGTTCGAGTTCAGTCAGCAAGTCGCTTCTATTTCATAGCGATTCTAGCGAAACTGATGTGATCCGTTTAAAGATTACATGGTGTACACCCGTGGATCTGCAGAGGATTTTGATCGATTTGCAACCGTCACTGGGGACCAAGGCTGGTCTTGGGATAAACTCGTTCCGTACATGCGAAAGGTTAGCCCGGCTTCACCCACCATTTTCATGGACTTGAAGCGCGCACAGAACGAAAATTTCACAACTCCAACGAACCGCAGCGACCGCGGACACTACGACCCCTCGGTCCATGGTTACCAGGGCATAAACACTGTGTCTCTTTCCGGCTTTCCGACTCCGATTGACGATCGCATCATCCAGACCACAGCTCAGTTGTCCGGAGAGTTTCCGTTCAACCGCGACATGAACTCTGGGTCTCCTCTTGGGATCGGTGTGTGCTTGATCTCTGGAGTATCGTTCTGTACAAACTCATTTGTGACCAGGATGGACACAGGCTACCATCAAGAATGGATCGAGGAGCAGCTCTGCAACCTCATATCTCGGGCCGCAATTCGTATCTCGTCCAAATCTACACGTGATTTTGAATGCTCAGGTGCTCTCAATTCTTTCGACGGAACCGAACGAATTCAAGGCTGCTAGTTTCGTGCAGAAGGGTGTGTATTCTCTTCTCGCGCGACGACCTTTGAGAAGCGCACTTTGGCTTATGCACGATGCAGGGAAAACAATGACCGTGACTGCGCGCAAGGAGCTCATCCTGTCTGCCGGAAGCATCGGCACTCCGAATATCCTGCTGCACTCGGGCATCGGGAACAGTTCAACTTTGCGTACGTTGGGAATCAAACCACTGCACAACCTCCCCTCTGTTGGGCAGAACCTCAGCGACCACGCGCTGCTGCCCTTCGGGTTCTCAGTCAACTCGAGTAGTACCTGGGAGGCCGCCGGGCGCAACTCGACGCTTGCTGCACAGCAGCTCGCGCAGTGGACTAACTCCCGCACGGGGCCATTGGTAGACACCGTGACAAGTCACATTGGCTGGCTCCGTGTGCCCGACGCCCTCCTGCAGGGCTTCCCCGACGCGTCGGCGGGCCCCAACACGCCGCACTACGAGTTCATCATATCCAACGGGTTCCTGGCCCCACAGCCGGAGAATCTCAACGGCATGAGCATCACCACCGCACTCGTGTCCCCGCTGTCGCGCGGCTCGGTCACGCTGAACAGCACCAACCCCCTCGCGGCACCCGTCATCAATCCGAATCTGCTCGGCGAGCAGGTCGACCGGATCGTCATGCGGGAGGCCATCCGCGCGGCGCTGCGGTTCGCGGCTGCGCCCGCGTGGAAGGGGTACATCCTCGCCCCGCTCGGCGTCAATGCGTCGAGCACGGACGCGGAAATCGACGCGTTTGTGCAGAGTTCGGCGGGGACGGTGTATCATCCGGCCGGATCGGCGAGCATGTCGCCCGTCGGTGCAGACTGGGGTGTCGTGGATCCGGATCTGAAAGTGAAGGGACTGAGGGGCCTGCGGGTCATTGATTTGTCTGTCACGGTAGGTCTTGCTCTGAGCTCGCCAACGTGATTAGTCGTTGACACGAAGCTCCGTAGCCGTATATTCCGGCCGCTCATACTCAGGCCGCTGCGTACTTGATTGGAGAAAGAGGCGCGGATCTGATCAAGGGTTCCTGGCAATAGTAGTAGTAGTATAGGTAACATCTGATATCAACTGAGTGACCTTATATTACTCACGTGATCGCGTTCAGCTATGTCTCCTTGAACGTAGAAATCATTCTTGAGAACTGGCAGGGAATTTCCGACTGCTGAAAGAATAAGAATAGAATGTGTATCAAGATCAACCCAATAAATGAATCCAAGTTCTACGCCGCCCAATCAGCTTTGCGACCAGGTAGACCATGTTACGGCTCGATCACCCTCGATTAAAAGGCATCCGTCCGCATCATATTGCTCATTTGAACACACGGATCGCTCAAATGGACTGCCACAGCATGGTAGTCGATATGTGAGGCTGCCTGAAACAACAACGCTCGAAGGGATCAGGGTTGTTTGTATTCTGTGGAAGTGAATTGCAAGCATACGATGGAATAAAACATTACAGAGTCGGGCTCAAAGACACGTGCTATCCTCTACTCCTTCACCCCCGTGGAATGAATACCAATGTTGTGATTGCTTCGGTTGGCTGGCATCATCTGGACCTGCCTGGACCGTTAGGTGCATCAAGCCGCTGTCTGCTTGGAAGTTGGTTCATATTCCAATAGAACTATGTCCTGGCCCAGGTCACAGTCCCCAGTCTCCCTCATGCGTCCAAAATTCCAATCCAGCAGCAGTACATAGGCGACAGTTGATGGCGACACTGCCACACGTCGGGTCCGCTCGGTTGCGACCGGGTTGGGCGGTCCAAGCGGTCGGCAGTACGTCATCGTCCTAAAAATGAGAAAGTCTCTCCTCTTATCCTCGAGGCGAAAGATCGGAATGAGGGGGCTCATGTCATGTCGGGACACCAGCCACGCGGGGCTCGTGAAAGTTTTGATTTACATCGCCATGTTTGCAGACGGTGGATCCAGCCTATGGCCCGGGCTAGACCTGATGGGAGTGCCTACGGGCCTATTTCCCCCGTGTCCCTGTCATGAGAGAGAGAGACGGCCTCGAAAACGAGGGTGAAGCACGCTGTACACGCTCATAAGGTTTCACAGAGGAAATCAAGGATTGCAGTGCGAACGGCTGGTCGAGGGATCACAAAGCGCGGTGACGAAACGGGTTATGGCCTGGGTGAGTCGCCGACGGAAAATCCCAACTCACAGCGAAGTCTCAATTGTGGAGCGGCGCCCTGGCAACGGCCTAAGGCCCGTTAGCTAAGGGCGTCGGGAGGAACCCGGAGGGTGCCCGCGGCCAATGGTCGCGCTCAGCAGATCAAGGGTTGGCGAGCTGCAGAGTAATCATGATGGACCGATGCCCGGACGAGGCGTGGCACGCTGTGGGGCCCGTAGCATGCTGTCGGGGCTCGGGTCCTTCCCGGGTGGGTCCCGTCGACACTGCTGCCCGCTGCATAAGCCAAGTGACAGCATCGGAGCGAGACTGGGGGTGCGAGACGACCGATGCGTCCGACTAGTGCGGGAGAGACGCGTGATGGTAACTCACTTGCACACATCTGGCCAGTATTCATGTGGCCAGCCAAAAATACCGCCCGAGTCCGAGTATTTAACCAGCCACACGAGCTGCAGTTTTTGTACTACAACGATGTTTCCGCTCCAGTCCCTCGTCCTCTTCACTCTTCTCGCCCGCGTCCGCGCCGCCATGGTCGGCGACGCGACTGACCTGCTCAGCTCCGGCGTCCACTTCGACTTTGTTGTCGTCGGCGGTGTGCATTTTTCTCGTTCTCTTACACTGTGCTGAAGCATTGTTTTCGCAGGTGGAACGGCAGGCAACGTCGTCGCCAATCGCCTGAGCGAGAACCCCAAGTGGTCTGTCCTCCTCCTCGAGGCGGGGGGATCGTGCGTGCTCTCCACTCTCAGCGGATCCACAACGCCCTGATTTGATGCATACTGTAGTAATGCAGATGTGCTTGAGATCACGGTTCCGTTCTACTGCACGCGGGCCAGTGCTCTAGACACCCCGCAGGTCTGGAACTACACCACAATGCCCCAGACGGGACTCGGCGGCCGCACGATTGCGTATCCTCGTGGGCATGGGCTCGGTGGCTCGAGCGCAGTCAGCAAGTCGCTTCTCGTTCTCAGCGATTCCGTTGATACTGACATGATGCGATAACAGATTACATGGCCTACACCCGTGGATCCCGAGAAGACTTTGATCGCTTCGCGACTGTCACCGGGGACAAGGGCTGGTCCTGGGACAACCTCGTTCCATACATGCGGAAGGTCAGCGGAGCTGCAGTTTGTGCGACGGTTTCCATCTGACACATTGCCCCAGAACGAGGATTTCACGCGCCCGACGAACCAGAGCAGCAGTGGCCACTACGATCCCTCGGTTCACGGCTTCAAGGGCATCAACTCCGTGTCCCTCGCGGGTTATCCGTCTCCGCTCGACGCGCGGGTCATCGAGACCACGACGCAGCTGTCAGAAGAATTTCCGTTCAACCGTGACATGAACTCCGGCTCCCCTCTCGGCATGGGTGGGTGCTTGATTGCGTTGCGATTGATCTGCGGGACCTGATTCGAAAACAGGATGGACGCAGGCTACGATCAACAATGGATCCAGGAGCAGCTCGGCAACGTCGTACCTGGCGTCTGAATTCATGTCTCGACCGAATCTGCACGTGGTCATCGGGGCCCAGGTGCTCTCGATCAACTCGACCCGAGCGAACGAATTCAAGTCTGCCCAGTTCGTGCAGAACGGTGTGTGCTCTTGTCCCACGTGACCCTGGTTGGAAACGGCATTCTCACTGGTTTTCGATTCAGGAAAAATCATGTCCGTGACCGCGCGCAAGGAGCTCATTCTGTCCGCCGGAAGCATCGGAACGCCGCACATCCTCATGCACTCGGGCATCGGGAACAGTTCCGCCTTGAAAAGCTTGGGCATCAAGCCGTTGCATCATCTGCCATCGGTCGGACAGAACATGACCGACCACGTGGTTCTGCCCGTCGAGTTCGTCGTGAATTCGACGGCGACATGGGAGACCGCGCAACGCAATGCGACGCTGGCTGCAGAGCAGTTCGCTCAGTGGAACGCCTCCCATACGGGACCTTTGATGGACGGCGTGTCGAGCCAAATCGGGTGGTTCCGCGTCCCCAATGCCTCGCTGACGGGATTCCCCGACGCGTCTGCGGGGCCGAACACGCCGCACTACGAGTTCCTCATCTCCAACGGCTTTTTGGGTCCGCAACCGGGCAACACCAACGGAATGAGCATCGCGACGGCGGTCGTGTCTCCGCACTCGCGGGGCTCCGTGACGCTGAACAGCAGCGACCCGCACGCGGCGCCGCTCATCAACCCGAATCTCCTCGGCGAGCAGGTCGACCGCATCGTCGCCCGGGAGGCGGTCCGCGCCGCGCTGCGGTTCGTCGCCGCCCCCGCGTGGAAGGGGTACATCATCACTCCGCTGGGCGTCAACGCGTCGAGCACGGATGCGGAGATCGACACGTACGCGCGCAACAGCGCGGCGACGGTGTTCCATCCCTCCGGCACAGCGAGCATGTCGCCCGTCGGCGCGGACTGGGGCGTCGTGGATCCGGATCTGAAGGTCAAGGGCCTCAAGGGACTGCGCGTCATTGATCTGTCTGTCACAGTGAGTCCTTATATGACGCCGATGCGGCTCAGCATTGACACGAAACATTGTAGCCGTACATCCCGGCCGCCCATACTCAGGCAGCTGCGTACTTCATCGGGGAGCGGGGCGCAGATCTGATCAAGGGTTCGTGGTAGAGAGTAGACCCTCTAAATTAAATAATGCCTAACTTAGACGTGTACTACACCCACGTGACTGTGTTTATGCCGCCCATCAATCTAATGCGGTTAATCGGTGCTTCTTATCCGACCGTACCGTTCATCCGTGAGCATTCCGGAGCGCTCGAGTATAAAGAGCACTGCGGAAACTACACTGGTCATCTCATACCCTCTCCCGCAACATGACAAGCCCAGACCAGACACGCGTGAAGACCGTCCTCATCACTGGGTACGCTGCCCTCCTGCACGCACCTCGCGATGGTCCAATGACAAGCAGTCAAGATGCACACCAGGTGGAATAGGATTCGAGATGGCGAAGGAGTACCTTGTGAAAGGTGCGCACATCTGAGCGACTCTGTCCCTCCATGTCGACGCTCATGCCCACTAGGCTTGCGGGTCTTCGCGACCGCGCGCCGCGCAGAGGTGCTTGCGCAAATCGCGGCTGCTGCTCCGGGACTGGAGACCGTCGAACTCGAAGTGACGGACGCGGAGTCCGTTCGGAAGTCCAGGGAGCACGTTGCATCGGCCACTGGAGGCGTACTGGACATACTGGTCAACAACGCGTCAGTCCCTACCGCCTGCGCCGTCCCAGAGCGCTGACCCATTCCCAGCGGCCTGAGCGAGTCCCATCTCTCTCCCTAAAGTCCTCACCGTATGCTCATCCGGGGCCCCAGGCTGCTCCGTCCCAGCGACGGACCTCGAGATCGACCAAGTCAAGTCCGTCTTCGAGGTCAACTTGTTCGGTGTCATCCGCATGGTCAACGAGTTTCTGCCTCTACTCATGGCCAGTGGGGACGGCCGGATAGTCAACATCGGCAGCATTGCGGGTGTCATGCCGTATCCGTTCGGTAGCGCCTACAACGCGTCCAAAGCCGCGCTCCATGCGTACGGGAACACACTGAGGATCGAGCTGGCTCCATTCAAGTGCGTCGTCTCTCGTTTGTCGCTCCTCCCCCCTTTGCATACTGACCCAGAGCGTCAAGTGTGCAGGTCTCCACGGTCTGCATCGTCGTCTAGAACACACTCCTACCCGATCCTGACTATTCCAGATCGTGACTGGCGGTGTGCAGAGCCACATCTCAGACAAACCGCCTCCGACGAAACCGACGTCGCTCTACGCACCCATCGCGGAACACCTGCTCAAGTTCCGTGCGGGACGGTCCCAGAGTGCGTCCATCACTCGTCAGCTAGAAATCTCCCTGGCTCACCCTCGATCCTGCAGAGGGAGCTATGCCTGCAGACGTCTATGCTCGATCGATCGTCTCGCAGACTCTGCACTCACACCTCAAAGCGTGGATCTGGAAAGGCAGCTTCACGGGTCTCTGCTGGTTCATCGATACGTTCCTGTGGCGGACGGCGTTTGTGCGTGTCGTCCATCTGACTTGGAATGCCGCAGATTTTGACTGCTCACTCCGTCAGGATGTCCCGTTCTCGAGAGAATTTGGGTTGGTCAAGCTCGGTAAGATATTTAGGAGTGGGTTAGGGAAGAAACAGTCGTAGATAGTTCACATCCCCTTTTCTTTTGCACGGATATATATCTCCACGGATAACTTGTAAGTAGTCTGCATACTACAAAACTGTCGCATGTTTTTGCATCGCGATCATGTGATCGGGAGTCAGCTCTCCGAGTACCGGGCTTTACGTGTCCAGAAGAGGGCAACTCAATTCTAAGCTCAGGTCGTTCATCCGCTCATCCGTTCACATCGTTCATCAGCTTTACGAGTGACGATCAAGAGGCCAGTATATGGTTAATATTTCGAACAGACTGAACCCCCAGTGATTATGAACTGAGTGAGCGCACATTGCAGAATCAAGCCAGCAATCATCATACAAGCTGCTTCTTCACAGGGTGCCACACTTCCCCAGATGTTCTTGACCGCCAAACCTTGAACTTGAAAGCTGCGGAGGAAGAAATCAATGTCCATCAGATATTTATAAGCTGATGACCGGTTGCACGGAATCCGGATGAGCGGATGAACGACTTGAGAATTGAGCAGCCCTCTATAAAGCAGTCTCCCAGCGGCATCTCGTCTCAACCAGTCTTTCCAACAAAAGAGATGGCATTGGAAAACCCGCGCACTAAAGCCGTCCTCATTACCGGGTGAGCTTATATAAGCCGTCAACGCCCTCGCACTCAACTTGACACACCACCGCCCATCCAGTTGTACACCAGGAGGGATAGGCTTTGAGTTGGCAAAGGAGTACCATGCGAAAGGTGCACCTAAACACTGTCTCCGTCGAACGCAGGGCTCATTGCGCGTGTGCTGCCTGCAGGCTTGAAAGTCTTCGCTACCGCACGACGGGCAGCTGTCTTGACCGAAGTCGCGGCGCTCGTTCCGGGGCTCGAGATCCTGGACCTCGACGTGACCGATGCCGAATCTGTACGGAAGTGCCGGGACTACATCGCGGAGGCGAACGGGGGCGTACTGGACATCCTGGTCAACAACGCCGGCCGAGGTGCGCCCGCTGCCTCCAAGCTCACACCTGCGGGCGCGTCTGACGCCCGTGACCCCCGCGCGCAGGGTGCTCGATCCCGGCGACCGACCTGGACATCGACCTCGTCAAGTCCGTCTTCGACGTGAACCTGTTCTCCGTCATGCGCATGGTCATCGAGTTCACGCCGCTGCTCATCGCCAGCGGAGACGGCCGCATCGTGAACATCGGGAGCGTCGCCGGCGTGATGCCGTATGCGTTCGGGAGCGCATACAATGCGTCGAAAGCCGCCCTGCATGCGTATGGGAACACGCTGCGCATTGAGCTGGCGCCATTCAAGTGAGTCGCGGACGAAGCGCCTGACTGCGAGCCTGAAATCACCATGAACCCAGTGTGCAGGTCATGACGGTCAGAGGTTTCCCGCATGACGACAGCTGCCGACGACTCATCCTTACAAGATCACCACGGGCGGCGTGAAGAGCCATATCGCGGACAACAGCGCACCGCCGATCAAACCGACCTCGCTGTATGCGCCGATCGCGGATCTCTTTCGTGAGGTACGCTCTCGGAGATCTCAAGGTACTTTCGACTTTGCGTCTGCTTTTCCCCTTTTCACTGACCGTTCGACCTCAGCGGGAGCCATGGCCACGGACAAATACGCGCAATCTGTGGTCGCGCAGACGCTCAAACGACGCGTCAAAGCCTGGTTCTGGCAGGGCAGTTTCTCGTGGATCTGCTGGTTCGCGGATACCTTTCTCTGGCGTACGGTCTTCGTGCGTGTATAACATCTGCATTTGGCTGATACAGGGCTGATTTCGCATGGGCAGGACCGACCAATGTCCAATCAGTTTGGGCTTACGACGCTGGCGAAGATCGTACGAAACGATAAGGCAAAGAGACGGGATTGAGATCAGTTGGGTACTGGAGATGCTCTGTGTGCGAATGACAAGGAAACGCCCATCGACCCGACCAACGCTGTCTGCATCACGACCGTACCACCGAGCCCTTGAAACAGTCCATACGTGAGCTTGTGCATCCTCCGTCTGAACGCGTGAACGTCCCCGGAGAACGCCCTGTTCCCTGCTCCATCCGAGTCCAAGTCTGAATCGTCTTCGTCCGACGAGGATGCCAGCTCCGAATCCGAGTCCGAATCGGGCTCCCGGTGGAGCAGGAGACAGACTCGCTCCCAGCCTTCGCCCGCCTTATACTCGACCATGAGCGTCCGGGCCTGGGCCTGGTCGAAGTCGAACCGCTTCTGGGCGAGCTCGGTGCTCGGGAAGTCGCCGAAGAAAGTCATCCAGACTACTTTGAAGAACGGGCGCAGTCGATCGAGGAAGCGCGGGTCGAGGCATGAGGATATCACAAAGGGTTTGTTCCGCCCGAGTTTGGTTATAAGCGTGGGACGCTTCGCGTTCGAGAGTTTACTTGGCGTCGGGGGCGGGCTCGCAGCAGTCTGCGCGAGCTCTTGCGAGAGCATCTGCCCGCGGGACATCGCGATCTGCGCAACAGCAATCAGTTCGTAGGTGTGACCAGGGTAATCGGCCCTCAGGTTCCACACCTCGTACGATCCCAGCAGAGCATGCCATTCGTCTGCCTCCATCTTTATGCCGTTGGCAAAGAAACGGGAATTGAGAGCGGCTGTCCAGATTTCCACGTCGAGCGAGTGGCTGAGGTTATGTTCGCTTCTCAATTCTGCATCAAGGCTGTCCGAGTCCGCTCAAAAAGGGCCTACTCACTCGACGGAAGCAACGCGCCCGAGAGACAGTACCTTCATTTGCTTTTGCTCTATGGCGGTAGATCCCTGTGTGTCCAGCCAGCTCGAGGCATCTGTTTGAACCCACAGCGACATCCTGGCGATGTGCTGTGGGAGGTGTCGCGTGGGTATCGCAGGGAGGGGGAGAGGGAAGTTGGGGGTGGATTTCGTGGCGCATTGAGAAGCAGGGGCTATAAGAGGGTTCTGAGGGTAAGATTCGACAGGTAGGCAAGTAAGAAGCTCGGGTGTGCCTTACGTCGAGATATACTTGGACTACGACACCCGTGCAGTTAGGAAATCGGACCCTCGCAAAAAGCACACGGCCCGATACTGCTACAGTCTTGAATGAGCCCCTGTTCCCGATGGGCACAACCACGTGCCACTGAAGGTGAGTGACGTCACGAGCCCAATCACGCTGGGTGAGTGCTTGAATGCTCTTCCCACCATCAGGGATCTCGCAAGATCCTCCCCTCGACTATTCCCCGGACCAGTAACGAAAAATGATGGGATCTTCTCCAAGCTCCAGTGCCCGCATCGATCCCCGGCGCGGCAGCAACATCACAGGTGGCACCAAGTCGGATCGTAGTGGTGGTGGCACCGAATCTCTTCGTGAGGAAACGGAGACACAGACCTCTGCAAGTACAAGTGCTCGGTCTCACAGCCACGGATCTACCTCCACCTCTCGACCCCGGGCCTCTCCTGCCGAACTATTGCGCAGCCACTTGACGCGGCGGGCGCCCCCGATGTCGACGTGGTCCTCGGCGCCTGTGGAGAACAGCTCGTGGGCATCGAACAACTTCCTTTTGGGCGCGGGGATGGTGGTGCTGCAGCCGTCGACGATGAAAGTCGCGATTGTGTACGACTCGGGAAGGAAGACCTGGTTTCTGCCTCGTGGCCGGTGAGTAAGCATCCCCAAGGAAATTATTTTCATCGAACAAGGCCGACAGGAAGGATATTGGAGAATCCTTGGAGGCGACTGCTCTACGTGAGGCTTACGAAGAGGTTCGTGAGTTCTGTGGCGTAGCTTTATTGCAAGCAATGACGCGCCTGCCTTGTAGTCTGGATATCAAGTCGAGCCTCTTCCTTTATTCACGTTTTCACGCCAGCCAGCGCCTCCGAGTAAACCAGATGCTGGAGATATTCCGAACTGCGAGCCGATCTACGTTTTGACGTCGTATTTTCGCGAGCGCAGGCATCGGGGCGGATATGTCTCACCTGCAGGGGAGTATCTGACATTCTGGTGCGTATAACAGTATGCGAAGAAATCAAAGCTGATAGGACACTCTCAGGTATGCGGGCCAGATTGGACCGGATGCGGTTTGTCGCCGGCACGTCTCTGCGAACCCATGGACTCACCCTTTTCCAGGTTCATCATGAAAACACGGGCATGCCAGATGAGGCAAATTTCCAAACGTTCTTGGTGGATCAGAATGAGGCGCGCGTCAGATTGGTCTCGAGCGAAAGCAAGATTGTGGAATACGCTTTTGCGCTGTATAAGGTCGTAAGTCAGATCCTAGTGACTGTGTTTTCGCATCCAAAACCTGTTCGTAGACGACAGAAGAATTGCAAAGACAGATGGAAACAGAGATGGAAAAACCCGAAGACTCAAAGCTTGAGTTTTAGTTGTGGCCATCTTTGATAAATAGTCGCTCTGTTTCCGTGCTTTCTAATTGCCGTGTCAATCAAGTCATAAATCGAGTTCTAAATCCAACAATGCTCCGACACTTGAGATTGTTGCATCAGCCTGCGACTTCTTCACGTGGATTGACACGTGACTCTGCCAAGCTTAACCCGGTACCGTCCCGGGACCCGGCACCAGATTTAGCCAAAACTGCTCCGGGCGTTCTCGAACGCTAGATTGACATTCGAATGACAGGAGCATTGGGTGCTCTTCCTTCTGACCACCACAAGGTCCCCTCCGTATCTCATCTCCGGCCTTCGTTCCTTCCTCTGGCAACCATGGTCCGCTTCCCCGTCGCTTTCACGATCCTCTCGCCTGTCCTCGCTCTGCTAGCTAGCGCCACACCTCTCGGGGTGCCGATCGCCCCTCTGGACGTCCTGCCTGCTATCCGGGACTCGGTCGCTCTGTCCCAGCGCCAGAATGTCGCTGGGGATCCGCAGTTCCCAGCTTCCCCGTCCTCCTGCGGTGTGTGCGCGCCCGTACGTCGTTCCAACTTGCGCCAAAACAAGTCCCCTGTCTGAATACTCTGTAGAAATACGACCAGATGAGAGTATGCATCAATCTGGCCCCCGTGCTGTCGAATTTCTCGACGATCATCTCGAGCCCCGGGAAGTTCGTGGAGGTGTTGACCTGCGCGTGTGCAGATCCGTTCGTGGAAACTTTCCGTGCGCCCTTTTTCTTGCTCCTAGTTTATTTGAATGTGTACAGACGTTATCCAGCCGATTGCGTGGATTGGTATGTTTGCCCTCGTTTCATGTCCGGGGCGGCAATGTGCTGAATTTCTCCAGCCTCAAACAGACGGGACAGCTTTCTGCGCTCAACATGTCAGATCCCGATGGCGTCGTCGTCGGGCTCGAGAAAGCATGCCAGTTCGAAGCGGCTCTGGGGATCAACTCGACAAAATCGAGCGCCGTCTCGACGGTGTCGGCCGTAGTCGGCAGCACCGCTCGAATTTCTTTGGGCACTGCGGTGGCTGTCGGTCTTCTTTTACTTGGGTTCTTCTGAAAATGTGCCGCGGTCTCTATTATCGGGCGAAAAGGATACCCTCGACTTTGATGATCTTTATTCACGAGCTTTCATGTGATATCTCTGACGACATATTGACGAAACATAATGTGTGTGCGCGCCTCGGCATGGATGTGTCGGTCTGAGCTCGACAGCTACTCTAACCGAAGTTCTGTGACCCAACTTTTGGCTCTCGATTTGGTCAGGAACTCCCCCGAACACCAGAATATTTGTGGACGCGCATGAATTACAGTCGTGTGCACTGCTCGGCTGATCAATCAGGGGTGTCATACGGATCCCAAGTGGCATCACTTCGTTCAAATGATCAACTGCAACTATTTGAAGGGGGGCCTACCATGCAGTTAACAGTGGCACCCTCGGTCTTCAGACTCAATTGAATCCACAGGGTGGTCGGAATGATGAGGTTCTTCGTCAGACAATTCCAGAAGCCGAGCACAGCGGTGCAGCTAGATGGCCGCTTAGAACTAAGAACACGTACGGACCAGAAACCTTGTGATACAATTTACAGGGTGGTCATGGCGAGATACCCTCATAGCGCGAACATACAAATCAGGGAAAGTAAGAGCTATTCTCACGTTGACTAGCTGCCCGCACGCCGTGCTGATCCGGTTCGGGACGTGGCGAAGCAGAACCATCTGACAGGCTCGGCATGCAACGACAAGCCTCAGGGTTACTAGAGGGTATTCAGGGACTGACATCTAGAAAGTTCGAGAGTTGGAAACGTGTCCCCATAGACAGGTTACCTCGGGTTTGAGAGATGGCAGATACAAGTTCTGAACATCACGGATCCTATAAGTACAGTGTGTTGGTATCTCCATCCAAACTCGCTGGGAAAACCGATTCCAGTAATCCCACTTGCATGGATGAGGGACAGAGACATGGTAATTTCAGTATATTCTCGCGAAGATGATGCATCACGAAGAAGTAGGATGTTTGTCGGCAAGAAGCCTTGCGATCAACGAAAGGCCTATGATGAAGGATGATATAATTAAACGACAAAATCCACGGCCGAGTTACGCCCCGATAGGATGGTTTGGGGAATGCTAACATAGAACTATGAGTGACAGCTCACCTTGACATGAGCTCAGAATCAGCCCATGATATATGACAAAAACTAGGTGCTATCATGACTCTAGAGAAATAACAATCGGAGGAAGGAAGCGCGGGGAGTGTCCACAGTGAATACTCCGCATGGTTGACATCACGTGCAAATTTCTCACGGTTTGATGCGGCCAGAAGTTGGGGAAGTCCGGACAGGAACCGAGTACATGATGGTGAGAGTCGCTTGACTGCATGCACTCGATGCCTTCCCTTAATAAAAATGCGCAAACTAGACATCAACACCTGGGCTGCGGAGCTTCCTGGCAAGTGATCACTCTTCCTTGTACAGCAGGCGCTCAATTTTCCGAGGCTCGCCGCCCGGACATACTTCCTGAAGGCGATATCGTGGAACATCACTGCGAGGTTTGCAATTTGAAATTTGAAATTTGAAATTTGAAACGGAGTCAGGGGAGTTGAGCGTTACCGCGTTCCGTCGTTAGGCATTTGTTAGCCCCATGCGCCGCAGGAAAAGACCAATCCCACCACGATTCCAACTGATCCATCGTACTTTTACTCTACATTTCCAGATCTCTGTAGCCTACAGCTCTATCCCATGATCCCGGACTTCGATTGTGGTATCTCGTACTTACTTATGTCTGCCCTAGCCCCTGGCAGCAGCTATCCTCCCCGCCGCGTTACATAGCGGACACAAACTAATGAATATTTCAGCCATGGGCCAAGTAATCGACGACTTTCAATATAATCAGCACGAGGTCCTCGAACAACAACGCGGGACTCACAATTCCAAGCCGCCGAATCTCCATCAAAACAGCAACAGCCGACGCATGTCCCCGATGTGCATACACCAAACAGTCGTAGATCTGCGGCTCAACAGGGATGCGCTCGAAATCAGCAGCTGGATCCGCCTGATCGAGCTCCGGGATATTCTTCCCCGCGGCCTGCGCGTCCAGCTGTATTCTGCACTCGCTCATTTTCTTCACAGTTTCCTCGTGCGACAGCTTGAAAACCGTGTCGCGCGGCGCGAGGAGCAGATTGAGCTTGTCCGACCCCGAGCAGATGCGGTGGCACGTCGCCCAGCTGCGGATGCGCGGCGAAAGACGCTCGACGGTGCCCTTGGCGAGGCAGTTCGCGAGCGTCGCGTAGGCTTCGGGGCTGAAACACGCTGTCTCCTTCAGCTCAGGCATGAGTTTTGCGACAAATCGCAGCAGCGCCACCTCGAATGCGTCTCTGAGAGGCATTTCGGTGTATTTGATGGTCGCCAGGCGACGCGTGATGGCTCCGGGAAGTGGCGCGAAGGAAGGATGCGCCCACGGACGGATGTAGGGACTGCGCACTGGATCAGGGAAAGAATGCGCGATGAAGGGCTGCTGCTGGTGGGGATAGGCCGTGTGTGACACTGGGGCTGGCAACAGCGCCAAAGGTGGCCCTTCGGTATATGGTTGTCTAGTCAACAGAATTAACAGCACGAAACGCCGGACATCAAATCACGACTCGAACCTGAGAGGCTCACGAAAAACAAATGATGTGGGTTGCGAGTCAGAGCTGGGCCCGGAGATGTTCGAGAACATGAACGAAGCGTGTTGCCCTTGCGTGTTGTATGGCAGTCGCGAAGACGATGCTTGGAATTGGGGCTGATCGGAGGAGGACAAGGCGCGTGTGCGCTTCTTCGGCGTGTATCGACAATCACTGATGTCATTCTCGCGGCAATATTGACAAACAGGCGCCGCGCGATCACACTCGAAAGAAAGAAATGAAGGAACCGAGATGCTGAGATGGCATACAGAAGCACAAGGAGAATTAGACAGACCTTGAGATTCGATTCGCGACATCTGTGTGCGCCGTTAGAAACCGGCTTCTTTTTTTCTCATGGGAAACAAAATCACTGACCGATCGCAACGCGGGACACCTCGATGCGCTGCGCCTAGCCGATAAGTGAGAAGAACGTCATTCGCTGTAACACAACGCACCGGGGGTCGGCAACGGCGTGTACGTGCACTCCGTGACAGGTGTCCACCTGCATTGATTGCACGTGGGCAGTATCCGATCGCACTGAAATCACAGCGTCAGAAAAAAAACAGAAAAATAGAAAGTTGCGACCCCGCTGCGAGGGTCCCACGCACCTTGAGATTTCGCAAGCGGCACGAATCGCAGCGCGCCTTGCCTCTGCGCGACGTCCACGCCGAGTCCGCATGGGCCGACGCCGATCCTGACGGCGACGCGCCGGGGGGATGCGCGGACCGGCTGCGTCCATCGTCCGATGCGTCCCCCGCCGACGCGGAGTCAGCGGGGGCAGGGGATCCGCGCCCCTCCGACGCGGGCGGCTCCACGTCCATGTCCTCGCGCGACGGGGGCGCGGGATGCGGCGCGGATTGGCTCTGGCTGGGCGGGGACGGACCGGTGTCCGAGTCGGAGTCCACGGCTATGGGATCGGAGTCGCGGTCTCCCATCGGGGGCGGAGGGTGACGATGAGTGGCTGGGTAAAATTGGCGAAAGAGGCTGGGGATGCGCGGCGCGTCAATACGAGCTCGATATCTGGGTGGCAAACGTGCACGCACGTATCTTTTCGCAGAGCGAGCTATCCTGAGGTGTCGAAATCCCAAAGAGGCCTGGCGCACAAGATGGGGGTCGGCTGGAGAACGTCGCTGCAGGTGCGGAAAGCCGGAGAAGCGAGGCGCGGGCGGCGAGACGCGGGCGGCGCGAGTAAAGATCCAGGCGGTCTCCGGCAGGCACCCACGATGAGCGTCGTGGCCAACTTTGCACACTTGTCACACGCGTGACTCGTTTGACGGCAGGAGTCAAATCACTACCAACACCGATCGGATGGGGAATGTGCACGCCGCGGACACTGTATACGCGCCTACAGACTTAAAAAAGCTACGTCGTTGCTACTCTGTATGCTCCCGAGATGCACGTTGCGCTTGAACCGAGCAAAAGTCGGCTCATGCGGGAGATATCCGCCGCACAGCCGTGCGCGGCAGAGAACCCCGATATGGTAACCCTAGTTCGTGACAGCACCATCCCATCACGGAAGGAAGAACCGAAGGTTGATGGCCCCTCAATGCAGCTCAGGTGGGTGTTGAGCTAGCAACATGCTTTAAGATTGGACACGGGCCTCGACTCCGGATCTGGAATCTGATCTCCCTGTGAGATCGATGGGGAGTCTACTCTACTCTGTGATGTCGTCGCTTTCCGCCGCGCTTCGAGCTTGAAGCTTCGAATACGTAAGCTTGACGAGATCACGTGCCGGACGTCGGAACCAAAAGAAAAAGAACGCACAGACAATCATCACCCCGGATTGGAACACAAGATCTCACCTGACCCCAGCACCAGGAGAGATCCATACTAATAGCACGAAAGCCTGCTCGGAAAGCCGGCACGTGACCTCGGCTGACATCGGGCCCCAAAAGGCAACGCATGTCAAATCTCCGTAAGCACGCCCAATCGCAGGTGCATAAACCAGCACGCACACGACGATACACATCCCCCTCCCCACCCCCCTCTCCCCACCCACACACCGACCCAGCGAACGCATGGCCCTGGAAATGATCCCCACGGAGGTGCTGGAGCGCATCGCCTTCGCCGCATCGGCGCACCCGCTCCCGGGCCCGCCGACCGCGCTCGCGCGGCTGCAGCGCACGAGCCGCACCCTGCACACGCGGCTGTGCCCCGCACACAATGCGTACCTGCACGCCCGCGTGTTCGCGGCGAAATTCGACCCCCCGCGCGCGCTCCTGCGGGACGACGCCGCGGCGGGGGCGGGCCGCCACGTGGTGCTTGCGCGCGAGCTCGAGCGGCGGTTCGTGCTGCTCGGGCGGCTGCGGCGGTCTGCGGCGGCCCGTGAGCGCAACGACGGAGGAGACGCTGGCGAGGAGGAGGAGGAAGAGGAGGAGGAGAAGGGGTGGGTACGGGAGGCGCTGGTGCAGTGCTACCTGATGATGCTGGAGAACGAGGGGAAGAACGAGGTGCAGCTGGACGGGTACGGCGGGATGGGTGCGTGGGTGCGGCGGTACCTGTTTGACCCCGATCACGGACTTTTCTCTGCGTCGAGTCCGCTCTCGGTCATGGCGACGCAGTGGCCAGTGCAGACGGTGTACACCGCCTGTGCGATGTGGCTATTCTGGTTCCTCCTCAGGCCGGGTGCGTTCATCCTTGCCACCTCCCGAGAGTGGAATCTCATGCCGTACTACTGCTACAGACGAGTTACCCGAGGACGACGCGCTCTCGTGGAACATCCTGAACACACTCAAAATCTTCGCTCTCGCCGCCCACAAGGTGACCTCCTCCTCCCCTCCGCATACGTATCGGTGGGACTGACACCCAACGACCACCACAGTACCCCATCGCCCACGTCTCCTGGGCGCACTTCCACCCCCCGCAGGACGAGCCGCACACAGCCGCCACGGCGACGTACTACTCGGACGTGCACCGTCTGCGCATCCCGCCCGTCGGGGCGCCCACGATCCTGTCCTTCCTCTCGATCGTGAACCTCAAGACCAAGTTCGTCGACTTCTCGGCCCCGCCGTACGCGAGCACCGCGGAGACGGCGGCGGGGCCTGCAGGGCCGCGGTGGGCGTCGGAGCTTGCGCGGTGCCTGAGCATCAGCCGGCCGCAGCTGGACACGCAGCTCCAGGCGGCGTTTCGGCCGGGCAGGTGCGTTGGTGTCCCCCAAACCCGCATGTCCACCACGCCTGCTGACGATCGACTGCGCAGCATCGACGGGACCTGGGAAGGCATCTTCACCGTGCGTCCCGCGTCGCGGTTGCTGCTTTGTTGGCGTGCCTCACTAACGCGTGCGGCAGTACACGGAATTCGCGACGTACGCCGCGATGCTGCAGGGCGCGCCGCCGCCGCTGTTGCAGAAGTGCGTGATCGTGCGGCACCGGCAGACGTGGATGCTGCGGGAGTACCACTTTGTCGGCAACGAGGGGGACGACAAGTACAGCGACGCGCCGCTGTCCGCGGGCGACCCGCGCTCGGCGTACGTACCGATCTCGATGCGCATGCAGACGGACGACGGGCTCGAGTTCGTTGAGCGCGCCCGGGAGAAGCCGATCCGGTACCGGAGAGCGAGCAAGGACACGGCTGCGCGTGGGGTGCAGGATATCATCATCGCTGGCGAGGTGCGAGATCGTCCTCCTTGTATACGATTCATCTTACCGATTACTGTGTCTGCATAGGGTCATTCAGCTTGGGGTTCGTTGTCGCTCGTTCTATCCTTTCTCAATGCACGAGGCTGACTGGCTGCAGGTCAATTCGGGCTCGTCGGCCGCGGTGGGTCCACTTTTCGTGCCTAAACAAGGACACTCTGACGCCCACACAGTGCGCCCGTGCGACGGCTTCGTCGCGCTGTGCAAGGACTACATGGACCAGGACCGCGGGAAGTGGGTGTACTCGGGGTTCCTCGTGGGCAACGCGATCAGCCACTTTGCGGGCCGGTGGCGGGACACGATCAGCGATCCCGATGAGCCGGGGTACGAGGGCTGTTTCCTGATGGCGCGGCGGCAGTGATGTACTACTGATTTAGATGATCTATGTACTGATATGCAATGGATGTATACACAATGTGTTACGTTATACAACAGTCACAGTCAGAAGAACCGTCACGCCATCGGTGGCGATGCCTGGGTGGTTAAATATCACAGGTCAAGCGATCGCAGCGCCGACTCACCGTGGTTCACTCTGCGCAGCGGGGATGAGCACACGGTGAGAGGCAAGGCAGAATGGACGACGACGGACCCTGTAGACCCCGCCGGCAGCAGCCCGCTGATGTTGCGCGCGACGGTCGAGTAGGTGACGCCGTCGTGGGTGTTCAGCCCGACGGCACTGCTCACCAGCACGTCCCTCCCTGCGCGATCCGTGAGCTGTGCTGACACGCGCATGGAGCTGGGCACCCACCGAGATTGTAGCCGTCTGGGATGATCGTGTGTCCCTCGATGACGTCCTAGCGATTGAATGATGAGCCTGGAAGCAGCAGCTGCTGCCAGTGGGACTACTCACCTCTTCCTGTGACACGCTGCGATGGATCAGTTGCATAGTCAGCAGCGGCAGGGAGAGAGGGACTCACGCGAGGAACAGCGCGCCGCTCGCTGCTGCCGTGCCGTTCTGCCGGAACATTCTGCGGCGATGTTACTCTATGGATCGGGGACGATCCTCTGCTCTTGTCGACTGACCTGAAATGGTTCCCTCCCACAAGGCTCTCCAGACACGTCCCGATATCGTCGTTGCCGAAATCGTACCGCAGCTCCATCTGCCGATCCCGTCATTGTGAGGAAGAGGAGGGGGAGCACAGGCTCACCGTCTGATTGACCCACCCGTTCCCGTCCCCCAGGTTAGCCGACTGCGGTGCGCCTGCAAAGCGTACGGAGATTCAGCATCCACGCTGCGGTACGATGAATGCGCGTAGATACCCAGATGGAAGCCCAGACACTCGAACGAGCTGCCAGCCTCGGTCAGCCTGAGCCTACTTCCGTGGGTGCGCGAACACGCACAATCCGATGGCCTGCGCATACCGCAGGAAGCCCGCGTCCGTCAGCACCTGCGGCGTGCTCAGCCCCGACACGATGACCTGCGGGGGATCATATGTCAGCTGTTGGTTGGAAGAATCTCTCCGAAGGCGTTGCGATCACATTGAGCGGCTCCCCGCCTCCCGTCCCGGCTGCGAGCGAGAGAGAAGAAATGTCAGAGGGCAATAGGCGTGGATCGGTGGGACGCTCCGACCGTTGTCGAGCATCGAGCCCCCGTTGAGACCCGGATCGAAGAACGCAACACCCAGTGATTGCGCCGCGGGGTCCGAGGACGAGGTGGCATGCAAGCCGAGCATCGGCAGCAGCGCGTCGAGGAGTGCGTAGTAGTAGTTCAGCTTCATGGAAGTGAGGGGTGGGACTGACACAGACGATCATCGCCCATCGTTACTTATGCGAAGCCATCGCGATGCCACCTGCGAGGTCTCCGAATCTGTCATGTTGCACTTGACCTGACGCTGCGTCACATGATGGGAAGAGAACCATGCAGCCTGTCAGCTGTGCACACCCCAAATGGACTGCTCGGTGGGCGTGTGGAGGCAGCCAGTGTAACCATGGACGAGCAAAAAAAAGAAGCAACGTGCGTCATGCTTGAAGGGGGAATTGAACCCCCGGCGGGTCGAGACTCGAGACGCCTCGGAATGGCAACGACCCAGGTTACCACTACCCCATTCAAGCATGAAGCACATTCATGTGGGTATCGAACACAGATGATATTGCATACAGCTTATACTGATACAGAATCACATGGCAAACATGCATACAAACAGTTCAACTGATCACGCGACTCAAACTGAACGCCGCCTCCCACTCCGCCACGCGACTCTCCTCCGTTACTCCTGCTGCTGCTGCTGCCGCCCCGTCGAACTCGCGGTACCGGCCGGCGAAGTGATCCCCCGACACGACTAAATGGGGACACGCGAAATTCAGCCGGGCTCATAGAAGCAAAAAATGACGCCAAAGACGTACGGTATCCCTTGAACAGCGTCGTCCCGTGCCCGTCCAGCTGCAGGCCAGATTACACGCATCAGAAGAAGTGTTCCGGGAGCACGAACTGCGCGACGCACCGACTCGCGCTGGAGCGTGACCAGCCCGTCAGCCAGCCTGATGCGCCCGAGGAACTTGAAGCTGCCCCACGCAGAGGCGTACGGGTCGTCCGTCTAAGGATCAGATGAATGACGTAGGGAAAGAATGCGGCTGGGTGCACTTGCCTGGCCGGTGACGACGACGTCCGTAATGCTGCTGCTGCTGGGCTGCTCCTTCGCGTCGTGGTATGTCTTGTAGAAGAACTGCTTCCCACTCGCATCGGAGGTGACGATTCCATGCTTTTAATGATAACGATGTTAGAGTTAGAGCGGCGCGCAGAAGCTGGGTGGGGGGCTGCTGCCTACTTACTTCCGTCTCCTTCCACGAACTGAACAGCCCAGCCGCACCCTCGCCCCGGTCCACCACGGCCGTCGAGAAGTGCTCCCGCAGCGTAACATACAGCGGCACCCGGCTGAACGTCGTCATCGCCCCGGGCGCGTTCTCCCCCGCATCGCTGACCCAGCGCTTGTACTCATCGATGCACGGGATCTGAGGAAAGGAACCGCGCAAGGTTAGCCTTCAACCTCGCACGCGCGGTGTCTCAGGCGCACGCACCAGGGACGAGCCCTGCCATTGGCCCGCGAGCGACCCAACGCGGTAGCCCCGGTCGCCCGGCGCCGGGACGCGCGCACGGGCGTCGCACCGCCGCGCGCGGCACTCGCTGATGAAGTGCTCCGCGTCCGCGCGCCCGGCGGCGTGCGTCGCGGGGGCCGGAGCGGGGGCCAGCTTGCGCAGGTGCGGCGGGAGCGTGGGCGTGAAGAAGTCCAGGCGCGCGAAGTAGCACAGGATGGAGTAGATCTGGAGGCCGGGGAACGGCGCCGATTCCGCCGGCGTTGGGATGTCGTCTTCCAGCGGGTACTGTGTCAAAAAAAAAAAGAACGAACGTCAGAAGGAGTCACTATCATGAGAGATCGGCCGACGTGCTTTCGAGGCAGCCAGCGCAAAGGGCCGTATTCGGTCCATGATCATCCGGCGCGTGTCTTCTGGTTCGTCGTGCACGCCGGCTAAATTCAATGCAAGGCATCAGATCCAGATGTCTCGATCCAACAACAGCTGCGGGGGGACTTGCATTCAGGGGCCAGAAGCCACAGCAGCGCCACCACGAGCGCGTGCGTCTCGCTCGGCACGGGCCATCCCCGCGCATCGCGCACCCAGCGCTCCTCGAGGAAGCGCACAAGCAGCCGCGGGAGCCCCGCCCACCGCAGCTGCGCCACCGTCCGCGCCCGCGCTCCGGGTGCCTCGTCGCCCAGCATCCCGTGCGCGATGCGCAGCGCGTCCCGCAGCTCGCCGTCGCCGTCGCCGTCGCCGTCGACGCACGCGCGGCGGAACACCTTGAGCGCGCCGAAGCGCCGCCGCAGCTCGCCCTTCGCGTCGCCCGCGAGCGGGTGCGCGGGCCGCAGCCGGTAGAATTTGCGTGCAAAGACGAGCGCGTGGACGGTGGAGTTGTCCAGCTGCCGCTGCAGCGCGGAGCAGCACAGGACGAGGTTGAGCCATTCCTGCGGCGGCCCGAGCTCGTCCACGGCATGCATCGTGATCCGGAGCAGAATCTCCGGGGATGAAGAAGCAAGTGGTGACAGCTGCTGCATGATTTTCACAGTTCAGTTTTCGGTGGGTGAGTGGACGGGTTGGGGAACGCAGGGTAGTTGTTATATGAGCTGCTGGAAACAGGGCGCCGTAAACGGGATGACGATGCTGGGGAGGGGGGGCCCAAACGACACAGCTGCTATTACGCTCCATTGACACCTTCCCAATCTAGTTTGCGCCATGTACCCGGACCAGGATTCAGAAACGGCGGGAGCCTCGGATGTTTGTGTGCGGAAGATCCCAGAAATGAGTCGTCCGATACATACACACCGCGGCGATGCCCCGACGAAGGATCAGCGAGTGGCAAACAAGCAGGCAGAGGTCAAAGCGAAGCGCAAAAACGACAACAAAAACAAAACAGAGCACAACAAAAATGCGCAACCGCGCCCCCGCGACACGGGCGACTGATTCTCTCACTGTCAAACAGCCAGAGAATTCACACTGGACATGCAGTCATGCCGGCTGCCAGGGCGACGCCGTGGCGTGTGTGTGCGTGTGCGCGTGTGGATGTTCTCCGCACCTCTGGCGCGGAAATACGCGCAAAGTTGGTGTACGACAGACACAACAAACACCCGGGCGGAGACACGACGCACGAGCGAGTTTGGCCCTCCGGATAATCCTCGAGGCGAAGCTTGCTGCTTCGACCTGCCGTCCGCCGATCTTCGTTTCGTTTCGTTCTCGCCCCCAGGGTCAGCGCAGGCGCGCCAGATCGCAGAGATCGCGCGGAGACACCCGCGGGCGAGAGACGGGCGACCACAACACCGCACGCAGATCCCTCCTGCCCCTGCTTCCGAGCCGGCCGACTCGGAGAACGCGGGGGCGGACATCAGTGCGAGAATCCCAACCCAAGCCAGCCGACCATCCGATATGGAATGGAATGCACAGCAGCAGCAGCCGGAGGTAGGTAATCAATAAAACTGCGGGGGTCGTGGTGGTGGGTCGAAACAGCAATCGGGAACCGGGCGCGTGGAACAGAACAGATCAGAGCGCGCTCGAGTCATCCGGATATCGTGGGACGAGGGAGCGATCCTGTCGGAACATTGCCACTCGGCGGCGGCGGGGGTTGAATGGCAGAGGGGAAGCACGCGGGCCCCGGGTGGCGGGCTGCTGGGTGTCCTGGAACTTCACCTCAGAGCGAATGTCTGACCGGACTATGTCGAGGAGCGGCGACACCGTCAGAAAGAGATCTCATGAGAGCAGACGCCATCCATCAGGCGGCTGGAAGAAGCGTGCAGGGACTTTTTTGGTCTGCGGCTGGGGTGATTGAGGATGCGGAACTGCTCAAGAAGGTCGGTGCAGGAGGTCGCAGATCAAGATAACGCGAGATAAATTATGTTGGCTGCCAGTTTGTGTTCTGAGACGTAAAGAATCCATCATTTTCTCGGTCAAACTTGCCTTCTGAGTCAGCCACGTCAGAGGATGAGGCACCCCCCTGCGCAGACAGGCCAGGCGCAGAGTACTTGTACGTTGCGGGTACTCCCGACATGGAGCATACCAAGATGGATGATCATCGATCATCATGACTTGGAATGAACGGCCGACCCTTGCTGCATTGCGCACGTCCAGCACTCGATTGCGATTAACCTACGTGACGTCAAACAGATCTCGACGTACGACAGCTAATACCAGCGAGCCACACGATCCACACTCGCTGGCAGTCAATCTCCGTCCCCACTTTGGATCAGGATCTTGTTCTGGGTGGATCCCTTGGAGTCCCAGGAGCTTCCGCTTTCCGCTCGCGCCCTGATTTCATATGTGTCCACGCCACAGACTGCAATGCGCAGCGCGACCGAACGTTAAACTTGGCGCGCGTTATTCTGGTCCATGCGGCCTGTAAGAGCGTGAGAAACAAGACACGTGAAAGAGAGCAGGTGCACGTGAAGGCGCCACGTGGCCCAGGACCTCGGTCAGCCTAGGCCCACGGACACTCCCGCATATGTCAGTCCAATTTAGTGCAAATCAAGCCCCAAAATTGGCTTTATCTCAGGGCCAGAGTTAGTGCAGATCGGGCCCAAGAGCCCAAATCCCAGTCCCAGTTAGTGCAAATCGCGGGCGAAGCCCGCAAAATTTTTGGACCATATATCATCGGTCGACGGTGAGAGAGTCAGATCAGCAAATTTTGACCTATTCCTGGATGAAACGGAGAGCTTTTGACGCATGTCAAGAGTGCTTCAAAATCAGGGCCATCGTGGGCAAAAAATGGGCAAAAAACTCCGAAAAGGGCTAAAATGATGGCATATCTCAGTCCGATTTAGTGCAAATCAAGGGTTCTAGAGGCCAATTTCGTGGTGCAAATCAGCCTGGCTCGGCGGACTGACATAACCGGGAGTGTCCGTGGGCCTGTCAGCCTCCATTGGGCTCGGGAGAGCGTATCCGCACGGTCCGGCTCAGCGAGATTTCCGCGCGCAAACAGCTGACAACATCAGATAAACTTTTCGTTCTACCACGACAATCGATGGCCAACCTCACCGCGCTCGAAGCTCACCTTGCGACCCGCTCTTACATCGAGGGGTGAGTTCATCTCCGTTGCCTCTCTGTCTGATGACCCTGCTATGGTCCGTGTTTCCAAGAAGCGACTAGACACCGCTGTCCAAGCATGCCGAATTTTCTTTACCTAGCGCTCTGATTCCTTTTCTCGTCGCCTCCCCGCGTCTCGATGGTTCTGATCGCTAATCTGCGCCAGGTACACTCCGTCCCAGGCTGATGTGGTCGTCTTCAAGGCGATCGCCGCGGCCCCGAGGGCGGAGACCAACCCGCACGTCGCGCGGTGGTACACCCACATCCAATCGTACGCCGCCGAACACGCATCGCTCCCTGGCTCGAGCACCGCCGGCGAATCCTTCCTCGGCGAATCGGCCCCCGCTGCTGCTGCTGCCGCCCCGGCTGCCGGAGGCGACGATGACGAGATCGATCTGTTTGGCAGTGATGACGAAGACGACGCTGAGGCTGAGCGGATCAAGGCTGAACGTGTCGCGGCGTACAACGAGAAGAAGGCCAACAAGCCGAAGCCCGTCGCCAAGGTCCTGCTCCGTCCGCTGTTGGCATGTGTATCTGCATCTGATCTGCCGTTACACAGTCCGTTGTCACCCTCGAGGTCAAGCCCTGGGATGATGAGACCGACATGGTTGCCCTCGAGGCTGCTGTTCGCTCCATCGAGAAGGACGGCCTTGTCTGGGGAAGCAGCAAGCTTGTTCCTATCGGCTATGGTACGATACTTTCCCGTTTGACCTGCTCCGAAATCTGACGGCGTGTTTCTTCTCTCCTCTCCTGCACCACAGGTATCCGCAAGCTCCAGGTGTGTGGTGCCTACTCCCATAAGTAGTCCCCGCTGACTGACTTGGTCCCCGCAGGTTACGCTTGTCGTCGAAGACGAGAAGATCTCTTTGGATGAGTTGCAAGAGCAGATCGCCGAGTTTGAAGACTACGTCCAGAGCACGGACGTTGCTGCGATGCAGAGTACGTTATCCTTCCTTGATCGAGCCCGCTTGTACTCATCTCCGTGCCTCATCAGAACTCTGATTGGCGTCGCTCGAGCCGAGCCGAATGTGTAGAAGTTTTTTCGTGTTGTAGATCCGTGTATAACGACTGGGTGCAGATTGACATATCTGACCACGACATTTGATCGAGAGAATAACGCGTCGGCCAAAATCTCTTGGTCGAGGATGATCTCCGCTCCTGGGCCCCCCATTGGCAGGACGTGTCTGTCCGTTTCCCCCAACCAATTCCGTCGAAGCGAACGGAGATAAGTCCTGATGCAGGTCCACTCGGTAGATCGGGGCACGGGAACGAGCAGTCTGTCTGGACTTGATGCCAGCGCGCTTGTTTCGTTCCTAAGAATGCGTCGCGGGAGAACATGGTAGCCGGTCCACCGCGAGATGTGTGCTGCACGAGGTCGGCCGGCGGTGCATCCACCGTTCCGTCTGTGGCCCGCCGTGTTGCAGCGTAGCGCGGGCTCGCCTCGCCTCTTTGAGTTTGCCGCGGGTCCCAGATATAGGACTGTACGTGGGGAGGCCCATCAACTCCGCTGCTCGTGTGTTGTTGTCGTTTTGGCAGAGACCGTTCCGTTCCTTGCTTCCCGTCAAATCCCAATAAGGTTCACCGACCTGGCTGGTCGAGATCGCATCTGCAACTAACTATCCGGAGTGGCAACTTACGCAACGGACCTCCTTCGGTGACAGGGACAAGCAAGACTTGGGACCTGCGCTCAGGATGGGGGCCCGCAGAGCAGGAGCATTTAAACGGGACGCGCGTGTCAGAGAGACAGTACCTCCTCCCGCCGCGGCCGCCGCCTAGTATGTTGTCCCCGCTCGAGTGCATTCCCCACGACGTCCTGCTGCACATCGCCCTCCTCGCCGCGCTCTCAGGCCCCGGCATCGTCGCGCCCGACCTGCTCTCGCTGCTGCTCACCTCGCGCACACTGCATGCTGCCCTCGCCCGCCAGTCCAGCCCGAATCTGTACGCCGCCGTCTTCAGACGCACGTTCAGCGACGCCGCGGGGCACACCGACGGCGTGCTCGCGGCCGAGCTGGTGCAGCGGTGCCGTGCCATCCGCCGGTGCACCACGCAGGACGTGTCGCCGCGCGGGCTGCGGCAGGATCTGTGGACGCTGCTCTGGACGCTGCTGGGCGACGACGGGTGCCACGCGCTGCTGCCGCTCGGCCGCTTGCCGGAATGCATAGCCAAGCTCGCGCTGCTCCATCTGCGCGAGGACGCGTTGACGTCGGACGAGACCAAGGGATTGATCGCGTGGCTACTGTGTCTCAGCCTAACACGGGGTATGTTGTTCTCCATCTCCCCCGCGCGCGCGTGTGCGTGCTTCCGCTTCCGTTTCCCACACCTGACACGTTCTTGCAGCAAATGTTGCGCGTCACAGTCTCGAGACGCGGAACGCCCTGGTCGGTCTGGCTCGGCCCTTGATCAGCGTTCCTGCCATCACTGGTGCTTCTGCTGCTGCTGCTGCTGGCGAGGAGCCAGTGCTGCACTTCAATCAGCGGTATTTCGGGCTGAGCCCTCCCGCGCCCTCGGACGGTGCGATCATCGTCACCTTCGCGCTCAAGGAGGCCGTAGCGCTCCAGGTGCCGCACCATCTGCCCCCCACACGTGCCATTGCCACGGCCGAGCACCGCACGGGGCCCACGACCGAGGATTACCTCGCGTTCCAGCGCACCGGCACCCGGCTGTTCTCCGATGTCCGGGCGGAGGTTTCTCGGGCGACAACAACAACAGCAACAACAACACCCGCGCCGTCGGCTGCCACTCTAACAAATCGCGTCGTGTCGCCGTCTGATCCGTGGTTTGTCCAGACGTTGTCGACCCCGGATGGACGACCGGCAGCCGTGTCGCAGCCGTACGCATCCGGACTGCTTGTCGGCCTATGGGAAGGGTCGCTAATGGTGTGTGTCTTTTTTGGTTTGTGTGTTGGCAGCCCAGAATCTAGCTTATTCTGGGCCAGATTTCATCTTATGACGACGACGCCGACGCCGACAACGACAAGTCTTCTGGCTTCCCGGACTATCTTTGCCGCACCCCGATGCAATGCTACTTCTCAGAGTACCACTGCTCGGCTCCGCAGTGTCCGCTATCACTCGACTACGACTTGCTGCAGCTCTCACCAGATCCCTACGTCAGTCCCAATCAATATGCCTACTCTTGCTCTGATGAACCGGGTTACATTTTCATCTCATGCTAGTCGCCGGAACTCGCCGCCTACCAAGAAGTGAGCGTTCCGTTGTCGGCCCCAGCGAGTGGCGACGCCGCTATCTTGGATCGCATTATTTTTGGCCAGGTATGAGATCTCTCTCGCAGTCGCTGCTCAATTCAGCCCGAGTTGACCGCCGGGCAGACGCTGGCGGACCACGAGGAAGCCTGGTCGCCCGGCGGGTTTAAATTTGCTGGGCGGGTCGACGATAACGGAGAAATCGCCTTCTCGCGACGCGCGGTGCGTGCTTGTGCGTTTTTTCGACGGAATCACCGCTGACTTGCACGTTACCTCCTCAGAAACACGACACGAATGAGCGATCTGAGACGTGGATATTCCGGGGGCGGGTGCGATACGGGACGGCCTTTGTGGGGACTTTCAGATCATCTGACGAGGCCGCCGGCGTCCGCGGCATATTCAGCCTGCGCAAAAAACACTGATAGAGACTTGCTTATCTAGCGTGAAGCCTAATTTACCCGCCCCAGCAGACGTACTGTAATGCAGAAATATCTATCCCACTCACTGACTGCATCATATCTGATATGCATTAACTGTGTTTCGCCCGCTCGCCCGCCCACGTAATAAACAATCGAAGCGCGCACGCTCGCACCGTCTCGACTTATCTCGCCCCTCCACTGGTCCCAGATGTCTACCACCCATTCCGGGCACACCCTCTTTTTGGGACGGCTGGTTCGTGAGAGTCTGAGCGGGCCTTCGCTGTGAAGAATCTCCGGATGTCAAGATGCCCTCCCACGCGGCTGGGCCTGTCGGCGGAGGACCAGCTTGGCCACATGGCAGGCAGGTGCCCAGACCGCGCGCACGGAGATGCACAAGCACAGGCGCATCGACGGATGTGCCTTTTCGCATGAAGTCATCATCAGAGATCTGCGTCGTGTGGGAGTCAATCGGCATGACAGAGACGCGGCAGCGTCCGGATGAGGGCATCGGTAGGGCTTAGTACGGACCCGGGGATTCCACTCGCCCGCCGCCGTCTCTCATGTCCGATCAACTGGACTCCATGCAATTCACTTCCGCTAAAACCTCCGTCGATGTCGATGTAACAGCAGGTCGGCGGCTGGCCGCATGAAACGGCTGCGTAGCGCGTAAGCGTAATGGATGGTGACAGAGGTCGAGATCGAGTCCAGACGGAATTGGCGAAGCCTTTCCGGCGCATCGGTGTGCTGTCCATCCATCTCATCTGCGAGTTTCCGTGCAGGTAAGGCGGGAGCCCCCAAAGCGGCAAGTGTTCTTGCCCTGGGGGTGGCTCATGAGAGCATGTGATGTGATGTAGGTGTTTCGTTGGGGACAACCACTCTTCCAACCCTAGTTACAAGGGTTTCTCGTTCTCGTCAACCACAGTGATAGAAGGCGGGATTTGACCGCCGGCTGCCGATGACCTTGCACGAATATGAACTGGGCATGCCATATATGGCAACTGTGCTCCATCAACCGGGGGTATGCTCTGTGCGCTGCGCTCTGTGCGCTGCGCTCTGTGCTCTGATGAGATGTTCATGTAGTGTGGGCGCTGCAAAATGAAAAAAGCCACACGCGACGTCCGGAAGTTGGAAAGCGGGAACTGCGCGCGCGGACACACGGAGATGCGATGGTGGCACTCGCCAGTCGCCGGGTTCCGGCTTTCCTCGCTGAGCTGGGGAGAGGCATAATGATGACGCCTACGTCGCATGCCAGTTCATTTCTGATATCAATCCATCACCAGCGGACATCTGCGAGAAGACCGCTGCCCAACTCGGACGGTGCATGGCCCGTTTCAAGGTTGCTGTGATCATCATGAGACCGTGTCATGCACGGCCCAACCCGAGGGCCACCATCAGCCACGTGACGACAGTTGAACTGGAAGTTGAGCGATCAACAAGGTTCCAAGCTATTCAGCTAGGCGAGTATGTATTGTATCGATACTTGTCCGTCACAAACCTTGATATTTGGCCGAGGTCTTCCTCGGAGTGGAGCAGGGAAGCCCATTGGGAATAGACGATCAATCTGCCGATTGAACCTTGACAAGTCCTGACGACGCCCACAAACCGGGTTCACCCCAATTCGAACCTCGATATCGGGCGAGCCGGATTGGCTACAGAGTGCCTCTTTGCCGGCTTCTTCACACGTCTTGGACAAGTCCCCGTTTCGTCCTGTCTGCGCGCCTAGACTTGGAGTGCGAGACTGAATTGTATTAGTCTGAATGCCGTGCGCTGCGTGCGAGTCAGTTGCCTGGATTGCGAACTGCGCCCCCGCCGCCTCTATAGAGGCCGGTAAAACGGAGACCTCTGTCACATGCGTTCTCTGCACCTGGTATGGAAGGTGCTGCTGCTTCCCGCGTTTCGGCAGCGGGGTCTCCACTTCTCTCGGCAGCAGCCCGTATCTTGGCACACAATACATACGTGTATCGTTTGATCACGAATAAAACAGTTCATCCGTCCTGAACGCCTCAGATGGAAGAAAGTGCAGACCCGGAGAGATCCCTCGTTCTTGCTTTTGTGTCCATGGGGAAACACTTGCGCCGTGGCCGTTCCCAGCTGTTTGAAATTATACTGTATCTCCACCTGGCACGTCCGCAAATATCGTGACTCCATGGTCCAATTATTTTCAGGCCACGGAGGCTCTGCGTTTTAAAACTCGCTTCGAAGGCTTGGACGGAGGAGTGTCAATCACGGAGGTTTTACGCCCTCGGTGGGGCCAGCAGACAGATGGAACCTCACACCATAACTCACGGCCGCAGTGTCCAATCCCAGAAAGACGCCGCCTCTAAAGCCCGTGGCTTTAAGAAGAAAAACACAGAATCAGCGTGCTTTCGAGCCAAGCGCTCGGCAGATAAGAGGTTGCGCTGTTCTTGGGTCGCTTGACTCAACCGCCTACTTACTCACTCTTGAGTTTTAGCCCGAGCCTTGCCCGAAACCTTAATTCACGCTGGGGAGTACCGTGGGGAGCACGGATCCCCGGCGAGGTCCCGAATTCAATCTATGTTTGTAATCTAATCTGGAGCTGCATCCCAAGATCCTGTAAAAGTTGCACGATCTCCCGAGCTATCGACTGATTCTGAGTGAAAAGAGAAGAGGTTTCGTTTGCTCTTCGACACCAACCCAGGGGGCTCGAATTCTCAGCAAGTGCTGCATGCATTTATCCAGAAACGAAAACGCCCATTTTCACTTTTCACTTTTAAAAAGGCCCAGTTCTACTGAGCTGTCTAGATCTTCATATCCCAGATTTACAGGGTCGCCCAGATATACCTCGAAGCGATTCAGACTGCAAGTCCTCGGAGGCGAGTAGGGCACAGAATCCCCAGGCGCTGACGTTCAACCGTTCGTGACAACGATCTCTGTCTGTTCAACGTCCGGATTTACATTCATCCTGAATCCCTGTCATGGGCGCCGTTCATCGTTGAGGGTACTAAATTCAGCCTGTGCGCGTAATGGGACTTCGATCACGGTCTTTTTTCCAACGTCCAAGCCAAGATGATTGAAAACTTCCTGATCAAGGGATCGAATGGAGTTACATAATCTCAGAACGAAAAAGAAAGAAAAAACTAGAACCCCCACTGCGACGAAGCGGCAAATGCCGGGAATACGTTGACTGGGCGTCCCAGACTTGGCCAGTCCTGTATATTCGCAATCCTACTTCTGTTAAGAATAAAATAGCAGACAGACATGGGTATCACAGTGCGCCGATCACATCTACACAAGCAAAGCCGCTACGACGCCAACGGAACCGAGCAGCAGCGCGGCTGCGCCGGCCCTGGCCCCACCGACAGCGGCACTGACGCCCGAGGAACCCTGGCCGAGTCCACCGGCGGCTTGGACGGCGTGCGTCATGAAGTTGGAGCCGCACTTGCTCATGATCGACGCATACAACGCCGGCTGGCCCGAGATAAACGCGCTCTGCCCGAGTCCCGGGGCGTACGCAGTGTCGGACTCGAAGCTGATGAAGCTCGTCAGCACCGCGCGGGTGCACGACGTGCACAGCTGTGCCACGGACAGCGACGGGCTGAGCGCCAGGAACAGCAGGTTGCCGCTGTCGATCGTCGCGGCGTTCGGGGTCGGCGCGCTCGAGGATGACGACGACGCGAGCAGACCAGCGGGGGAGGCCGAAGTGGTGCCGTTCTTTGACAGGACGCAGTACGCGCCCGCGTCGTCCTTGGCGCAGACACTCCCGATGAGCGGCAGCAGGGTGTAGAACGTGTCGTACAGCCCCTTGACTTCCGCGTTGGGTGAGGATCCCGTGAGCTCCGGCCCACAGGCGACGTGGAAGGCCGCGAGTTTGCCTGTCAGGAGGCTCTGGCTGCAGCTGCCCGTCGTCGCCGAGGAGCAGACGGTGCTGAGGGCCGACGACACGGAAGACGAGGACGCGGAGGACGCAGGCGGCGCGAATGAGGCGACGGCGGTGTTGAGTGCGGAGGTACAGACGGAAAGATCCGAGTCGGTGTCAAGGGTCGCGAGGTAGACAGAACACGACGTTGAGATGCCGCTCGTGGGGATGTAGGGGCTCAGCGCAGGAGTGGCTGCAGGCGCTGCGGAGGCTGAGGCGGACGACGAGGCCTGGAAGCGAAAGGATAAGATAAAGCTCTCGGGGAGGCGGGGCTACGTACCGCATGGGCAGCCACGGCTGTGGCAACAAGGACGGTGATGCGCGTGAGCATAGTTGGGGTGGTGGTGCTGGTGGTGTGGCTAATGACTGCAGCAGAGAAAGAGTGGACGACAACTTTTGATTGCCAGGGGCGACAAACGGCGGGGTTACGACCGACAAAAACGTTGTGAGCGTGCTGCTTGGGTTAGGAGAACAAGGGTAATGATGATCGGGCAAGCATGCACAAGCAAAAGTGCATCGCTTACTCAGTGACTGCGAAAAAAAAATGCTGAATGCTCATGAACTTAGATGTGGTGTAAGCTAACATAGATCTACTCCGCCCGAGCCTTCATAACGGCGTCCCTCCTCCCTCTTAGTGCCCACTCATACGCCTTGACAAGATATTTAAGATATCCGATGCCCTTTTTCGCAGCCCCATCCCTGTCCCTGCTCAGGTTCAGATTCGCCTCGGCAACCAGTCGATGGTGGAGCAGCTCAATGTCGGAAAATGTAAGTAGGGGCGGAACGGCATCGTCGGGGACGTCCGTCGGCGCCGTCAGCCGAACGATCGGGCGAGGAAAAGAGTTGGGGACGATCGCGGTCCGGGTCGAGCGGGCCGGATGTTTTGTACTTTTCGGCACAAGCAGGTCTGATGGCGGATACCGCGCTGCAAACTGGCGGATGTGCGTCAGCGCACCCAGAGTCTGGCCGTTCCTGCATCCCATCAGTAAGTGGATAATACAGCAAAGACGGGTGACGCACAACACGAGAACACGCATATACGCGACCCACGCTCGTTCCACAGTACGCGCAGGCACGTCTTTCAGCGCAGAATACGTCTCCCATAGCTCGCTCGCCCACTCGAGAGCCAGCGCCCGCTCAGGTCCGCGACGGGCATACGCGCATCGCTCCAGCGCTTCCAGGTACGTCCTCGCGTCCGGCTTGACCGTGGTGAACACTTGACCGAACAACCTGCGGGCAGCGGAGAGGGTCGAATGCTGGTAGTGCACGGACAGATAGGAGTTGACCAGACGCGTTGTGAGCGTCACAAGCGGAAGGCTATGATCGAGGACACGCTGCCAGAGGGCCTCGACCTCGGTGATGACCTCGAAGGCCGTCTGCGGCGGAAGGCGCGTAAAGCGGGGCGAGGGATTGTTTTCAGGCGGCGGGGTTGACGATGATTCTGTCACGTCAGTTGTATTGCTAGAGGGCACAACACGGGCGAGATGGCGCGTGAACGGGGGGACGTAAGCGGTGTACGTGTGCAGCACATGCATGAAGGCCTCCTCAGCGACCTGTGCGCCCATCTCCGCTAGAATCCACCGCGCACGTGCAAGATCTCCGATGCGTTTGGCCCCTTCCAGCAGCGCACACATAGTCTTCTGGTCGGGAACATACGCCGACACACCCCGCGCATCTCGGTGCGCGTCAAACATTTCCCGCGCGAGGCTAAACGCCTCGTCGATCCACATCTTGCGCCCACTGCGAGCACACGCTAGGATGACGGCATTCCACGTGCCGGTCTCCGGTACGAGCCGCTTGTCCACCGTCATCTCCGTCCACAGATCAAAGGCGCGCTCAGCCTCGGATCCTCGCCCCGAAACCGGAGATGCGCACGCCCGAATCATCGTCGTGTACATGCGCACGTCGGGTTCCGGGTGCGCAGCATAGCGCATGTGGGCAAATAGGTCCCAAGCGTGTGCCTTCCCCACGCTCGTGTTGGTGCTGTACAGCGCAGAGATGACCGATTGGTACGTCTTCTGCGGCGCGGGAAGGGCCTGGGCCTCGTAGCTGTGCAGCACTCCCAGTGCACTCTCCGGCAGCGCTAGATGCTTGGATGCAGCGAGATGCACCCTGACATGGAGATGGCGCTGCTCCTCCTCAGGCGCTTGGGTCAGCAGCGTCGTCAAACACCGCTCGAATCGTGTCACCGAGCGAGCAGCCGCATGCTCCGCCAGGATCATCGTCATTGGCGCCTGCAGTGGCTGCAACCCACTCCTCTGCTCGGGCATTAGTTCCTGCCGATGGATCGTCCCACAAACACACACCTTCATCAACACCAATACACCTTCCGCACCTTCATAGTCTCTCTCTCGCATGCAGCTCCGAACCAGTGCTCCAAATTGCTCTGCCGTGAACAGCGGCACCGCAATAGGATCATGCCCTCCGGCACTCCCCAGTGCCTCGAGTGCATCTAACCGCGCCGTCGCGAGTTGCATGACGCGCGTCGCCGGGACGGTTGACGTGGCCGGTAATGCTCCAGATATTGTCGACATCCTCTGCTCCAAGGACGTAACAATCGCCGCGTCCTTCTCACTGTCCCCGAGTGGTGCCTCCACCGCCTGCACCTCGATTTCTTGAGGCTCTGGATGTGCTAGAACATCCTGGTACAATGCCATCAGCTCATCTTCTGTGAAAAACGGGGTCTGAGATTGAGAAGCGGAGACCTAGTTTCCGGTGAATAAAAATCTGCGAGGGACTGATTGGACACCACCCACCTCGGCGTCAGCAGCCTCCTTCACCAACCGCACTCGCTGCTCGATGTCCGCCAGGACCGGGTGCTGAGAGCCGGAAGGTCGGGACACAGAGGAAATGGGCGGTCGGGGTGTGAGCGACGTGCGTCTGGCGATTTCTTGAGTTTCACTTCATGCTTGTAGATAGGCTTAAAACACACCGTCGGCGCCCCCGACCCACTGTACCAGCTCCGGCCCCAGGTCCGAATTCCCTGCCCGGTTCGTCTCCGCCTGTCCGCGCGTCGACAGCTACTGCCACCGCGGCATGCGCATATCCCCTCG